CCTAACCTAACCTAACCTAACCTAACCTAACCTAACCTAACCTAACCTAACCTAACCTAACCTAGCCTCATTTTAGTAACGATCTTTTGATAGTATTTTGTAACCTAAAACCTAACCAACCAATCCATAACCATAACCTATGGCAAGGTTGAAGAGGCCCTGAATTCATTCGCCAAAGATACAGGAGCCGGCGTCAGTGGTTGGACTGTCCCACTGATGCTTTTGGCCTTCAAGGAGGAACCATTCCAACGTTTCTTGACCCTCCTCACAAGCCAGATCAATCAAGGTATTGCACCAGGTCGGGGATTACTAAACACCTCAAGAATCACGCCTCTCGTCAAGCCAGATGGGGGTGTGAGACCGATTGCGTGTAATGAATTGATGTACAGAGTGGCAGCTAAGGCTATTTTGAAGCAGCATTTCAAACCAACAGCACTTCAAAAAGGCCAAGTGGGTGTGGGGACACCAGGAGGAATCGAAGTAGTCATTCGAGCAGTAGAGAAAATGGTATCAGGAGAGAGTAACTTTAAGCATGTCCTTAGCTTAGACTTCTCAAATGCATACAACACTGTCTCGAGGAAGAGTATGGCAAAAGAAATACAGGAGAACACACCGTCGCTGTATCGTACAGCCAAGTGGGCCTATGGCAACCCCACAACTTTGGCAGCAGCGAATGGTGATAAGCAGGTTTCGTTACAATCTCCCCAGGGTGTGAGACAAGGTGACCCCCTTGCACCTGTGTTCTTCTCAATTGCCCTCAAACCTGTCATGACCAAGCTTCAGGATATCCTAGGTAGTACCGGCATCGTTCTTAGTTACCTCGACGATGTCTACATACTATCAGACGATGACGTCAAGGAGAAGATCTTCAAGGAGTTAGACGACATGCAATTATCAATCCAATTAAACAAAAAGAAATCTTTTGGTAAGAGCATCGAAGAAATACGCTCCACAGGAATGGAACTCCTTGGTACAGTTGTCGGTCCAAAGTCAATTCGTGTCAATTTCATCAGGAAGCAGTTGGAGGAGGTCAAGAAAAAGTTAACTTGTTTGAGTATGGTTAGGGATCAATACGCATGGATCCTGTTGTCAAAGTCATACCAAGCATCTCTTAGGCACCTTCAACGTTCACTAGATCTCTCAGATAGTATGGAAGAATGGCAAGAAGTAGATAACATCTTCCATGCAACAGTCCGCAGTTTGAGGGGATCCAAACATGAGTTAGACACGGACGAAGATTTGTTTCATTTGCCAACATATTACGGTGGTTTAGGTATCAGTTCGCATGTTATTGTAGCCCCCCACGCAAGAAAGGCAATGGCAGAGCAAGCTGATGCAGTATTAGAGCGGATCTTTCAAGAGAATGCCAGCTTAGAGTCACCAGCAGTCACAAAGCAGAAGACATACACTAACCGTATCAACAAGGACAAGTGGAAAAATTTGGAGGACAGGCTGGATGTGTATGGCAAGTGTCAGCTGTCAGAGAATGGTACAAAACTTGGACGTAAGCCCTTGACTTCACTGCCGTTTGAACCTGGCCTGCGCTTCACTAATGCAGAATTCAAGTCCCTACTTCATATTCGTACACTCTGCCCAGGTGCGGCCCAGATATGTCAATGTGGTCAACGGAATGTTCCAGGTCATGACGATGTCTGTCGTGATCGGGTTCAAATGAAGACAAAGAGACACGATGCTATCAGGAACTATCTTGCAAAGTTTCTCAGTGCCTCTGGCCTCAAGGTTGACATGGAGATGCCGTTAGGAAGCTCGGACAATAAGCGTATGGATCTGGTCCTCAAGGAGAGTAATGGTGCTGGTGCACTTACGATGCACGATATCACTGTTCATTCGTCAATAGCCTTGGTCCCCTATATACAACAAGTTACTAAGGATTGGCAGAAGAAGAGTGGTAGTGAGCTAATTCGAGTCGGTTTGAACCATCAAGCCCACAAGAAGGTCCTCAAGTATCGTGCTCATGTTCCAGTTACGTTTGTGCCAATTGTGTTTGGTGCGGGGGGTGCCATGAGTACTCTCACCACTGAGCACTTCAAGCAATGGCGCAGGATTACTCCCAATTGGGACCACCTACAGAGGCTTATTTCCTTTGCGCTCGTAAGGAAGAGAGTGACAAACTTCCGCTTGATTTAGGCAGTATTTTAAGATGTTTTATTTTTAAAATTTTCACTTTTAGTAACGATCTTTTGGTAGTATTTTGTAACCTAAAACCTAACCAACCTATCCATAACCGTAACCTATGTGAGGGGTATGATGTTGCTTTCGGAAGCTCCTCCTGTTCTTGTGTATCAGTGCCGTTCTGTGGGGTGTATAGTGTCTCTTTCGGGAGCTCCTCCTGGACTTGCATAGGGGTGTCATCCAATGAAGGATATGTTTCTGTTTCAGGCTCCTCCTGTGCCCGCTCGTCGATGTCGTTTTGTGATATATGTGATGTTTCTTCTTGTGGGATTTCCTCTTGTTCTTCCATATCAGTGTCATGTTGTGAGATGCACGGTGTTTCATGTGTAGGTTCCTCTTGTTCCTGTATGTGTGGGTCGGGTTCATTTTGTGTAATTGATGCGGCTTCGTTTGAGGATTTTTCCTCTCCTACTTCCTCTTCTTCATCGTCGATAGAGTCGGTGTGGTTGTCGTCGCAGTTGTCGTCATCGTTGGATGATATTGGGGAACGATATGCGAATGAGTGGTTTGCGCTGTAGATAGTATTGATATTGGTTATTCCAGGGAATTTGCTTTCGTTATAGTGTACATTACGTGATGTTAAGATATCGTCGTTGACTTGGATGAGTGCTCCGTTTGATTGTTTGTCGAAGCCAAGGAATATGCCCGGGGATCTTATCGGGATATCTTGTTAGTTGTAAGGGTTGGGTGTTGTATATATGCTCGACATCCGAAAGCTTTTAGTCGATGAAGAGGGGGTAGGATGTCAAATAGTCCTTCGATTGGTGTAGTTTCTATACTTGAGTGTGGACTGCAATTCTTGATGTGTGTATAGTAGTTCATTGCAAACATCCAGTAGTCGTTTGGTAGTTTAGCATCGGTTAGTAGTGTCGCAATGCCTCTTTGTATAGTTTGATTGTAGCGTTCTGCGATGCCATTGGACGATGGCGCATATCCGGCAGTCTGTTCATCGATTATTCCATGTTTTTTGTAGTAGTTAATAAGACGTTCTGACATATACTCTTTTGCTCTATCTGAGTGTATCTTTTTAACTTTGTGGCCTGTTTGACGTTCGATTTCAGTGTGTAGTTTTGTGATGACGTCAAAGACTTCGCTCTTGTATTTGAGTGGAAAAGTCCAGGTATATCTTGTACATTCATCTATAATTACGAAGACGTATTTCTCATCCGTTTCTGTTTGGATGTTCATTAGGTCGGAGTGTAGTATGTGTAATGGTTCTTTTGCTTTATTGAGTTTCCCATCAAATGAAGGTTGGTTTGTTTTATTCATCTTGCAGCTGTCACAGTTTATCATTTGGTTGCGAGGAAATGTGATGTTGTAAAGTCTTTTCAACAGATTCCGGGTTGCCTGTTCGTGTAGGTGTGCGATTCTTGTATGCCATTGGGTTAATGACGCTTTCTTCATACGCGAAACCGAAAAAATATACTTTGGGACGTTATAAATTGAATTTACATTGAGTTTAAAAAGTAATTTTCCGTTTGTGAGTGGCACGTCGTACACGAGTTCTTCGTTACGACTGTTGTGGAAAGTTGCCCGATATGGTGGCTTGTAAAATAGATATAAATTGTATTTTTCGAGTAGCTTTTTCGATAGGATTGTTGAAGTGTAATGTGGACTATAGTACGCTTCTTTTTCGATCCAGCTGATTGTGCCGTTCTGATATCCTAGGTTGAGGTGCATTGTTCCAACGAGTGATGATTTTGCATCTCCGTTAATTGTGCTGAAGCATTCAGGAGTGTTGAGTTGTCTTACGTTAGTGAGTAGGTCTAGTCTGCAAGTGTATGTAACGTCTGAGCCTTGATCGAAGAGTGCGACATCAGGAGGTAAATGCCCCGTTAGTAATGTTTTATAGTTCTCAGATGATAATTGAGATTTATAGTTTGATGGTGTGTGTGGATTGTCGATGGAGCGGTGTTTCTCGAATGTATTGAGCTGTCTTTTATTCAAATGTTTGTTTTTAAGTTCTGGATGTAGGTGTCCGCATTCATTTTCTCTGTGTGTGTATGGTGCTTTCTAGTTATTGTTCAAACAGTAGGAGCATGATTTGGTATCGATTCTATTTAGTAGTTTGGTTATTTGGTTTGGTTCATGTTCTGGTGTCGTTCCGTTGTTGTGATTTAGCTGAGTGACTTGATTTACCAATTTACTGTTATTTGGTGGCTCTAATTTGATTTGTTTGTTATAGTCTTCCACAATTTTGTTTATTAGATCATCATAGCTAAGGTCGTCTGAATTATCGAAGTATTGACGTTTCATTGTTTTTAAATCGGTTGGTAATGCCTGTAATGCTCTGTATTTCAGAAGTTTTTCGTCTGTGATGATGCCTTCCTTTTGTAATTTGATGAATAACTTCTTTAAGTCCCTATAAAAGCTCTTGGCATCCTCTCCGTATGCAAATGTTCTGTTAATGAAGTCTGTGTATAGCGCTGCTATGTCTTCTTTTGGTTCGAATAGTTTACAGATATCTTGAAAAAGAGCGGAAGCATTACTTGTTTCAGAGTCTATGTCGATTCTGTTGTAGATATCGGTTGATATGGATTTTATTAAAATGTTGAATAATCTTCTGTTTCCTTTCTTATATATATTTTCAGCGTTGATAGTGTCTTCGTTTGATGGTGTAGTTTGGTCTATTTTCATTTGTGTCTCTTCTGAGTATTGGTTGTTTCTATTTATTAATTCTACAGCGTTTGATAAGTTGATTCTACCGTATAGAATGTCCGTGCTGTTTTCATCTTCAGCGAATATTTTAATATGGGCCTTCCAGTGTAAGAATTCTTCTTCTTTGGTTAATTTAATTATATCGAGTGGGTTGTTCATTTTTATTCTATGATAGTTGCTTATTTTTGAGTTATTGGAGCTGATAACTTGTTGGTTTGTAAATATCAAACACGCTTTATTATTGGTTGAAAAGTATTAAGTATAATGTGATCTTAAGTAGATAGCGTTTTTGGTACAAGATATGGTTTCTTATATAGTTTTCATTGTTGCCAGAATATCATTGTTGTTGGCCGTACATCCGCTTTTCTTGCCCGTACATCCGTTGTTATTGCCCGGTTATCTGAGCGTAATTGCCTGTTCCTCTTTTGTCCCTAGTTACTAAATGATGCTGTATGTCCAGCCCTGTATCCGTATTCTGACAGAATGGACACCTTCCACTGATGCCGAGATCGATACCCTGATAGTTGTGCGTCTGTGTGAGTGTACTACAGATTTGCTCGATATTGGTAATTGTAGGTTGTTCCTGCTTGAAAGCATAATAAAAGCGAAGTTATACCCTTAAAGACTATACGTGAAGGCATATCGCTAGGCCACTTTTTGGTTTGGAAATTGGACACTGATATCTGGTGGTAGCATGACCAAAGTGTTCAGAGAGACTGTTGTGGAAATTTGGGGATCCCGAGCGATTAATGTAGTGGCGACGTCCCCTCTCCTATGTAACTTATTTCATCTCATCATACTCAGGAACGATTTGCAATGAGTTAGCGAATTCAATTAAAAGAAGAAAAAATACTTAACTTTACACACTTATGACGGGCTCAATTCAGTCGAAAGCCTCAAACACTGCTGCTAGTTCTTTTACAAACTTAGGTGAAAAAGACACTGGATCTAGCCCAATTCATCATCAGTATGGTTTGCTTTCTGCGATATTCATTATAGTAAACTCGATTATCGGATCAGGGATTTTTTCAACACCTGCATCAGTTTACAAACATGCAGGTTCTGTGGGCTTGTCGTTAATGCTCTGGCTAGCAGGAGGATTTATATCCTTGTGTGGTTCATCGATGGCTTTAGAGGTGAGCCTGCTGGGTGATTCTTCCTGTAAACACTGACAGCCTTACAGTTTGGCACCGGTATACCTGTTTCAGGTGGATTGAAGAATTATTTAGAGCGTTCATTACCGAACAGGCGCCTTCTCGGTACTTGCTTTTACATTTTCTATTGCACCTTCTTGCAAGTTTCAACATCTTCAGCAATCTCATTTGCCAACTACATTCTCCTCGCGGCAGGACAGGAGGTCACAACTTGGAAGATGCGTGGTGTCGCTATTGCAAGTGTCTCATTTGCGGTTTTGATATTTGCTTTCTTTCCAAGAGCTGCGATGTATACAAACAATATGTTTGGTGCCATTAAGATTATTATGCTGTTATTTGTTATCTTCACAGATATGTAAAAGACTAATCTGAGCTGTGAAAACTCACAGAAAAACAGGATTTGCAGCATTGGGAGGTCACAACAAACTTGAAGAAAAGCCTGACAATTTCAATCCTAAAACATTATTTCAAGGCACAAAAACAAATGTATATGACATTTCAACAGCACTCCTGAATTGTATCTTCTCATATCAAGGATATGATCAGGTGAACGCGATTCTTTCAGAGGTTAGGAATCCAGAATCCAGTCAGAACACTTAAAATTGCCATGCCAGTTGCAATGGCGACCGTAACTATACTCAGTATCCTGGCAAATGTTGCTTATTTTGCTGGTGTATCGGTTGATCAGTTTCATGACAATGGTGTTACGGTAGCTGGGTTCCTCTTTCTTAACGTGTTAGGTGACAAAGCGGGAAATCAAGTTCTGCCTGTTCTAATCGCGTTATCAGCCCTAGGACATCTCATTTCAATGTCAAAATCAATCTCAGTAGTTTTGCAGGTGCTCGCTAAGGAGGATGTTCTCATATTCAACGACATTTTCACAAGCAGCAAACCGTTTGGAAGCCCACTAGCCGGCCTTGGTGTTGTGTGGGTTGTAACAATCATCTTTGTTTGTGCTCCACCAGCAGGTGAAGCTTATGACTTCGTGGTTTCGTTAAGTTCATATCCCTACACGCTTATGCTATTTTTATGTACGGTGGGAGCCGTTAAGTTGCGTTACTTCGATAATGATTGGAATCCGCCGTTCAAAGCACCAATTCTTGGACTCATTGTATTCATCCTTGCCTGTCTATTCTTACTCATCGCGCCTTTCGTTCCTCCAAAAGATAATGACTCAAATATCCCTTATTATTTGTCATCCGTGGTATCATTATCAATTACTCTGCTTGGAGTCGTTTGGTACTTTGTCAGATTCATCATTGCACCATTCCTGTTTCGCTACAAACTTGTTCCCAAGTACAAAGACCTTCCAGATGGATCTAGGATTACACGATATAAACGCATTAGTAAGTAATAATTGTATTTTTTGTAATATATCCTTTATAGACTGCATTTTTTATTATAGCAAGACTTTTTGGTTTAAGGGTGATGAACATTTGATAGCTCTTTGTCATATCTGCGATTATCATTACGAAGTCCTAAAAGGTATCAGCATAGCGTAAATTACAACGGTTTGCTTATTATCTATTAATCATAATTTTTTATTCGAATTGATAAGAATTAAGTCCAAAAAAGCACTTCAAATTAACTATTATGGTGCTGACGTCATTTGTAACTAACTACTCAACGACAATTCACGGAAAACCTGTGTAAGAAAGTCTTAATCTGTCCTTTAATTATCACTCATAACATGCACTCTTTGTCATATCATCATTAAATAATCAGAAATCGCGTCAAGTATCCAATTTATAGTATATCAAATCATCAGCTTTTCTCATACACAGCAAGAAGCACAAATTGGACAAATTCGCTCAGCTTCTTGACACATACACACATATCACACCCACACCTCCACAAAACACCTTTCCTAAGTCCGCTCTTACCTCAAATCGCCCGAACTACCAAAGACTGTTCAGGTACAAGGCGTAACCTACGTTGAAATCTTTATCAGAAACTCGATGAAGCTCGTAGCGGATAAAAGTACATACTAGTTGATATGTGTTTATAACCCATTCAAAGCACTCTTAAGTAGATTTCAGTTATCTCTAAATGTGAAAGAGTATTACTTCAGTACATAGTAAAAGTAAAGCATCCTTCATATTATGTTTTGGTAACTCTCAGCATCATCTCACTTCGTTATTCAGAATTTTTAAATTGTTAAACATTTATTTTCTCATATTAAAGTCTATATTCATCTATAACTTAGAAGCATTTAATTCCTTTTTACATCTATGATACTGACTGATTCAGATTATTAATTTAATTTATGCACAATATCATAATATAAAGTATCTTACCTTTTCTTCAATTGGTTTTTTAATTTCTTCTTTTCATAAGAACTTAGTAATTGCTAGAAGAATAAAAGAAGACTTAGTCCATAATAATAGCTCAGCAGAATCTCATTTTATCAAGATGCTCGAAACGTACTATCCACTGATAATATTTCTCTTAATATTCTGCATTAATCTTAATGCTATGCAGTTCCAGAAACGTATTGAGAAATTAGAGCTTCATTGCTTTGATAACAGTCTCACACACCAAAAAATGACAAATCCCGATTACAAAACTCAATCTGATTATCAGAAAAGTATTGAACAACCGTCCTTAAGCAATAATGTAGATCTCGAAACCAAAAGAAATACACCACTTGGTTCGAAAAAGTGGTTGACTCCTAAAATTATGTTGTTTTGCATTCTCGCAATAACGGCGTTAACTAATTATAATGTCTTTGATAACATAATTACCAGAGCTACACAAAAGACTAATGCTAAAACTTGCTTCCCACAGTACATAACTTTGGGAGACAATTTCTTTTTCAAATATGAACTGCGTGGTTCATGCGATGCGATCGACGCCGTTAAGCAACTTAAGGATCGATTGTATTTTGCTGTGTCACATATCCCTACAGAATACAGGCGCAATAACGCTGCATGTCTTAAACTTAGTTACGGCAATTATTGGGGTTATTTGGTTACCGAAGGCGCAGGTGACTCAGATGAAAGCGCTGCAGCCTGTGATGATGGTGCTGAAATGATATAGGAGGAGCATTTCGATAAACATTTTTATGATGTGAATAGAATAATGTTCTATATTTTCTTATGTTTCTATTAATATTTTATATATGCATCCGGCTTAAAGTATATATATTATAACCTGTTCACATAGAAATAGCATAATTATTAGTATAAAGAGGTATGCCACACTCTCCTGTAACATAGTCGTGGGGAGACGGTGAAAAATGCTTCACTCCTAAAGCCACTTTTGAAGTCCGACAACCGTTATGCCTTATGTAGAAAACACCCCCTGCTGATCTAAACTCTCCCATTTTAGTTAAAGCACATTCAATACAAAACTTCCGAGTTTCTTCTACAAAAGAGGCTCGGCAAGAGCAAGGAGATGTTACATCGAACCCTATTTCACCCTGATAGTACTTTCCATCGTTCGGAGATCTGTAGATGAACGGTATTGTACCACATGGTACTATAGTAAGATCACCTGAGTTAAAGTAAAGGTAGTAAATTATTTGTAACGCCAAGAGCGTAATGAAGATAACAGCAGAAATTCTTACATTTGCCCTACCTCTGATATCTGAAGTGATTCTTTTAGGTCTCCGATATTCTTCGTCAGAAGTCGGATACAAGATCTCTTCTTGTTTGCCCCAAATATCATCTGATACCATTTCTTAATTTCTTGCGCTGACGAGAGACAAATGAAATAGTAAAAATAATAAAAATGTAGCAGATAACATAATCTAAATTTGCTGTAAGACTAAAGAATACAAGACATTTTCTAGTTTCGTAATAACTGTTATAAAAATATCCCTCCTACATCTAAAATAAAAACTGGAAAGTAAGTCATTTTGGATTTCGGACACAAACGGCGTCACTTAATGGACAGATGCACAAGTAACACACCAATACTACATTAGAGATTAGAAGTACTGATGCTTTTTTAAGATATAAAGTGGTAAACTAGCATTTTTACTTTGCCCCGGCTGTGGCAACTTTGAGCCTATAAATTATCGATATTTGAGAATAAGCTATAGTATGGCTACTTGTTATTAAATAATTAAATGTAATTCGAGCCGTTCTATTGGAGGCTCTCGAAATCCATCAGAAACAAAACCAACTTTCAGCTGGCCATACCATGTATATCATTGTTCCATACATTCAAAATATGTATTTCAAGGTTTGATGTAACACCATAAATAGGGTTTAACGCATTGACACCTTGTCAGCATAACGTCTGGCAAATTGCATTACATCTGCAATTCTTAGGTCAATGATTTAACCTAATGCACTGTTCATAAATAATAAAAAAATATTTGCACGTTAAACGTGCTCCTCAATGGTCAAGATGTGTCATCCTTTTGCAGGGGCCATGCTAATCTTCTCTGTATTGTTCCAATATTATGTGTGCCGCGATGGGCATTAATGAGTGTGCTCTTAAATAGGCACAAATCACATTCTGACGTCATGACGAGAGTAAAGCAGAAGACATCATTTATTGTATTGTAAACGGATTGGATAGCAAGTAAACTCAAAACAGATGACCACACCTGTAAGCAATCGTATGATGAAATTACTAGACCTCAATTGAAAAACTGTATGTTGATAAATTTTTCATTATACCTATTACGACATGTGAACGAATCAGCAGTGTTACTATAAATATCTTTGCAGTTCGCTCGAATTTGAGTTTAAATATTTGCTCTAGACGTCCTCGTCGTCGATTCAGACCCCAGTTGGCGTGTTATCTGCTACAGAAATAGGGCAAATTTGTAAAATAGATTATCAATAAATATAAACAAATATGAACCTTGTAAGTATCACACAAGGTATCTAATATGTGGTTTGCTGTCCCCTCCTTCACCTATATCATATTACATTACTGATGTCACAATATTCTTAGTAGTATTCTATGATATAGTATACAATTGAGTTGTTAATCTACTAAAAAGTCGTGTCATACTAATAAGCCATGATTTATCGCATAGTTCATCTATCAACCTCATTAATGGTCACTAGGACCGCAGACGACACGATAAACACATGGAATCGCTAATTACAAAATACACATGCTTTAAAATACATTAAACATATTCATTTCAGAATCCCGCTATCTTGCACCTTAACCGTCACCAACCGAGAAGAGAATGAGAGCAACGAGGATAGTACTAGAGCATGTCCATACACCAAGGATAAGATTCTTAGGTAGAAGAGTTTGGAATAGCCGTGAGATTATATCTATACGCTCCCCTCTCTATTAACAATCCATCAGAACCAGAGAAACCACAGCCACATCCAGAAGCGCCAAAGGATTTCAAGGATAACTTTGCACAATTCGTACAAAAACGTCAAGATTACGTACAACCAAGTAAAAACAACCATATCAATTTCTGGGAACTCCCTGATCGTTTCCATAAGCATAAGTTTGCACCATATAGCGATTACGAGATAGAAGCTATTGAGGTAAGTATTGTGTTTTATATCGAGAAAGTTCTAACAAGAACACACACAGTCCGGTGGTGCTTCTCTTTATTAATGAATCCATGAATGAAATTTAAAGTATAGAATACATCTCTATTTTCTGATTATTATTAAGGAAAAGAAATCTATAAAATCCAATGCTCATTATGTTTTGAAAGAATGAAAAATCTCGTTGAATTGTCGATCAATGACTAACTCGTGGAGGATGTATCTGCGCATGAGAATGGCCTGCCGACAGCTCCCTGATCGAATTGCTCTTTGATTGACATGCCAGAGGCATACAAACCGGCGGCAGTGATAAGCAAGCCAACCAGAAGCATGAAGATATTAATGGAGGCCTTAATCCAGTGCCCCTTGCTAGTCTTCTTGAAGCCATCAATCCAACTCCTGTTGGGCTCGGCTGGCCACCACTCCCAGAACCAAACGATTGCGTTAAACCAAATGCAGAAGAATGAAGAGAAAACTGAACCTATTAATCCAAGTAAAGAATCGAAGAATGGAATGACTGATGCAATAATGAAAGCAAAAATACTGCAAGCTGCAGCGCAACTTATCCATACCAACCAAAAAACCCAATTGTTTGTTTTAAAGTTTTTATTGTTACGCATCGTCTGTACAAAGACAGCTTTACTAATACTGTGACAGATATTTGCAGCTCCAGCTACAAGACCTGGAAGTGCTACACCATAAGCGATACGCTTAATGAGTTGACCCGCGCTACCGAGTGCGGGTGAAGCGACATATTGGCCGGTGTAATAATAAACAACGAGACCTAATGCGATATAAACAACGGTGATACTACCCTGACAAACGTAAAGAGCCTTTGGGAAGTCCTTAGGTTCACGCATCTCTGGAACTATAGTGACGAACATTGGACTGGCGGCGTAGGCGAAAAGAAGGTTGACAATTGCAAGGAAAGCATTAGCGAAGGTTGTTTGGTGTGTTGCTGCTACTTCTTTATCGTATGGACCAACTGATGGTGCGGCTGCAGGTCTATCCGGACCAACAGCAACAGCAATAGTGAGTATCATGACTGATGCAAGGATACTAACAACACCGGCCCATGCTAACCATGAGAGCATCCTGTATGTTCTGAAGGACCCAATAATTGTAATCAAAACGAGACCAACGAATGTGAAAACAACAGTGCAAGTACCGTGGGCAGTAATAGCGTTAAATGCTATTGAAATTGACAATAATTGAGCACCTAAAACGAAAGCGATGTAAAGAATGTAAAAAGAATAGAGCGCTATTTTTGCCGGTCTACCACCCATAATCATCGCTATATCCGGTACAGAATGTGTCGATTTATGGTTGTTGCGGAATTCGTAAGTAATGATAGAACCCCAAGTGGTTAATACGGCCATAACTAAAAGAATAATTACACCAGGGACGGCTATAGATAAAATTAGAGGACTTTCCATTGGACAGAGAAGACTTACCTCCGAGAGAGGCGAATGCAGCCGGTACAGAGAGGATACCCAAACCGAATTGGATCTTTGTCATAACTATAGCGGCCATAGGCCAGTGAAGAGTTTTAAACTCCATTTCACCCTCGTGGGTCTCAAATACAGCTTCTTCTGATTGTCCTTGGGACGACTTCTCTGTATCATCTTTTCCCGAGTGAGCAATGTGGGACTGTAGGTTGGTTAGGTTAATTTGTGTATTGTATAGCACGAAGTGCCACTCACCCCCACTACATAGTCGCTCTCCTTGGAGGTCATGGTTGAAGGAGTGTTCATGTGAGCATTCGATTGGAAATATCGACTGAATATTCTCACAACTGTTATTTATAGGTCTTATAGAAATATATCTATTTATCCTTTTTCAGTAATTTTATAGACATTCGCATGTCCAGCTGATGCAGCCCGAAAATATTTTTCTTTATCCGAGAGGCCGGTGAAGCATTACATATATATACAATGGGGTAATTACGATTGCATATATATATCTGTACTGTTGGTGGCTTTCATTGTCGGTCCGAAAAATCAGTGAGTGTGATATAATGTTATTAAAACCCAGGCAAGTATAAATTGAAACAATTTATCGATGTTTAGGCATTACAAAATCGCGCTGATAGCTGGATGACCAGTTCCTAGAGATTATCGTTCAAAAGTTATGTTGGCACCATCTGCGGCAATTTTCCCGATTATTTTAATTGAATTAAGAGTCTAAAGTAATATAGATATTATATACACATACATGTGCACTTCGCTCACCGTGCTTAACTGGAAAACCAAAGTGGCAATATCTAAGACACAGTTACTCATACATAAAACGGACTAAAATAATCTAAGATGACCTTCATATATATTTAACTTCCCTTTCTTTCATACCATCATCTTATATACCCAAGAACCTTTATGGCAGCGGGAAGCAGGCCAACTGAGAGGGATATTGAAACTGGTCAAACGATAGAATACACAAGATGGCATAAAATTGTGGAAAAGTTTCTCCATCTGTTATTTCCATTTATTAGATTATCAGAAGAACATTTTTCCGAGCTTAGGTCTGACTTTCAAGATGGCTATATTGAATACCCTGGTGATAAATATAACACGATAAAGCCTACTTATGTTCTCACATATGCTCTATTTGTTTGGCTTCTACGCGGGATGACGATGAAACTTACCACGGAAAGTGAGGAGATCAATGTACAACCAATCACAGACCTACCATATTGCTTGATTGAATTAGATATGGAGCAACTTACGCCTAAACATCCACTTACGGAGGATATTTTAAAAGATTTCGCCAATCGTAACATCCAGGGGACTTGCTTTCTCTTTCATGTTACAAACGCGACTGTGACGAGATTACGCAAGGAGAATGACAAACTTTATGAACATTTCACACATAGGAGGTACAACAATTACGGTGATCATGAACATAACATGCCAAAACTACTCTTCATGGCTCTCAAAGAGGAGTTAGCAGGTGTAAGGTATTTAGTTGGTGAAGAGATTAGTTACAAACCGCATCAAGCGAGCGTGCAGGTGTTTAGTATGGGAACATTCACACTTATGTATTTTCGTTTCTGTCAGGGTGCTGCTCTGATGACTTCGTTGGTATTGACTGCTATTGGTGGGTAGATATTACTCGAAAGGATTGTCTAATTACCTTGGTAGCCGGTATATTACCCGTATGGGATGAAAACAAGCAGATTAAAATAGCAAGCGTTGTTCTTGCAGGCTGCGGTGGTGCACTTGCAATCATACAATTCATTACCACGCGTTCCTTTGAGTTGACCTATGGTATAGACCCTAAGGCTGCATTAGCAGATAACCCAATATTCGTTAGAACCGATTTGGGTGTCATGCCTGGAGAGACTGTCAGAAGTTGGAAAGCCGAGCAAGTGAGGTTGTTAAAATTCCTCGTTATTCATCAAGTATATACCGTAAAAGGACGCGCATATTGTGTATTCAGAGCATTAAATGCTTCTGGACCAGTAAGTGCTAGTTGCAACTTGGGTGTCACGCCGTATGCATTGATGAATGCACTACCAACATTTTTCAGCGATAAAGGCAGTCGCAAGCTGGCCGCCCTTCCTGATCCCTATAGTGAGAGGTATTGGGAAGCGGGTAAATCGCACATCCATTCAAATACGGTTAATAGTGCCTCTGCGTCGCTATACCACCATTCACAATTCAGATTGATTAGATAGTCGTCGTCTATTAAATAATTGTACATTGCTTGCTATGCATTTTAGAAGTTCTTATTGAGTAACCATTCTCTCATTTGATGCGTATAATCACCTGTTATATAGATCTGATTCTTTGGTAATTTCAACTTTATATCCAATTGTGGGTAATCAGCAAGGATATCCTCTTTTAATGACTAGTATGATATGTTAGATGTGTTAGACGTAAGCTACCCCCACAAACCTTGCTATCACCATCTATTTTTCTGATTATCGTTGAAATTTGATTACCACGCTTGTATTCAGTGTATACAGGAAGGTTATTAGTACGTGATCTAGCAACGTAATATAATTGCTGCTGTGTTCTCAGTATATTTGATATTTTCATCTTCTTGACGGTCAAAAGAGAAGGTTTAGTAGTTACCATCAGGAAAAATGCAAAGGAGTTTTGTTAATTACTTTCAAAAATCAATAATAAATAACGCAAAAGCTAAGCAATCTGCTAGAGTTTCGGTCATTGATGCTTGCACACAATTGAAGCAGACAGACAGTAAACGCCCATGGTCAGCTTATGAACTTGTTGTTGTTACAAAGAAAGAGAAGGGTCATATTCCACTTAGAGGTATGGTAGAGTTACCTCACGATCCACGCAAAACTAGGGAAGTTGTATTGGTGTTTGCAGAGGGTAGGCAAGAGTGTGTATATGTCTATATCACGCTAATTGCCTTTACAGGAGCTGATGCAAAGGCTGCTAAGGAGGCAGGCGCAGATATCGTTGGTGGTGAAGAGTTAGTTGGTGATGTGAGTATCCTTACCTAGGAATAACCTTTCTGTAACTCCTCTATAGCTTCTCTCCGGTAAACAAGCACTCCCTACGAAAGCACTCGCACATCCATCACTCCTTCCTCAGGTACAGAAAAACCTCGCTAGAATGCTTGGTCCAAAGGGACTGATGCCAGCTGAGAAGAGAGGCACAGTAACAACAGAGCTCGCTAAAGCAATAAACGAAGCTAGAGGTAAAGTTACATGGAGAGGTGATAGAATTGGTGTAGTAAGATTAGGCGTTGGTAGAATACAATTTGATAGCAACCAAGTTGAAGAGAACATTAAGAAGTTCATCGATGGATTAAGGAATGGTATGATTATTGATACTGCACCTGGACAACCTAGGCGATGTAGGTGATTGTTTTTGTAAGCTACCTAATTGACACACCACAGTGACAACAATAGAGAAGATCTACCTCAGTAGTACACAAGGTAGAGCATACGAATTAAAGCTGTAAACTTATAAATGAATAGATTTTATTATCCTTATTTTCCCATATACGCGTCATCGAACTGTTCTTTGATTAATACAATCATGGTGTTAGAAGCCTCATTTGTACTGTGAGTATAGCTTAATTTAGTTTATTACTTATCTAAGAACACCATAGCATTGACAACTCAGAGTATATGAGAAATGGTGATATCCTCCCAAATAGATTTCAAGCACAAGTCGACGGAGTAGGACTACTAGCTCAAGCAAAGATGAATATGAATCCAGAGAATACCGTTGGTTTAATGACAATAGCTGGCTCCTCCCCTGAGGTTTTAGTGACGAGTACAGCTGATGATGCAAAGATAATAGCTTCGATGCACGACGTTAAAATATCTGGAGAATTGGATTTCATACACGGTCTGCAAGTCGCACAATTAGCACTCAAACATCGTCAAAATAAAGTACAAAGACAACGTATCGTCGCATTCATTGGTAGCCCTATAAGTGAAGACTCAAAGGAACTTGAAAAGCTTGGTAAAAAGCTGAAAAAGAATAACGTCGCCGTAGATTTAGTAGTTTTTGGTGAGATAGATGAGAATCAAGAAAAGTTGGAAAAGTTTATACACACCCTTGGTGGCACTGATAACAATAGAATACTCATAGTTCCACCTGAGAATAGAACAATTTTGAGTGATTACTTGATTAACTCACCTATCGTTAGAGGTACAGTTGACCCAGAGGAGAGTGGTCCAAGTAATCCAGCACCATCTGGCTTCGAATTCGGTGTTGACCCATCACTTGATCCAGAATTGGCTATGGCATTGCGTATGTCCATGGAGGAAGAACAAGCGAGACAGACGGCAGGTGATCAAGGCGCTGAACAAAGCACCCAAATGGAGGACATAAAGGAAGAGAAAGAGAAGGATGAGAAGGGCACTCAAGCTGAGAAAGACGTTGAGATGTCAACAGCTGATCAACCACAATCAAAACAGGAAGAGGATACAACAATAGTAGATGCAGACGATGCAGATGACGAAGAAGCTGAAATACAAAAAGCAATAGCAATGTCAATGCAAAACGATAACCAAGAGCAGAAATAAAATACACAATAATATCATTTGATGTTGCATTTTGACCATTTTGAGGTATTTGCGAGCTTTCCTGTGAGTAGCGGTTGTGGTGGTTTTGTGTAATCGTATGTGATTTTCCTAGCTGGCTGGTCATTGTAGGAATCTGGTTTGTAGACGTCCTTGAGTGGTGTATCAAAAATGGCCTTGAAGGATACATTCGATGGGGTATTTTTTACACGTTTGCGTAATCTAATGGGTGTTCTGGGGTTTTTAAACGTTTTGATAACAGGTTTTTGATAAAAATTTTCCGAGACCTTCTCCTTTGACGCTTGTTTGGCCTTTCTCCTCGCATCCTTTGTGACTTGAACGTGAGATTTCCAGTGAGCTATCAACCTCGGATGATTCTGTTTCCTCCATTGGATAGATTTCTCCCTCATTTCATTCCTCTTTTGATGGAGTCTGCTAAAGCGCTGGAGGTCCTTTATCGAGAATTTCATTTGAGAGCGCTTATAATCATCATCTAGTTTGCTTAATAGGTATTGTTTGTATGAGAGCAGATTGTGATAATAGTCGCCACTATAATGCAAATCAAGCGATCTAAAGAAGTCTGCTTCAAAAGATAAATCTTGCAGATTAGAATTTACTAGCCTCAATGCGGCTAATCGCTGGTGTCTCTTTAATAATCTCCTTCTAATCATATAATGTATCTCAATCGGCTGAGGTTTAATTCTAGGTAAAGGTGGATTATAATAACTTGGATATAATAAACTACCTGTTAGTCTATACTTTAAATGACTATTTAAATTAAATAAATAATTTGCATATCTTTTTTCATAAAATATTTTGTTCATTGGGCTGCTATTCAGAAACACCCAAAATGGTACAAATACAAGAACTCAAAAGTGAGGATGAATTCACCGACGAAGAATTTGATAGCGAAATTGAAGAGGAATTAGACGTTGAAGATGAATTTGATCCTAGCGATGAAAGCCTCGCTGATAGAATATCCGCATTGAAGGATATCATTCCATTAGAGACTAGAAATTCAATCAAAGAGAAGTTCACTAACAGTGTAGCATTCACAAGAAAGTCTTCAAAAGTATTAGGAAATCTCATTTGGATCGTCACCACATCTAGCTTGCTCGTTGGATTGCCATTAGCATTGGCTATTGAAGACGAGTCAAGAATTTCAATGGAGGAGAAATCCTTATTAGCCCAACAATCTGGACAACAAGAGATGTTAGGAGAAGAATCCAAACAACAGGGTGTAAGTTATTAGCCACTTCACTTCTCACTTCTCACATTCGTCATAGATCGTCGCACCCGGCTTTTAATCTTTCTTTGTTACCTCCATGTTTAAATTAAATAAGTTTAAAAATACGTTAAATTTAAGAAATTTAAGAAATATTTACACTCTATCATCTGATGAGTTGTTATTGAAAGATTCAAGTTAGTCTGTGATATAGTCACCTTTCATTAATGTAACAGCTCTATAGTTACGAAGCTAGCAAATAACGACGTAAGACCTCTAGTCAGACATATGGATGAGGCTGAGCAGATGGATAAATCCATTATAAACAAGCTATTCAATAATGGTGTATGTAACCGTTGATAGCCGGTTATACCACATTGACACTTACAGCTCATGGCTATCGAAGTTGACTCCAAGTACGGTGGCTCAGACTGCTCATTCATGTCTGTCATCCTCACCATAGAGGGTTAGTTGTCTTAACTTTCCCTAACCCCCTCTCTAACATACAACAGAACTAGCAAAGGTAGACCCTTCAGTTAGCGTCATGTGTGACGTACAAAATACCCTCGTTTGTACCGTCTTCAACAAATACGCTACAGAGAGTCAAAAATCTCACTATCTACCACAACTTTCGACAGACAAGATCGGCTCGTTCTGTCTTTCTGAACCTGCATCGGGCAGTGACGCTTTCGCTCTACAAACTAAGGCTACAAAGGTAGATGGTGGTTATAAGCTCAATGGTACGAAAATGTCCGTTTGAATTGTCTATGGTCACCAACACTGACAACTACCGAAGGTGGATCACAAACGCTGCAGAAGCTGAAATATTCCTTATTTTCGCAACTATCGACCCTTCCCTTGGATATAAAGGTGTGTCTCGACTGTTTGTTCACTGTACAACTTCTCATGCCCCCAGGAATCACTTGCTTCATCGTAGACAAAGAACAAGGCGTTGAAATCGCTAAAAAGGAGCAAAAGGTGTGTGTACACATAGACTATGGCAAACACTTACGACCCTTCAGCTGGGTATCAGAGCATCATCCACTTGTGTGCTCAACTTTGACGACTTATTCGTCCGTGATGACCAAGTCATGGGTGAAATCGGCAAGGGATAGTAAGTCCATACTGTTCTATTGTTTCTGCTAACAATACTTCTAGCAAGATTGCCATTGATATACTCAATGAGGGTGAGTGAAGCGTCTCCGTCCTTAATTTATTCGTTAATTCTCCGCAGGTCGCATTGGCATGTATGTCTTACTGCCACTATACATCCTTACTCACACTATTCTCTCAGTGCGGCTCAAATGATCGGCCTCGCACAAGGCGCTTTCTCTGCTTCTGTGCCATACACATACCAACGTAAGCAATTTGGTAAGCCAGTCGGTGAATTCCAAGTAAGACTTTTTATGCTAATATAAATCATCTAACAAATAAAACCCAGGGCATGCAATTCTCTTTTGCTGAAGCATATACCCAAATTGAGGCAGCGAAACTCCTAACATATAGTGCGGCAAGGTTGAAAGAACAAGGTGAATCATTCACGAAGGAAGCCGCAATGGCAAAATACTACTCGTCCAAGGTTGCCCAAGCTGTCTCAGGTAGTGCCATTGAATGGGCCGGTGGTGTTGGTTTCACTAGAGAAACTGGTATTGAGAAGTACTGGAGAGACTCAAAGATCGGTGCCATCTACGAGGGTACCAGCAACATTCAGCTCAATACTATAGCTAAGTTCATTCAAAAGGAATATAGTGATGTATAAGGTGTTACAAGTGTTACGACCATCACGAGAAACTATATATCAACGAATGTAATTTTTCATGAATGTTTTTATGACAACAATAATGAGTAACCTGACTCATAATACTTCCCTGAAGAACTTTGAAAAATTCATTTTAGCCCCTTCTAATAGGCTTAACTTTTGTCTTATCAAATTCGACAAACTTTTCGTTACCAACCTTGGTAGACAAATTGAATGCTCTTTTTGGGGTTTCACTTTTGCTCAAATCAATAGACATACGCTTTGATCTTAGAGTTGAGCTTCTGTTCTCCCTTGCAGCTATAGATGGGCTATTGATCGATTTGACTGGTATGGATAGTGTGCGCTTGTGTCCTGGTGTGTTTGCAAATGTATCTACCGAGGGGCGTCTAGTAGGTACCTTCTCGTTACTTTCTTGGCTCTCACTGCCAGTTCTTAATCTACTCGCACGTGTTTGTCGAGGTGTAATTGATGGTGCCTTTACACTCTTCACATCTAACGCTAAAGACTGACGTTTATGCCCAGGTGTATTACCAAAGTCAACAGGTGTACTACTCGTGCGCCTTCTTTGAGGTGTTGATGTTTCGGTTTCTGAACCGCGACGAAGGTGTGAAGCCCGTGTCTGACGTACTTCAAACTTAGGTGTTGATAAAGACTTCGGTGTGGGTATATTACGACGTTCTTCGTTCTCCTTGGATGTGCTGCTCAAACTCTCACGTGATGTCGTACGCTTTGGTGGTGGTGTGATACCCATACGTAACATTGCAGCTCTACTCAATTGTGGTTGAATACTAGGACGACGATTGGTTGAAGGAGCTTTACGAGCTTTGAAAGGTGTGTTTGTCTCAGATATCGCGTCCAATGAGGAACTCACTGAGAGTGACTTCAATTGCTCATCTATCGCGTTATCAGTCGTATCTGACACGATATTCGCGTTCGGGTCTTCGTTTGTGGTATCTTCGCTCTTATCATTTTCTGCGCCTTGGTTGAGTATACCTCCAAATGCGGTGTCAATGAGTGCACGTCCTTCTTCTGATTCAACGGTTTGTTGTTCAACTAGGTTTGCAGTTTCATTCAATGGTTCACTCAATAAAACTACTTGTTTGTCATTCAATCTACTTGATTTACCCTCTTCCACTTCAATTGGCTCATTGAGTATAGCCACGTGCTTTATCTAAAGAGTACAAATTAGTGTTTGTTAGTGTAACATCACATTCCACTCACGCCCTCCAATATTGACGCCTGCGTCATTTTATTATTAAGTTGTGATGATAGAATTTAGCAAAGACGGTCTAAACGCAAACACAAGCTAACAAAGAGGGAAATGTAAAAAACCCCGAATTTAGAAATATTATTTAACTTTCTACATTTCATTAGCTCATCTAATAATAAATGACGTTTGTCTGTCTGATATCCAACTATTGTGGCTTCGTGGATTATACGGACATAACAATTAACAATCATGTCTGGACCATTTGAACAAGGATACTTACCTGAAATAAACTTCCAAAACAAACCTGGATTAGAGGCTAACATGCCTTCTAAACCTGTCTACGATAGGCTTCCAGGTGGGCCATACAAAGCAGCTGGTAAATTAGAAGGCAAGGTTGCATTAGTAACAGGTGGAGATAGTGGAATTGGTCGCTCTACTTCCTTCTTGTACACCCTCGAGGGTGCTTCATTAGTGTTTACATACCTCCCACAAGAAGAGCGCGACGCTAAGGACACAATTGCAATCATTAAGGAGCGCAAAAGTGATGCCAAAGTACACGCTATTTCTGCAGATTTGAGGAAAGAAGAGGAGTGTATCAGAGTTGTCGAAGAGACTGTCTCAACTTTCGGCAAGTTGGATATTCTTTTTAATAACCATGGCACACAAACTATGATTTATGACATTAAGGACATCACTACTGAACAATGGCATGATACTTTTAACACCAATATTCATCCACTTTTTTACCTTTCAAAGGCAGCTTTAAAGCACATGAAGGAGCACAGTGGTGCGACCATATTAAACAATGCATCTATAAATGCCTACATTGGTAGACCGGATTTATTAGATTACACAGCGACAAAAGGTCTGCTTTAATTCTCTTTTGCTGCTGCAAATTTTCTGACAAAACCATAGGCGCTGTTGTTAGCTTTACGAGAGGTCTTGCCAACCAATATATAAACAGGGGAATAAGAGTGAATGCTGTTGCGCCAGGTCCCATTCAAGCTCCATTAAGGGAGTCGACTATGGAAAAACCTGCACAAGAGGGTTTCAGTACTCCTATGGGTCGCCCTGGTGAGAGTATTGAAATTGCAACGGCAGCTGTTTTCCTCGTTTCGAATGATTCAAGCTTCATAACAGGTGCGTTCTTGATTTTTGTGTATTATTATTTCTAAAATATCCTATAGGTCAAACTATTCACGTCAACGGTGGCTCTTTCACCACAAGCTAAATTTAATCTAATTTATAGTATTTATGATATGATATGATTTGTGTTTACTCAAATTGTCTTACTTCGTTGCAGAATTATTTGCACTGGAGAGAGAATGGTATTCAAGCTACTCATACATCCAGAAATTAAACTTGTCAGCATGATCACATTCTTCAACTTTGATGGTTAATGAAGTAACGTATCTCTCGATATATCATTTACATCATTCATAAACCCACAAAACATCTTCTAGTCTAGGACATTCCAATAGAAGTGTAATAATCACCCTTTGTTTCATCAAGAGACATGCTTTAAATTCAATGTCGCTTATTGTACTAGTAACTATTGAATGCCTATCATGCTGATAAGAAATATTTTTTTAATATTTTCTAAACGGTGCTATCTCCCTGATTCTCCATCATTTAAATCCCTATCTCACTACTTATATAATTACGATATTGGGATTTCGTTGAATTTAATAAGATTTATGAGCTAAAGTGTTAGTCTTTAGTTTTCCTCTAGAACAGTCTGATTATTTTTACATACAATCTTCAATGAAATTATGGCGATGGTCAGTCACCCCGGTAAACGGTTTATACTCATTGCTATAATATAAAAGAAGCCTTTTCACAAATCTCTAGACGACTTACGACATTAATAGATTAAAGGCCATTTGACAGCGATTAATGTAATGCTCAATTAGCACAAAAAGGAGAACGAAGATTTTCTAGTAAACTGCATGATGAAGACTTCGATTAAATACGCCCCATAAATTGCATCTCACACATTTTACAAAGTTAAGGGAAAAAATAATTTGAAATGAAGATAATCCATATAAAACTCGGCAAAACGAAGGTCCTGCCCGGATTCGAACCAGGGTTGGGTGAAGTCACCTTGTTCAAGGTCATAACCACCAATTTCTGAATTGGTACTCGTAGAAGTAAATCCAAATGATCAGAAGTTATAAACTGAAAATCAGAATCACCAGTGATAACCACTACACTACAGGACCGTTGGCTTCGTCTTTCATTGATATATACTTGAAGGCATTCGCATTTAATTTTTAATTTTTGTAGATCGTCTGCGAAGGGAAGAGAAAGAGGGACATCTATCATGGAAATCTGAAAATTGCTGGAGGGACCTAAAATTTTTTTAGCTGAATATTCAGGCGTTTTATTGTACATGAGAACTTTCTAAAAGAGATGTACTTTCCAATTGTACTGATGAGTGTTATAATAAAATACTTCTCAATTGTTTATTAGCATAATCCTATTCCCCATTGTCACGCTACTTCTTCCTCTGAGAAATAATTTACTGTATGTTCATCCGACACAAGTGATAAAAGACAGACAGACAAGAGCCGTGGTGACGAGTTTTGTCTTCAGTATCCCGGATAAATAATATTTTATTTACTTCGTAATCACGCGAGTAAGGGTTCGATTAGAAAAGTTGTATCTTCAGATTGATTGCAGGTTGGTTAGAGTTGGAACTTGATAAAATTGATCGGTTCATAAGAAAAGAGAAACAGCTACTTTTGTTGTCATAATAAACCGATCTTCCTATTTATATAGTTATTATTCTCAGAAGAAATGTCCGTGAAGGTAATTCCGAGATTCTATACAGTATAACTGAAAGTAATTTATCCGCTCGACGTAGAATAATGGCGCGTTTATATATTAGTCTATATAACCCAACAAAGCTAAGACATAATGGCATCTTGTACTATTTAAGAATAAATGGAGTAAGTTACACCGGATATCTCTATGATTGTGTTGAATATCAAGTGCATCATTTTTTGAAGGCACGAAATGATCTAAAGTGGATACTGAAAGACAATCTGCATCTCAGTGTACATAGCCATAGCGTAATCTACTTGAAAGTTTGTAATAATATCCTACTTCACTCTATGCAGACCATCCGATATGACATGTTTCTCATTTCAAGATCTAACCACCTGATTGAACGGAACGATGCAAATATGTAGTAAAATTATCCTAATGCTACTTAGTTAATTTACGACAAATCATTCATCAATTTTCGCAGTGTAACTGACGAGTCTAGGATACCCGCTTCGGGACGCGAAGTCGATTTGGTGGGAAGTTGAAAATGTGAGCTGCGAAGAAGTCAATTAATGAAAAGCTAGATAAATTATAGGGTGGAACAGTTCTTAAGTACATTTATTTAATTTCTATCAACCATATGGCGTCATCAAACACTTCCGAGTTCTTCAATTGTTACGTCCATGAATGAGCAAACTAGGCCAAGAGCAGTAGGTATATTCTGTTATTCGATATAGCTATTAATACAGTCAGTGTGATGCTTGTAGGAGGAAAAAGATTAAATGCGTGATAACAGAGGAGCATAGCAGCTGTTCACATTGTTCAGCTAGAGGAGATAACTGCACATTCGATCATCCCACTCCATTCAGACGTCCGAAGCAGGCGTACGTCGCAGCTATCGAGATGCGAGTATCAAAGTTGGAATCATTAGTAGCTAGATTGGCACCCGCAGGATTTGACTACATGAAAGAAGTTGGACCACCTATCACAGCGGAGTCCTTTGATAACAACCCAACTAAGACGAGAAAACGTAAACAATCAGGCGATATAGCCAAGATTCCAGTTGAAGATGACGATGACGCAAGCGATGCGGAACTCTTGGAAGTAGAAAGGAAGTTTAGAAAATGCCTGTGTATAAACGACCCAGTTCCAGATTTACAGAGATATTACGGTCCAAGTAGTACAGCTATTTTGTTCACTGCTGCTCAAGTATACGGCGGTCAGCTAGATGATAACTCCAAGGCGTCACTCCTGCGACCGAGATTCTGGCAAGACAATGAGCGTATAGCTGAGGAAAAGATGGATGATGATATTTTACCGATTTTACCAAGCGACTATCCAACTAATCTTGATAAACTGGTAGAACTCTATTTTGAACACGTTAATAGCTACTTCCCATTGTTACACAAGGAGACTATAATCCAGGAACTTCAATTTAGGAAATTAGATAGAAGCTTTGCTGGAGTTATTATGTTGATATGTGCTATTGCAAGCAAATTTAGCGACGACCCTAGTGTGTTATCAGTAGATAATGACAGCCTTTCTGCTGGCCAGAAATTCTACAAGACATATAAACTCAAATGCAGGAGAAACCAGTTGGCTGCACCATCATTGAACGATATTCAATCTCAAATCGTGAGTCAATCGTTAAAAAGTAGGTGTTTCTAATATAATCGTAGTTGCTACAATGGTACCTACAATCAACGCCGTTCTCAAAAGCCAGCTGGTGTATAAATGGTTTGACCTTCTCGTACTTGCAAGATAAGGGTTATCACAAGAAAACATCTTCGGATGACTACGTAGATGATGAATGTGAGTAGGACTATTTAGAGAAGAGAGCTTCTCTCAAAGTAGCTCAGTAAAGCGCAGAGCATTTTATTGCGCTTTCGTTCAGGATAAATCGTTATCAGCGTTGCTTGGACGGAGCGCGATGATGCATAGGCATTTCGACGTTCAGCAGCCTAGTGCATTACCTGATGAAGTCGGTACATCAATGGAGCTGTCTATCAAATATTTTAAAGAAATAATCAAACTCTATTCCATACAAGATGAAGTACTTGAAGCTTTGTATGGTACCAAAAAAGTTAGCTCGCATTTTCCAGAGGACAAGGTCAAAGAATCAGTAGCTAAGATTGCTCAGCTGAACGACAAGTTGTATAGGTGGTCTGAGGATATCGATTTGGAATGTGAGCATTACTTACTTGTAATTTCGTCAACTAAACCATCTGTAGTGAAATACAATTGTGGGTCCGCTTTGGTCACCTTTTTACACTATCATTGACATTAATCAGCTAACTGCACTGATGATTTCACGCATTCATTGATGTCAAACTTACGAATTGCGTATCACATTCTGCAAATATTCACGTATAGGAATTTCATAACGATGCCTCGACGCTCTACATTCAGATCAACGAGTTTGTCAGTTGCAACGCAAGCGAGTATCAACTTGTTAAACATTTGGTATGCTAAAGCAAAGAGAAATAAACAACATAGCTTTGTCGATATGCTGATAGCGACTAGTGTGGGTAAATAATTCTTGTGAAATTATAAAACTAACATGTTATAGCCATTTGTTGTTTGTTTAGTGTTAGTAATTAGTGCATGTGAATGTCGAAAATACGCTGGAGAAACCGCAGATCTCTTGGAGCTTAAGTATATCGAAATTGGATTGAGGTTATGTAGAGAGGGAGAAAAATACAACTATTACAGTGGTAAAGAGAGTGATTTACTCATACAGTTGCTACATATGTGCAACTTACATGTCGATGTAAATAATCTTCCAGTTGTCGAAGAATATGAGAATGTTAGTGATATAATTACACGTAACTTAATCTTATCTGACAATCGTACAGACTAGTAGTGGCAGTAGTACATTCAGTTTAGATACACCACCTTCAACTGAGCATACTCAACGACTTTATCTCGATCTTCTTGGATCGATCAACGCGAATGTAGATGCGCCAATGAAGGAAGGTAATACTATGGCTACGGTTGACAACCTTGATAGCATATTAAATGACTATCCTGTCACAAATACAGTGTGAGTGAATTAGTATTGAAAGGCCTTTTCGCTAACATTCTTCAGTGACGAGCAATGGAGATCATTTATTAACACGTTAGATTTCTAAGAATGAATTTAAGCTGAATTTATATAAAATTAATGACTTTAAATAAAAAAAGCAATATGAATATGAATTTTTACAGACTAAACGAGAGTGTTATAAAAAAGGAAATGAAAAAAGAAAAGCGAAATCCTTCTAATTAGATGTGTATAGTGAGGTTGTGGAATAAAGATTTTATGAACTAAACTTTAGTTAATGAAAATTTTGAATGAATGAAATCTTGTGAATTCAAATAAAATCTTCTAGAATGAGAAGTTCGCAGTTTGCTTACGTCTTGACGAGGATGATGATGGATTGATAAGCGCTGAACTGAAGAAGAGACCAACAGTAAGACCGTTCGCAATACTGATAAGGTTTTGGGCGATTGCTTGCGTAGCACTAGCATTTGTACTATCACCACCACTCGAAACAAGACTCATAAGGCTTTGGGCGATTGCTTGTGTAGCACTGCCGTCCGTACTATCACCCCCAGCAATGCTGGTAATATTTTGGGCGATTGCTTGTGTAGCGTCCGTAGTAGCACTATCGTCATTGCCAACATCAGCGAAACTGAGAAGACCGAATTGACCGAAACCAGATGGAAGAACGAAGAGAATACCTGGAACCATCAACACATATGCAGACATAGTTGTGAGTCTACCGATGATGTTACCGATGATACCAACAGTGAAACTGGAGAGTGCTGATGCAAGATCAGCTCTTCCGCCGAATCTGTCATTGTGAGCTGCAACGTGGTTAATAAGAATGAAGATAACAAAGCTTCGACTCACTTGAGAAGTAATTGACAGCATAACCAGCGCAACCGATCAAGACCATAAGAGGGAATTCCTTCGACATGATACGTGTTTGATTACGCAAACTCAGACCAATGACGAACAATGGTGCCAAAAGAATGTTGTATTCATCTGGCGCATGTCTCATATACCAATGTTGGCCTGAAACGCCTTGAATGGCACTACAGTCGTTTGTTGTGTCAATATCTTTGTTTGTAAAGAGGTACCAAAGTTCAGCACCAAAACCGATACCGAATCCAAGAAGTAACGCGTAGATGATAGCGTAGAACATTCGAACAGAACCGGCTGTGATATTACGTGAGGTCAACTCCATAGACCCACAAAGGACAATGAAACCTGGGAGGATAAGTACGATAGAACCAGATACGACAGCCTTGAAACAGAAATATCTGCTGTACGCCAAACAAGCAGCAAGGAAAGAGTTGAGTGCTGCAATGAGAATTTCGAAAATACTACTGAATGATTCCTTCTTAGCGACGACCATTTGGGTGATAACAAGAATAGCACCAAGAACAGCAGCCATGAGGGCATCAATGAAGGAACCATCGAAAGCCATTGGAGTGATGGCAGCTGAACATAACATACCAATACAGATAGTAGTGAAAACATTGTAGGTTGGTGGAGAAAGCATAATTTCATCCAACTTCGCAGATGCATCAGTAACGTTAACCTTACCGTGTAAAACATCGGAGTAGAGTTTGTGAGTGTCAGGTAAACGTGCAAGATCCAAACCGGAAGCTTGTTTGATGAACTTGGTGTCAGAAGTGCGTGTGCTTGAATCGGAGAACGACATTGTCATCACACCTGGTGTAAACATACATTGAACTGGTGCTTCTAAAAATCTACCGGTGTTTTGAATGACAGCTTCAAGACGGTGAGATGGTGAACCAAACATCATGAGCGCACGTGTAAGTTTAAGTAGGAACTCTTGACGTTCGATCAGTGCAGCCAAGTTGAGCAAAATTTCATTTTTCTTTCTCTCTTTTCGCGCTCTCTTACGTTCTGCCTTCTGGGACGGAGATTTTTTAGCCTCTGAAATTACGCTTTTTACCATTTTACCTGGTGTTGAAGCAGCTGACATAGCGCCGGACATACCCTTACTGACACCTTTCTGGACAAGACTGGCGGGATTATATTTGTGGAAATGAGATAGTGAGGATGGCTTAAACGAGCCTCCTGGAGTCTTCACAGGTGTAGGGCTCTCTGAAGGAGTTTGTTGACTTGGAGTTGGCGTAAGCGTTGGTGCTTGCTTCTCCTCGTCAATAAAGATTGGAGGACCTTCAGGGATCTTTTCATCAAGCTCGCTGTCACTTTTAACACTCGCTGTTGGAGTAGAACTTGCAGAGTTGTTGTCAGCTTCCTTGAGTGCCATCAAACCACCCAAGACACTAGTAGGACCAGAAGTAGCTGGAGGTGGGACAGGTTCCTCGTATGACATTTCCGATGTGCTGTCCCTGTTGTTTGCCTCTACGTCGTTCTTCTCATCGTCGGTAGCCTTAGGTTTGAGTACTTTACCCAACCAAGAGCCAACTTTCGACTTATCGTTCGCCAACCTTTTTCTAGCTGCGAGTGATGGAAGACCTTCGGTCTCACCCTCTGGAATGGTGAACTCGCCATCTGCGCCCTCAAAGTTCAAGAACTGCTCGAGATAGTGGTCGTCATCATTTTTTCCAAGCTCAGCTTCTCTGCCTGCAGGAACTTGTTCTCCTTGACCGCCATGTTGTAGTTTCCTAAACAATTCAAGGCGATCCATCAGCGCTGTCGAGGAGATTTGAAGGCTGCCGTATTAGTACATTATCACTAGCTCCAAATAACTGGAATGTGACTGGAACGAATAATATCCAAATACAGCAGCCTCTCAATAAACACCACTCACCTCTTCAAATCCTCAATTTGCTTACGTTTCGTCTCCTCTTCGTTATCATCTCCAAGTGGCTCATCTGGGAGGGGATCTCCTTCTGACCACTGAACACGTTTATCCGGTACACTTGCAGTGTCTTCCGTGAGATCAATTGCTGCAGGTGTCTTATCCGCATTTGCCTCATTTTTGTCAGCGAGATGTTCACTTGACATTTTTTTTATATTCTACAAAATCCGTACTTAGATAGGCAATAGAATCCCTCTTATTGCCTTTCGTCGTTTTGGAAAAGAAGAACTCCTCAGTTGGCACTCAGTTAAGGTACACGAAGGTACAAAATCGGTGGCATTTTCTAGTTCTAGTACAACGATACATTGATACTTTTTAAAATTACGATTTATATTTTTAAATACGAAAGCTTACTCTTCATCTGGGCCCCTCGTGCATGCACGCACCCCGTTCTAGGTAATCTCGAACCTTGCCCCTGAAGTAATTGCAGCGAGAAGTTTCTCTTTAAGCTTCTGTTTGTTCGAGTAGGCTGGTAACTTTAGCATATTCTATAGAGTGTTAAAATATGCTCGTTAAAAAATTACCCATGACGTACCACGCAGGTGCTCGCCGTAGGTAACCAGGAGTCATCATCTGAAGCCTTTGATATGGCAAAGAATGGTCTCAATCTGGAGTGCTTTTAGCATACACGTACGATAAAAATATCCAACTCACTCTCTGAATCCCAATAACGGCGCCCGGGGACATGAAGTAACGAATGACAGAAGTTGCTCTCTCTGGCGCTGGTTAAATGAGCGCACAACAGACCAGAAGTTAATGATAACTTCATCTGCCTCACTGTAGTTATTATAGACTGTGTGAATCTTGAGATCATCAAGGCTGTACGACATTAGAATATATTTCGAAAGGAAACGCTAAAACTCACTCAATATCGCTCTCTGCACCACCTATCAATACTCCTAATTCCTGCTGATCGAACATTCTCAACCATTTGTTGTCAATGATACTTGAAAGACCCTGGAAGAAAGCCTTACATTGTGGCTCTATTTGTGTGTTCAAACGATAATGTGAGATTAGATGGATGTACTGTATTTTGTTATCCCTCGTCACTGGGATGTTCTGGCCATTTGGTATGAGATCTATCGTGCGAGTTGCACCAAATTCCTCTTCGGAAGCAGCAAAAGTCAGGGCCAAATCCTGTGGGTCGCCCGGGTAGTTTTTAAGATAGAGTAGACCATCGTAGAGTTGTGGATCGAGCGATGCAAGGTCATCAAGATGAGACTGACGGCCGTTCCATTTCGCCAAGAAGAATTCGGCAAAGCCAACATCGAGTAGTATACCACTATAAAGGGCCTTACCAATAATCTTCCCTAAGAATCTATACCAGTCGAGCTGAGATGGCTCCTTGGCATAGGAGTGGGGATTAGGATACAGGAGTCTTTTTTCACTAGACAACCAGAGTCCCCGGTCAGTGTCAAATACCTCCTTTGCCAGAGATGTTAAAAACTCTTTAAAAAGACCACCTCCGTCGACACCAACTTCTGGAATTCCCCATTGATCGAAGAAACGAATGAAAACTTTCCCTTTAAGTTGGTCACCAGGGATGTTAAGCTGATTGAACCCATCTTCAGCGACGTTATCGCGTCTAATATCAGCCTTCACTTGATCAAAGTAGCTATCCACGTTGTTCCGTATCTCGTCATACCTTATTAGCTCTCTCAAAATGCTAACCCGTGAATCAAATGGAATGACGAAAGGTATGTTATTGAGAATACCCAGTTTTGGTGAAACCTGCGCGAGCTGCTGCTTCGACAGACTTTTAGTATTCTTGATTCTTCGGCTGTTGCGACTAGATGAGTTATTGACATCGACCATTTCGACATCGCTGTCCTCTTCTTCGAGTTTCTTCTCTTCAACGATGACAGCATCACAGAATGCTCTTAAATCAAGCTCTGAAGTCATAAGCCAATGACCTGGACTAGTGAATTGCTTCCTTGAGTCACGCTCATGTATTTGTCGAGCCAACTTTGTGATGATCGATCTTACAGATGTCATTTTAAAACCTAACGTTGGGATTGTCTCATCGGTTTCCATGGTGTAGAGTGCGAAGGCTGCATTACGCAGAATAGACGATAGACTCACTACTTCATCAACCGATAGGGCCTGATTCCCTCCGTGGAAATCTGCATCTGGTAGAGTTAAAAGTAGCCTTGAATAAAGATATACCAATAGTAAAAATCCAAGGAAGTTTTCCGCATTCTCTTTATTTTCGGATAATTTCCCTAAATACTTAACAAGACCTCTCGGTGAAGAGAGTGAAACCCTAGCGAGGGGACTACCACGGACAGAAGCCCTCCATAGCTCACGTATGATGCCGGGTCCGCCCACACTACGAGAAGACGTTGTAGATGGTGTGTAGAGAATAGCGTGAATGATATCATTACGACGATGTTGATACTTCTCGATGATAATCGCGAGATAGCTAAACAGCTGTTCTCTAATCGATGAATATTTGTTGGCTAATGCAATGAGAGTCGTTATGTTGGATTTATCAGTAAGCAGGTCTAATCTTCTTAGCAAACGTGGATGTACTGTATGCTTCACTTCAACACTATCGTGCTCATCATCATCATCATCTGAATCTAAGAACACTGTGCGTGAGGTCTCCGTTCTCCTCAACTCGTTAAGCTCAGGGAGGGCAATCACCTCAGTTGAAAGCAAGCTCAACCAACACTTCAACTCATCTTTCGTCCATGTCGTTATCCGTGGCTTACAGAAGGTGAGAAGATTACCAAAGAACGATATCCGACGTTCGATTGACCAACTTGTGCGAATATGTACCGCTTCCATACCATTAGAATAGCTAAGAAGGCTGTCATAAGGAAGTGTAGCAGATATGCGTGGGATGTAAGCAATAGGGATACGATTTGGTAAATGCGGCATTGAAATAAAGTGATGAATTTCCTCAATTGTGCCGATCCTATTGAGTAGTTGTATTACTTGATCCGTAAGATCACCAACGAGAGGATTTGATTTACTGATATCGTGTGGCTGTTGGGTATGTTAGATGGAATGTCCAAATAACCATAATGATACTCACGATTTGTTCTATCTTTTCGACCAGTTTGGATATTACCTTTGCATTTACAAGAATTGCTGATTGTGGACCCTTTGATAACGTAATCAGGAATGAGCGTACCATAGGATGATCTATGACATCTAATCGTACTGTTTGAGCTATCGCCATAGATCTCAGATCCTCATTGAGTGTGCTAAATAGCTCCATTGAGTTATTAGTTATCTCCACCCAGCGTGCGATTTCTTCCCTTGAGAAAGAGAATAAAGCGATAATTCTCGTTATTCTAACGTAATCTAACTGTGATCCATTTGATATATCATAAAACTCCGTAATAAAATACTTGTGAAGAGACAGCTTTGCGATACGACGTCTACAGTGAGACTTTTGAGAGATGGTTAGAGAAATAACACCTGTAAGTAAGATTGACTAACCTGTATAATGACAGCTGATCTCTCTCTTGCTCTATCTAGTTCTCGCTGATATCGTTGATGACGTGCTTCCTCTAAAACGCTGTTGCTAGATTTCTGACTAGCGTTTGTGCCAGTTATCTGTACTCTACGTGGTTGCCTATGGCTCCCTGTGAAATATGGCTGCATATCTCTTGATTGTTTGATAAAGACACACGCGCGGCCTACTTATCTCTCGACTGTCACTATAAAAGATTACAAAAACGCGTAAAATGAGCGTTTTAAGAGATAACAACGATGGAGGAGATAGTAACCCTGTTTTAAACCCGTCGAATGACACGTCCCCTATGAAGCTATCAAACAATCAGGACAACGAGAACGCAGATATCGTGCCTACATTTAATTTGCTAGAAGATGATGACGAGGAAATGTCTGAAGATCCCCCAGTTCCCAAATTAACTGCACCTCTCATCCTGTCTTCTCAAGCCGACGACATGGCTATAGAGAAACAGACGAAAATGACAACGACAACCCCTCTTGAGCCGTTCCAAGAGCGCAAGCACCCTTCCATACGTTTGGCTCCTGTACACGCTACCTCCACGACAGGACAGCCCTTGACATTTGGTCGAAGGAAGAAGCTCGACGGTTTCAGCGGTTCAAAGGGCGTTAACAAGTCATCATCATGTTTGGAGACACCAGTGCATAAGCTCATAACAGAATTAAACTCGCTTCCTTCAACATCCTCAGTGCCTACGCAAAAGGTTGCATCCTCAGACACTCGTTTATGGACAGATAAATACCGGCCTCATAAGTTCACAGATTTGATGGGTGATGACAGACTGAATAGACAGGTTATGAGCTGGTTAAAGGAATGGGATCAATGTGTTTTCGGCAAGAAAACGGCCGATTCTTTGTACAAGCGTAAACGAGATGCTGAACCGTTCGCATATCGTGATCCATACAACCTCGGTAGACCGCAAGAACGCGTTATGCTGATTAGTGGCCCACCGGGTCTCGGTAAAACGACGTTAGCCTATGTGATAGCTAAACAAGCAGGATATCGTGTATTTGAAGTGAACGCAAGTGATGACAGGTCTGCACGTACTGTAGACGAAAAACTTAAATCAGCTTTAGACGTTAACCCCATCACATTTGACGGAAAGATCGATAAAAGACCCACACTCGTTCTCATCGATGAGATTGACGGTGCTACTGGTGAAGGAAGTGGTGGATTTGTGAGACAGTTAATCAATATTACTAACGATCACGTACCTAAAAAGCGTAAAAATGGAACAACTCAGCCACGTTTATTGTTGAGACCCATTATATGCATATGTAATGACTTGTATGCTCCATCATTACGCTCTCTTAGACCAATATCGCGTATTGTTAGGTATAAGCCGCCCTCGATGCTCTCTACCGTGACGCGATTGAAGGATATTTGTGGTGAAGAGGAAATGTACGCTGACACAAAGTCATTAAATGCACTTGCGGAAGCTTCGGGTGGTGATATACGCAATTGCTTAAATACTCTCCAGGTGGGTAGCTCAATTAGGCCTTTAGAATTAAACCTTAATAAACCAACCAGTTTATGAAGAACAACGAGATGGATATACATCAAGCAATAACGAATAACTCAAAAGATACAAGTAGGAGCGTTCCTAGCGTGATGCAACAGGTATTCAAACTCCAGAAGAGTAAAACAGCATCTGTACAACCAACTGTGCAGTCTATCATTGAATGTGGAGAGTATGACAAGATATCACAGTCATGTTTCGAAGGCTACTTAACTGCAAGGGTTAATGACAGCAGATGGGAGAGATATATCAATGCTATTAATGCCCTCACTGATGCAGATATAAGAACTGGCATTAATGATGACTATACACCCTACCATTTATCTAAATTTCACTTACAATTTGCGAACATCAATAATGGCCATATTAGCGCTGCCGGTAGTAAAGACTATGAGGTATACTTAGAGCGTACCAACAATCTTGAAGTTGCGAAATCGTTCAAGACAAGCTTGCCAAATGAGTTGTATAGGTGTTACGATTTGAACAATCTTGTTGTTGAATTATCACCGCTTTTAACTCAAATATTATCAGTAAATATTAAATTAGTAGGTCCAAGGCGTCCACAAATGTTCACTCTAACACACATTAGACAAATGCGCAGGTTGCAACAGAAGCAGATAGACAGACAATGCAACGCGCGGTAGACATATGCGTAGACTTAAACCTCGACCTTAAGCTTGACAAAGACGAGGATAATAAGCCACTTATAAGGATGGAACCTGCTATTGATTCACTCACGCAATTATTCACTAGCAGCAGTCTTTCAACTTTTTCAACTAAGCAGTTATTATCAAAAGAAATTAACAACGAGAAAACACGTCGCAAAACTGCTAAAGTCAAATCTGATAAACCCTCCCTCAATGAGAAATACGCTGTTGATAATCTTAATCCAGTTGTTACAGTAGATGACGCAACACCTAAGGACTTCTTTGGTAGGAAGGTAATACCAACAACTGAAAACTCACCTGAGACAACTCTGGAGACCGCAAAGGAACCAACGGTTGCACCACATTATAAATACTTTGAGGGTTTCTCAAACGCAGTACGCAAGCCAATTAAAATATCCCAATTGTTGTAATGATAAAAATGCATTATAAAGAGATAATCTATGAAATAATTTATCCTCGAAAGGGGGTTTCTTGTAAACATCATGAAAGAAATCACGACAGGCCGTACTTGTGTTTGTAGAAAGCAGGTGGTAAATCAGCAATAAAGTCATGTTGTGGTCTCTCAACGACAACTAACTCAGATGGTCCGATGTATTCCGCCATAGCTATTGGTTGATATCTATTAGTCAATTTAAAGAATGTTGACTCTTCAGATTTCCTAAGTAACTCATCTTCTTGGAAAACAACACCATTGGCAGCTTCACCCATTTGTTCCCTAACTAAAGCAATATCTTGTGCTAATTTATTCCTTTCTTGCTTGTTCAACTTCCTCTTGTTGTTCTTCTTAGAGTATGATCTACCATGAGTATTCTTATTCGTCGTGTTATACCTAATGACACACATCCATGAAGCACCGTAAGTTATAATCTTATTATCACGGCTTGGATCAAGTGTACCTGGAATCTCTGCTCCAAATTGTGGTGGTAATGTTGATGGATCAGGATTGACGATCATGCCTTGAACTGGATCAATTGTGGTCAAATAATGATCAGGCATTGTAGCTTCATTGATTCTCTTTGACCATGAAGGTGGAGATTTCTTATCAGCATCGTAAAAGTGAAGCAAACCACTAGGTAATGCGATAATCATCAATGATTGTTGCGTAGGATGGAATTGAATTGATGATGGTAAATGTGAAAGACTAGGTAAAGTAGCGTGATGTTGCATACTATCGAGGTTGAATATTTGTACTCTACAAGCGTAATCAGCTAAAGCTAACCACTGGCCATCCTTTGAACATGCCAATGTGTGTATTGATGCTTCAACTTTGGTGTCGTCGGTTTCATCTTCACTTTCACCATCTACGTCCATCGATGCACTTTTGTTTGGCATTGGACGTACACTACGAGCTGTTGATTTGTTTGACCATTCTTTGAGTAACTTTGGCTTTCCTTCTTCTAATTCATAGACAACTACTGAGGTTGCACCAGATAAAGCCAAAATGATTCTCTTAGAGTCAGGTGTGAATTGAATGTAATTTGCTCCAGGTAGTGGTGTTTCTAATTTAACTTTCTTTGGTATTGCTGGTCCGTCCTCCGCGATAGCGAAAAGTTTAGTTTCGTATGCATCGCTAACTGCGAGTACTGTTCCATCTGGTGATACACTATGCGAAATTAAATGTGTGCGGAACTAAAGAAGTTGTCAGAAAACAGACTATATGAACATCGCCACCACTCACTTTAAACTCAGTATCCAAAATCTTCTCAAAGCCACCATCGCCGGTTTCCTCCTCAGCTGACTTGACTCTCCAAACACTGATACCACTATCACGTCTTGCAACTACCCACCTTCTTGATCTGCACACAGTAACACTGTTTCTACCATTGAGTGGAACAAATGGCGTACGTCTATGCCAAGCATCACTGAAGTGTACACTTCTGGAAGATGAAACAGGGTTATATCCAGCAATATCAAGTTGCGCCTGTTTCGTCCTCCTATTGGTTGGTTTACCACCTGGTGTGAGGATTAAATGCGGGTCAATACCACCACTTGCGACGATTGGCACTTGACTAGCTAAAGCTTGTTCGGAAGTGGTACCTTGCGGTGGCCATACTGCAATAGCGTTAATATCATGGGTGTGTATACGCTTTGAACCCGATTGTGTGAATTTAGTATCCAATCTATCGGCGGTGATTGAAATCTTAGTGAATTGTGACACTCTTTGGTCGATACCACCAGAGAAAACAGTTTCACCATCAGATGAAACACAAGTTGTCAATATATCCGCTTCATGGGCTTTGAATGCAGAAATTTGTGAAGCTGATTGACGATCCCAGAAAATGACACTACCAAGACTATCTCCAGAAACAATCGTGTTATCTTCCAAAACGTTAACTGACCAGATAAGTGTATGTTGATTTTTAGCTTTATCAACGGATAATCTATCGCTAACTCGTCCATCGTTGAGATTGTAAACGCGCAAACTAGAATCTGAGCATCCTGCGACTAACCACCCATCCTTCATTTCATCGTAATCCTCGTCATCTGTATTGCTTTCAGTTTTCCTACACCAAGCGACAGATAATAAACGTGTAGGTACGTGTGCTAAAACTCTGCCAATTTCGAATTGATTTGACGACAAATTGACTAAACGAATGCGACCATCGGCACAGCCGATGGCTAAAGACTTCCCTGAAGGTGAAGAGGCTACTGACCAGATTGCACCACCATCTGAAGATAATTTGTTCGCAATTTTGCCTGTATTCAAATCCCACTCGATGAGGGTATTTGTACCGCTACTGCTGAATAATCTTAAGTGGTCAGAAGTGTATGGATTAAGTGAAGTGATTGCATCCGTGTAGCTACCACTCTTCTTTGGTGGACTGTGTCTTCTCGTAAAGTGCAAAGAGTGAATTTTACCAGCAGGAATGTGAGCAGGGAGTGTCTAATATGGCTGTTAGCTAGATTCACATGCTCTGGTTTATCTCACCTTCACCAAGACCCAACCCTTGCCTGGTGGTTGTTTCTTAGAAAAGTGTGAAGCGACTGGTGTATTCACGTAATGCTTTATTTCAATATCACCGTTACTCTTTCCGACTGCCATAATAGCGTAGCTATTCCAGCTTTTGTCTTTTGGAGGAGGTGGAAAGGCTATAGCAGATATTGAATGAGGATTTAAATCTAAAAATCTAGACCTGTGTATTGGAATTGTAGGATTTGAATTAAATTTTAAATCCATTTCTTCGTCGTAGAGGTAAAAGGACTGTCTTCTCTTAAATCAGTTTTATCATGTCGTTTTTATTTGGAGGCGGTGGCGCTACTAGTAATCCAGTAGCGCAATCTGAAGTCGTACAATCTGCTACGACTGAGATTGAAATGATTACAGATTTATTCGTGCGTCGATTCTCCCCATAGGAGATTGACTATCATCTAACAGCACACTCTCAGTCAAAGCTAGTGGACAGCTGTCATAAGAAATGTATAGAGAAATCCTACAGGGATATCGACCTCACTAAAGCAGAAGGTGTTTGTTTGGATAGATGCGTAGGAAAATATTTCGAAACCTCAAAACTCGTTACGGAAAAGCTACAAAAGCTGCAGCAGCAACCACAATAGAACATTACAATTCATGTAAATGTACATTATTACAACTAAAAGTTTACCGCTATGAATGATTTTAGTATGAGTAAGAATAGACTCACTCTCTATCCTTACATTTACCACCTAATGGCAGCTCATATTTACATAATCTCCTATTCGTGAACATCTCTGTTTGTTCACTCAATTGAGATCTCAGCTTTTCATCATTAAAGCCATCAACGTAGAGTAATAGTGATGGATTCTTTTCAAAAACACTTTCGTAGTCATTCTATTAATTCTATTAACTCACCCTATTAACCGCGTTTGACTTACGTTTGTTTTTCCTATAAAATTTTTACGTTAGCTCTCATCAATTATAATTAGGGTAAGTATATTACCGCCATCTAATGGTTCCTCCGCTTGAAGGGTTGATCCAAGAAGCATGTCTTTCTGTCCGGTAGTATCATCAGAAGTCTGAGCTGCATCAGTGTCACCAGCATTAGGTGCACCGTGAGGAGCATTGTCATGAGTGGCATCAATTGGAGCGACGCCCATATCACTTCCTGCAACCTCTGCAGTTACAGCTTTCTCCACAGCCTTCTCATTGACATTATTACTATTCCGCTCATCAATTTGCTTTTCTTCCACATTTTCTTCATGTCTCTTCTCACCCTCGACCTTCTCTTTTTCTTCCTCAACCAACTCCTTCTTCTCTTCGACAGCCTTCTTCGCAGCTGCAACACCAGCGCCATTGTTATCGCTCTTCTGTCTTTCCATCAACAGTGCTTCAAGCTTTTGCTTTTCACGTTTCAACTCCATCTGTTTTATCTTAAGTTGCATTTCAGATATTTCCTGTTGCTTCCTCTTGAGTTCATTCTGTGCCTGCACATCACCTTGAGCTGCTTTGGCTTTTAGTGTAAGTGTGGCATTACTATTATTTGAAACAATTGATGGTTTTGGTATGGTTTTTCCAATAACCCAGTCAGGAATCTGTTCAACCTCTCTAGCGCTTCCAATGGAAGCACTCTCAATATCGCTATTAGTTTCACACTCTTCATCGCTAGGCACGATTACAACTTCGCTGGATTTTGCTTTCAAGAAGGGAGATTGTCGTTGGTGCCTTTTCAAGTGAGGCTTTTGAGAAACTTTAAACGTCTGCGATGGTGGTTCAACTAAGCTTGCGGATGTCGCACTACCACCGTTAAAAGTCTCATTCTGACCAAGCGACAGACTGTTGAGGAAATCATCCGCAGTACTAGCTGCTTTCTTCGGTGCTACTTCTCTCTCTACTTCTTCTGCATCATCTTTGAGATGTTTTTTATGCATCTTCGCAATTTTCTTTCTCTCCTTTCTTTCAGCTTTGGTGAGACTTTTCGGATCTCTTTTGAAGAGCTCCTCGTTCTGATTGTATATCTCCAAATTGACGCCTTTCTTTGGCTTTCTCGGTTTAACTTGAGTGATCGTTGGTGAGGTGGGAATTGGATAAGCATTTATATTTGTAGGGCTTGGTCTAACAACTGGTAATGTACTGCTGGTTGAGGGTATCAAGGATTGTGCGTAATCAAGTAAATTTCTCGCCACGCCTTGGCTTAATAGGAAATCATAACCTAATCCATTCATGAGACCATTTCTAACTAAATGTACGTCATAGTCAGCTAGAATGGTGTGTCAATGAGCTGTTCTCCAAAATAAAAAAATAGAACGCACTAAAGGGAACTGCAGGGAGGGGTGTGTGATAGTGATATCTAACGGCTGGGGCTGATTGTACAGGTGGAGTACTCTCTCTACTAGCTTGCTGTTGCATCTCATTCTTAAGCGCCTCTAGGCGCTGTTGTAGGATAACTTTTGTGGAAGGTTTGGCATCCTCAGGCTCAGATATTTCACCATCTTCCCTATCAGATGTTGGTATAGCTTCCTCTTTCTCTTCGCTTTTAAGTTTTTTGTTCTTTGTATCATCAATATGACTATCTTCAGATTGACTGTGACTACGTTTTCTACTATTTTCCGTAGAAAATGTATTAGAGATCTTTTGCGTTATTGATTGATTAGCACCCATTTGTCACCTATTCTATTCCCACCAAGTCTTCGTCGTCGTGTAAAAGGAGGAAATCTAAAAAAATTACAACAAATGCCAAATTAGGATGAGAGATGTGTATTAAAAATATATAATATAATGTAATATACCTTCTAAATCTGTGTATCTCTATTTTTTTTTATTAGAATACATCTTCATACTATACTATCATGATCTCTCAATTACGCTCAGCAGTTAGTCGTAACATTGCGACGGTCAGTCGTCAATCAATTCGCCCATCAATTGTTAGCCGTCGTAACTACAGCGCTGCACCACCTTCAATCTACGGTCCAGGTGCAGAAGATGGTACAGTACCAACAGACGAAGACCAAGCAACTGGTATTGAGAGAATGGAATTACTTGCAAAAGCACAAGGAAGTGAACTTTTCGATATGCAACCACTCAAAGTTGACAGAATGGGCACAATGAAGGATCCAATTATCGTACCATCACTTACCCCAATCCGTATCGTTGGTTCTACAGGATGTGAGAGCTTTTTTTACGCTTGATATACCCTCTAATGCAACTATGCAGACCCTGTTGACTCAAATGACACCGTTTGGCTCACCCTTGATGTACGCGTTAATGACGGTATTGGTCGCTGCCCAGAATCTGGCGTTGGTGGGTTTTATTAACTTTTTATGCTTTTCTCTAACTTTTGTACAGTTTACAAGCTCGACTACCAAGGCGCACCACTCGATGAACACCACCACTAGATTGATTGGTAGAAAATCATTTAATAAAAATACATTTCTTTTTACTTTTAGTTTATTACTATTGCTTGTCTATGATTTGTCAGCTTGGTATCTTGAAAGTGATTTAATTGAATAAAAATCTACAACTACAAGTAATCCAAATAAAAGTAATTTTATTAAGATTATATTTTACCCATGCTATAAATATTCGATATAAGTTTAACTGTCATCATGCTCTCACAACACAACCTTCTTTATATGTTATGAAAATTCCGACTTCGTTGAATAATAAGTTGCTCGTTAATCAAATCTTCAGTTTGAAATAAATCTAACATAATCAAACTTGGATGATTATGGAGATCTGCTAGTTCGGATTCGTTATGTTTAACAATCCCAGATTTTCCAACTTCGAAATCAATTCTTTATAATGAATTGTCGATATACAGGTAAACTGTACTAACTTTTAACCTGAAGTTCGTACTTCTTGTGATATACCATCTTATAATGAACAAGTCAGCATCTCTACAGCATATTAGCTCCAGGCACCTGTACCGATATGTTACTGAAATAATCCAGCGGTGCTATTACTTATAGTCAGCTCCAAAAACCTCTCGACAGTTCAGCTTGATAGATATATTTCACTGAAATGTTCAAATGAGACACTGCTAAGGTACATCCTAACTAGATGGCCTAGTATTTGTTTAGAAATCCGCGAATTACTAAATGATATAGTGTTGTAAGATATATTATGACATCAATCACTTTGCGTGAAAATATCATCTTCACTTCACAAGCAACAGCTAAATGCAAAGATACCAGATTGCGATTGTAGCTAGCTCCAGCTTAAGGTAATTATCTATATATATCAAGGTTTGAAGCCCCTAGGAACTAATACATGCATCGCTTCTATCTCTAAGCCCCTTACTGTCTACATTCCTGACGATGTAATTACACCAGCCAGATTTATTATCAAAGCGGATGGATTCAACAATGATACTACCGCTACCTCGTTTCGCTCATGTTACGTTGAACAAGACCAAGTGTATGATGAGATTCTTACGCGAATGATGATTGTGTTAGTTGGTAAATGCAACAAAACCCCAATTAGCCTTGCTATAACAGTAGAACATTGTATTTCCATAATCACAGAAAAAAGAATGTCGTGATAAAATAAAAGCAAAAAATCAAACTCATCTAATAAGATGAGATGCTATTGCATTAACCCGGAGTCGAACCGGGGGCCGATCGATGGCAACGATCGAGGTTACCGCTACCCCATTAATGCTTGTGGAATATAAATATCTTGAAGATACAACAATTCAATTGTAAAACTACTAAAATTTTAAGCGAGAAAAAAATTTTGTATCACGTTCGGTGTTTTGTTTTTAAGTGCGTCGAAGCGGAATTTTTGGGCATTATTCTCAAAATAGAATCCCCAGGCTCTCAGGCATAATGATCCATCGCCTCAAAAGTATCGGTAGGAATGCTGACAGCTGTGCAACTTGCAAGTATTTCCAGTGAGCTGGCCAGAATTGCGGTACTTTATAACAGGACCGTATAGCTTCACTTAGTTATGAAGTATACATCTAATAATAGCAGCACTATGGCAAGTAGGAACAAGAGAACAGTGGAACTGTATAAGGAGCCAACTAATCAAGCATTACATTTTTATTTACATACTATAAGAAGCATTTATAGATGCAGTTAAGCTATTTTATCGTCTAAACAATGTGTCTCGATTTATTATCGTCATAAAATGCCTATTAGTATTGAGCTACACGTACTTATCATGCATTGACTATTGCTCAGACGCAAAGAAATATAACCATCGTAATAGGCATAATAGGCAACCAAACTTCGAAATATTTCTATAGTTTTAAACTTTCCCGTTTTTATAAGGCAATTCATAACACATAAAAGTAATACTATTTCATATCTTGTTTGACTCTATCAAGAGCACAGGCTTAGATACGTACAAATAACCTAATTATCTATTCTAATATATACATATTAGCTTTAAAAGTTATTATATAGATGTTTATATTTCTGTTTTACTTAATATTCCTTGCACGTATGAGATGGTACTTTTGTACACAAAACCGAGAAATGCAGAAGAAAAATTATTTCGATTGACATGGACTCTTGTCTATTTTTGGTTTCAGATCACCAACTCATCCAGACGTGCAGGTTTGCGTTCCAGCTTCTCCACATATACTTAGCGCTTCTCCAAGCGGATCGTCAGTCATAATTAGAAATCCATTCCAGTTAACGTTGTGAACTTTCTTCATACACGCTGCTGTACAAACAGAATCTGATGCTCTTAATTTCTTGAGCATAGCTTCTGCTATGGTTTCCGATTGTGTTGTTCTCCTGCACTCACCTTCAGTATGATAACGCCAGATTATATCGTCCACCGTTCGTTCAACTGGACTGCAATCATTACTTGGCCACTTGAGAACTAAATTGTATATTATAATCAAAGTCTGAAAAATAATAGCGTAATAGATAATTTTCGGATAACAATAAGCCATTGTTTAAATGGTGAACCCTAATTAATTTAACACGAGAGATATTTCGTGAAACTATTGTAACTTGAGGCGTTTATCATACACTTGCGTGGAAAGAGAACAGCTTTGCCCGATTAGCGACTGTTATCAGGATATGTCTCGTCTGGAACGTACCCCTATATATATCGAGTTTCATTTTTATTTTTCATTTTATTTTTATTTAATTTGTTTGGTTATTTGTTTCTAATGGAGTACATTGGTTCAGTTGTCGCCATAAAGTTATATCACTGAAAATACATTTTCGGGATCTATGGATTTGTTCTACCACTATGGCGAATTAGTCGTATTTTTCTGATTATAGTGACCAGTATATATGTTTCTCTTAGTCGATTCTTCATTTCTTCGCTGAAAGTCTTAGTGAATAAGCGTGTTTTCCATTTGACGGATTCATTTATGACCTGGTTCTTGATACTGAAAGACTATCGTGGTATCATGATTTTTGTGCTTTTTGGCACTTCCTTTAAGTCAATAAATGCTCATGTATTATTACTTTAGGTTTAGCTGTTCGAATTAAGAAATAGGTGTTGAACATACATCAATTGTTGGTCAAACGGAGACAGTATCACAATAATTTGAAAGAAATACACAAACCGAAAAATATAATATGAGAATAAAGCAGTTTTACTGTTTGAGAAACGATAATAAAGAGATGTACCCTAAAGATACTACAAATTCGCTTACTACAAAGTAGTTAACATAACCTCAGCAGCAATGCCACTGCCCAGAACAAGGCAATATGCTAAGCATGTCAATCATACAGTACATATTTAATACAAACATCAATAGATAATGTCTTACAAGCATGCAAATTTCCTTGAGTTGATAGTAAATAAGAATAAATATAACACAACGACCAAACTGAAGGTGAGTGGAGGAGATACGAAGCGCCATCTGATAGACCATTTTAAACACCTTGACGATTAACCCAAAAATGATTCGTAGCAATGTTTCCACAATGGTCTCTAACTGGGATGAGATCGATGGGATGTGACATCCAGTTGACTGGAAACGATACAAAAGCATCCGACCGCGCGATCTTGACAAAACCTTGGAATAATTCCAAAGCATTGTATAGTCGACAATAACAAGTAATGAGGTCACGTGTATCAGTACTCGTCGGTGATTTTCTCACTATACCATCGTCATAACGAAACTCTGAAAACCACATGACTTCGGCATAACCCATTTTCCTATTATCATTGAGATTTTCAAATTGTATGAAACGTGTTGGGCTTCCGTCAGCTAGTGATGATATTGTTGTTTTGAGATTCCCATATTGTAAGTACGAAATAATGCCCCATCGGGGCCACTGAGATAAGACTTCAAAGTCTTGGATTCCATGTCGTCGTAAAATTTCATTTGCGATTTCTCTCTCGTGTTGTCTTAAATTGATAGGATAACCGCGTTCACTCGAGACATCGGGTGAATAATCAACGTGTAATGGTAAAAGTACTTCGTATAGACCCCTAAGTGATGCTTTAATTGGCTGCTCCTCTGGTGGTGTCTCTGCTCGTGTAGTTGCCACCCGCGGTCGTAATTTAGAGACATGGTGATGTTTTACATTTCCTACTACATTTTTTACTAGCTTTGGAGGTGGTAGGAGTTTAGCTTGTAGTGTGGGTGTCCTTTCAGTGCTCTTATTTTCCTTTACTCGTAAAATGTCAGGAATGCCTTTGTATGAGTTAATTGACAGCCCACCTGGATCAGACGCTCCGTATAGTACAATATGCTCATTTCTATCAATAGACTCCTTGGTGTATTCGTTAGGGTATGTTGCATGATGATCCTTATCTTTCTCTTTGTGTCTATTCCATGTATAAATTTGACGTTTCCTACCTAATGGACCACAACTTGAACATCGACATACCACGGACTCCTTCGGCATTCGGCTATATTTGATAAGTTTTGAGTTGATGTCACCTAAGCAAGGAAGAAAGGTTTAACGGCAAAAATTATCCGAAGTGGTTATTTCAACTGGCAATCATAATGTTTTATACAATGATTCATTCAATTTTGAAATAAATTCTAATTTCTAGATATCAGTCCACACAATACGGTCAGACTTACAAACAATAAATAATACATAATAGTTATTACAAGTAGCGCATCTTAGTATATTTTCCTAATAAAGTTATATTAGAACATAGTGTATCTTGCGTATTACATTTTTTGTCTTGTATATCCTGTTTTACTATCCTCACGATGGCGGCCAAGGCCTGCCGTAGACATATTCACTTAGCCTATCTAATATGGTGTGGTATTCAAATGTCGAGTTCTCCCAAGGATACTCCCGCGAATATTCACTAACGTAGATATCTGGGTTGAGAGGATCAAAGTAATTGGTAAGGAAGGAGTTGAATAGCGTATTATAGACATGTCTGTCTCTGTTAGCTTTGTGTGTATTGTTAATTAACACTCACTGTAGTATTAGATATCCAACTGCTAGCTGAGTAAATAACATCAAGAAAACGATGGCATTGGAACGCTTCGGAGGTTTTTGGGTGACCTTCGAACGATCTACTTTCCTGCTGTCATACTTGGTGTATTCATTGTAAGCTGCCAGAGCATCAATTGTACGATTCTACAGAGCGTGTCAAATGCGAGGCGTCACTAGTAATGTTTAACTCACGTGTGCTTTCTTCGCCAACCCATCATTACTCTTATCAGTCTTAAAGACATCGAGTAACTTATTTTGCGATTGCGACCGTCTCTCTTTCTTCCTCCGCTCGACGTCAGCAGCTGTTGACCTAAGGGCTTCTTCTATGTCACTGAGAGCCACAAAGAGAGAGGCATCAGGAGGGTTATTGGTCGCTTTTCTTGGAGAAGTAGCAGGTCTATTTAAGTAAACATTAGGTTTATCATTACTACTACCACCACCGTTACTTTCATTGTCATCCACGTCGACTACATCAAAGCTATCAGCAGAGCTCATTGGGGAAGCCTTATACGCTGGTGTCATTGGATAAAACCCAGGTGCCTATGAAAGTCAGCTTACGATACCGTTACTTTTTTTATACTTGCCTGTGGTGTTTTCATCATACTCACACGACCAGATGAGAGCTCAAAATTGTTGCCTAACTTAGTAACATCAAATTCAGGACTGCCTGGAGCATCCTCTTCTTCTTGTTCACCCTTTACTGGTGTTGACTGTTTATTACGAGGAATATTGGCCGGTGTCATTGGGTAAAATCCTGGAGCTTGAGGTGTTTGCATAACACTATAATTTGGCCTGGAGCGTGTTAAATCAGCTGCACTCAATTCTGTGCTATCTGAAGGTGAAACTCTATTTGTGGCCTTCAAAAATCTTTCGAATGAATTGCTGTTGTTACCATCGCGAGATTTCTCAGGTGAATCGTTGAGTTTTTCCAATGCCTCGTGAGCATGATTGATAAATTCCTCAGAATCTTCAGAGTTACCTTCATCTTCGTCGTCTTCAACGCCCAGCCCCTGGATAAAGCTGACTGATTTTGATCCACCATTGGAGCCACCATTGGAGTTCTTCTTTAAGCTGCTTTTGTGTGGACTCACAAGGGCGCTTCTATGAGGACTTCTAAGTATGCTACGGGCTGGTGATGCACTCTGAGGTTTCGTTGATTGATATTCCTCCTTTATAGGCGCTGTATATTCTTCATAATGCTTCAGCTCACTTTGACTTTGAGTGTCGTTTTGATTCACTGTTTCATTTACATGAGTATTATCAACGGCGTTTTCTTTTTCCTTGCCCTCCTCAGCCATCTCCTTCTTTGCTTTTTCGACGTCAGTACTTCTCATACCCCCAGAAAAGCTTCTTCGAGTGCCTCCAAATGACCAACGAGGGCGTGTCGGCGCAGGTGGTTGTTTAACGGGTGAGTTTTCTAATGAAGAAGATACTTGTGGTAAAGAAGCGCTAGACGAGGAGGCAGTTTCAATATCAACTTCGCTAACATTATCAACGTAATCATCAACGTAAGTTCGCCTCCGTGGTGGAGATACTTTCGGTGTCGTTGAAGGCAACGTTGAAGGTGCAGAATGTGGTTGAGACTTTGTGAGATTAGCACGAGGTGTATCTTGGGGATTCTCTCTCTGTGAAGATTTAAACTGTCCGCTTCCCTGTGCCATGCTATTCCTCAGTCTCTCTTTGAATGAGATGGGGATGTTCGATAGCAGAGGTGAAGTTTTCGATGGTGATGCCATTGATATTGGGATTGCTGGCATTGCACCTACTTCAGATGCAGGCGACGCCGGCACACTTGCATGATTTTTCGTAGGCACCTCCATAATTTCATCCTCTACAGGGACGCTTTGCGATCTAGTTATAGGCAGAGGTGGTGGTCGCTGCGAAAGTGGTCTGTGATATGCACTTAAGGATTGCTCTTGTTGCAATTCCTGTGGTTCATCAGTTCTCTGAGGCATTCCGACGTTAAAATCAATCGTTTTCTTCATTGGAGTTTCTTCCACAAAATCATCGTGTAGCTTCCCGTTCGACGCGACTGGAGAGCTCTCCTGAGAGCCATTCGTCATAGAATCTGAGAATATCGTACCTGCTTCACTACCGTCTAGCTCTCCACCTGCAGGCTCCTCCTGCAAACCAGATACAGATAAACCAGCAAGATTAAACGATTTAGACTGAGATTGTAGCGTGCTATTAGGAAATACTAATGGCTCAGGATCGTATAATGTCGTATCATTCAATGGAAACTTGAATTCTTGGTACTTCGACTTTGGTTCCGGAGTTTTGTCGTTGTCTACGAGATACGGCATCTCGGCCTTGTTCAGTAGCTCTTCCAGCTTGTGACGTGATCTTGCTGGCTGGAATAACGCGTCATCAACCTGCATCTGGTGGTGATCGTTGTGAAAAGAGAAGTGTAGAGGGAAATGGACGCGATAGAAGAGAAACTAATTGAATATCTACATATACCAATTTGTTTTATTTAATTATCTCCCTTCTAGTAACGCGTAGATATTGCACAAACACTTCGTCACCGTGTGTACCTTCATTCCATTCATTTCACTACAAGATATAAATACATCGACTGCAAAAACCCTTATTATAGACTTGTCGGTGGAATTTCTACAACTTGATCTCCACCCGGGTAGACTGGAAGATGTCTGTAGGCGTTTTTCAGTAATCAGCAAGCAGATACCAAGACACTTACAGAGCATACTTCTCGGCAATATATGGTGGTACAAAGCGTCCACCGAGGTAGTGCACACCTGTAAACTGCTTCACACCTAATTTTGGTGCAGTCAGTGAAATTAATGCGGCTGGAGTGAATGATTTATTGTCTATATTGCCTTTCTCGACACTAAAAGTTGTTAAGGATTGTTTTCATGAGTAATATCACACTCACTCCCAGGCTGATGGAATGTCCACAGATACTATTGGTTTGTTTGTCTGCTTTAGGGTCTCAATTGGTGCATCAAATGGCGCACGTGGTTCGCCCTTTAGTACACCATCAGCTGTGTTACTCATTGCTGGAATACATTACATACTTTGAAAGAAAATCCAAAAATTGCATCTAAAATGACATCATTCGATGCTACACCCTTATCAAACTCCTCTGGCGTAATCCTAGGGACATTGAAGTGCTTCAACTGTGTCTCAAGTTGCTGATTGAACTCATTTTTGCTTGGCTGGCTCAACTCGTCAGATGATGTCATAGATACTTCGTCGCGATTGCATACCTTTGGGTAGAATAATGTTGGCTTGTATCCGAAGAGAGCTAAATGTCTGGCTGCCACGAGTCCATCACCTCCTTGGTTACCTAACGTCGTCAATTTACGTGCTAAACATCTAGCTTCCACCCACCTGAACCAGCAGCTACAAGAACTTTGTTGTGTGTATGTGCTGGATAAAGGTTCTGTACTGTCTGTGCACATGCCAAACCAGCGAGCTCCATCAGTTGTTGGAGTGTGAATCCACCCTCTTCACCCATGAGGTCTTTATCAAGCTGAGTTATTTGAGTATTATGTACAAATGGATGAAAATCACTCACGTTTTGAGCTTCTGTTTGTGTTAAGTATTTCATCCTTCTGAATGACCGTGATAGTGTCTGTAAACGTAAGACCATGACTTACCGCCAACAATGGACTCCAATTATATCAACATCTATCAAATTTGCTGATACTTTCAAAATATATTTTGTTGGGCTTATATTCTAGGAGTAATATGTATTTTGGCTCATTCTCCGTGGTCTGACGTTTTCTATACATCGCTTATTTTTTCTTATCATAAGCTTTTTCAAAGGAATGTAACAGCAGCAATTTTGATAACGGATCTTTTACTCAGGTATTAAAAGATCACATTACATAAGCTACTTAAATGTGATGCACACCCGTTGATTTTTTATGAAGAGATATATGTACGATGATTTGGATTAGGCGATTAGTACGCATGATCAAATACAATAGCTCAAGTAAAATTAGATAAACTGTGTATAGATAAATACTAGCTTGTACATGTCCGGGAAGGAAACGAATTGTCTGAAAAAGGGAGAACTAACTGATAACTCAATTTACATTACATTAACCATCAATGATAACAAAAACAACCAAACTATAAAAGTTAATAATGCGAAATATCAGCAAAAAATTCGGTTACCGGGAATCGAACCCGGGTCTCCAGAATGAGAATCTGGGAGGATAGCCCCTACCACATAACCGATACACTATTCAAGTGATGATATTCGAATATCTTGTAAGAGTGAATATCCAAAATCTCCATAAACCATATTTTCGTGGACACACAAATTTTACCGTATTTTCACATTACCTCACTCTCAGAATATCATTCTCAGACGATTTCTTGGAATTTGCAGACACTGTTGGAACGTAAATATCAGACACGCTTTATTATAGGTTGTGAAAGTATAAGTATGTTATAGAATGATCATTTAAGATGATGGTTTATTTTACAAGATTTGCTTCTTTATATAGTCTCTACTGTCCTTATGTTCCTTGTTATCCTCTTGTCCTCTACTGCGCCTCGGTGTTCCTCTTGGTTCTTGGTGTAACTCCTTGTTCCTTCTATCCTTAGTCACTAAATGATGATGTATGTTCAGCCCTGTATCTGTATTCTGACAGACACTATAGGGCTAACTTTAAAAAACCGAAGATCAAACTTGCAGGTATCGAGTCCCACACCTTAAAAGTTTCGGTAGGAAGGCATACACCTGTGGAAACAGTCAAGGTATTCAATGTACTGCATCGAGAGACAGGATGTCTTGCTACCTAGTCACATAAGGATATTTCACCACAACTAGATCATACTGAAACGGCTTCAAACTAAGTGCTTCCCACGAATTCAGTCCGTGCAGAGTAGCTGATAATATCTTGTATATAATCTCATTGTGTAAAAAAATATACAATGGTTCGAACCAAGTTAAGGAGGAAGACAACCAAGATTAACGTTCGGTTCGAATTAATTTTAACACTCAGGAACGCTTAAAATCTTTATTTTTTAACCCGCAAATTGACCAGTGCTCAATATACTTCGGTGGTTCGACTTGACTGTAAATAAACGGGAAGACACGAACTATCAAAACACATTATAAGGGCAGTCAACAAACACTTCCAGCTGATATAGCATTCGATTTAAATCTTCATATTATAAGATATAATGATGGTCGCAGTTAAACTTGTAACTTCTTAACATTTTCGATTTAATCATACTATCATCAACTGGATCGGTGCAACAGAACGAAGCGTGCTCTGTAGGAATTTAGACAAAATTTATGAGTATACACCAAAAACTACTTGTTAAGTATGAACATAATAATAGAAACCCTGGGGCATAGTAGGAAAGGGAGACAGCGTAAACCATACATGGAAATGGATCTTATCCAAGATAAACATTCATCAATGACATACTAGCTTATTCTTATTAACAGTAATATTTTACTCTAGGGTTTATTTTTTTATGGGATGTTTCATGCATGAAAGTAAAATTCTACTTCAGTCAAATTCATGTATTTCAGTACTGTGAAGCTCAAGAGTTGATGTATTTCATACTCACAAAGTATATCATGTGTGATGACTTTGTTTAGGCTTGCAAACCTGAAATACAACATGGAAGCTATGCGCATTGAAGAATGCACGCAAGCAATCTCGTTGCAAACTCAGAAATTACATCGGAATGAGTTTTTATCTAAAAGTTTATTATTATAAAATACAACCGTTGAAAAATCTGGACCACATCAGTGAGAGAACATCATGAATATTAAAATTAATTATGGAATCAATAATTTACGGAAACAATTTACTGTTCCTATGTTGGTTTTTGCAGACGGCATTTTCGTGCCAAATTTGGAATTAGCGCGTGCCCCTTATTGTAATCACGCTTAGTCCAATATCTTGAATTAGTGCCAGAATGCCAGTAATATAAAAAGCCACTATTCTGTCTCCTTGTTTCATTACAACTCAAAAGTCTTCTTATCTTTATAACAATGATCGCTCAAACTATCTTCACCGCTGCTATCGTCGCTGCTGCTTCAGCTGGCTGGGAATCAAAGACTGGCTCATGTAACACCGGCTCCATCCAATGTTGTGACCTTAACAAGAAGGTTCAAGACAGCACTGGTGAGTACTTTAGATTGCTACTCGACTCAATCTAATCAAGCTCCCAGGTAAAAACGACGCTCTCATCTCAACTGGTGACATTGCTTCTCAAATTGGTGTCCAATGTGACCAAATTCCATTACTAATTGGTATTGCCATCGAGGATGAGTGCAAGAACACTCCAGTGAGTAAAATTTTTCTTTGTTTGCCGAATCTCACGCAATAAACAGGTCTGTTGTGAAGGCTTTGACGATGAATCACTTATCGGTCTTGGCTGTAACGCCCTCCCACTCATCTAAGCTGCTTTAGAGATTACAACTACGTCATCCATCGAATAATTAAGCATCTGTACTTCTATACATAATTCTTCATGATAATAATACTGGAGTTGGAAAAGATCTGCTATTGTTTTCATTGCTATTGTGATGTAATTCGCCTTTTTTTTTCCTTAGTGATGACAAGATGATAATAAATTAAGATATATTGTCAAGAAAATACAAAGCTTCAAGTACGTCCGTCGACGCTGTTTCTAGTAGGAAAGTTCAAATAGGACTCCTAATCAGCTAGAAGTGACCCCTGGTGGATATCGTACTATGTCTTAATGATTGCGTTCCCTCATTTAGGGTTCCGCAAGAGAACCGGAATACCTGGCGTGCGTAATCAATCACAGTTTGAAAAATCGTAGAGAATTTTAACCTTGAGCGTGTATGATCCTCATTAAGTCGGAGTGTAGCATGTTCAATTGACCTGCAGCTCTGTTGAGTTTGCCGTTAAATAACCTTGATCCATCCTGTTGATTGTACATGAATGTAATTTTATGTAATTTTGTCTAATATTATATTTGGTAAATAAAATAATCTTTTTCAATCTACGCTGTGCCAGTGCTTTAATTCTACCTTTAGAGCCACTCAGACGCATTTGTCGTGTAGGATAGTGTTAAATATCTCTATTCAAATGTCAAATATAATTCTAAGTGTAATATATAAAATTATAGTAGTCCAGATATCCATTCAATTGATTTGAAACATATATAATGCAAATATCAACAACGTCACTTCTTGGCCTTTTCTTATGTTGTGTTCAGTTACCATCGCTCATTTTAGTCAACGTGAACAATGATGCTTTTGGTCAAGAAGTTTTTTGCTATGGACTCGTCAGCAAACGACGTGGTCATCTAATTATTTTGAAATAAAGACAGTCTTGTAGCTAAAGAGGCATATTTTACTTGTAAGTCATGTCAAAATAATTCTGCTTCTATGGGTGACCGTGATGATGAAATTGAAATATATTGTTAAGAGACACAAGTTTAGCTGCGTCCATCAATACTCCTTATCATATAGTAATTCAAAAAGGATGTCGACTTAGGTGGAATCATACCCGGACAAATGTCGTACTTTGTCTTGGTCATTCGCGTTCCCTCTTTCTCGTTTAAGCCGAACCATCAAATATCTCACATGCGTAGACAATCCTGATTAGAAAAACTCGTAGACACCTTGTAGGGTTGTAGGGCTTCAACGTCTCTAAACAACGATTCTAGTTCGAACTGCATGTTGATTTCGTTTACCTTTCCCTACCAGGACAACAGATGAAGATAATGTACTGTGCAGCAACGTGAGCAGGGATCAACTCCTTTGCTGTATGCGTGAGCTCAAGAGAATATCGCACTCACATTGTTTCGTATGTTGTGAAGAACTGGATGTCGGGTCCCAATCTGACAAATTCTGGTATTTCCAAATCACACTGCAACTTGGCCCCACAGGCCCATTTTACTTGCTCCACTGCAAGCGAATCATATGACTGCCAAATTTTTGTTTTTTCGGAAATTAGCGATGTCATTGGTTTTTTTTATTATAACGATAAAAAATTATCGACCTTCAACAAGCGTGGTTGGTCTAATGGTTATGATTCTCGTCTTCCATTACGGATACAACGAGAGGCTATGGGTTCGATTCCCATACCACGCATTAACTTTTGCGAATTAACTTTTTGTCTTCCAAGTTAAATAGATTGTTATATATACAATGAGAATTGGTACAATTTTGCAGAACCCTTTAAGGATGACGTTTCGATTAGCCTGGTGTCTTACACAAAAGTAAATCAATAAAAAATAAACATAATGTAATATCATAAAAAGTTATTAAAAGGGGGCAATGTTGTTTTCTTACAATATATTACGAATTTTGTAAAGTATCTCCAGTTTTGAAACTAATTTAAATATCATCGTTACGAGGACTCTGTTGGGCGTAAAAACTCTGATAAGAAGGTTGTGTAGGAAATTGGGGACTAGTCTGACCAACTGGTGACATTTGGGAGTATGCTGAATTTGGCGACATCTGGGAGTACTGTGATGGTGATGTTGGGTTAGGAATGTTTTGATTGCGCTGCTGTTGGTGAACGTTATGCACATTTGGTGGATTGCCTGGCATGCTTGGTACACCTGGCATAGCTTGCATAGGTGGTGGTCCCTGCATTCCCTGCGGATTTTGACTGTATTGCCACATAGCTTGCTGGAAGGCCTGCTGAGCTGCCATCATAGCCTGGAAGAAAGCAGCCTGGTTATGTTGTTAGGTTTTAATCCTTTAAGACAAAGAGAGACCTACTTGGTTACCCATTACATTAGGATCGATTGGTGGCATACCCGGCATAGGAGGCATACCTGGCATAGGTTGCATTGGAGGCATTCCCGGCATACCCTGTATCGGTGGCATAGGCGGTGAAGATATCCGTGGTGGTGACTGGTATCCTTGTTGGTAAGGGCTACCTGGGGATCTGGAGACTTGGGACATGCTATCCCTTGTAGGATGTGCATCAAGTGGGCTAATTGGCGGCATGCTATTTCTAACTGAGTTAGTTTCAGCTGGACTGACCGGCTGTATACTTCTCCTAGCTGGATTAGATTCCGCTGGACTGATGGGTTGCATACTTCTGGTTTGATTAGACTCAGCTGGACTGATAGGTTGCATACTAGCTCGTTTGGATGTAGGTGGCTGCCTGACAGGAACATGAGGTGTCCTCTCATCGTCTACATCTACCTCCGGGTGAGCACCGAGGGCTTCAGTATAAGCCTCACTTGGACCCTCTTCAGACGTCTCGTTATAAGTATTCTGTGAATACTTGGACGCAACAGAGCCACCTTCCACGTTCTCAGATTGGGGTGTATCTGGATATGGTACGATATGTTCATCTTCGTACCTCGATGATCTGTTCGATCTCTCCTGTATTTGGGCATTGCCCAGGGAGAGCTTTTGTCGGAGTTCCTGAGCAGCTCTCGCAGTCTGCTCTTCAACACTACCGGTAGCGAAGCTGCCAGGGGTATTGATGGTGCTTACCGGTGGACTCGACCGTACATCGCTTGGTGTCTCGAGCGGCTGGCTAGAATATATAGGAGGATTATCGAAGTAGCCTTGTTTATTGATTGTTGATCCGTCATTTGTGGAATTGTATACCATGTCTGATGCAACGTGCTCTGGAGATGTTGAACCAGTCTCTTTTACAGGTTCATTTGGTGTTGGTGTGCGGTCATTACTTGATCCAGGTTGCTTGTGTGCCTCATTAATGGGTGGTAAGCTTGGTGAGCTAAAGTTGCTGTTGTTAGAAGCGTCATTTTCTGCGCCGGTTTCTTCGGTGGTCTCAGGGAGATAGTTATTGCTGAGATTGCTTATACCACTTGGATTCCTACTTCCAAGCAAAGGCGATCTATTGATCGATGACGAGATACTAGGTGGTTGGCGAAGGGGCAACTGAGATGGCGCACCAGGTTGGAGAGATAGAGGCCTGCCACTGAGACTAGCACTGAGACCGCCATTGAGACTTCCATTAGAACCTGTCATACCCCTGCTCATACCATCTCGGCTACCTACGGAGCTCAACGTCGTGCTTGATGGTCGAGAAGATGACGATTTCAAACGGGCTTGGGTAGATGGTGGTAACATTCTCTCTCTGAGAATACCCAAGAGGTTCGCTCTGATAGCCCACGAGCGGGTCTCATTGACGTCTGTAGTCTGAGCCAACTCAGCATCCAAGAATAGCTTGTGCTTCTGAGGTCCGATTGGGTAACTAAAGAAGAGTGACTTTGGGTCACGTGGATCCCAACTGTATGCCCTCGGGCGGCCATATAATCCGAAAGCATCATGTATTCCAACCAGCCATTTGAGCATCTCAGCCCATGCGGATGTAGCTGGTGTTTTCTCGTCTAATTCCGGCATAATGAGACACCATCCATCTTCCCTCAATCCTGCTATTGATGCAATAGCACTATCATCAGATGTATTCTGTAAAATACCTTCGACTTTGAGCAATCCACTATGTCCAATAAGTTCAACACGTTCGGGGAATATTGCGAAAGCTTGAGTCGCGAGTGTGAGCGTGTAGACTGGTTTAGTACTAGACTTAGGATTTTTTTGAGAATAGAATGATGCAATCGCAGCAGGCTGCGGCGGTGTAGGGAAGGAAGTATGTGAAGCAAGTGAAGAGTTGGATGACATTGTGTTCACTATGTTGGAGCTACTGTTACCACCGAAGAAAGACCTTTTTCGTTCTGATGGGCGGTAATTCGTGAGAACCAGGAAGAGTTTCTGCCATTTTGCTGTGCCGACGAAACGTACTTTGACCCAGCCTTCTAATTTACCCTTAACTAACGGTGAACGTGGTTCTATGAATGGCTGTCTACCGGAGTTACCTGGGAGATTTGACTTTTGTAGGATGCGGAGTAAATGTCCAGTGTAGAGTTCTTCGAGGCGCTTTTTCTCCCATGATGCAAGCCTTATAGCGTGTACACATGCGTTTAGTGTTTTCTGATCAGGCGCAACATACTCCTGTTTATTTAAGCCTGCATAATTGAGCGAGAAGACGTGATCCACGGTACGCTGATATTCTGGGGGTGGCACAGATACGAGTATGCTGCCGATAATTTCTGCATAGCCATCCGCGATGTTGATATCTAAATACGGTCAGGTTACGCCTTGGACGGTGGATAAACTCACATTTCGGTGGTACGGCAGAACCCTGTGCAGCCGCAGCTTCCATATCTCTTCTAACCCAGACGTTTAGTACTGTTCCTATTAACTTAACGAAGACGCCCTGGAGCTCTGATCTGCTATCGCCCGGTTTGGTTGGTTTACCGTTCTCCAACCTAACGGTTCTTGCTGCTAAGTAGCCTGAGAAGTAGGTTTTCTTAGAGTGTGCGCTGACTAGAGATAATAGAGGCTGTAGCTCTCCAGATGGGGCATTCCTGGAGTCTCTATCGAGTGTACTGCCAAAGCTGCCGTTTGGCTCAGCGTCAGCAGAGGCTACTCTTCTGTGATGAAACGAGCCATCATCGGAGGGTGTCTTAGGTGCCATTAGGGAGAATCTTTTGGATTTATCCATTGTGGTTGAGAGTAAGAATGATGCAATAAAAATAATGCTACAAGTTTTTGAAATTAAAAATATCTATTTATCGCCGTTGATAGCAAGCGTATGCGACTATTATTTTGTTAGCTTGATAAACTTTGAAGAAAAACTTCACTCACGTTCATATCCAGAGAACTCATAATTTATTCTATCCGTACGTTTGTAATTATCTAATAAACGATTGCTGAACTCGTTTGATGGTCTAAAGTCTAATTCTTCCTCGTCATTTGTTCCGACAAACAACGTTGATGAGAGTTTACCAGGGTTGAATATTTTTACAACGCGTTGAACTAAATCTCTCAATTGAGCGCTGTTTTTATAACTAGCGTTTGTTTCGAATGAGGCATAGGATATACCGTCTTCCGGTGTGACGTGAATGGTGAAGTAGCGATCGTTGTTATCTCCATCAGTCCAAGTAGCGTTGCTAGAGTATCCACACGGCTGGAATAAGAATGCGTCTAATGAAATATCCGGGAAGAGTTTAGAAATGCCGAGCTTATCAGATAATTTCTGACCTGCTAAGTGACCAGATTCACCATCGACTGAGTAGAAATCTTTACAGCTTTCTGGATGTAACTGTGTCATCAAAATCTCTAAAGTTGTATCAGGGGAGCTATCAGGCGGCGGCTTGATCGCTTCCTCTTTTGATGACATGTAAAGCAACCAATGATCACCGTTCATCTTACCGACGGTGTAAGCTGAACCGTTGTCAAAGTATTTGTTGAGAACATCGACCTCCTGATGCCAGTCCCTGTGTGGACCTCTCTGACGCTCTGGGAACATGAAGGTCTTACGGGAGTAGAAAACCTGTTCAACATGGTCTAAATGAGCGACTTCTCTAGCGATTTCTAAGATTCTCTCTAACCCTAACAAGAGGGTAGTTGTACCGCAAGTTTTCAAGATTAATCTGTGTGGTGCGATGAATAGACTGGATTCTGAGAGAAGGTATGCATCGTTTGATTGACCATTGATAACGGACAAAACCTGACAGTTCACCAAATCTAACATCGTCTCCCAAGTTTTCCTATCGACCAAACGCAAACCCTTCTTAGGACCTTCGCCGGGAATAGAATCTGGATGGCTAGCGAACCAGATTTCTAACAATTTCTCCGGACCTTCAAATGGACCATTCTGATCATTTGTATCATTTTCATTAATAATTATATTTTTTGTCATTAAAGGTATGACATAACCAAATTTTTTTAGAATATATTTTTTCTCGTCACACAACTATCGCGTCTACTCTAACGCGCTTCTTTTATCAACTCGCGGTTAAAAAAACAAAAATGGGTTTGGCAAGGACGCCACCAAAGTTGCAATTCAAGAGAGACGGTAGTTTTGATCAAGAAGTAGACGATCACTTGAGAGATATCCAGCCAGACAATCAGTTAGAAAGCCTTCCTGTTGAGAGAGACATCACTCCTACTACAAATGAAGACGTTGAATATCTCAAGAGACAAGTTAATATGCTCTCTACTCGTAATAAAGAGTTAACACAGTCCAAGTTTGATTTGCAACTCCTACTTGAGAATACCTTGAATGAAGAGAGAAATGCTAGGAAATTAGAATCAGATGCTATGATTGCTCATATTAATAAACAACGCGATTTACATAAGACCACATTAGGAAAGTGGAAGAATGAATTGGCTATACAGACAGCCAATAGAGAGGAAATCGAAAGACGATACCTAGCCACAGAGGAGGAATTAGACAACACATTGGACCAACTAGATAGTCTAAAGGATAATGTCTCTAGTTTGGAAGCTAAAATTTCTGAAATTGAAACATCACACAAAAAAGAACTCGATAAACATAAGAAAGATTTCAAAATACTAGAAGAGAAGCGTAAAAAAGATGCTGCAGCCTATGAAGAAAAGATTGTGACCTTGAAAGACCAATCGAATAGAAAGGACCTAGATAGGAAGATCCAACGTTATCAGGTGGGTACGGTGGCAATTCAGAAATACCCTCTCTAACTCCCCATAGGCTAAGATAGACTCCCTAGAAACAGACGTCGACACCCTCAAAGACAAGCTCGAAACCGCGAAAGAAGATCAAGCCGAACTCGAGCAAGCAGATGCAACTATCTCTGACCTCAGAAGATCCCTCGAGAAAGCTCAAAAGGAGGCTAAATCCTCAAAATCAGATAGATCACTTGAGAGGAAGTTGAAATCTGCAGAGAATGAGTGTGATCGGTTGAAAGATGATTTGAGACATCTTGAAAATTCCATCGATAGGCGTGTTAGAGATAAAATCGAAGAACTAAACGAGGGTTTAGATGTTAGAGTAAGTGAGCTGTTGAGTTCATAAGAGCACCCTAATAACACCTTCTAGACACTTCAAAAGCAACTCAACAAGCAGAAGGACAAAGCTGCTACCATCCTCGCTGATCTCAAGGAAGCTGAAAAGTCTCGCATGCGTGCTGAGAAGGAAATCAAACTACTCAAGGAAGACACTAGCACTGCTGATGAAGAACGCGAGAGAGCAGACAGGGCGGAAAGGAAAGTGAAGAAGCTCGAGCAGCAATTGCAAGAAGCTACTAGAAGGGTAAGTGAAGAGCCTTGAACCGAATGCCCCTAACTTTCACATTTCTAGAAGGACGACAGTGACGACGAACCAGTCAGACCTAAGTTATCTAAGAAGCCAACAAAGTCAAGTATAATTGAATCAGATGACGATATCGAAGAAGAGCGACCATCAAAGTCGTCCAAACTTGCCCAAAGAAAGAAACGCAGGTCGGAGACCGATGACGAGGAGATTGAGCCTCCAAAAGCGAAGCGTCCAACCAAGGATGCATCCAGTAAGGAGAGCAAACGCGCTCCTAGAGAAAGAGAGAGAGAAAGAGAAGAACCACCAAAGAAAAGCAAAAAGAAACTTAATATCTTCGGTGGTGATCCTGCTATGCCACAAAAGTCCGGCGCTGATAATGGCGTATTCGGTTTGCCTGATATACTCTCACCTGTTAAATCCAAGTCTGCAGCTGCAAAACCTGCAATAGGTAGGGGACCTTTTGCTTAAATAATGGAACCTAATATAATTAATCTCTGTATATGTTGTTCAGTTAGTGTACTCTTATAATGTATAAATATAATTCGCGCTTTTGCTAAATTAATTTCGTCATCACTCTCAACAATCATTAATAATAATGTCTCAAAAAGTATTTTATATTACAGGTGAGCTTTTTTGGTCTTGTTTGTTTGAAAATAACAGAAACAGGTTCATCATCCGGTTTCGGTAGATTCCTCACCAATGAGCTTGCAAAACGTGGCCATAAGGTTATTGCAACAGCTAGAACTATTAGTAAGATAAACGATCTGTCTAATGGGGACAATATTAAAGTGCAACAATTGGATGTAACTGATTCCCCAGACATTATCGAGAAGAAAGTAAAGGAAGCAATAAACTTCTTTGGTAGAGTCGATGTATTAGTAAACAATGCTGGTTATTCCCAAGCTGGTGGGTCTTTGTTACTTCTCACTATAAAAGCCCCCTAATCTAGATTAGGATGTTTCGAGGAACTCACAGATGAGGAAATCAGAAAGCAGTTCGACACCAACGTATTCGGTCCTGTTAAATTAACAAAGGCATTTTTGCCATATTTTAGAAGCACACAGACCGAAAGCGTAATCTGTGCTATCAGTTCGGCAGTCGGTATCACTGCTTTACCTTTGATAAGCGCATATTCATCAAGTAAATTCGCGTTAGAAGGCTTTTTTGAAGGCCTTGATGGCGAAATTAGAGGATCTGATTTACCAATAAGAGTATCAATAATCGAACCAGGTATGTTCAAGACAGATTTCATCAGTAATGTCCAAAAAGCACAAACTCAAATTGGACAATACGATTCACTTAGGCAACAATCAATGACTAGGATGGTTGAAACTCTTTCTAAAGCTGGTGACGCAGCTATTGGTGCAAAACTCATAGCTGATGCTCTCCTCAAAGAAGGTTTTGCAGCTAACAAGGACATTCCCCTCAGGTTGCCAATTGGTACTGATAGTGTAGAAACTTCAGTCTCAAAATTCAAGCAAACTTCAGATATTTTCAGTGAATGGAGGCCATTCGCAGCTGAATCAGATCCAAAGGCATAAGTAGTCTAAATCTATTTGTTACATTACTACAATAAAGCATCCCGCATCTATTGAGTGCTGGTTGCGTGAAGTGGAAGATCGCGTGAGCTGCTACCAACGAAGAAGGTGTATTCACCTGATGGGAGAACCCACATCTGCTTGTTGGTGTCCCATACGCTAAGATCCTTGAGACGGAGGTCAAAGGTGACTTGCTGACTTTCTCCACTCTTGAGCTTCTTGACTTTCTCGAAACCGCGTAATTGACGGGGTGGTTGTCCTTCTCCTGGGAAGGAAACGTAGAGTTGGGCAACTTCTGATCCCTCGACATCACCAGTGTTGCTTACAGTTGCTGTAACAGCCTTGACGACATCGTACAAGCTCTTACCCTCTCCGAATCCCTCGAATGGTTCATTCGTAGCTTGAATCTCCTTATCATCCTTCTTGTAAGTATCCTCAACTGAGATGTCTGAGAATCCGAATGTGGTGTATGACAAACCGAAACCAAATTCATAACGTGGTTCGATGTTGTGCTTGTCGAACCATTTGTAGTCAATCAAGAGACCCTCAGTGAAGTCTGCTTGTGGTTCTTTGACAGCATCGCTGACAACGGTGTTTGGTGGGTAGTCATCGAGTGATTTACCCCATGTGAATGGTAATTTACCTGATGGTGAGACATCACCAAACAATACTGGTACAACCGAGCTACCGGTCTCTTGACCAGGGTAGTAGGATTCAACGATAGCGGTGACATTCTCATTGTTGACCCATTTTTCAATATCAACTACACCAGGAGTATGTAAGACAAGGATAACGTTAGAAGAGCTGTTAACAGCAGCATCAATCAAGCTAGCTTGTTCTTCTACGATGTTAATATCATGTCTATCCGCTTCCTCTTTTGCCCAATTATTAACAAAGACAAGAGTAGCGTCAGATCTTGGTACGATTTTCTGGATAGTAGTGTCGTCATTCTTGAGAGCGTATGAAAATTCAGTTCCATCAGCTTGAGTGCGTTGCTTGAGTGCCTCTAATGGAGTTGTAATATATGGCGGTATAGTGTATCCTGATCCACCACCCATGGTCAATGTTCCATTGAAATTGCCCATTGGACATTCAGTACCATCATCACCACAGCCATCTGGACCAAGCGCGTTGCTTGCAAGATCAGATCCTAAAGCGACAAGGCGTTCTGGCTTGTTGAGTGGTAAACCACCTGTGTTCTTCAGTAAAGTTACAGACTCTGTGCCAATTTCACGAATAAGATCAGCTGTATCTGCTTGTCTGACATTTCTGTATCCGTTTTCATCCTTGAGATTGTATTTGTTACCGTTGAAAACAATTTCAGGTGGTGTATTCTCGGAATCTTGACCAAGCCAGTAGTATGGAGTGAGTAATCTAATTGCTGCATCGGTTACCCTCTCTTCTGGAACAGAACCGTCCTTTACAAGGTCAGCAAGGCCGCCCCAGAAGTGACCCATGGTACCGTTGAAACCAACACCCGGAGCAGAGAAATCGAGACCATTAGTAGCTGACTCAATATCGTGGTGTACTCCACCCCAATCACTAACGACAGCACCTTGGAAGTTAAGCTCTGTCTTGAGAAGGTGATTTTGTGTGTAAGCATTGTTACATGCGTGTGTACCATTCACATCGTTGTATGAACACATGATATGTGCTGAACCTGCTCTAATAGCTTCAGCAAATGGTGCCATATAAACTTCATGTGTGGTGACATCATCGATGTTCGATGAAATTGGTTCTTGTTCAAGTACTGGGAAGACATCGTCTTGCTGAGATGTGTTGTAAGGATGTCTGAAGGTTTCTTGCTCATAGCCGATCCAATGCTTACTACGAATACGTCAGTCGATGATAATAAATGAGAATTTTCACCTACGTTGTAGCGGCGACATGACTATCTTGGAGACCAAGAACGGAAAGGTATGAATAAACACCATTAGCATAAGGATCTGGATATGATCCCTCCCAGTTTCTACCACCAAGTGGTGATCTACCAATTGGACCAGCTGATACAGGAGCCAGTGCGATATGAATTCCTTGGTCAAAGAACTCCTGACCCATGCGTTTAGAACGCTGGTAGATAAGGTCTCTATCCCAGGTAGCTGCTGCTGCTTGACCAACAGGGAATTGGGAGATACCCTTAATCGGTCTTGGACCGGTTGGACCATCCCTTGCACCATATTAGAATGCTACTCATAAATATAAGAACACTCACATCATACACAATTGTGGAATTCCTAAACGCTCAGCACCGGCAGATGTACCGACACATCTACCTTCTTGAGAAGTAATCAAAGCAGCCTTCTCTTCTATGCTCATTTGTGAAACAATCTCTTCTGCTTGTTTAAAAGCATCTGCCCATGCTTTACCACCATTTGCTAATGGCGGTGGGTAGACATTTGGATCATTGTTTTCTCTAGTGTTTGATGCATCGATTTCGTCTTCCTGACGACTGACGACGCGAGAATTGACTACTGTCAGTCCGACAGCTAGTGTAAGTAGCGTTGTAAATTTCATTTCTATTGTAAAGAAACAAGAGAGACTCAAAGTGGATTTATATTGGTTGGGTACATATTATCACACCTGACCCCATTAAGACAAATGTGACCTCAACACTTTAGCCTTATCCGTACCTTTGTACCTCGGAGAGAAATTACCGCTTTCCTAGTTAAGGAGGAGGTTGAGTATAAGTCACATGACCCGGAGGTAATGTGATTAGAACTCTTAGATGTTATGGGCGTTTATTGTTTTAACCTGCATGCATATTAGATCATCCTGACCGCTTATCAAAATAAGATCTACGGAATCAACTTCCGTGACGCGCTTAATTGTTTATGTTTATAGTGATCAACCCAAAGACAATAGAGTACGATGCATGGATGGAATTGAAGTATAGTATACGCTATAATTCCTATAAGATTGTCATATTCCTCAAAGTCGTTAGTCCGACATAATCGCTGAGAGTTTAAGTTAGTCAGCCAAACGCGACTCGTGACACTCACTCGAACCAAGCTTTCAGAAGAAAAAAATTCGTCAAGTTAATGTCATTCTTGAGCATCTATGTATGTTAAAGGTACCTCCTAATCTTTAGTCTACCCACAAGATCAGTTAAAATTTTGCTACTGACGTTAGAGCATATATGCAAAGTACTATAACATTGTATCAGTGAAGCAGATGATCTTGACAAATTATACTTGGAGTTAAGGGGTATAGTGTCGACTAGGATATCTGCAAATGTGATTAACTTTCTTGTCGGATTTGTGTTCAGGTTCTTAAGCACTTCAGCGAAGCCACATAAAGCAGAGAACAGGACAGCATCGTTACAGTTGCTTTTATATTAGTAGTGAGAGATATGATCGATGTGGCACCTACTAAAGCGTGATGCAGCGTTTCACTATTGAGTCAAAGTTCAGCGAAGTGGACCATGTAGCATACATTGCAGATATGATCGCTACTTCAGAGAGATTAGTGTCAATAAGCCTGGTTATCTTTGCTAATTCGGCGTCTATTAGATGTTTAATGGAAATCGGAGGCTTTATCAGACACAACACTCACATCTGGTCATCAGGTGAATAAAGTATCCCAAACATCCTCTAAGCTCGTCGATATAGCACTAATGTGTGTTAGCCGCATTACTTTGCAGCCAAGTACCCACGTTTGTATTTCTATGCATGCGCTCAAGTCTCTCGACGAATGTAACCACCATGGACACTCTGTCTGGAGATAAAGCATCACAAAGTTGCATTTGCAAAGCTGCTACGGCATCCTTTTTATTATTATTAGACCGATTATCGGAGGACGGAATCCAACTACCTGGTACGCCTGCACTTCAGCCTAATTTGGGTTTAACAATGCATTTTGGTAAAAAAAATCTCACCAATAAAAATAAATTGAAATGCTGGGTATTATGAAAGCTGTTGCAATTTAGATGTGCACGCTCCATCAACCAAAACTCCCTCAGCTCATCCTCAACAACATCAAACTGCCAGCGGCCTAAGCAATGAACTACTGTCGCACAATGTGACGCGTGGAGCCACAAAAGGTATTCAGTTGAGGTTTCTTGAAGTCTTGGTGGTTGACATGCAGATGTATCCATGTTTATGAAGATATCATTACTTTGTTGCGGATCCCCTGGTATTGTTGACTCAACCGGTATGTCAGGAAGATGCGTATTTCTGCGTTCATCATGATTCTCCACTCTATCCTTTTCTACGCGTGTCTTGAAGGTAATTCCACAATCTACATATAAGCCGATGTCGAGTATGCAGCATTATGCCTACAATGGTAAGTGCTGATCTCGCGTTTACCAATTCTCTTGATTTTTAATCCTGGAAATTGCTTAATGACGAGCTATAAAGGTGTAAAGCTCTTATGATAGCAAGACAAAGCGACCCCACCTTTCCAAAAGACCTGCTGGACAATGATTCGAGGCTATTGGATTCGCAGTAGTCATGGTACGATTGAAACATTCGCTGGCGTGGTACAGAGGCTACATTGGTGTTACAGTCTGACGGAATATCAACTAGAACGTACCCTCTTCACAGGGTATATAGCTATCAGTGAGCCTGATAGCCTGTTATTATGTATGTCATGGAATAGGGTAACCTACCAGGCTATTGCGATATCAAACTTATTGATTGGTCTAGAAGCGCTAAGAGAGAATAGCAAATCTACGTCATTGGCCTACGGGTCAATATTTCCTAGAACAGTAGATGGTATAATGTTTTTATCAAGAAGCTGACGTTTGTTTCCTACCAAATCGCTATCGGAACCCGATAGGGTGTGGCGCTCGTTGTTTGTGTTGTCGTAGTTTGAATACATACCTAGTCTGCTTATTTTATAATTGACTCTTCGTTGAGCGAGTTGAAACACGAGAAAAAAAGCCAAGAAACTCTCGATTGGAGGCAAAGGGAGAGGAAAATTTTGACCTTTAGGATATTTGAAATGCAATTAATTTTAAAATATTTCGAGTACAATTTATACGTAAAACGTTTGTCAAATGAGATGCAGAAAATCGTGAGAAGAAATCTATGCGACGTAATTGAAGACGTCCCTACCAGCATCGAGATTCCGCTCAAGGTAGTCTTTCTCAAGGAGTGCTTCAATTGCCTGCAAATAATCGTTAGATTGTCATAGTTGAAAAACATTTTCCACCTCACCTTCTTAATGTCAGAAACCTTTGGCGAGAATCTTGACTGAACGATCGTAATGACCTCCTGTATGAGGTTTTGGTATTTGAGCGTCTTTCTGGCCTTCATGATTCTTACTACAGCAGCCTGGATTTCAAATTTGCGGTCCTCATCGACGGTCTTAAGGACATCATTTGATTCCTGCTTGACGTCTGCCTTGATTGGCTGATTGAGTTGTACCCTAATCTTTTTAGATTTGAAGTTGAAATTGAGATCATAAGTATCCTCATCTTGGAGCAGGACCTTCGATTTGACGAGAGTGGCTAAAGTTTGCTTGAGGAGTGCGTCGTTCAAGTTCGTCGCAGCCTTAAGCTCATCATATCTCAAGCTGTCGTGTTCGTTGTATTGGACAAGGATTGATAATTGGAATGTAGAGCAAAGGAATATGTAAGGCTGGTTCAAATGTGTAGTTTTGAGTTCATTCTTTGATGTGTTGTAAAGCCACATGAGCTTACGTCCAGAGTGTTGACTGTTGTAATACTGATTAAATCTTTCGAAAGTTGCTTGTAATTCTGAAGGAATGTTGAATGGAGTGTTTTGTGGGTTCATTGGCCAGAAGTTGGTTGCCAAGACCTTAATGTCAAAGTCTACATCCAACTCTGATGCATCGTGAGTTTGTGACATGCGTTCATTGAATGAGTTTGTAAGTTCTTTGGAGATTGATATATCTGTGAACATTCTTTGAAGTTTGTTCGTGTATTCGAATCCACAGGCATCTTTGAGTTTTCCAATCATTGAGGATTCACCGTCATCGGATGCTGATGTACCGCTGACAAGACGTTTTGCAAGCATCTTTGTGTAGAACTTCTGGAAAACGTCCTTATCCTCAATGTATTTAAATAACGTCATAACTTGATCGAGTGCATCCTCGAGTTCTGCTTCTTCAGTTTGCTTGTTACCCTTCTTGAGCAATGAGTCGGCGTGTTTTGCGATAAGTTCAGGCGATTTTGTGGTTGATGTTCCTGTTGCTGCATTTCTGTTGACAATCTCTCTACATGCTTTATCAAGAGCTGCTGAGAAACCGGACTCAGACTTGAAAGCATTCTTGACAGTCAATGAGCACTTCTTGTGGACTTCAAGGAGGGCGTCAACGTATGCCTTTGGTTCCAGGTCACCCTTTTCAGCCTCCTTTTCTTTTTTGACTGGTGCATCCTTCTTTGCTTCTACAGCATTACCGTAGACCTTTTCGATTGCAGCCAAACCAGTACGCTTGACGTGCTCTTCGAATTTTTTACGGAGGAATTCCAAAGCATCGACACGTGCGAGGAGTGTGTAGATGCGATTGAGGTCGTCTTCCTTGTCGTATTCCAACAAGTTGACAAATTCATCCTTCATGATCTCCATATGGTCGGAAACAAGTGCATTTTCACATGCTGAGATGAGCCTCTTCCTTGAACTTGCGTGGAGGTATACGTCAACGCGTGCCTCTTCTTCAGCTAGGCGTTCTTCACATTTTTTAAGATAATCTGTGACACTATTGGCTGCTACGAATGCTTCAGATTCTGCTTTGTAGTATATTTCAGTCGCGTGAATGAATGGAGATTCGAAATGGAGTTGGTAGATATCCAGATTCTGCTTGCTGCTGTCACCTTCATCGAGACCAAGTGAGACTAAAGACTCGACAACTTTTTTAATGAGAGTAGTTTCAACTGTTTCACCATTCCTCTGTCTCTCGATTTGTTTTAAGAGTGCAGAAACGAGCTTTGAATGTTGATCCTGTATTGGCAAGAAGAAGGAGGACCTCCATTGTACCAAAGCTAGCGTATAAACGTTATATACGTTCTTGCGTCCCTCATCTTTCTCGCGTTTAACCCAGTGTTTGTTGAGGTAGCTAAACAGACGATCCACGTAGGATGCAGCTGTCGTGAACCTATCCCATTCGGCTGCGTAGTATTGTAATAGCTGTAAATCGTAGAGACTATCTGAGTTCTCCTTTACAATCTTCAGATGGCTGGTGAGGTACTTTATCAGATTGGAGTACAAATCTGAACCCATGAGATTAGCGCCCGCTGTTCTGCCTGTACCGAGTGGTTCGGTACCAATGTGCATTCTTGAGCTAGTACAGTACTGTGAGGGTGTGAGATGTCATAAGATGTAATGTGCGTATACCGACATTGTAGGAAGTTGTGTACAAACTCATATACTTAGAATACGTCATTCCATCGCGTAGCCTAATTAAAATCAGTATTAGATTCTGAATAGCTGCTGTTTACGGACCTCGTCATTATATGATCAATACCCTCCTCTAAAAACGCCCAAGTAGATTTTAGATCATTTGCTGGTGGTACCGCGATCTGTTCATTTTTATTTACCGGCTTGCTCGACCATGAGGACATCGTCGTTTGAGTTCAAGGAATATCTCTCACCCAAACGACGAAATGCTGAGATATTTGAGTAGGAATACATTGAATAAGCGCGTGTGTAGTATATCCCCTATACACACACCACACAGACTACACTCTAGCGACTCAAAGAAGACGCATTTCGGCTTTAAAAGCGTAGATGAGGATCTAAAGGAGGGATTAGGTAGGTGTGTATAAGCCCTTATCATCCTGCTGACATGTCATTTAGTTGGCTCTGTTTTCAGCTCCGTAGCTCCAGCGTACGATATCATGAACGACGTTATGTCCTTAGGTATTCACAGGCTCTGGAAGGACGATTTCGTGAAATTACTCAATCCACGCTCTACTAAGTCACCTCAAGAAGCTGGCGTAAGTGAAGAATACGCACGTAAATTTGGAGGCACAGGTCTTAACTGTATAGACATGGCTGGCGGCACAGGCGACATAGCACACCGTATACTCGACCACGCGAAGGATGTACACGCTGATAGATCTATAAAGGTTACCGTTATGGATGTCAACGCAGAAATGTTGTCTGAGGGCGAAAAACGTGCACGTAAATCAATGTATTTCAACACAGACCAGATAGATTTCAAGCAAGCAAATGCTGAACAGCTCAGTGAGGTCGAAAGTAATACAGTTGACCTCTACACGATGGCATTCGGTATCAGGAACTGCACACACATTGATAGAGTTATAGAAGAGGCCTACCGTGTTCTCAAACCGGGCGGGGTTTTCGCCGTATTGGAATTCGGCAAAGTAAACCAACCATTGCTCTCAAATCTCTATTCTATTTATTCATTCAACGTCATTCCAGCCATGGGACACCTCGTAGCAGGCGACAGGGAGTCATACCAATACCTCGTCGAGTCTATAGAGAGATTCCCAGATCAAGTTACCTTCGCAAACATGATGCGTGATGCGGGCTTCCTCATACCAAACAAGCGTGGATATAGAGATTTGACATATGGTGTTGCGAGTGTATGGAAGGGTGTCAAACCGGTTGTATGAGTAAAAAATAATGCATTGTTTGATCTTCGTTAGTAGTCTTCTTGTGTTGTAAGTGCAATGAGAGCGAAATTGATATTACCAGGGTCGTGCTTCATGAATTTCTCTTTGACGACTGCAGATGCATCCTAAAGGAATGTTAGAAGGCTATAAATAGTAAAATAACATACCTTTAATAGATCTTGGCTAGAACCACTGAAGAGAATATCATTAGAGAAGTTCATCCAAATTGAGACACACTTACTGGTCAATCGGGCTGACTTTGCGTCCATCGAGTTCAATGAGACGTGTACCCTCACTAACAGCAGCTGGTGCTAGTACGAAAGTGACGAAATGCAAATCGACGTCATCATTAGCGTTCGGTGCCTCAGTCTGACCAGCTTGTGCAGACGATGCGTGAGCCGTACGCAAAAACGATGCATCTACGACAGCCTGTGCACGCTCTTCACTGTTTTGATTTGCAGCATTCTCGAACAATCTCGCCAAATCTGATCCAGGGGCGACAGTAACCGGACTGTTAGCCATTGCGTGCAATAACGCCATCGTACCACAAGCATTTGGTACTTTCTGAGGGAAAAATACGAGAGTATTGTCGAGTTCAGCCTGTCCATTACGGGCTATATCTGCTGCCTGAGCGTGACGTTCATTTTCGTAGTTCTTTGATACTGGAAAGAGGAGCAACAAAGCTTTAACAGGCTGTGGTACCATAGAGAGTAAATCATCGTCTAAGCCAAACACGTCGACGAATTGTTCGCATTCTGCTAATCCAAGCTTATGTGCCCAGTCATTGAATACGTCTGCATTAGCCTCGAGCGGTACCCAGTTCTCGGATTCTGCTTTTATTTCGTTCGCGGAGTCGATATTGAGTGTAGCCATGACAGTAGTGGTCTAAGTTAGTTTATTACTTCGTATTTTCTATATTGTTTTTGTATTTCCTCTATGCACATCAAATATATGGCCACCCGCATATTCGCTTACGGATCGCCGTTATCGTAGTCTTTATCATGATAAGAGCCGTCACAGGAACAGAAAGTTGGAAGTAAACGACGATGACAGACTATACAAAAATCCATCCAGAGAGCATCACAGAGAAGAATTTAATTGAAGTCACCTCAGAGAGCCTCAACAGTTTCGTTTCTGACGTCTCAGATGACTTTTTCAGTCCAGTCAAAGATTTAATCAAACCAGAGGTAAGTCTATAATTGCTATCTTGACCATATTCTAACACATACCAGCCAGCCGCAAGCAAGAAGGGTCAATTCGGTCCAAATGGCGCACTGTACGATGGATGGGAGAGTAGAAGGCACAATCCAACATACGATTGGTAGGTCACTCCCTATATAACAGTTATAGACGACTAACATACACTCAAGGGCTATAATCCAATTGGGTGCTCCATCAGCCAAAATAAAAATTATAGACATAGACACGACGCATTTCAACGGGAATGAAGCACCATACGCATCTGTATACGCTACTTTCGCTCCAAATGAGGATGTAAAACAAAATGACGCTCGCTGGTTCGAACTCCTACCAGTCGTTCCACTCGGCCCGAGCCAGCAGCACGCATTTGAATTCGAATGGACAGAACCAATCACGCATTTGCAACTACGCATGATTCCAGATGGTGGAATAGCCCGTTTCAGAGCATATGGAGAACCAACCGCTGTGTGGCCATCGGATCTCACCGCAACCTGCGATCTTGCATCTGTATTTGTTGGTGGACGCGTTACTTTCACATCAGATCAACATTTCGGCAAAGGTGCTAACCTGATTTTACCAGGACGTGGCCACAATATGGGTGACGGATGGGAGACCAAGCGGAGTCGACAAGCTGGACATAAAGACTACGTGATTGTTCAGCTCGGTGCAGCAGGATATATACAATATGCCGAGATAGACACTTGTCATTTCAAGGGCAATTTCCCAGCAAGAGTCGCCGTAGAGGGCATCTACGCGCCTGAGGGTCCCCCAACTGAGTATGACACACAAGGTTGGACTCAGCTTCTACCATCTCAAGTCTCTGTGGGACCGCATGCCCAGCACTATTTCCAGACAAGCCAGGCGGAGTTACTCGTTACACACGTTAGGATTACTATCTTCCCCGATGGAGGCTTGAAAAGGGTGAGACTAGTCGGTAGTCGCGCATTACCAGCTTCGGTGGATGCAAAGAGTAGCAACTCTAGTGGCACTAAAAATGCCGTTGTCGATACGCCCACGAAAGCGCTCCCTATTTTGCCGCTCACTAGCAGCGCGTTCGTCGAATATGGCCATGTTGTGCAATCTTACCAAGACAAGAGCTCAACACCACCAACTATCCAAACAAAGCGAGTGAACAATGGTACAGCCACTAAGTTTTGCAATCTGTCGCCCCTCACAAACAGCTATCCAGAAGGTACGCCAGCAAATATGAATTTCTGCGTTTACAAGTGCGATCCGGTGGACACATCCGTTGGTTTCACTGTTGAGATGCTCGAAAGACACAAATATACGACACAATCGTTTATTCCGATGGGTGATGGTGGAAGCCGCTATGTCGTGATCGTTGCGCAAAATGGCAGTGATGATAAACCCAATATGGAAACATTGAGGGCCTTCACAGCTACCAGTAACCAAGGGATCACTTATAAACCAGGTGTATGGCATCATCCAATGATCGCGCTCGAGAAGGCGACTGATTTTGGATGTCTTGTTTATGAATCTGGCGAGAATATCGACTGTGAGGAGGTCAAATTGGATAATTTACATTATAAGATCATTTTGTAGATGAATAAATATATTTCTTCGCTACCTTCTAATGTCCGTGCGTAGAGTAGGAAAGCGAGCGGACAAGCCGTTGAGATAAGTCAGAGGAGTAGATCGTTAAAAAATGAATGAATGTAATATTATTCGTAGAACTACTCGTGTCAAATTTTTTTCAACACGCGTCTGGCTTTCTGGCTTCTTGCGAGCTCTTCCTTCAAATTCCTCAACTGGTGAGTTTGGATGTCAGAAAATAAAAAATGCTAAAAGAAGCAGACAATGGAAGATAGACGTGCAGGTGTGTAGAATAGATAAAAATCACGCTTTTGATCTAAATACCCCTCAGCATACAAGAACAAAGGTGCATTCCGCCAGGATGAACTGAGAAGACGCAGGGAGGAACAGCAAGTTGAAATTCGTAGACAAAAGAGAGAAGAAAGCGTCGCTAAGAGACGTAATTTCAATATCACAGATGGTCCAGATTCTGATGACGAATCTGTCGCTACTGAAATAGACACAAAGGTGGGTCATTTCAAGTGGAAACACCCAGAGACGTTAGCTTATAAAACCCAGTTGGCTGAGGAGCTCCCTATCATGATACAAAACGTCTTCAGCGACGACTATCAAGCACAGTTGGAGTCTACCCAAAGATTCAGAAAGTTGCTTTCCAAGGAGCGTAACCCACCAATTGAGAAGGTCATCGAATGCAACGTCGTTCCACGTTTTGTCGAATTCTTGTCTTCACCACACGGAATGATCCAGGTGAGTTTTTTTTATAAGTGGTAATTCACACACTCACAGGCACACACAGTTTGAAGCTGCCTGGGCACTCACTAACATTGCCTCCGGCACTTCTCAACACACCCAAGTTGTCATCCAAGCTGGTGCCGTTCCACACTTTATCCAGCTTTTGTCTTCTCCTGTTTTAGATGTCAAGGAGCAGGCTGTTTGGGCCCTTGGTAACATTGCGGGTGACTCACCAAAGTGTCGTGACTACGTTTTGCAACAACAAGCTCTCCCTCCACTTCTCGGTTTGTTAGGTGAAAACCACAAGTTGTCTATGTTGAGAAACGCTACATGGACACTTTCAAACTTCTGCAGAGGCAAGAACCCACAACCTGACTGGGAACTTATCAGCCCAGCCCTTACTGTCCTCACAAAGTTGATCTACTCAATGGATGATGAAGTTTTGATTGACGCTTGTTGGGCAATTTCATACCTTTCTGACGGCTCAAATGACAAGATTCAAGCCGTTATCGAATCAGGCGTCTGCAGAAGACTCGTTGATTTGCTTATGCATAACAGCACAGCTGTACAAACACCTGCATTGCGTTCAGTCGGTAACATTGTTACAGGTGATGATTTACAAACCCAAGTCGTTATTGCTTCTGGCGCTTTACCAGCATTACTCTCCTTACTCAGCTCACCAAAGGATGGTATAAGAAAGGAGGCTTGCTGGACGATATCGAACGTTACCGCAGGCTCACCACACCAAATCCAATCAGTTATTGACGCAAATATCATCCCACCACTCTTGAATATCCTCCAACATGCCGATTTCAAAACAAAGAAGGAAGCTTGTTGGGCAATTTCAAACGCAACTTCAGGCGGTTTGCAAGAACCTTCACAAATTCGTTACTTAGTTCAACAAGGATGCATCAAACCACTTTGTGATTTACTCAAGAGTATGGACAACAAGATTATCCAAGTTGCTCTCGACGGATTAGAGAACGTTCTCAAGGTTGGTGAACTTGACAGAGAATCAAACGGTCCAGGTAGCATTAACCAATATGCTCAATTCGTTGAAGAAGCTGGTGGTATGGTTACGATCCACAACCTTCAACATCACGAGAATTTAGATATTTACAAGAAGTGTTTCTTCTTAATGGACAAGTACTTCCCTGAAGATGACGATGAAGATGTCGCAGCAACTGGTATGTCAGGTACATCTGGCCCACAAGTTGATGCTCAAGGTAGCTACGCCTTTAACGTACAACCTTCCGCACCAATGGGTGGTTTCAACTTTGGTGGTAATGCTTAAAATCGCAATATCATCAAGAAAAGAGAGAAATGTATGCATGATTATATAATTTTTAATTCTATACGACCTTTTTTGTTTTTTCGGTTTACTTTTACGTTTCGTATATGATGTCAGACGCAGACTGTAGTAGGAGAAGCCACGTAGCGCGATCTATAGCCTGGTCAGTGCAAATTAAGGAGGAAGCTGAACGCTTGAAAGTAAGTGGTATACATTGCTAGAGTGCTCATTTGACAGCCCTCTCCAGAACGGATTAGAGTGGGAATCTAGCGTGTTAATCACAAATAACAACAAAATCGGCGTACACTCAACAGCACCAACACAATTAGTGGAATTACCACTACAGCGAGATATATATAACAACACGCCACTCACTCAACTCGCTGAGCGTCGAGAAGAATACCTCGAAGCAAGGAATGTAATACCGTTTGCAAAAAATGAGACAGAAAATCTCCGCAATGTGGTTAGAGCGACGTATAGGACGAGTTGTTGCGATGATACATCGATATCGGATGCAGAGGTAGACAAACGCATGCAAGCGTCTCGGATAGATTGGAATAGGGTATCTGATGGTGTATGTAAGGGTTTAAATGATGTCTAACTCGCTCACACTAGTTCAGATGCTAACGTGTAGATTACCCAGTGAATGTCGTATCCGATGGCAGAACGTTGACAATCCACGCCTAAATAACCAACCACTTGACGATTCAGATTTAAAGATATTATTAGAGATATACGAAAATCATAAAGATAATATGGAACATGACTCTTTGGTAGCCTTCTGGTCGGCAATTGCCAAAGATTTCAGCGGGGAAGACACGACGCGTTCAGCTCACTTCTGCATGAAAGAAGTAGGTAAATACCTCAGTAGGGACATAATAGACAATCGCAAGTATAGTAAGAATAAGAACCTCAAACGAAAATACTAAATGGGATATTTACACTTGTTTTATTTTATACTGGCTGATATCCGTATCCTTATCAATTGTCATCATAAACAACCGCTTGGCTTCAGCGTATAGGAGTTCCACAAGAAGCATTCCATTGCTGAAGGTCCACAGGAGAGTGCTGGCGTAGTAGAAGTTCGCATTTCCAGTGACTGCTCTTAACCAGAGGTGTCTAAACAATGGCAGTAAACCTGCAGCAACTATTGTAAGGGTTGCTACAAATTTTGGATATCTTGCGTCTATGTGGAGTTTTAGTCTGGTTTTCTTTTACAAGTCATACACCCACGCTGGTATAAATCTGGGAATAGAAATATGAGACTAGTGTAGACACTTACGTCTCCAATTGAAGGATAGGATTTGAAGATAGATATTGTACCACTTATGAAAGTAAATGCTAAGAGTGGTCTGTGGCTGCAGAGAGTGGTTAGCGGGAATGTCAAGTGACATTTCACTCACCTTAAGTATATTGATATTGGTAGGACGTAAATAAAGGCATGTAATTGTAGCACGACTGTAAAGAAATATCTAAATTGACTGAATATTTCCATGAATAAGTACCAAAACAAGCCAGTATTTGGTGTCAAATTTTCAGCAAAGATCAGATTCTTGTAGAGGTTTAGGAATGACCAATCATTTGAGATATACCTCGCCAAGGACAATAGTGAAAGTGTTGTTATCAGATATACTAAGGTGTACTTTGTCAATTCTTTAACCTTATTTGTACTGTCCTTTGTTATAATGAGTATTTGAGGAATTAATAATGCTACTGGATAGAAGAACAGTATGGAGTTGTACGATAGCAGCAAAATTGATAGATATGCATAACCTTCACATGCTAGCGTCAGAGAAGTTAACGTAAGTGTGTTCTGTAGCGTCGTCAAAGAGTGTGAGAGTAGATTGACGATAGATAGTGGACTGTATGTGTAGAACAACGCTGATTGCTTATTTATCCTATATAAAGCGCATATAGCGATAACATCTAATATATAATAGTAAACTTTGCTATCAAAGTGTAATAATAACGGTGAAATATAATCAAAAGTACCTCTGACGGCAGATTCCTTCACTTTTGAAGTATGAGTTGCTATCGATTAGCTATAGCAAAGCACCCACCAATAAAAGCAGAATTGAATACATTTGATAGTTCGAAAAAGTTAAGAAATTCAAAATAATTTATTAGAATCGCTCTAAGTGCGAATCCAGATGCAAAATATACCGTCGTCATAGCAAAAGATCAATTCTCCCTCCATTGATTAGCGCATTTTGCATTTGTACACCTATAAAACGTTGTCATCGGTTCATCTGCACTCCTTATTTGTATCTGCATAAAGAATGCTCTGCCATTTGAACATTTTGGACACTCTGCAGACGTTTGGTCGACATTCTTCCAGCTGTCTTCACCACCTAAAACATCATCTACTTGCTTACGCTTGAGCTTATGCCGCGTGTTGAACTATATTGCCGTTAGTATAGAATATATAGAGCATATATCACACCAACTTGTTTTGTCATAGGAAATTGATACGGACAAATAGCGCATACCCATTTATTATTCGTAGATTCTTCATCCAACTGACTTATCAGCATATTTGAGCATGTTGGACAAAATAGCATCTCGGTGTAGCGATTTGAGTCTTCTTTTTTCTTCAATCCTGACGATCATCATGGCGACGACAAAAATGTTTAGAAGATGCTTAAGCACTTCAAGAGTGATATATCAACAGAGTAGTACACCTACTGTAGCACAGAATAATCAATCAGAAAGTACATCTCAGCAATCTCCTTCATCTCCAGATATAAGTGAGAGATACGCACCAAGGGAGAAGAAATTACCTAGCATATTCAACAACAAAGTACCAGCTGAGAAGAGAGTACCAGTTAATCCAAACCACGGTTTATACGCATTTTTTGAGAGGAGACAAGTTGATAACACAAAAGGAGAACAGCCAGATGGCACTGGAAATGGCAATCAAATATCATCTACTTTGCCTACATGGACAGAATCTCAATCTCTGTCGTCCAGATCCTGGAGAGCATCCGAGTTGAGATTGAAGTCATTCGAGGATTTACACACACTTTGGTTTATTTTACTTAGAGAGAGGAATTTATTATCCACTCAGCTTGAAGAATCTAGAAGATTAGGTGTCGACATCCAACAGTCCACTAGAGTAAATGAGAGAAGATACAGAGTGAGGAAATCAATGTCCAGAATCAAGTTCGTTCTTTCAGAGCGTCACCATTCTATTAGGGAAAATGTTAGTGAAAATATTCAGTAAAATGACTTCTTGTACCCAAACAATGAACTTTAACGTTATAGAATCAAATAATAGACAGACACGTGGGAAGCAACTTGCGAATGCTGCGATAGATGCAATGAACGATGTACAGGCTATACAGCTCGCTAAAATACAACAAGAGAGAACGGAGTTGAAGCTGACGATTCAGATGACACTCGGTGGCTGTACACTCTCCAGCTTCAAGGAATACCTCAAAGAGCTTTCTTCAGCTGGTTTAGAGAGGATACAACACGAGAGGCACATCGCTGAGCTCTGCTCGTACCCGCCATGTAAGAATCCTCCAAAATTTGCTTATAAAGAGCAGCAATCGCAATTGAGAATCGACAGACAATCGCTCAGTTTGTACAATAGTCACGATAAGGGTGCTTTCTGTAGTGATACCTGTAAACAGCGTGCAAATTGGGCTATTACACACTGTGTTGGGAAGAAGGAAAATGACTTCAATTTGTTAGTCGACGTAAAAGGTAATAAAAAGCTGCTAGAGGAGTATGAAAGTGGAGCTACTATCACTCAGGATGTTACTCCTACACCATCATCACCACCAAAAAATGTTAGATTTCAATAGCGCCTTCGTAGGTGTTATGAGGTATACGAACAAGATAGTCACCGCCGCTTGTATAGTTACCTTACTCAGTAGACCGTCATTTAACGCTGCTTGGGGTATTGGTGGTGCAGCAGCTTCTTCAATCGTTGGTGAGTCCATGGAGATGTTATCTGAGTTATAATCTAACGACCTAACAGCGAAAACGCTAAAATTGTTCATTAATAGTGCACGTCCATCAGAAAGTAAACATCCAATACGTCATCCAGAATTGAGCGAGAAAATCCTATCAGGAATAGACGGCACACGGACTGACGGTATGCCTAGCACACACTCAACCGTCTCTGGGTGGCTACTCGTCGCTGTTGCCTACTCAGAACTGAACTATTACATCAAAATACCCACATTAGCCTTTATAGGCAGCATACCTCTCTCACGCACACGCCTTGGAAAACACACACGAGCACAGATATGTTGGGGAGCTGCACTAGGCTTGTCGCTAGGTCTCGCTGGTATGCAAGTGCGGGAGTACTTCTATGATATTTTACAACAACTACTAAATATGTACATGCCTAGCCTGATTGTCTATTTGTCTTGAAGATGCATTTATAGATTATAACTTGCTTTGCCGTTTTGGTGCTGCCCCAAATCCTTTATCTATCGATAGTCCTAATTCTGATGTAGCTATTACACGCATGAGTGCATAATGATGTATGGCATGTGCATTAACGAAATGCAGCTGCATCGGGTTAGCAGTTGAACATACATACAATAATACTCACCTCACGTGCGTATGTAGATGGCATGCTGACAGTATCTGGCGTATACACAGTGAGTGTACACTGCTTACGAGCGCTCTCTATTTTATCTCGCTTTTGGAAGAAATCGATGAAACTATCGACTATCTTTTTGGAATAGGCCAGATCGGATTCAATTCGGCGGTCCTTCGTGGCGATGTCAAAGTCCACACTCGTCTGTGAGGATAGTGAGTGTATAAACACTCCAAATCGCTCAAGTGTATGCCTGACGTGCTTGCTTATCGATGAATTAGGGATGAGGTGGGAACGATAAATATAATCCTTTTGTGATAGTCCGGATAAAACCTGTTTGCATTGCTCTAATGTATAGACGGAATGTTGATACAGTTCCATGATCGTTGTTTGAATTCTAGGAGGAAAGCACGATCTTCTGTTTGTCAAATGACTATCTTGTAGGTTAAGATAAAAATGGAGAGACATATCTGGTTGTTTCTGTGCATGTTCAATTCTTCCACACTTTCCATTATAACAATTCTGGCGTCATAGCAAATAAAGTTCAGCTACAACATAACAAACAAAGGCACAGGCTGGCTGAAATATGGGCGTCAAAATAGGTTATCTATTGTCCATCAGCTGAGCACTTTGAAAGTGATGTTGTTCTCCTGCTGTATGTTCTATATCCTCGATATTTGTACAAACCTTTATGAGTCACCAAACAACGACAAATATTGCTCTCTTACACACCATATTTGTGAATTATACCTTAATTTATTACATAGAGATATGCTATCGTCGCTCCAGGATCTCGCAGGGTGCGTCTCAGATGTGATAAAGAAGCACAGTAGGTTTCTATATCAAACAAGTTGTATGAGATTTTTACACTATATGTCAGCATCTTTTTTCACTCGTAAGAAATCTAGTGAAGAATGCACCCGCAAGTTAAGTCGTCGTCGTTTACAAGCTCAACCACCACGCTTGACGGTTAACATAGACGAAAGAAGCCTTCCAGAGAAAGTTCAAGCTGGTCTTGAACAGCGCTGTCATTCATACAGTAGCTGCGGTCTGATTGGTTTATCGCCTCATTCTTCTTCATCTTCGTTGACAGTGACGAACAAATTACGAGAGAAGTCATGCGATATAGCAAACAAAGGTGATTTTACAAGCACTACTCTTACTGCCAATACGTCTATTGTTAAATTAGTCGATTTTTCAGGTGTCGACGATGACTTACATGACTTCGCGATGTCACAATCACCATTGACGACTTTTGTAATGTCATTTCAGGATATTGTTGACCTTTCCCAGGATTTTGGCGGTGTCGAAGAGGATTACGAGGACGGCTTCGATGATGACGAGAAGGTGCCTCTTAGTCAACGTATCAAATCACTCTATGGTGTTGACGCTTCTTGAATTTTTCTTTCCTTTTATTCTAGTTCTCTTGCTCCGTTGGCTTTCGATCAGTACTCTTAAGAAATGTTGTATGGTTGCATTTTTATCATCCGCTGTATTTTAAAAAAACCTACTGTAAAAGTACCTCACACTTGTTGTTCATATATTCACTCATTTTTTGTCTTGACTCTTTCATGTGGGAAGCCTGGTGAATTTGTATGTTGATGAATTTAATGGAAATATTGACGATACAAAAAGGATCTAGAAAGCTTGTTGTTGAGTAATAATAGCTGTTGCACAGTATAGATACATCTCCGTTAGGAGTAAAATTTTCACTTTTGGTTTTCAATTGTCAAATACTTTGAAACGATCCATCAAGTTGTTAAAACAACCAGTTCAACAAGCATTAATGGGGTAGCGGTAACCTCGATCGTTGCCATCGATCGGCCCCCGGTTCGACTCCGGGTTAATGCAGCATCTACCATCGAAAGATGGATTTGTATTTTTGCTTCGTGAACTCCGCGGATTACTATGTGGATCTTTTTTTTGTTTTTTTTTCTCTCAAGTAAGTAACGTCATGTCTAATTCCCAGGAGAAATGGTGCTTCAAATTGTTATTGCGAAGATTAGATCATCAGGAAACCCAATGATACTTCACAAAGATATCAATGTATTTATTTAATCATACATGTAACACACTTAAAGAGACAAATCGCTTTGATATTGTTCTGCTTCGTCTTCTGATATGAACATTGGCGAGGTAGTGGGTGACACTGAAGACCTCTTGTTGCTTTCCATGGAGAATTTTTCATTTACATTACTAGCCACCTCAGGGTCACCCATACCTGTACCCTCAAGGGAAAGTACCAATTCGCTTTGTAATCTTGCCAAATATATCATTAGATCTTGATAATTGAGTGTACAGTTTTTGCAAATCTGGCGCAGTTTTGAAGTAACCTAAGCGTAATTTAGAATATGTTCTCAATATAATACGCTAGCATGTCGCACGGATAAAACAGCCTGTCTACGTATAGCCATTTTACGAGCTTGGTTGATTACAGAATCATAACCATGTTCATTTTCGCTTGACAATCCACGGACGATGACATGGGCTTCGTCAAGTACTTCCCCAGGGAGGCCTGCACTTTTAGCCATCTGTAGACCGTAATGCTGTTCGACTGAGTTGCCTTCTGCGACTTTATACTGGAAGTATATTTCATCACTGCCTCCCTACAAAATGTTAAGTATGCTTTTACTATCGGTGGTGTACCAATACCACTGTAGTTGACATATGGAGCGTGACGACGCCCGGTTTGAATTGCAAATACGTCGAGAGCTGCCGAAAGTGAGTTGCGAAAATGACAAACGGACGACGGCGGATGAGTTCTTCGGATATCGCATAAGCCAAACCAAATCCTTCAGATGGTGTCGTGCCTCTTCCTATCTCGTCTAGTATTACGAGAGTATTAGACGTAGATGCAGTAAGTATGAGCGAGACTGTTGCCATTTCATGTGCGAAAGACGACAGATTTTGTTCTAGTACATCATTGTTTGTCTGACGAGAAAGTACGCCGTCCATGAGTCTCAAAGGAGTCAGAAAGAGAGTTATACCTGGAGCGCGCTCACTTGATACTTGCGTATTCAGCTGGTACATAACTCCCCAGACCAGCCATTATCACTATGAGTGCGATCATTCGCAGGAATGATGATTTGCCTGTTGTCTTAACATTTCCATATAATTAGACATCGTCTTACCTGACATATTAGGACCCTATTGGATGTTAATTTAGGGTTAAAGAAACATTGTCACACCCACTTCGATTATCTGAAAATGCGCAAAGTCGCTCATGAAGACGTCATTCGAAACAATTGTTTCTGAGTTGAGATTTTCAAGAAGAGGGTGTCTTGCAGACTTGAGTGCTAGAGTGTCAGTCTAAGTGATCTGTTAGCAGACATTCTTTCGTTACTCGGAATATACTGACAAATTCTGGTCTGACTTGTGGAAACGTAAATTTGTCTACAAAGATAAACAACACACACTGTAATCATGAACTGTTGATATTAAATAACATTAGAGTTAGGAAGATAACTTACTAAGGGCAGCATTGGTGAGAGAAACAATGAGGTCGAGCATGGCAATAGCGTCACTGGCTCTATATATCGGTGAGAGACAGCCTATAACAACAATCCTAATATCTAGCACGCATTGTTTTGACAGTAGGTAAACTTCAGCCAGGGCATCATTGATCCTTGAGTTACGTTTAAGAAGATCAATAGTAGTGAAGCGATATCTTCCCGCCATGTTTTCTGAATTGTTCTTGTTCTTTCCTTTCGAGCCATATTTTGTGACATTTATGAACTCCTTTGGCAGATCGCTATTACCAAGGTCTGATATCTTAAGTGTTAAATGGAAAGCATTGTTAATATACGTGCATGTGATTGGCAAGTCGTAAGTTTCTATGAAGTGAGTTTTATACATGCAATTTAACGGATTCTCACCAGTGTATTTGGTGCTCAGGGCGAATAAATCATCGAGATTTTCCCTATATGCTTCTCTAGCGACATCCAGCAGCTCGCATTGCTTTGACTGGAATGGCTTAAGAATAAAAGATTTTGATGATATTTTCTTACTTTGATTGCGTAAATTTTAGCATTCCTTGCTGCCAAACTGCCACTTTTACCCAATGTTACGTCCTGTTCGATGTTTTCGTCGATTGCAGAAATAATGCAGTTGAAAGCGTCATCATGGAGATCCTTATGAGTGAGTGAGTAATTTCACCAGGCGTACATCTAATTTACATTGCGAAGTGTAGTCAACAAAGATGATTTAGCACCGTCAAGTGCGTAATAAATGTTAGAAATGGCGTGTATAGCCGAGCGAATAGTGAGCAGCTGGCTTATGCGCTTTTCTACTTCATGGTCTTGTGCTGTGCTTTTGTTCTCATCTTTCGAGATCTTTGTCGCGACGTGAGGAATGTGGTGTGCGATTAGCGTGGCTTACCGCCATTAAAAGTTTATCAAGGTCGATACCCTTAAGTGATTTGAAAGATGACCTAATAGCATTCAAAATGTCCTAGAAAGTATTATGCTGACTAATGTACAAACATACGATCAACATACAGCATTAAGCAGTAGCTCTTGAATGGCATCGAGTCGGTTTTCGATTATTTTCGCATCTGAATTCGTCAATGGGACAATCCATGAGTTCAACAAGGCTAACCGGAAAGGGGTTGAAGGATTGATGATCTCAATAGACGTCTACCCATTTGGGAGAGACAGCTGTCGAGCAGGCCTAACACATTATAGGATTAGTGATAAGCACATGTAAGCTTACTCAGCAGAGACATTCCATGGGCATTGCCAACCGCGCTGGTAGTCAATTCCAAGTCCTGAGCCGTCTGCGACTCGATGAACATCGTCCCTTTATGCTCCTGATAACTGATGCTAAGCGAGTTAGGTGCGAATACAGTAGTCTGGACTGAGTCGAGGTAACTGTTTCACATTAACGTAACGGAAGTCGATCGGGTTCTTATGTACCTGAATAGAGCAGATGCTGCGGCAACAGCATAGTATCTTGGCAACATAATAAACGCTAGCGTTTCAGCATGAAGATAGCTCACTTTGATCGCAAGACCATCATCTTGGCATCTTTAGTAACGTCTTTTAATATAAAATTGTCGATATTGTCTAGACCTTTGATGTCATTAAAGTGCTTTCTCTATAGGATGATGTGAAAAGTGTGCATTAAGCACCCTAATGAGCTTTTATTTGAAAATTATTACCAACCTGGATGCTTTTTACGTTTGCAGGTTTGTGATATTCGAGTAATCTAGACACGAGAAGACTTTTTGAGGATTGTTCTACCTGGTTCTTGCCGACTGAAGTGCTGCAAACTAAAATTGTAGAAGGTGTGTCTTTTTTCGCGTAAGTTGATAAAATTGCGAAGCGATCAGATGACATAGCATACACAAGCTAACATGGTGTAACGTCTTTAAGAATGTAACAGAGTCCGCAATCTACGTAATTGTAATTAGCGCATGCGTTCTGTTGTAGAATATTCAATCAACTTGTGTGAGAGTGATTCTGCCGGTGTTGTTGTTGATAGCTGCTAGGCCAACCTGGTGTGTGACATCTCTACTCTCTAATAGAGAAATTGTCCATTCGTTACAAACTGGCGTGTCGTCGGCGAAGTTGAGAGATGTGCGATTGCTGTGCCGGGGGAAGACATCCTGGCTGGAGATCTCTGAAGATTTTCTACCCATCTCTAGGATACTTGCTTGCTAGATGGTCGTCGTAAATAAAGAACGAGAAACTGCGCTAGAGAAGAGAGATGTAGATGTGTTGGTGACGGAGAGATGCCTGAATAGAGATATAAAGGGACGAATGCGACGGATATAGTAAAGCGTGCGGTTGTAACTTTATAAGATTTTATTACCAAATCCGTTCTCACTAACGGAATTACTCAATTTAAGTTGATTCAGCTCACGACACTCTTGAAATCTCCCGCCAAGGTCGAAATCTAAAATAACAATAAAAATAAGAAATCAATAGTCTGCTGGACAGGCTGACTATAAAAATGGATCACCACTTTGAGCAACCAATAAAACCACCGAGAACTTCGTCTTTACCGTATGATCTAGCTACTAGATCTTCGAGAACGACTCCAGACTCTCACTCGCTGGCTTCTTACACCCAGTCTTTGAATCTTTCAAATAGCACGCCAACTAGATCTCATCCCTACGCGTCTGATGACTACTACTCCGGTGATACAATTAGCGCAAGTGACGGGTCAGTTTTGATTTCGCTTTTTTATTCTTCTAACAAAAAATAGTCTAGCTTCTATTGATTGCACTCAGACAGATTTCTTCCCTTGTCAGGATATGCTAGGGATCCAACCACAGGAAAGCGTCTACGTTCCCTTGCAGACGCACCATAGCTACCAGCTATCGAGGCCACCGAGTTTGACCTCTCTCACAAACTCAGACAAAACTTCACTGTCAAGCTCAATTAAGCGATTTGAACCCCCTTCGCCTAACTACCCAGATCAGTCTTTTGAACCACCACCGAAATTCTCGAGACTGGGCCAGTTCAACAAAGCAGCAAACGACGTATTAGACGTAGAGACAGCCTCGAGAAATTCTTATTCGAGGGCTCTGCCAAGTTACTCGCACCATCCCTCTCCATTAACCTATTCCTCCACTACCTCCGACCAGGAGCTCACTACTCAATACCATTCAAACAACTACTACCAACCTTTAGGAGGAACTCCTCAATATCCTGATTATTATGGTAGCTCTTTTTATCCTACCATGTCCTCCCAGATATCGCGTCCAAACACCTCTCATAGCCGCAAATCCAGGTCAACGAGTATATCCCAGCAATCTGCTAATTCTAGAGTATACGGTGGGTGGGGTATGCATCAGCCTCATCTCGCTATGACAGGTATCCGTCAAGCTCATTTACCAGCACCAACTAGAATATCTTCTTTAGACCATACCCAATTATTTACACCAGATATTACTCAAATAGAATCTCCCGAAGCTATTTCTTCGAATCCAATACCTATGTCTGGTGTAATCACTCCAGAAATGGCTTATACTAGCAGCATGACAAGCGATGGTGCTAGTATTTCAGACAGTATGTCCGGAAGCTTTTCAGGTAGCGCCGCACCAAGTATAGCTACTAGTATGACCGGTAGTTTATCAGCTGTATCTGATACCGGTCCAATGACGATTCGACCTATGCCAGTTCGCAAGAGGGCACAAACACTCGCTACACCTAATCCACCTATTCCGCCCTACTTGCGACACACCAAGAATCAAACGCCATCTATTCTCGAAACTATCGATAGTAAACCACGTCCAAGATCACGGTCTTCGACAATGAGTAATGGTGACGATGGCAGCCAGATGGCGACTTTCAACCCTGAATTGAAGGAGCTTTTGGATAAAATATTTATTGAATACTTGAACGATGTTTGTTCAGATCGTGAGTATTGATATGTTTTAGGAATGTCTTATTAACTTGTTTTAGTAAACGTAACAGATTCACGAGGAGAATTCCTGCATCAAACGCTGACGGCTAAAAAGATGCAAAAATTGGATCAATCTGATGATTTCCGACCATTCAAATTCCGGATACAAGCTTTCACGTCCGCCTTTCAAGATCGATTGTTACAGCACAATATTGGAGAATCCATCATGCCGTTAAAACGCGTAAAAATATACCTATGGTCATCGCCCTATATATCTCGCTTTAATGAGGATGGCAAAAAGGCCAAGAGCAAGGGTAATCATATTTGGAATATTAGCGCAAGGAAAGACCGGCAGAATGGTGGATGGGTATTTGAGGAATTCGCCCCACGAATTTCGGGTATACCACCAGCAGTTGCTTATACTGGCGTACCTTGGTCATTTACACCCCGAGTTTGGGATCCAAGAAATTCATTCGCGCAGCTGAAGCCAACATTTTCTTCTCCGGCACTTCCACATTGGTTGAGCTGGGTATTCCAGCCTACCACCCGGGGAGAAGGCAGATACACGCTCACGGGAACACCTGATGCGACAGCCAGGACAACGGAGATTGTGATTGAAGCGAATTATATACAAAACGGCCACCCAAATAAGTTACACTTTGCGTTCTTGCTTAAGATAGCCGATGAGCAGAAGCAGCCTACGTCAGCGCCACCAGGAGCGTTACCTACGATCAAGGACTCACCAATAGACACCTCGTCTGCTGGATTAACATACTCACCATCACCCGACGATCTTTATTAGGACGAGTGAGTAGCGGGATGCGTTCACGACACCTACACTTTCATTTGTAATTTTTATTAGCTTGTTTTTTATTATATTTGCATACATGTGGTTTGTAGTTACGCGCTTCTGATAAAAACACTCTTGATAGTGACCAACGATCATGCAAGTACGCAACAATCTAGACGATCTACGACGAAGGATGGGTCGACCGGATGCGTCGTCTACACCGTTATCGTCCACGAAAGCTCCTATCAAGATTGACGACGACGAACCCGTGGCGAGTAGAGAGAGCGTGAATAGCAAGACCAGCAAAGTGAGCAAAGTGGGTTTGTGTACAGATCGATAGACGAATGCTCACCTTTACAGTTCAAACCAGCTACCGTCGTGTCTCCCGTTAGTTCTGGAGATAAAGAATCATTTGCGTCTACGTCTGCGATCCAACAACAGAAGCGTGCACTCTCGAATACACCAGCTTTAGAGCCATCTAGCAAACGTGTACGGCAGCAGTCTCTACCAAAGACCCATAATGATACGATAACCTACGTAGATGATTCGGACGATCTCATTAATGATACCTTCACTGGAGACGTTTTAAATGACTTGAATAGCCAGGAGAAATACATCAAACCTGTTGAGAACAAGGAAATTACATCTAGTAGACCTTCTCGACAATACAACTCAGATCTGAACTTACTATCAGTCTCTGTCATACAGAATCTGTTATGCACTACTCTCAGGAGGAAGGATGGCGTCATGGAAGAGCTTCTGTCCTTCTATGAGCAGGGTCTCGACGATGGAACCGTAGACCGTGACTATCTTCTCAACGAGAGACATCGGCTACAAGACCGCATATTGAATCTAGAAAAAGCGCTTTCAAAAGCCAAAATGAGTGAAGAAAGTAGTGGAAAACAGGGCGCACCGACTAGTTCGCAAAATACGCGCAATGAGCCTGTCGTCGCAATCGATTCTTCACCTATGGCGCCAAAGTATACCACGCTACCACCACGTCGAGAACCTTTAGGAAGCGTTACGAATGAAAATCCACCAATACTTAATAGAACAGAATCTTCAATAATGCCCTTCGCAGACAACATGATGGATCTCGATGGTGTCGATTTACACGAACCACTGATGTCAGATGACGATGTTGCGCCGATGAACATGCAATCATTTGGTGATGTTCCCGAAGACGATGAAGTCAGCGTGATGGAACCACCACCAAGAGCTCCAGAAGTTGTGAAACACGAAGAAGACAACTACCCTCGATACCCATGGTCGCGAGACGTCGAAAAAGTGATGCACGACATGTTCAAACTTAACGCGTTTCGTAAAAACCAACGTGAAGCAATTGACGCGACGTTGGATGCCAAAGACGTCTTCGTATTGATGCCAACTGGTGGTGGTAAATCAGTTTGTTACCAAATACCAGCATGCGTAGATCTAGGAAAAACTCATGGTGTTTCTATCGTCATATCTCCCTTGCTTTCGTTAATTCAAGATCAAGTTCAGCAATTAGTATCAAAAGATGTCCCATCGTATGCCTATTCTGGTGGCACAGCACTCGCTGATAAACGCGCAATTCAGGATGATCTGCGAAGACCGAAACCAATAACGCGATTGCTTTATGTCACCCCTGAAATGCTTGGGCAGAGTAATGCTTTTAAGGATATATTGAAACAACTTCACGCAAAGGATCAACTCGCACGGTTTGTAGTTGATGAAGCTCATTGTGTCAGTCAGTGGGGACATGATTTCAGACCTGATTACACCAACCTTGGCCAACTTCGCGATGACTTCCCTGGCGTTCCTTTTATGGCGCTCACCGCAACAGCAAATGAGCGCGTAAAGTCAGACATCAAAAACAGTCTAAGGATGAAAGGATGCGTCGAGCTCAAATCGTCTTTCAATCGCAAGAACTTGTTTTATGAAATCAAGCCAAAAAATGGCAAAACAGTTTATGCTGATATACAAAATCTAATAAATAACAAGTTTAGAGGCCAAACAGGTATAATTTACTGCTCTTCGAAACGCGCTTGTGAAGATGTCGCAAGCAAATTAAGACACGAGTATGGTCTACCTGCCCAGCATTACCATGCAGGACTTAGTCGTGACGATCGTACGAAAATACAGATAAACTGGCAAAAGAATAGGTTTCTAATTATTTGTGCTACCGTTGCATTTGGTATGGGTATTGATAAACCTGATGTCCGATTCGTTATCCACTTCTCAATGCCGCAATCATTGGAAGGCTATTATCAAGAAACCGGAAGAGCTGGTAGAGATGGTGAACATAGCAACTGTATTCTCTATTTCGCTTATAAAGATACGATCACGATAAATTACCTAATTGACAATGGTGAAGGCACACATGAGCAGAAGGCAACCCAAAGGTCGAATTTACGTCAAGTTGTACAGTTCTGCCTGAATAAAACAGATTGTAGGAGAACTCAAGTACTCAACTATTTCGGTGAGCATTTCGATCCACGGAAATGTCACAAAACTTGCGATAATTGCTTCGCGGGTGTGGGAACTGAGAAGAAAGATGTCACTGAGGAATCAAAAAATGCCGTACAACTCGTCAAAGATGTCTTCAGGTCGAGTGTAACGATGCTTCATTGCGTTGATGTTTTCAAAGGCTCAGGAGCGGCTAAAATACGTGATAAAGGACACGATCAGATACCATCATTTGGTAAAGGTTCACACATGGAAAAGGGAGATGTTGAGAGACTCTTTCAGCTCTTGTGGACTGAGCAAGTACTAGGTGAACGATATGAGCAAAATAAGCAAGGCTTCACCAATGCCTATATCAAAGTGAGTGGATGCTTATCTATAAATATTGCTTGCTAATAGGATCCACCAGCTCGGTGCACAATACCAACAAGTCTTAAATGGAAAGAGAAGAATATACATGACGGTTGGCAAATTTGGTTCTCGCAGACAAAATGATAGGAATAGCACTGGCGGTGCTTCCACTTCTAGAAAGAAACCCACCAAGGATGTCGAGGAAGATACTGATTACGAGGAGATTGACTCTGATCATAGCTTTGTGCAAAGTTCAGCGAATAATGGTGGTTTCACGACATTCAAACAGCAGACGAGACAGAAGGCAAATGAGAAAAACCATCGGATTGATGTCGCTGACTCGGATGATGAGATCGACCTCACAGGTGATGGTGATACAAACATCCATAACAATTGTTTCGATGAGCTCACACAGTTGAAATTGAAGGTGATTGGCGTCTTTTATTGTGACTATTTCTAACGTCAGAATAGTTAAGTAAAACGGGTAAACCTCAGCCATCTGATGCCACACTCGAGACACTCTCTTTAACACTACCAAATTGTGAGTTCTGCGATTTTATAATATAACGCCCACTTAAATGCTCCAGCTCTCAAAGATATTACCAACACTGAAGGTATCGACGATGTCAATTACGACGTGCAATATCTTGAAGTAACAAAGAAATACAACAAGGTGAGACCTGGATCCAGGAAGACGTCTATGCATACAGAGTGAGTCATTTCACCTATAATAATGTTCATATTAACGTCAATAAGCACATCAATCACACCTGGTTCCCTCGCATCGAAATTTGCCTACAAGGTCCCAGACACGAGCAACAATAGCATATCATCAAACAAGAGTTCAACCAGTCGGGCTAACAAATATACTAGAGTTGACAACAAGAAGACATCATCGACGGGTATAAGAGCAATGGTACCGGGAAGAAAATAAAAACGCATAGCATAAATTATCATTAGTTGTGTATTAATAGAAAAATGTATAGAAAATTATGTAAAGAGCGTAGATATATTAAGTGTGGTGTATGTTGATTGTTGTATACTACAGATTGTATTTGTTTTCATGGTATAATCGTATGAGCGTATGACGTTATACAGTATTTTTGTTTCAATTTAGCAAGAAATTTTCATGTTTAGTTGAAAATGCTTGAGACGACACCAGCACCGGCACCGAAACCGACCTGAAGGGAGTTTGTTAGTTTATGACGAATGAATTCAAGTGAAACTTACACCGCCAGCAAAGGAATTACCCATGGTTGAGCCTAATTTCTTAAACTTGTTGTTCTTTTTCTGTTCATCTGGTTGCTGAACGTAGGTGGTTGGACCAGCTGCTGGTGGAGCTGCTGGCGGGGTGTAATACTGTCCTGGCTGTGGATATGCAGGTGCATTAGCATAGTTTGGACCGCCGTAGGAGATACCTGGTGGAGCGTTGTACGCTGGTGCGTAACTCTCATCTTTTTCTTTCTCCTTCTCTCCAGTACCGCCGAATGTAGACGATGGTGGTGCTGGTGGGAGACCTCTTAATGGTTGAGATACTCTTTCGACTCTGTTGCTTGGGAATAGACCTTCCTGGCCCGTGCTGTCGCTGCGTCCACGCCACCAATCAGCATTAACCTCCTCGAGGATTGTGATGACATCACCCTTGACGAGTCTTAGATCAGAGGCTTCACCAGAGTAGTCCCAACGGGCAGTACACTTGTTCAGGGCGGGTTGTGGAGGTACGACCGGTATTGGTGCCTGAGGAGGCGGTGGTGGTGGTGCGTGAACTTGAGCTGGTGGTGGCTGGACTTGTGGCTGGACAGTGGTTGGAATTGGGAGCATCTGGGGCTGTGGTGCTCCTGGTGGACTTGGCAGAGGAGAATCCTTGTTGTTGTTGTTGCGAAGACTAAGGCTAGCGCGCCTGCTGACAGATGGCAAACTTGTGTTTGAGCTGTTGAAGCCAGTCTGTTGGTTAGGCAAGCCGGCGGATGGAGGGCCTACTAAGCTCGTTGATGAGTTATTTGGATTTGAAAGTTTCAATTTTATTAAGCGAGCATCCGATGCATTGAGGACACCTTGGGTGAGTAGGAAATCAACCTGTGAAGTTATATTGTTTATTATGTGGTCTATGTATACGTTATCTGCCATTTTTTCTGCCCGCCTTGAGAGTAACGAAGGAAGGGGTTCATTCATTCCAAAACTAGGCGGACATGGAAATCGCACTAAAGAGTTTCGACGAACGGAGGCGTGAATTAATAAATAAAGAAAAGGAACACCGTCTGGATTCCAATGAGCAGCGAATTTTGTTTACGATAGGGGGGAAATATGCCATTGCAGCAGCCACGATCAACGATATTAGAACGAGAGAATGGGATACTATATGGTCTGCATCTCAAAGTAGAGAAGTCGGCGCACCTTTCCTCACTTGTAAGGAATGCACTACTTTCTGCCGATAGATATGAACATTCCTCAGCGAAAGATATCATCAAGTCGAGCAAACTGTATGAGATCATACAGAGGATGCCGAAAGGTGGTCTTCTACATGCGCACACCGACGCTAGTGAGTTTGTCATCTGTTTTGATTTCATCTAAGCAGATAACAGCTCTACCATTGAATGATGTCTTTGATATTGTTCACAAATATGGTGCAAATATTGAGATTTGTTCTACACATCCTCTCACAGCAGAAAATTTGGATAACGGACATGCAAAGCTACAATTCAGACCTACAAAGGTGCCAATTACAGAAGCGTCTACTGAAATTGCTGCAAGTATGCTGACAAATGATTATAAACCAGGGATGTGGTGCAATTACCATCAAATCAGTACTTTGTTTAAAGACAGCAAGCTTGATGACTACATTCACGCACAGATGCTAATATCAGCTAAAGAGTGTTACGTTACACATAATACTATGGGGAAGATATGGTCGAAATTCTCTAACTGTTTTAGTGTCCTTGCTGGATTGCTCTCCTACGAACCAATTTGGGAAGAATACGCCAAGCGTCTTGTACTTAATTGTGTAGACGATGGTGTTGGATATCTAGAAACGAGGTTGCTCATGATAACTGAGTTTTTTTACGACATAGAGTGCAATCTACGCCTCACGCGTAGAGACACAGTATTGATTTTGCTGCGTGGAATCGAAGCTGCGAAGCGTACTTTACAAGAGCAAGGTAAGGTTGAACAGTTTTATGGGCTAAAAGTTATCTACTGCACATTGCGATTCTTAAAACCAGAAGAGATTTGGTCATCGATGATGATCTGTCTCGATCTCTATAAAGAGTTTCCGGAGTTGATTAAAGGTGAGTCAAATGAGAACGTGGAAGAGAAGCTGAGAAGGGAATTCCAGGTTTTGATTTGGTCGGACATGAGGATTCCTCTGAGGCATACACTCTGAAGGCCTATCTACCGATTTTGTTGCGTTTCCAAGAACTACAGCTTGAGGAATTTGGTGATATCAAAGTACCGTTTGTATTCCATGCGGGTGAGACGCTCGGGGATGGTAGCCCAGTTGATGAGAACCTCTACGACGCGCTTTTGTTAGGAACACGAAGGATTGGACATGGATACAGTCTCTATAAGCACCCAGAGCTCATGAAGATGTGTAAAGAGCGTGGCGTGCTGGTAGAAAGCTGCCCTATTTCGAACGAAGTACTCAGACTCACTGGTGGTATTGGAAAGTGAGTGATGTCTCATTGTGTTACGTTAGCTGACTAACGTGTTCAAGTCATCCTGTAGCCGCACTAATAAACCACGGAGTGCCTGTATCACTATCGAGTGATGATCCAGCAATATTCCAGAATCCAATATTATCATATGACTTCTACACACTCCTGAATCATTCGACGAAAACAAACCTCGCGACATTGAAAGTACTAGCAAGGAACTCACTCACGTACTCTCTTATGGAGAATCCTATGAAAGAGCGTGTTATGCGTAAATGGGAGCAGCACTGGGATGAATATCTAGATTGGATTGTCAACATAATGGGTAGCAAAAAGGAGCTATACAATTAAAAGGAATATAATAATATCTGTACTATATCCTTTATAACTATATATCAATTTCTTATTTTTTGTCAAATACCACTTCGCGCTGATGTATCTTCCTTCTAACGCTCAGAAATGTCAGCACAAGTAGCAGGGCCACAGCCAGCAGGCGTGGATGTAAACAGCAGTTCATTCAAGGATAAGGTAGGTATTAGATCTAATATAGTCTCTCCTAACAAAATACCAGGGCAAACCAATGGAAGGTTAGCGAAGACATAGCCTAGACGACAAATCTAACGAGAATGACAGTCCGTTTGTCTAACATGACAGCAGCAAAGAGTATGTATAACCATACGCTTAAGATATCCATATTGACGCTCCTACAGCGATTTCATCTGTTGTCAGGTCTTCCCTTGGTCCTAGAGGTCTTGATAAGATGGTGAGTGTATAAGTATAAAGAGTGCTTTCTCACAGAATACCAGATTCAAACTTCAAGCGGAGAAGTTATCGTCACGAATGACGGTGCAACAATTCTGAACCACATGGCGGTTCTCCACCCAGCAGCACGAATGGTGAGTATTTTAAATAGCCATATGCAGACGTTAATAAATATCAGCTCGTTGAATTATCAAAAGCTCAAGATGTAGAGGCTGGTGACGGTACAACATCAGTCGTCGTACTCGCTGGTAGCTTATTAGGTGCAGCTGAGAAAATGTTAAACAAAGGTATTCACCCTACAATTATTGCAGAATCTTTCCAAGCAGCTGCCGCAAAAGCTGTTCAAGTACTTGAAGAAATATCTATCCCAGTTCAACTCGACGATAGAGACGCTTTATTACGTGCAGCTACAACATCACTCAACTCAAAGATCGTTTCACAATACTCTAACGTTTTAGCACCAATTGCTGTTGACGCTGTTAAAAAACTCGCAAATGAGGAATCAACAAATGTAGACCTTCGTAACATCCGCACAGTTAAGAAAGTTGGTGGTACTATTGATGATACAGAATTAGTTGACGGTTTGGCACTCGAACAACCTGTTGTTACCTCAGCTGGAGGTCCTACAAGAATCGAAAAGGCAAAGATTGGTTTGATTCAATTCCAATTGTCATCACCAAAGCCAGACATGGACAACAAGATTGTCGTTAACGATTACCGTCAAATGGACAAGATCCTCAAAGAGGAGCGTCAATATTTATTAAATATGTGCAAAAAGATTAAAAAATCTGGATGTAACGTCCTTCTCGTTCAAAAGTCAATCTTAAGAGATGCAGTTAATGATTTATCATTACATTTCCTTTCAAAATTAAAGATTATGGTTGTTAAAGACATAGAAAGGGATGAGATTGACTTCATTTCAAAATCAACTGGATGTAAACCAATTGCTGATATTGAACATTTCACTGAAGATAAGTTAGGACAAGCTGAATTAATTGATGAAGTTCACAAGAATGGTGCTAAATTCGTTAAAGTTTCTGGTTTAAAGAACCCAGGAAAGACAGTTTCAATATTATGTACAGGTGCAAACAACTTAGTTTTGGAAGAATCACAACGTTCTTTACATGACGCACTTTGTGTTGTTAGATGTCTCGTTAAGAAGAGATTCTTGATAGCTGGTGGTGGTGCACCTGAAATACACATAAGTAGAAAGCTTAGTGAAATCGCCCAAGGTTTGAAGGGTATGGAAAGTTACTGCTTTAGTGCTTTCAGTGAAGCATTAGAAGTTATACCAACAACTTTAGCTGAGAACGCCGGTCTTAACCCAATTGCAATTGTTACTGAATTGAGAAACCGTCACGCAAAAGGTGAAGTTACAACTGGCATTAATGTTAGGAAAGGTCTCGTTAGTGATATCAAGCAAGAAAATGTTTTGCAACCACTTATCGTTACTACCAACGCACTTGAGCAAGCAACTGAAACTGTTTCACTCTTGTTGCGTATTGATGATTACAGCATTAGTCGTTAAGTAGGTTTTTTTTATCTTTTGTTAAATGAAATTATACATATTCTTCTCTTCTTTAATAAATAATACAAAGTAAATATAAAATGATTCAAAACAAGCAATTAATCTGAATCATAAAGAACTCTATTTGATGACACACTTTCATTATCGCTGAGGTCAACTTTGTTAGTGAGATTTGAGAAACTACCATCAGCAACCGGTGAGGTAGTAGCCACGGTTGTAACTTCATCAGTTTCATTGTAATTATTAGGAGGTATGCGGATCTGTGTGAAGAACATTTTTAGTGGACCAAGACCATAATTTATTATTGAATAAACGTTGAAACGTGGGATGTTGAATGTGCCTCCTTGGCAAACAACGAATTGAGATTCATGTACTATAATTTTTGCAGCGCCTTCAATTACGTAGAAAACGTATGTATTATCACCAGAGCTCTTTGATGGTTTGTGTTTATCTTTATCAATAACGAGCAAACCTGAAGCCATATGATCTGGTTCAGTGAAGAATTTCTTGAATTCAAACAACTTTCCTTCCTTGATTTTACCAACATGAGAACGTTTGGCTGTGAAAACTAAATCTTTTTTGAATTCTTTACCCTGATCATCACGAATAAGTACAGCTGGTTTAGTTTTTTCATCAAGTGTACGATAATATTCTGCCTCTTTCTCCTTTTCGCGTTTTTTGGCTGTTTCTTTTGCATGTCTTTTCTTTTCCCCTTCGTCAACAAAGTGACTTTGATTGAATATTGGTGGACCACCAACGACGTTCCCGTAGAAATCTGTCCTCTCAAGTGCCCAACTTGCTAATGGACGTATACGACGACGTTTCGAGCGACGTACACCCGTACCAATTTGATCAGAATAGTTGCTATCTTGGCGAGTAAGAGAGGTTGTTTTAGCAACCCATCCTTGCCCTTCCGGAAGTGGTGATTGAGGAGGTGTAGGTGAACGTCTCCTGCGTTGCCGCTTTGGAGGAACAGCAGGTGAGGCTTCGCGAGATTGGCCTTCCTCCTGAATATCTTCGAGTGGTTCTGGATAAGCCTCTGGCTCTGGTTCTGGATATTGTTCTTCAGGGATGGGTGACGGTGAGACACGAGAAGGTTCCTCTGCAACCTGCTTCTTTTTACCTTTACTGAGGGACTTGAGACGTGAAAGACGCTCCTGTTCGCGGGAATTTTCCTCTTCTTCCTCCTGTTGTCGCTTCTTTTCACGCTCAAGCTGGGCTCGCCTCTCCTTCCTCCGTCTCTCGCGCTCTGCTTTCTCCTTGTCACGCTTTTTAGTCTCAGTGGCTTTTTTCTTTTCTTGTTCTTTCTGTTTTTTCTCTTCAATACGCGCTTGTTCTTCCTCGCGAGCGTGCCTCTCCTCGCTTTCACGATTATCATTCTCATCAGGAAGCCCTTCGTCAAAGTCTTGCATACTAGCCGGTGAATTCTCATCACGCTGTGGTGGTGGCGGCGTCGCCGGACGCGATTTGCGTTTGTGTTGACGTCGACTTGGAAGTGGCTGAGATTTTGGTATCTCATTATAAATTTCGTTATCACTGTGATCATCATTTGGGAGTGGCTGTGAAGCATATGGTTGCCTTCTTAGACTGCTACTCAGTAGATTCTTCGGTGAGACAGGTTCGCCTGGTTATTTGTGAGCTGAATGATAATACATTGATACAAAACCCACTATTAACTATATCCATAGCGGATGAATCATTGTTGTAGCTGTAATTCACTCGTTTATCGTTATCGTTATCATTCCCAAAATCGAGATCATTGAATACGCCATCATTTGTTTCCAAACCCTCAGCAAAGAAATCATCAAGGTTCTCGAGACCGTCTGCATCTTTAGCAACATTCCCTATACGTATACCTGTTTTTCTAACGTATATACGTCAGGATGAACCACGAGAATAAAGAGACTAACCGTCCTACAACGCCAGGATCATCGTAACGATATTTAGACATTTTCTTGGTGATTTACTTTTATTTTTATGAAATTATGATGATCGTTGTTGAAATAGAATTCTACAACGCGTTTACTCACTTTCCAAATTCGATAAATGTTTGGGAGGGCATTGTCTGCTAATCGTCGAGGTGAGCTTTGGTAGTTTGCGCTATTATTTATTTAATATTGTCTTCAGTCGTAGTTGGTATGTCCGGTGGCGTAGACTCAGCTGTAGCAGCCGGTATTTTAGTCAATCAGGCGAGTAGCTTTACTTTAAATTAGCACCTCCCCTTATTTTAAATCAGGGATTGGACGTTAGAGCGGTATTTATGCGTAACTGGGACACAAAGGATGAGTTATCACTCAGTACAGTAGGTGGTGTGAAGGGATGCGAATGGGAACGTGACTGGGAGGATGTAAAGCGAGTCTGTCACCATCTCAATATTAAAGACTTGAAACTAGTCGACCTCTCAAAGCAATACTGGTACGATGTATTTGAACCTTCTTTGGATGTCTGGCGGGATGGGCGAACACCAAATCCAGATATAGGATGCAATAAACATATAAAATTCGGTGCACTACTCGACCTCGTACTAAAGAACGATGATATGTTGGCGACGGGACACTATGCTCGCATTTTGAACAACCACCTATGCAGAGGACGCGATCGACTTAAAGACCAGAGCTACTATTTGTCAGCTATACAAAGATCTGTGTTGGATAGAGTCGTCTTCCCACTTGGTACCCTCGAGAAGAGCCATGTGAGGAGCCTGGCGCGTGAGTTGCGACTCCCAAACGCCGAGCGAGAGGAGAGTATGGGAATTTGCTTTGTAGGTGAACGGGGTAATAGATTTGGTGCATGGTTGGATGATTATGTCGACAATGTACCGGGTTATTTTCTCACAGAGGACAACAAACCGATTGGTAAACATCGCGGTGTTCATCACTACACAATTGGTCAGAAGGCCGGTATTGGAGGGATGCCATCGAAAATGTTCGTTGCTGCAAAGAGAGATACGGATATCATTGTCGTCAATAATTCCCAACATGATCTTTTAAAGTGCAAGAAAATTTTCACACTTGGTGATACAAATTGGTTGGCAGACATTCCAGCAAAGAGCTTTGAGGCACATGCCCAGGTTAGACATCGCCAGCAGGAAACAAGATGTACTGTGGAAGTCGTTGACAATAAATTAGAAATCACATACCAAGAATACGAAATGGCAGTAGCTCCAGGTCAGGTTGTCGCGATATATGTCGGTGATATATGCGTAGCATCTGCAACCATAGACAAAACTCAAAGTATTATAGACTAGTTATAGATTTACATGCATGTATTTTTAATGTATCAGGGGACGTAATTGCATATATTCTGCAATGAATGTTCGCATGATTGCGTTCCATCTTGACATTGTTGGTATACTAAGTGCAGATCTGTCATCAGATAGTTTGTGCCAGACTGAAGGAAATGGGTTGGGTATTACGTGGAATATAGGTACACCTCTATGGAGGAAAGGTAGATGGTCATCTGAGATACCAGATCGTGATGTCCTATTAACAAAAAACCGTGATTGGAAGTTATTCGATTGATCTACTGTAGGCGTTTCAGCTATGCTGTTCAATCTGTTTTCGATATCAATCATATGAGAGTGCATCCACTCGGTTGTTGAGAAGTAGTTGGGAATTGTTGGGTTAGGTGCTCCCAGTAAGTCCAATAAAACGAGGTGGTCGATACGATCCAACTCAGTTGGATGAGGCTTAAGACGTCTCTTCGATACTGGAGGGTGGTGTGCTTCTTGGATGTCAATGTAGCTGGTTGACAAAGTCTCGGCGAGGTGTTTTGCGCCATATATTGAGTCGTTATCTGACCAATTCTCGAAAGCCTCCTCGCCGTCAAAGAAGATCATCTGGAGGCTCAAATCATGTTCATCGAGTTGCCTCCCATCGAAAGAAGGACCGTATGAGGTCGTGAAGTTTGATCTATCACCACCCGTTGCTTTTATGTAAGGTGGTAACGGCACTTGACCTGATTTTAAACCGAACTTAAGTGAATCGAACTTGTTCAAGATGGGCGTAAAGAAGGTAGCCAAATCGAGTAGCAAGGCGCAAGGGAATGCAGAGTCAGTTGCACCTAGAAACTCAGCGTTCTTGAAGTATTTGCTGTCATAGTGTGCGGCTAAAGTCAACCTAAAAGGGGCGTCTTTGTTTGAGTTAACGACAAGATTGTTGAATGTCTTTCTACCAAGTGGAGTGTTTGATTGGAAGGTGTCAATCGTAGCATCCCAGCGGAGACGACTGAAGTGATTAACGAAGTAATTCAAGACCTGGGTATTATTTGGAGTGTCTGATACCCTTGGGATTAGAATACTATTAAGATGCTTGTTTATACCTATTTAGTTAGATATTTAGTCTCACCGACGAGCTACCCACCAGAAGTCAAATTGCCAGATAATAAATTGACGAGGTTTAACTGACTAATCTCTAGAGGTTTGAAGGAGAGTGCTATAGGGAGAAGAATAAAAAATAAAAATATCAATATCCTCATCGTTCAGGTTAAAGCTACCCTTCAAAGCTAACAATCAGGATGTGGTCAGTTGGGAGCAAGAGAACAGGTTTAATTGGCGTGAAGAGGGGCATGTCCTTTATTTACAACGAACTAAATCAGAAAGTACCAGTAACTCTAATTGAAATCGAGAAGAACAGAGTAAATCAGTTGAAGAAGCCATCTTCCACTAACGAACACCACTTCGTACAACTACAATCTAGGAATCAATTGAAGGAATTCCCTGTCACAGAAAACGGTATCATCCCAATCAACACTGAACTTAACGTTTCCCATTTCATTCCTGGTCAATTCGTCGATATACAGGGTACCTCCAATGGTAAAGGTTTTGCGGGTGTTATGAAGCGCTGGAATTTCAAAGGTTTAAGAGCCTCCCATGGTACTTCCATTTCACACAGATCACAAGGTTCGACCGGTCAGAACCAAGACCCAGGTAGAGTCTTCCCTGGTAAGAAAATGGCAGGTAGAATGGGTGGTGAAACGACGACAGTGCAAAATTTGAAGGTCATCAGAATAGACACCATAAACAATCTCTTGTTAGTAAAGGGCGCTATCCCAGGTAGAGACAACAACTTGGTTTATATTAAGGATGCAGTCAAGAAAATGCTCATAGACACAAAGAACAAAGCAAGGAAATTTGGTTACACAGCCCAACAGGCATTGCCATACGGTGTAGACGATCTCCCTATGCCAACTATCAGCCAAGAGATGGCTAAGTCACTACCAGCAGTCTTGCAAGCACCTGCCAAACCACAAAAAGATTAAATAGACTATACATTTCACTTTATTTAGTTCCATTGTTTTTCATATTCTTGCAAAGACAGGAAGGTATCAACTGCAGTTTGCTCTTGTGAAAAGAATGTCTGCTTGAGCGTGTTCTTGGCCTTATCATTTGAGAACCTATGTCTGTTGATCTTCTTACCTGCGTTTGGCTCACCAATTGGTACATTCTTCTTAACTGCTTCGTTATCGCCCAAACGGGAGTGTAAAGCATCAACGAAATCTTGGTTTGTGACCATACCTCTGTCAGATGCGGTGATGAATCTCTGTCCAGATGCGCTTGGGAAGGTGAGCGCGAGAAGGTGTGTATTGGCAACATCTCTGACGTCAACGATGTTAGACATTGGTTCAACAAGCTTTTCTGGTGTTGCGTCTTTAAGGACACCGCTGAATAATTCGTAGAAACGTGCAATAGATGTGTTAAGCTTTTCCTTTGTTGGAATTTCGTGAATGCATGGACCGAGAACGAGTGGTGGTTCGACAGTTGCTAAATCGAAAGATGGTTTAACCTCCTCTACGAATTTCCAAGCTGCACGTTCAGCCAAAGTCTTGGATGCCATGTAGAAGTCCAAACGTGAAGCGTCTTTGCCCTTTTCTTCGATTTCCTTCGGTGAGTGTGTGTTCCAGTCTTCTTCGGTGAAAGTTGTAGGAGTATCGCGTGGTGTCATAACACTGGCGACTGAGGAGGTGACTACAATACGCTTTACATCTTTATTAAACTTGTGTGCGCTTCTGAGGCAGTTGAGTGTTCCCTCTACAGCCGGGCCGATAAGCTCATTAGGATCATCGGAGTTGAAACTGTAGAGTTTATCAGAGTGTTACCAAACAAAAGCCCAATACTCACTGGAATGGTGATGCAGTGTGGAGAATTGCGTCTACACCTTTGACTGCTTCGTCGAATGCATTAGGAGCTTCAATGTCTTCAACGATGTCATATTCGAGTTGACCGCCACCGCCGCTGATGTCTGAAAGCTTCTTCTTCAAATATTCACCTTTCTCTGTCGATCTTACTGTAGTTTTGACATGAAAACCTTCAATTAAGAGGGTGCGAACAACGTGAGCACCAATGAAACCGGATCCTCCGGTAACTAATACTGTTCCACTTTGTACTGCAGGCATTTTTTTACTGATGGTTTGAGTGTAAGAGAGGATTGTGTCATACTTATATTGATGAGGTAAGTGGAGGTATGACAGTCATTAGTAATATTTTATATTTCTGTTATCTTATCTTATCGTATGGTCTTGCAGAAACACCTCTTTCGTCATTACACCGATGAGTAGCATATACAACCTAGAACCATACACAAACGGGAAGGGTGCGTTGATATAAAGATAACATATGATGCCATTTAACATTATATAGTCGTATTGCAGACAACGGTTGGCGATATAGAGGTGTGTATTCTATCCTACATTGACTACCTAAATAACAAGCTTTTTACAGCTTGAATTATGGGGAAAGGTAAGATTCTTATAGCTTTAATAGAATTTACTAATAAAATACACCAGGAATGTCCAAAAGCTGTTAGAAAGTGCGTATTCTGATGATATACCATCCGTCTTCTTACATCTTGGGAATAGCTTCATAGCGCTCTCATTAGAGGGTTATTACGATGGCTGTATATTTCATAGGTGTGTATACTTCTAAAAGAAGGATATTAATTCAAACCTACCCAGAGTTGTGCCAGATTTCATAGTACAAACTGGTGATCCAACAGGGACAGGAAGGGGCGGTGAATCATTCTACGGTGGTACGCTTAGTAAAATCTCCTCCGTGTATCACTAACGACGCGTAGAACCCTTCGAAACAGAACCACACCAGCGGTTACGCTTTAATAGGAGAGGTCTAGTCGGTATGGCACACAGCGTAGACCCAGACACCGCCGAACGCGATAATAGAGGTCGTATATTACGTACCAATACATCCCAATTCTTCATTACAATGTCAGACGCCATGGAATTGACGGGTACAAATACACTTTTTGGACGTATAGTCGGTGATACGATATTTAACGCACTGAAAATTCAATCATATGAGACGGATGCTGATGAGAAGCCACTTTATCCGCCTAAAATTAAGACAGTGAAGATTGTTATCAACCCATTCGAAGATATCGTACCGAGGATCACACGTGCTGAGCGTAAAGCACAGGCACAGGCTAAGGCAGACAGACAGCGAGAGAGGGAGGAAGAACTTGCGAAATTCAACAAGAAAAAACTCAAAAAGAAGACAGCATTGTTGAGTTTTGGTGATGAGGCTACAGAAGAGGAAGCCCAACCGGAAGTCGGACAGCGGAGGAATGTGAAGTCGTCGCATGATTTACTTGATGACAAGACACTTTCCAAGGATCGTATTGTGAAGAATGACAAACAAGTTGTACCGCAAAATAATATTACCGAATTACGGGCCGAGCCACAACCAGAACCACCTAAAGAACAAGTCACCAAACCCAAAGTGGATCTTGCAGCTATACGGAAAGAACACTCAACAGGTACGAGCGCAGAGTGAGTGTATTCTACCCATGTTGTTCGTAACTCACCCATTGAAGTGTAAAGGAATCGATTAGACAAACAGAGGAGGCCATAGAGGCGATGAAAAGTGGTAAAAAGCCTTCAGAAAAGATGGAAAAGAAGGGGGATGATGACTACAGTGCGATGTTGGAGGGATATAAGAAAGGCAAGCCAAAACGTGGTGCTGCGTTCGATAGGCTCAAGGCTTTCAAAGAAGGTCTCAGGAGTACTGCTAAGGTAGTTGAAAATAGTGAAGAGACACCAGCAGATGATGAGTATGATTATGATAAGGATACCGAAAATGATAGCGACTGGATGAACCACCAATTACACTCCTCAGCAAAGGACAGACTTGAAGAGGATCAAAGTCGACGGGCAGAAGTCGACTATGACGTTATAGACCCTCGTCAATTTAAACGAGCACGTAAACACGCCAATCCAAACAGCGATGTGCGACAGAGAAGCGGTGGAGGCGCCTACGCGCGTATTTAAATGTAATTTTGCGTGCATAGCCGTACATTTTTATATTTTTCGACCTCTAGACATCTAAGTTCGACTTCTTGGAAAACTTCAACACGCTTATGTTCGACAAAGCCCATTTTAGTGAACAACTTAAGGGAAGGTTTGTTGTTATAACTAATTTTTACAGATAAAATGCGCTTCTGAGTGTTATCGACATGTTGAGTGTAATATCCGAGCAATAGAGTTAGCGCTTCAGTTGCGAAACCGCGCCAGCGATGTGTTGGTTCAGCTATCATGATCTCACATTCTGCAATATCAATATCGTCATCCTCGTTGAGGAATATGTTGACATCGCCAATTGGCTGACCGTGTTCCTCGCGTTCTTCGCCATCCAGAAGTCTATAATCTTTTATCGCGCTATCAACAAGAATGAAAGTGAGTTTGTCAGCGTCTTTGTGCCAACTTTTTTGCATCGCGTATTCTTCTTCAAGGGAGAGTGCTTCGCTAGCTGTTAATTCGAGTATATCAGCGTTCGACATCCATTTGTGGTATCTTTCTACATGTTTCTCTCTATAGACTGTTATATTACCTACATTAGGGAGTATGTTGCTCACTTATATGGCACTAGCGTTAGTTTCTCACCAACAATAGTCAGATTCTCGTTGATAATCATAAGCAAGGGAAATCTATTATACAAAAATCCTTAAAAACTCATAAAGAACGATTCTCTATAGCTTGTTTAATCATCTTAACCGTTATAATTGGAATGTCCCATCTTCCTGCGAACTTGAAGCAATCGTCGAGGCGTGCCATACTACCATCTGGAGCGTCAGGGTTGACAATCTCACAGAGTAATCCTGCAGGTGGCAATCCGGCAAGGATAGCCAAATCGGTTGCAGATTCCGTGTGGCCTTCCCTCTGTGTTGTTCCGCCGGCATGATAACGCAAAGGAACCATATGTCCCGGTCTATTGAAATCACTAGCGACAGCACCGGATGAAGGTGATAACATTCGTGCAGTAAGCGCTCTATCAGCTGCTGATATACCTGTCGTTACTCCCCGGAGATAATCCACGGTGACTGTGTAGGCTGTTCTATGTTTTTCTGTATTCTCTCCAGTCATCATCGGTATGTCAAGCTCCCTGAGACGTTCTTCTTCTAAGGAAATGCAAATATAACCGCTATTTATAGTTAGTCAATCTATTACTCATCATAACAAAGAACAAACCTCGTCCATTTTATCATCCAGGCCATCTGTTCTGCTGTAATACCACAGGCTGGTATGACCAGATCACCTTCGTTCTCTCTCCCTTCATCATCCATGACTATCACGAATTCACCATTTTTGTAAGCCTCGACTGCGTCTTTGACACTATCAAAACTGGTTTTAACGTTATCTGGATATGGTTCTTTGCTTAGCGCATTGTATTTTCTCTCTTCGGAACTCATCACTGTCTTCGCAGTTACTCAGCAGCGTATGGGAGTATGACGATACGAATTAAAATAAAATAAAATAAAAATTACATATATAAAGTCGGAAGATCTGAAACTTGCGAGCGGATGTGTTATTTATTATTTAACTTTTTTGTATCCAATATGCAGGTGAATCGTGAGAGAATGATGTACTGTTGGATGGGCTATCCCAGGATGAAGCTGTTCTTCTAAATGGTGAACCAAAACCGGAACCGCCACCTCTAGATGACATTCCACGTCCTCTTGATCCACCTCTTCCGCGACCTCTACCACCAAATACACTAGCTTGTTGAAGGGATTGTTCAAGGAAAATTGGTATTTCTTGTTTTGCTTCTCTTAATATTTCAACCAAACCTCTGACAATATTGAGGTTATTTTGGTTAAAGAATGATATAGCGTGTCCAGTGTTTCCTGCTCTACCTGTTCTACCAATTCTATGCACATAATCATCAATATCTGATGGTAAATCGTAATTAACTACTAAAGAAACGTGAGGAATATCTAAACCACGTGCAGCAACGGCTGTTGCAACCATCAATGGATTATAACCCATTTTGAATGTGTTCAATGCATATTCTCTCTCCCTTTGATCTCTATCACCGTGGATCGCTGTTGCTCTTAAGTTATTTTGCAACAAGAAGTCACAAAGGATATCAGCCATTCTCTTTGTTTCTACGAAAATTAATGTTCTATTATTTGATTCAGGTTCCATATGTCCTTCAAGTATGTCCAGTAAGACACTCTTCTTCTCAAAGTCTTCAGCCCATTCAACGGTTTGAGTGATGTTCTCGGATGTACTACCAACTCTACCAACAGATAAGAAAATTTCATTCTTAAGGAAATCACCAGCGAGTAATTGAATTTCTCTTGGGAATGTTGCAGAGAAAAGTAAAGTTTGACGATCTTCAACTGAAGGCATGTCACAACCTTGTACGATTCTTCTAATTTGTGGTTCGAAACCCATATCCAACATTCTATCAGCTTCGTCGAGTACTAAATATTTGACATTTGCTAATGAAATTTTTCCTCTATCAATGAAATCGCATAAACGACCAGGTGCGGCACTTAATAAATCGCAACCTCTATCTAATTGTCTCATTTGTTCACCAGATGGGGCACCACCGTATACAACGGCAGGTTTAACCCAAGATCTATAAGCGAATTTTTTAGCTTCTTCGTGTATTTGATTAACCAATTCTCTTGTTGGTGCTAAAATAAGAGCAGTTGGGTAAACTTTTGTTGAATACTTTGATGGATTTGCAGGTGGAGTTTGTACAGGACCATTTTTGAAACATTCTGAAAGGATAGGGAAGAGGAAACCGCCAGTTTTACCTGAACCAGTTTGGGCACATGCCTATGTGTGTGGTCAGTAAAGAAAGAAGAGTAAGTAGGAACTAACCATTAAATCGCAACCTTGACCAATAATTGGTACGGAATACTTTTGTACTGGGGTAGGAGTTGTATATCTAGCGAATTTGATGTTTTCGAGTAAGTGAGGATCAATTGGAGGGTTTGTGAACTCTATGATTGGTTCAGGAACATTATGACCTTTAGCTTCTACTGGGATGTCGGCGTATTTGTCAAAGTTGATACCTGTTGATTGCTTGAACGGATCGCCTGGTTCACCAAACAAGTCTAACTCCAACCTTTCGTTTCTAGGCGCTGGAATGTGAATACCGTCGAGCCATTTTCCGTAACCATCTGGTCTTCTTGTGCGAGGTGGGAGGGAAGAAGGCGGTTTTGAAGGTCTTCCAGCGAAGGAAGAATTTGAAGGAGTTCTAGTAAAAGCGCCTGGCATTGGAGAAGAAGCGCCAACTGCAGGTGGAACTGAAGGGGACCTCTCTTGAGCTCTCAAGTGTGGTGGTACGTATTTCCTGGCTGGTTGTGTAGCGCCTGCGCTATTGTTTGCTAAACAGATTGAATTAGTTTAGAAGCTATTTGCCATAGAAATTTACTTACACATTTTAGATTCCATTTGGGAGTTTCGTAAAGAGAGAGAATTTTTGATGTGTTTAAACTGACATACGATAATAAAATGAGAATATTCACAATAGCTCGTAAACAATTGCAAGATATTGCTTATAAAGATTCTAAACCTTTGAAACTCACTAGAAAACTTAATGATCCCCATGGCCAATTCGAGTATACGGGTAAATCGCTATTGACCCCGAGAGAGGAGCTCAGATTTAGATTGGCTGTTTCTACGAACGCTTTCACTCCCTCGAGCCAGAATGAATTAGAAGCACGCCGTGAGTGGGTAGAGAAACAACGTGAATGGAGATACAGATTGCGTGGTATCAAGTATAACAAGGATGATGACTTGAAATCTATTAAAGACGGCTCTATTAGCACTTTGAATCAATTCAACCTCGTCGGTTTACCCGTCTTCCTCCCTAACATCACCTTCAGATTGATGAGAAACCACACACCAGCAGGGAAGGAATACAACCCGTACTTCGCAACCTTCAGAATACCACGTTCACTCACAAAGCAAGACATCAGATCTTATTTGTTAGCTGTCTACGGTGTTCGCTCTACCTGGATACACACCGATTTATACCAGCCACGTCTGGTGAGAGGTATGAACATGCGCTGGAAGAGAAAGGGAAGAGGTGACGCTACCACCGGAAGGGGTTTCTACAAGAGAGCCCTCGTCGGTCTCGAAGAGCCATTCTACTTCCCAGACGAACCAACGAGGGAAGAACTCGAGAACAAGTACGCATACAGCGAGAGAGAATGGATGACAAGAAGAATGTTGATGGCATTCCAGAAGGGCTGGAGATGGAGGGGTGTCCAGGAAACTGGCCAAAGAGGCGCTACACAGAGACTTCCTAATGTTCTCAAGGCTGTCTCCATCAGAAGAGCTCAACGTGAAGAAGCGATCGCCGATCAAGTTGAAAAGATCCGCCAAATGAGACTATAACTTAATTTTGTATTTTATTTTATATATGATATCATCTTAGAATGGAAGAACGCAACGTCTGTTTGTAGTCAACTATCAAAATGACGACAGCGGACAATGAAAAGAATAAGCGCAACGCGTCGCCATTGCCTTCACCTTCTGCGTTCATACAACGTCTGAATAGCTACTCCAAGCATGGTTTTGATATTCCTGACCATATTAGAGTCAAGTGCGTCTAATTACCACGTTTCTATCTATCTCACGCATACAGATTTGCTCCCATAAATGTACCCCGCCATCGGAGACTCCAAACGGCTGCAGTCGCAACTTGGGCACTCATATTGCCTATTTCGTTCTCGCTCTTTCTGCTCTGCCTGTGGGTAAACGACTGTCTATACAACATCATATAACAGTATACACACAGCTCATTCCCTCCGATTTGGCCGATATTGATCCCATACCTTATTTGGGCATTCCTTATCGATAACGCACCGGAAGATGGAGGAAGGGCGAGAAAATGGTTTAGGGATAGTAGAATATGGAAATTCTTTGCCGAATATTATCCTGTTTCGTGGGTCTATGTCTTTCCTAGAGATTTATCTCATCGAGTTTAGAATGGTAAAGGTGCGTTTATTGGCGTACTTTATAGTGTCTATCTCACATTGTCGCTTATAGGAGGATGAATTACCATCTGACAAAGCCTACGTATTCGGTTACCACCCTCACGGGATTATAGGAATGTATGTTACAAACTAAACTAAATAAGCTAAATTCAAGACTAATGTATGATTCAGGGGAGCACTAGCTAACTTTGCAACTAACGCTACAGGATTTTCTTCATTATTTCCTAACATAAACCCACATTTATTAACTCTAACAGCTAATTTTCAAGTACCGTTCTACAGGGATTTGCTCCAATCGATGGGTATCTGTAGCGTTACAAAGCGCAGCTGTGAAAGGATCCTTAGAAAGGGACCAGGAAACGCCATTACTATTGTTGTAGGTGGTGCAGCTGAAAGTTTGAACGCACATCCAGGTACTTCCGACTTAATCTTGAAGAAGAGATTAGGATTTATTAAAATTGCTATCAGGGAGGGGTGAGTATACTTCTTATAGTGATATTATTACTAATTACACAAACAGCGCTAACCTTGTTCCTGTTTTCTCCTTCGTAGGTGGTATCGTGCTTATCTATCCACCTCTTAACTCCGCTGTGAAGGGCGAAAATGATATTTATCAGCAATTGGCGACTGAAGATGGTAGCACTATCCACAAATTACAAAAAACATTCCAGAAGATTTTCGGTTTCACACTTCCCTTGTTCCACGGCAGAGGTATATTCAATTGTAGGTGTACTGGCTAGGTTTTTAGTTACCAACATGTCTACAGACAACCTCGGTTTGATGCCATACAGACATCCAATTGTTTCGGTTGTAGGAAAAGCAATTGAAGTTGAACAAACGTCAAACCCATCACAGGAGATGCTAGAAGATGTACAATCGAGGTACATTGATGAGTTGATGAGGTGAGTGTCTTGCACTTGTATTTTGCTTTTTCACTCATCAAAACCAAGAATCTGGGACAAATATAAAGATATCTACGCAGCTAATCGTACTCGTGAATTAACATTAGTTGATTAATGTACTAATAAATAACTCTTGAACTGATACCATAATGTCATTAGTAAACGTATTCGTAACTTCACCGGATACACACTCAGAGAGGCGCTTTTTGAGAAATATAACGCTATCTGAATTGAGGGCTCGTCTTGAGCCTATCGTTGGTATACCATCACAGAATCAAACACTCACGCTTGATGGAGTTTTACTGATGAATATGAACTTGAGTTTAGTGGATGCTGGTGTGAGGGAGCTTTCTACACTCACCGTGAGTTTACATTAGACTTATCTGCACACGCTAAAGAAGCGAAAAGGTTGGTGATATCACAGACGAGAAGAACGAACGAGGTGGACAATATACCGATGTATCACAGGTGGAGAAATACGATATGACTGATGAGGAGTACAAAAACCGGAGTGATACAGTGTTAGCATATAAGAAAGCGAACGAAATTGGTAGATTCAGCAAAGCAGCTGCAGAAGCCGAAAAAGAGCCGTTACCAGAGCATATCAAGGTAAATGATAGATGTAAAATACACCCATCAACTGCTGGAGAAATAGAGAGGCTTGGTCATGTACGTTATGTTGGTAAAACGTCATTTTCACCTGGGAATTGGATTGGCGTTGAACTTGATGAGCCAGTTGGGAAGAACGACGGGTGGTGGGTGCTATGTTTGCTTTAAAGAAACACTAACGACAGCCAACAGCATACAAGGAAAGCGCTACTTTGAGTGTAAACAGAAGTATGGTAGCTTTGTGAAGCCGGACAGGGTAGAAATCGGGGAATTTGAAGACGAGGAACTACTTTCAGATTTAGAGGAAATGTAGACTAATTCAGACTTCTATTTTGTAGATTCGTCAATTCTTCTCGACGTACAAGTTGTCTCTCGTAGTCTAACAGTCTGTCTTTTTGTTCTTTCTTGAGTTGCACGCGTTGCTGATCCTTTATGACACCCTGGAACATATTCTAGCCGGTCTTAGTTTGTTATTCTCGCTTTATATCCTAGACTCACATCCCGTTCAATTTCCTGAGAGTAGTGGACGGCGAATACGGTAGCCGCACTGAAAAAGAGACTGCCTATAAACGCTAGTTTCGCTCTACTCGACATTTTAAATTTAACGCTTTCGGTCGTATTTACTGAGAGCTGAGCTGAGCTGAGGACAACTTGAAGTATAACGACGATGTGAGTATATTCAATAGTAAAATAAAGACTAAAATACTTACGCCTTATAGGACTTCTCGCTTATTGGTAAACAGAGCTGGTAGGCTAGTCAAACACTCCACAAAAAATACTAACCAATCAAAAGGCTCACTCGCTCGTATCGGACAGCAACCATTAAAGGCTGCTATCAGCGCACGTCAATACTCACAAAAGCCTGCACCAGCTGAGAAGGCTTCTTCATTGATTGACAGCCTTCCAGGTAACTCCGTCGTCTCAAAAACTGGTTCTGTCGTTCTCGGTACCGGTTTGACTGCAGCAGCAATCTCACAAGAGTTATACGTTGTCAACGAGGAGTCTATTTTGGCCATTGGTTCCCTCATCTTGTTCGCTTACATCGCTAAGATCGCCCGCGAACCATACAACAGCTGGGCATCTTCACAAATTGAGAAAATGAAGAACGTTCTCAATGCTTCACGCACCCAACACACTGAAGCTGTTCAATCACGTATTAACAACGTCGGTGAATTGAAGGACGTCGTTAACCTCACAAAATCACTCTTCGCTTTATCAAAGGAAACCGCCCAAACTGAATCAAAGGTTTACGAGCTCACCCAACAAAACGCCGTCAACGCTGAGGTCAAGTCTGTCCTCGACTCATGGGTTCGTTTTGAAGCTCAAGAGAGAGAATCCGAACAAGCTCAACTCACTCAAACCGTTATTAACAACATTAACAAGCAAATCTCTGATGAGAAGTTCCAAAAGGATACTCTCACCCAAGCCGTAGCTGAAATTGAGCAACTCGTCAAAGATAAGAAAATCTAGATGAAAATTTTTCTTTACCTTTTTACAAATATATGAAAATGTTGAACTTCTTTAACTGATTGTAAATGTGGTGGGTTCAGGAAGTATGCTGCAGTTGTGTCTTTGCCGAATTTCTTGATAATCCAGTTTTGTATCTCTTGGGCGCCATCTAGATTGTCTGAATTTGTGAAGCCGTATAGACCATTAGATAGCGCGTTCTGATAGCCAACATCGCTAGTGTATAAGTCCTGGTGTATGAGTGGTATCCGTGACCCTATAGGTCGTCTTACTATGGCGTGATTAACAAAGGAAAAACTTACAGCAAACCCAGTGTTCGACGTTGTGTGGCACAGCGTATCCCCAATCGTTGTTGAGTAATTTATGCAGTTTGTCTGGTATATCGCGTGTAAAGTACTTTGGTTGATTTGCAACTTGTGGTGGGGGTGTAGGAGGTGGTGTCTGGTCAGACATCACCCAGCCTAAACGTTCTTTGAGAAGATATTGTGCTGTTTGACGTCAGAAAGCTGGTGCTAAGAGCCAATGTTCCAACTGACGTATAGAGCCGTGGGCGGCGATAATCTTTGAACGCCACTGGTCGTACGCCTCCTGGTGATCTGGATGCCGACGTAGTTTACCTAAATCGCTGTGGACGTTTAGATAGTCATAAATTAAAGTGATGATGACACACCCGCTAGCTACAGATCGTCAAAGCGATTCTAAATAAGAACTAAATACGTACAGATTATCTCCGTTAGGTCCTCCCAGCTGAATAGCGTCGGGTACTGTCTGCTGTCTGAATTTTCTGTCTGCATATCTTTGATTGTTAGGAATGTACTAAGCTTGAAGCTCAACTGTCAAGTAAAAAATATATCTAAAATGCCAAAATCAGGCTTTATGGGTGAATATTCATATTAGTTAGCCTATAATAAACCCTAACTATCTCATAGGTTTCGATGCTTTCGCTAAAACACTAGAAGAAAGCAGGATCAGAACTAACTTTGGTGCTTACCTAACTATTATCTGCGCTATCTTAATCTCTTTTCTCACCTTCAACGAATTCCGAGATTACAGAGCAGTCGATTTCAAACCACGCATTATCGTCGACCAATCCAGAAGCGAGAAGCTTCAGTTGAATTTCAACGTTACATTCCCTAGAGTTCCTTGCTATTTGCTCTCTCTAGATCTTATGGACGTCAGCGGTGAGCAAGTACGCGATCTTAGACACGCGATTGTGCGCACTCGTCTCTCTGAGAAAGGTGAAACTATCGATGGTATGAAAACTGCAGGTATGAGTGGTTATCTCAACGAAGTCGCAAAACCACGTGAATGTGGTAGTTGTTACGGCGGTGTACCACCAAACGAGGAGAAATGTTGCTACACTTGTGACGACGTTAGAGAATCATACGTTAAGCAAGGATGGTCATTTGTTAATCCAGATGGTGTCAAACAGTGTCTTGATGAACACTGGGCTGAGAGAGTCAAAGAACAATCAAGTGAAGGTTGCAATGTTGCTGGTTTGGTTGATGTTAACAAGGTTGTCGGCAACTTCCACATCAGTCCGGGTCGTTCCTTCCAATCTAACGCTCATCATATACATGATTTGGTTCCATATCTTAAAAATGCCAACAATCATCACGACTTTGGACATATCCTCCATCACTTTAGCTTCAAGTCTAGCAATGAACCAGCCGATACCGACAACTTGAAAGAAATGCTTAACATTAACGACCCATTGAGCAACACAAAAGCACACACTGAAGTAAGCAACTATATGTTCCAGTACTTCCTCAAGGTTGTCTCGACTGATTTCGATTTCCTCAACGGTGAAAAACTCAACTCACATCAGTACTCTGCGACTGCTTATGAGCGCAATCTTGACGAAAAGGGTATTTACGCTCAAGATGGACACGGTCAGACGATCTTACACGGCGTTGAAGGTTTCCCTGGTGTCTTCTTTAATTACGATATCAGCCCTCTTAGAGTAATTTACACAGAATCTCGTCGCTCATTTGCTAGCTTCTTAACGTCGACATGCGCGATCGTTGGTGGTGTACTCACAGTCGCGTCCATTATTGACGCTGGTGTTTTCGGTGCAAGACAGAAACTCACTGGTAAAACCCACTCATCTGCTGATGGAAAGCTACTCTAATTTCATATTCCCGGTCACAATGAGAATGATGTAATATATGAACAATAAAGTTTTATCTAAAATGCATTGATTTCAGCATACATAACTAGTTTGATGTGATAATAAAATAGCATCCTGCATAATCACATCCGCTGACAGATGAATAATTAGATCCGAGAATATAGACTTTGGGTAAACATCCGTCATTTGCCGTGATAACTGTTGGTTTTATAGCTGTCAGAACTGTCATCTCGGTTATTGGAAGGTTTACAAGCGAAGGCTGACGTCGGGGAGAGATGGCCTTATCACATCTTAATAAAGGAGATAGAGGCAGTGCTATAATCACCGAATTAGTTAATGTGTAGAAAAGCTACCCCGTGCTACACCCGGGACAAGATAAGACATCGACCGAAAATATAGCTGTGTTGGTCTGCCAAAAAGTTGGTATAGAATTTCGTACAAAAAAGCAAAAAAAAAAGATTTCTACATGTTATACAAGATAATTGTTTATATCTACGCTCATTCACTCAAACTGTTATATAAAAAGTATAAAAAACTTCACCCTGATTGTGTACCTAGTGTGAGATCTCGGGATAAATTAAAATTATGCGGATTGCATTATACAATTATCTCTAAAAAAAACATTTTAGGATAGTTTGACCGCTCGACTAACTAAAAAAGGAAGGTAGCCCGTTTGAATAATTTCACCTCTTGAACGCGTTTGATTAAATTAGAGACAATGCCACTTCAATCACCAAAACGGCCTGGAGACGCCAGCAACAGGAGTAAAAGTTCAAAATCAGAGTCACAAATGAGCAAATTAACAAAGTTACCACCTAGAACAGAATCAAAGACGACCCCCCCACATAGCGCAAGTGCAGCTGATATCGATATTGAAGCTGAAGCCGAATCTGACAATCTAGCCACACCCCCAGCAAGGAGAATTGCATCAGCTAGTCAAAGTTATGGACTGAGAAATGATGCGGCTGTGACCCCTACTAAAGAACCTCAGTCGCTCGAAGATGAAATTGACGCGACTTTAAATAACAGCAATGTTGGTCCGGATACTATAGCAGTAGCACGAGGTGAATTAGGCGCGAACCTCGGTCCTTATGCCGTATGTAGCATCTTATTGTCCATTACATCGTATTAACACCTCACAGTCATCTGAGATAATGCAGCCTTCAAAGTCAAACCTTAGCTCCACTTTCACAGCACCAATTATGCAAAATGAAGATACAAGATATAGTCGGTATTCAACAATATCGACTGACATTGAGTATAAAGATAGTCCATACAGACATTCAATTCCAGCTACCGTTATACAAAAGAAGGAAGATGATGATAGAGTCAACACCAACTTACCTTTCAGAAACGCTCTCTTTTGGGATCATCTTAAAGATGATACGGATATGGATGATGATGGATTACATACCTTTGATGTGAAATCTAAAGCTCCAGAGAGCTCTGGTTTCTACCCATTTAGTGGTAGAGGTTGGCTAAATTTTGGTATGATTGGCGTACTGATTGGTGCACTTCTCATGCTTTTTGCTGGATGTGAGTTGATTTTTTCACGTTTGTTACTCTCTAACTGTCATAGATCCAATTTTATCATTTTTCCGTGATCAAGGACAGACTACAGAGGGAGCTTACAATCTCGGTGGTATCAATGCTACCGGCCAAATACCAGTTTTACCAGGTGTCAGAGGTCTTGTTGATGATGACACACCAGAAGATGTGAAACACAGAGTGGGATACGTGAGTGTTTTACCTTCTTTACTAGCACCTCTAACGATATATTACTAGGATGGAAAGAACTACAAGTTAGTATTCTCTGATGAATTCGAGCAAGAAGGTAGAACATTCTTCCCTGGTGAAGACCCATTCTTCGAGGCCGTAAACATCTGGTATTGGCCAACAGGTGATATGGAATGGTATTCACCAGAGCAAGTTATGACTCGCGATGGTGCGCTCGAAATAACGATGGAAAACACAGATGTTGGAGATCTCCATTACAAATCCGGTATGGTTCAGTCATGGAACAAGTTCTGCTTCTCAGGTGGTATAATTGAATTCGCAATACAATTACCAGGTCGTGGAGACGTATCTGGTTTCTGGCCAGGTGCATGGACAATGGGTAATCTCGGTAGACCAGGTTATGGTGCATCGACTGAAGGTACATGGCCATATAGTTATGATAGTTGCGATGTAGGTACTATGCCAAACCAGACAAACAAAGGCGGTACAGGACCAATAGGTGCCCTCAACAGCAATGAAGGAAACGCACTTTCTGTCCTTCCTGGTCAAAAGCTTTCAAGTTGCACATGTAAAGGCGAAGATCACCCAGGTCCACACCACAGCGTAGGTAGAGGTGCACCAGAAATTGACGCCCTTGAAGCACAAACTGATTTCGTCAGAAAAGGTGGTGCCGCTTCTCAATCAGGTCAATTCGCTCCATTTGACTACGGATATGATTGGAGAGATGGTGAAGATTATACTCCAATTTACGATCGCACGAATACAGAATTGAATAGCTACAAAGGTGGTGTTTATCAAGAAGCTGTTTCTGGTGTTACTTTCCTCGGTAATGATGCCTACGAATTAACTAAACAAGAATTCATGAAATTCGGTTTCGAATATTCAGCTGATCCAAAAACACGCGATACAAACTCCATTACTTGGTTCGTTGATGATGACAGAACATGGACAATGAACGCTGCTGCCGTTGGACCAGATGAACGTGTTCAAATTGGCCAACGTCTCGTGTCTGAAGAACCAATGTCAATCATTATGAACTTCGGTATGGCAGATGGTTTCTCAGCTGTCGAACTTGATAAACTTAACTTCCCTGCAACTATGAGAGTTGATTATGTCAGAATATATCAAACGGAAGATCATATCAACGTTGGATGCAATCCACCTAGTCGCCCAACAACTGATTATATCAACGATCACCTAGATGCTTACATGAATGCAAATGTAACGCAATGGGAGAAATTGGGTTATAGTTGGCCAAAATCTTCATTCAAAGATGAATGTTGAGTGATTAGTTTTGAACTTCAATGGTACGTTTTCAGAATGTCTCTAATCGGATCAGATATCCTCTCGCTTTTTCTCAGTAAGAAATACACGGTATATATAACACCACAACACTCGTTCTAGTATTACAGTATATTTTATCTTAATTTTTTCATTCATTGGTTTATCAACAAATGGACAATAGCGATTTTACAAGTATATAATCTAGTTGATTGATACAGAACAATTCTACACTCTTTATTAATAGCAATTGTATAACATAATTTGATGTATTTATTTGATGCTATAAATACTAATTCATAATAATTTCTTTTGAATCGATGTGACTTGATCATCAGAAAGCTTCTCAAGATCAATGTCTAGTTTCTTTGCGTTGACTTTAAGACTATAGACCAATTTACTTTCATAATCTGGTAAGAATAATTCATGATTCACGTTTGGGAATAAATGAATCCAATCGTCATCATTAAAACCATATAATTTGAGGAAATTTAGTACCTTCGTCCCTTTCTTTAATTGAAAGCCAAAAATTGGTTTTCTACTTTTAGATTCTCTCACCCTCACCGCTCGTAAAGAATCGAAACTAACTATTCTAGCTAATCTGACATCTGTACTGTTTGGTTGTACTAATAAAATTATTGCATCATCTTTATATACCAAATGCGTTTGTCTATTTGTTTGTTTTTCTAGTGCTGTTTCACCAAAATATGCTTTTGATAGTGGTATAGTTTTTTCACTTAGGTATATCATATCGGCGCTAGTCTTATGTGAGAACTCTTTCCAATGTTTAGAAACTATCTCGTCTTCTGCGAGTAGTTTGGCATTAGTTGCTAGTGCAGTCTTTGTTGATTTCTTAATCCTTTCTGGTTTATCCTTTGTAGCAGGAATGATAGGTGGTGGTGGTGTTAAATTTGAGCTATCAGAGTCGGAATTATCTGCTGATGTTGATTGTGTCATTTCCTTCGCTTTCCCTTTATCCTTTCCTCGAGTTGTCATAGGTTGTCCAACATTTCTTGGCTTTACTACCCGTTTTTGCGAACCATTCGCTGATCTTTTTTTATTTCCTTTATTTATGACTAGTTTACTATTAAATCATGTTATTTTTACCCTCATTTTACTCACTATTCGCTGTTAAATTGGATGGTTCACCATTAACGGATACGGTTGTATTAGATACGACATTTGAAGTAAGATTTATACGCGGTTTAACTAATTACATTGTAAGATTATTCTATAGGACTCTTGTCCTACTTACACCGTTGTATAATATCCTCTTCTGTCCATTCATCGCCCACGTTGATATTGAACGGAATATCAACGGATTTATAATTTATTCTCTTATTTTGATTAGTAGTGTAGCTGATTCCTACAGCTAACTGTACTGATCGCGACATTTCAAGTTATTTTGATGATAGAAGTAACAAAGATGGATAAATATTGTACAAAAATGCTCGAAATGTAAAAATCTAGCTTAGAAGTCTGCGTCAAGAGTGAACTCTTTACCCTTTCCAGCCGTGTCGTCTGCTTTAACACCTGCTTTGGCGTAATCTGAAACTCTCTTTTCGAAGAAGTTTGTCTTTCCTTGCAGCGAGATCATTTCCATGAAGTCGAATGGATTCGTCGCGTTATAGTACTTGTCATTTCCGAGTGAGATTAATAATCTGTCTGCTACGAATTCGATGTATTGACACATTAATTTCGCGTTCATACCTATCAAAGCGACAGGCAAAGCATCTGATAAGAACTCTTGTTCTATCGTGACCGCTTCAGTGATGATTTTTTCAACAACCTTTGGATGTGGTCTACGGTTAAGGTGTCCAAAGAGTAAACAAGCGAAATCCTGTTGTCTCTGTTAATAGGTACAGGTGATGAAGTAGCAAACTCACAGTGTGTAATCCCTCGTCACGTGAAATTAATTCATTAGAGAATGTCAAACCAGGCATCAAACCTCTCTTCTTGAGCCAGAAAATGGATGCAAATGAACCAGAGAAGAAAATACCTTCTACGGCAGCAAATGCTACTAGTCTCTCACCAAATGATGCTTTCTCGTCATTGATCCACTTAACTGCCCAGTCAGCTTTGCGCTTAATGCATGGAATAGTTTCAATAGCGTTGAACAAGTAATCACGTTGTTCTGCTTCAGGTATGTAGGTATCAATCAAAAGTGAGTAAGTCTCGGAGTGTATATTCTCCATCATAATCTGGAAACCGTAGAAACATCTTGCTTCTGCGAGCTGTACCTCAGAGGAGAATCTTTCGAGTAGGTTCTCATTGACAATACCGTCAGATGCGGCGAAGAATGCTAATACATGACTAATGAAGTGCTTCTCATCCTTGTTTATCTTGTTCTGCCAGTCCGTGATATCCTTCGACAAGTCCATTTCTTCTGCAGTCCAGAAAGAAGCTTCTGCTTTCTTGTACATTTGCCAGATCTCTGTGTATTGAATTGGGAATAAAACAAATCTTCTTGGGTTTTCCTTCAAAAGTGGTTCGTCTTCTTCTTTGCAGTTCACGTCACCAACGAAGTATTTGCCACGCAGCTCTTCTGCCGTGTAACCAGAAAGGTCAAGGTTGTTAGCGTCTACAACTTCTTCCTCCTCTTCTTCTGGCTGGTCTCTACCATTTGGTTGTTCACCAAATGAAGGCTTTTTTACAGGGCTGACCATATTAAGCTTGTTCTCTAATTGATTTGCGACTTTCTTTGAAGGTGTTTGCTCTGTAATTGGCTTGTTTTGATCCACAGCTGGCATTTTTTACTTGGTTGTTAAAAGTCAAGAAGTTCAGTCGCGTATTCGACGCGTCTTTATAAGTTTAAGCGAATATTATGTCAGTCTGGTTTGTAATATCAATTTATTACTATAATTGGTAATTATTATTACTAGATCCGGTCAGTTTCCATATACAGTCAACTTTAGCTTATCGGGTTAAGATTTTCAAGCACCGAAGAATAGCGAATAAATGATTGTGTAATCTATATAAATTATATCTACAAGTTAAATTTGCTCTTATTCTCATCTTTGCCACTCTATTCTCTATCTTCTCCGTCTTCTCTATTGAGCGCAAATGAGCGAAAGTGATAAACTCGAAATCGGTACGAGCGATGATATAAAGAAATCCAAACCTGGTATGATTTATATAACGAGAATACCGCCAGGTATGACTCCCTCAAAAGTGAGAGCTATTATGGCACAACATGGCGAACTTGGGAGAATTTACCTAGCACCAGCCTGTAGGTTGAGTATCATATTATCATATATTTTCTTATATTTTTAGCCAACTCTCATCCAAAGAATCCACGCTTTGTAGAAGGTTGGGTAGAGTTTAAGAAGCGTAAGATAGCGAGGAAGGTAGCTGAACTCTTAAATGCCCAACCGATTGGTGGGAAGAAGGGTGATAGGTATAGGGAAGACATCTGGACGATGAAATACCTTGGGGGTTTCAAGTGGGAAATGTTGAGTGAACACATAGGTGAGTGTTCCTTATATCCTTATTTGTATATCTTCTAAACACTCACCTTAGCTCTTGAGCAAGCCTCCCATGCTGCCAAACTTCGAAATGAGCTCTCACAATCCAAGCGTGATCAAGAGGACTATCTAAAGAGAGTGGACAAGGCTAAGAAGCAGCAAGCTATTGAAGAACGTAGACAAGCTAAGGGGTTATCTGCTAAACAGGAAACTAAGCAATATGAGTTTAAACAGCGACAAGTCTTAAGCCAAGACATGAAACCGGAAACAAATCCATCGATTAACGCAAAAAGAAAGAGGGCTGGATATGATGACGCCGCAGAACAACAAAAGTCTAAAAAATTGGACTCCGTTTTAGGCAATTTATTTTAATTTATTTTTTGTTATGACGTTCATAATTGTGAATCCGCCGATTGTTATAAATGAATACCTAATCAAGTAGTAAACAATTTATTATGATTGCATCTTGAACTAGTTTATCATGGACAACAGTAAATTAGCTTCCACGAGTTCAGAAGAACCACTCGTACAACCACAACGACGTTCGCAATTATTCTCACCACCTGCATCAATGTCCCCATCAGTTAGCGAAAAGTATATGAACTTTCCTGATGAGCCATACTTATGGAAGTTTGGTCCAGAAGATGATAATCCAGAAGAAGATGATGGCTTGCATTATCCCGAGGAATCTGCTAAAGCTACAGATAAAGAATCATCAGGACCAGTATGGACCTATAGAGGAATTATGAATATAGGATTTTTAGCTATTCTTACCGCTGCGATCTTAATGTTATTGTGAGTAACATGATTGTTTCGTAAAATTTTACTTATTTTTTGTAGCGCTGGATACCCCATACTCGGATATGCCAGAGCAGCTGAAAGAAGCAAACAAGGCGGATATAATATTGGTTTTATCAATTCAACTGGTCAGATAGCTGCCATTAGTGGCCATCGTGGCTTAGTTGACCCTGACACACCGGAAGAAGCACGCACTAGAGTAGGTTACGACGGTAAAGACTAGTGAGTTGTTTCTTTACACACATGAGCATCTCTAACTGTAATTAGTGAGCTCGTTTTCTCCGACGAATTTAACATCGACGGACGGACATTCTACCCTGGTGAAGATCCATTTTGGGAAGCTGGAGATCTGCACTATTGGGGAACAAACAATCTTGAATGGTACTCCCCACGTCAAGTAACAACCGAAGGTGGTGCACTTAGAATAACACTCGATGAAGTAGCCAGTCACGATCTCGAATATGAAGGAGGAATTTTGACAAGTTGGAACAAATTCTGTTTCACAGGTGGATACATTTCAGCATCAGTACAACTTCCAGGTTCATCAGACGTCTGGGGTCTCTGGCCAGCTTTCTGGACTATGGGTAACCTCGGTCGTGCTGGTTATGGTGCCAGTCTAGACGGAATGTGGCCATACAGTTATGATAGCTGCGATGTCGGTACTCTCAAGAACCAATCACTTGGTGTATATCCACCTGAGTCACGTACCAATGGTGATTGGGCGTATGATTACTCAGTTTCTTACCTCCCTGGACAACGTTTATCCAGATGCACATGCGATGATCAAGATCACCCTGGACCAAAGCATGAAGACGGTACCTTAAAAGGTAGATCTGCACCTGAAATCGATATTCTTGAAGCACAAGTAGATCAATCTACGCGTATGGGTCACCTCTCAATGTCTGGTCAATTCGCACCATTTAACAGTTTCTATCTTTACGACAACACATCTGATTTGGCTGTATTGACACACCCTGAAACTGACGAAGTGAACGGTTACCATGGAAGTGTTTTCCAACAATCCGTTAGTGGTGTTATACGTACAAACCAAGAATGTTATCAATTCGAATCTGGATGCTATGATGAGTATGGTTTCGAGTATCATCCAGGTGCCGATGGTGACATAAAATGGTCAGTTAGCGACGAAGTTAGATGGAGCGTCAAAGCGGGTGCCATTGGTCCAGATCCAATCACAGAAATTGGACAAAGAACTATACCGGAGGAACCAATGTACATACTTATTAACCAAGGTATATCGAACAACTTTGGTGACATTGACTGGGATGAGCTCATATTCCCTTCAATAATGTCAGTTGATTGGGTACGCGTTTATCAACCTGTTGGTGAGCGTAACGTCGGCTGTGACCCACCAGATATGCCAACTAGCGATTATATTAACCGCCATATTGACGCTTACATGAATCCAAACTTAACGACTTGGCAACAATACACTGATGAACTTTGGCCATTGAACGCACTTGAACATCAAAATGACGAGACTTGTCAAACAGCGCTCAACATCGCGCCAGACAATCTCATGGGACTTTAGTTTATATTTATTTTCATTATGTTTTTTGTTATATTAGTAGTAATATTTATTAGATAATCATTTCCATCGAATATCAGTTAGTGCGCTGCACTATATGCATATCTTGTGTACAAATATAATGAAAACAGTGAAAGAATGAGAAATATTGAAAACAACTCAGATGTAAAGATAATATCAAAAGAGGTATTCCGGCCCGCTAGCCACTATAATCAGTTTTGTGTTTACCAACCGAAAGTTTCGCAGTGTTCGCGTACACCACCAATTTCTTTCAGGTATCTTGGATCAACACCACCAATGGCAGCTCTGCATGATCTTACGGTAGATGGTGGTCCACAAATACCAACCATGAGACCATAAGTACAATTCCTATCTTTGGCCATGAAAACGGTATCTTCAATGATGGCTGCAATTGACGGTCTCTTTGCAATAATCTCACCATCCCTGTGTGGTAAGAGATAGTTGAGATCGTCAGAGCTGACGCCAGCGCTGTTAACATGTCTCGTTATGTAAACCTTAACTGTTAGATCGAGTGGAACAAGTGATCCGGCAACGAGGAGTGTCATCAATTCTTCATGGAAAACTTGGTATGTTGCAACATCCCTGACGATCCAAATAACTTGACAAGTGGTGGCACGACAATGTCCACCTCTGCTCTGCTTGACCAGATCTTCAGCGCAAGAGAGTACGAAAGCAAGACCAGAACCGGCAGCAAGGAAAAGAACGTGACCGGATTTACCGAACGACGTATAAAATGGTCCACCGTAAGGACCTTCAACTGAGACTGCCGCAGTTGGGACACTATCGTTACCTTTTTCAGAGCCGTAGGTAATCTCATTTTGCTTCCTTTGTGCGAGTGCCAAAACACGACTACTCCAGTCACCATTACTGCGAATGATAAGTCTAAGACCATCACTACCACCAATAGCGCTCGCGATAGAGATTGGGTGCTTTTCAATGAGGTTGCCCAAACCGAAAAATTTTCCACCGAGTTCTTGAACGCGGACGTAGACGTGCTGTCCTGCTTCCCATCCACCGCGGAGGTCAGGGATTGTGATAGTGGTGTATCCAGCTGCTGGGTGTGGAGTAATTTCAGCTAAACGTGATCTAGATCTCGCAAAGCGCATAGCGCAATCAATGCCGTATGCGACAATGCATGGTATAATGAACGGTTGGGTTGATTTCCAGTGAATCATTATAGCTATGAGGTACATCCAATAGCCGATCCAATGACAATGCCAGAAAACATTGTAGAAGTGAGTTCTGCACCATGGAATCGAGAATACAGCAGTGAGAAGCATACCGATGATAGCAAAAATACCAGCTTGGTTCATAGGCTTTGCCAAACTAGATGCAACCGTATTGTGTTGTGAGAATATATGTGCGTATCCAGCTGTGTGTAAAAGCCCAAACAAGACTGACAATCTTCCTAGAAGACGATGCAATTTGTTGAGCTTCTCGTATCCCCATCCACCCATAGTACCAACAATTGAGTTTTTGAAGGCCAAAGCTGTTACGGCAGGTGTGACAGCTACTGCAGCCCAACCAGCTCTGCCTGGGTTCTCAATTGGGTTTGTAGGACCGTAGGCAAAAACGAAGATGCTGGCGGCAGTGGCTAAAGCGAAAACGAAAGCCTGTCCAGCTGTAAGTGACAAACCAGGCAAAGGCGTGTGCGCTGTAGGCGTTATTTGATTGATTGAGCGCTCGAAAATGTTTGGTTTTGATTTTTGACTGTTTGGAAAGGGGGACTTTGCGACGATAGAGTACGGGTATGCACCTGGGCCATCAATTTCACCCTTGTGGAGGAACGTAGCACGCTGTATACCACCAGCAATAACCCAGTTAATCATGGCGGGTAAACGAGCGAGGAAAGCCACGACAATCATACCACCTGTGGAGTTGTTAGGCGATTACAGAGTTTGTAGGAATACTTACCAAAGAAAGCTTGTAAATAGATTGAATGTTCTTCTGGAAGTTTCATTTTCCTACTTCTGTTGTTCTTCTATGGGTTGCCCTATTAGGAGAGCAGACAGGGAAGCGATTACTTACGCAGTTAATTTGTTAGAGCTAGTTGCGACCGGCGCGTATCACTGAGCTTTGAATATCCAAAGGAATGTGGTTTGGTATGAATGAAGGATTCCGGCTAAACTAGTAGGAGGACGTGATGCAAGTAAAATTAAAATTTAAAAAAAAACTACAATTTAGTTGACAACATATTAATCACTATCAGAATCACTAGAGCCATCCTCTTGGTCATCATCATCTGTACCACTTTCGTCAGAATCGGCTGCGTCAGCTTTCTTAACAGATTCTCCGCGGAGCTGGGCCATCTGTCCGGCTAATGAATCCTCTTCTGGCTCGCTAATGTCATCCTCCTCTTTCGCTGGTGCTGCTGGCTTTTCTACCAGCAGTCTCATCGTCCTTGCTGCTTGGAATCCCCAGCCAGGCTGGACTTCAGAGCAAACAACGGCTCTAAATGTGTAAACACCTGGTTGTGGTGGGGCCTGGAATTGCAAGTCTAGACTTTTAACTATGTTCTTGTATTTTGGTGCTTGAACTATTGGTATATTTGTAAATCTACCAGGTTGTACGATAATTTTTGACGTCTTTGCGTCGGTCAACATGACCATATAGCTAATTAGCCTTTCCTCTGGGTAGTATGGCGTGTATGCTGTGTGAAGCTTTGTGTCATTCTTCTCAATGAAAATATCATCTTCTGGTTTTGTGCCATCATCTCCTAATGGGAATCGTGCAGGAACTAGCCTAGCTTTAGTTTTGAATTGTACGATAGCACCAGGTGTGACTGTTTGTTCATCGACAACTACTTAAGTGTCAGTATATTGTGATATGTGTGTAATAGCTTTCACTAACCTTCGAAATTTGCATCTGCAATATCTACATGTAAGAATCTCCCAAGGACATCATTGACACCTTCATAGTGCTCCTCTTTGACACCACCTGGTTGACCAACTTTGAGGATTTTTTTACGTTCATCTTCAGGTGCTCTAGCGATAGTGAACGGAGCTCTCTCAGAAATTTCTTCAGCGAGTTCAGCAGGGAAGTTGTAAATTGATTTATATACACTGTCACCTGGCTTTGTGGCTGTGAGAAGGTGACCAGAGAGTTGAGAAATCTTAAGTGTGGTTGGCAACCAATTATGAGCTAATGAGATTCCAAGAAGGGTTCTATGTACGTGCAATGCAATTGGTAAGATCCTACGTTGCTCTTTTTGTAATTGCTTTGGAAGATCAATGCGTAAAACGTGAGCGAAAAGCAAAACCGCGGCTCTTGAAGATTGAGTACGTGTGTAAATACCATGAGTTGGGAAGACATAATCGAGATGTTGCTTTGCTGCTGCTTTGACGCTCTTTGCGATGCCTTTGTCGACTGGAGAAGCAGGTAAAACTGCTAACATTTCATCGGCTGTTGCCAGCAAGTGAAGTAATTGTGAAAAATCAGCTTTCTCATCGAGCTTTCTAAAGAAGATGGCTGCAGTTGAATTCAAAACTCTGTCTTTGGTGAGTGAACGGCTGGAGAACCACCATTTACCGACGAAGTATGGCAAGGCTAAACCAAATAAGACGGCATACAAGCCGAGTACCCAAAATGAGTAGTCAGAATCGACGACCCAGGTTGGAATGGCTACACCAATTGACATTTCTTGTTTGCCATCTGGATGACCGAATTGTTCGAGGTTTTGTCTCGTCTGATCGTCTGTTAATGATTTGTAGGCCTTTGTGAGGTTAACAAAGTAGTTATCAGCCTGTTCTACAGTTTGGTTGACTGCTAATTTAACTTTATCTGGGTGGAACTTCAATGATAACTTCTTGTAATGCTTTCTAATCTGCTTTTGAGTAGATGTAGTCGATAAGCCAAGAATCTCGAAAGGATCGTAAACTTCGTAGTTGAGTTTTATATCTTTAGTTTTAAAAGCGATGTAAACGAACAAGGACCAACCAACGAGCAGAACGAGTAACCTGTTAATAGTTACCTTAGATTTGCTAGTTGATCTAGGCTTTGGCGTATCCTTTGGGTATGGGAATACAGGGTAAGTGAGTGATTGTTGGAATAGCAGCTTATAAAGTGTAGATAAGCTTAGTGGAACTAAAATTAAGAATAAAAATGTTAGTGTGAAGTAACCAGCGAATTGCCCGCTTTCGTCATATTGTGTATTGGACATTTCCTCGTCGTTACTGTCAGAGTGACATGGCAACAGAGCCTAGGAATTTGGACGACAGAACGATATAATCACAAGAAGAAATAAATAAGATATTTGTAATATAGTAGCTTCACAGATAAATAATATATAATTCATCTCTCTTCATCTCCGTCGAATAACCAAAAACGTCAAAACTTGTCTTAGCGAACGAAGAGATTAATAAAAGCACTAAAACGGCAAGACTTAATTCAACTGCGTTGATCATCTCTTTTATTTATCGTTTAAATTTTTCACAGACTAGTCCAGCCTAAGCGGATCACTCCTCATAAAGGCTCCACCAAGATGATTATTTTAAAAGGAGATCAGGCGGATTTCACTGATAGAAATTCTAGAGGTGAATTAGTACACGATGAACCGTATCTCCCTAGATACTCCCAGCAAGGATATGACTTTAACTACGATGCTGATAGAGATCATGAGCCATCGATGACAGAGACAGGGGATAGCAATCTAAGACGTAGGTTTTGATACTATACCCTCTTCACACCCTAACTCTCTCCTTCAGCCCTTCTCCCTATACACGCCCCATATCATAATACGCGAGATAGAACTACAGCAGCGCCATACAATCCTTTAGAAACAACATCCACAAACTCCTCCAGACACCAACAAAGCTCAGAAAACCCTTTTGCCCATCCGGACGACTCTCAGTCTCTCCTCATCGGTCCAGTTCCAGATAATCTAGCAAAACGGAGAACTAAAAAGAGATTTTTTATCGCATTAGCTTGGGCTTTGTCCGTTTATGTAGCAATTGGTGCCATTTTAGGGCCAGTTTTAGAACACGTAGGTTTTTATACTATTTACCGTTACTCCACTAACAACTTTTTAGTACCTCAATGACAATAGTCCTAACGTATCAAACGAATCCGACTCTAACTATCAACTGCCTTATGGTTTATCTGCTAATAGAAGTTCCGTTTCTTCGAAACTCGCTCTTCAAGGTTCTTCCGAATTAGTTCTCCTCCCAGCGTCCGGAAAGATCGACATTCAATTACCTTCAACAGTCAATGGAAAAGTTAAAGTTGAACGTTCACCAACCAATGAAACCGACAAAGATGGTAATCCAACCGCACCATCAAAGGAAACTTCCTTCTGGGCTCAATTCACACTCCCAAAATCAGTTGATGCAGTCATGTCGAAGCACTCTGAATCACTCATCGCTCATTTATTAGTCCCATTACAACCACTCCAGTTGGTTCTTCCTCTTCAACAACCTCCATTAGATTCAAACGGTACAAACAGCACAGACACCTCACATCATGGAAAACATCACGATGATGACGACGATGATAACGATGACAAGGATGATAGTGGTAACTCCACTTCAAAATCTAATCAACGTAGACGATCATTTGAAGCTCAGCCGTTGGATTCTAGAGAAACCACAAAACCTATTCAATCAACTCCACCAAGTAAATGGCATAGAGCACTTTGCCCTCTCATAAGTCCATTCGGTAACAAGCTTCCAAGCTTTCTGCCAATTGCCTGTAATGGTATTCATAGCATGAGAGCTCAGTTGTGGTCATCATACAATAACGAATGGAGTAAACGTAATGTTCAGCAAGAGCCTACGGATCTAATTGATACATTACCAAATAAGCTCTCAAAGAGAGCACTTGCAAGTGATCAATTAAATGCCACAACTTCAAATTCAACGAGCTCTGGTGATTTCGGTCAGATTCAATTCAGTCCAGGAGAGAACCAACCATCGGAATGGGCAAGTTTGATAGTTGAAAGCTTAAATCAAAACGTAACTGGCGGATTAAATATCACAGTCGATGATCCATATAGTAATGGTACATCTGCTGTTGATATTATACCTGCATGTACAAACTGTCTCGCCGATGCTGCGATAACACTCTACTTACCTTCAGATTTACCTGCATTGGATTTATCCATTTCCACAAAATCTAAAGACATGGGAGTATTTATTAGTGATCTTTCTGAAGTCATGTTAGACACTGTAAGGCTGGACCTTCAAAGTGGTAACATTGCAGTTGAAGAACTCAATGCAACAACGCAAACAATTAACACCTACAATGGAACAATACTTGGTAAATTCTCAACAAATAGTTATTTAAGTATGGGTAGTACAACATCAACTAATGCGACAGTCTCATTATTCGATAAAATTAATTATTATGGTGGTGACGCTTACATCAACGCGTACGCCTCAAAAGGTAACTCAACGTTGTCTATAAACGGTACAGCATTGAGGGATGATGTATATGTCAACGCAGATGGAAGAAAGAGTTCGCAATTGAATTTGCCACTGGATTATACCGGTAAATTTGGCGTTAAAGCTAAACATAATGATGGTACAGCGATATTGAATGTCGAAAATTCAACCAAAGTTGTTAGACACGGTATAGGTGAAATCAAGAACACCGATCAGGAGAATCCTGATCCTAATGATGACCACATTGATTGGATCTGGTCCACAAATATTTCACAATAGTAGACAAATGCCACCTGCTAAGTTTTTAGAAACTACCATCGCATAAAATAACTAGATCGTTTAAAAGCATATACACATAATTCACGCACTCACAACAACAACAACAACAACAACACAATCATCATCTTGCATTATATCAAACACGTTAAATTCAAAACTCACGTATATTTAGAATTTTAAATTATTTAAAAGACAAATCTTTTAATATAGCTTTATGGTTTTTATCGGTTCTTTCTCTTTTTCTTAACTTTTGTAAAAATAGTTATAATTTTTTTGTTGCATGATATATTTCTATATTAAAGATAAGCATTTCAACTATGCTGTCATCACTAGCGATAATGGCGTGGATGGCGCTACCGTTGACAGCCCTAAGTGTTTTCATTACCCGTCACCAAGCAGAAGAGGAAAGGAAGAAGGATGAAAGTAAGAAAGAGACAGACTTATTTATAAAGAAATATGGTATATCTTCTTCTACAAAAGACACAACGAGGAGTGAAAAAATGGAACACTTTTCACCTAAAGATAAATGTGATATTTTATTATTAGGTAGTGGATGGATATCCACCTTCGCAGTTCCAGGTTTAGTATCAAAGGGTTTCACAGTTGCTGCAACGACGCGGAAAGCGACACCTGATGATAAATTTGATAGAATTGAGTTCACATTTGACGACTCCCTGGATATTGATCGGGAAGTTGAGAAATTACCAAAAGCTAGGACCGTTGTTGTTGTATTTCCTATCCGAGGATCTGAGAGGACGTCCAAGTTAGTCGACGCCTACACACGCTTAAAAGGTAATTCACAGTGGATTCAACTCGGTAGTAGCGGCATATGGGGCACGAATGATGATTTGGTTTCACCATGGATAGATAGATTTACACCTCCAGACATCACAAATGAGAGATGTATCGCTGAACAAGAGATGCTCTCACTGAGTACCCAAGAAAGACCAACTTGCGTACTCAATCTTGCTGGATTGTACGGCCAAGAACGCAAGCCATCTAACTTCCTCAAAAGAGTCCAGGATAAACTAGAAACGAAAGGGAGTGTGCATTTTGTACATGGTGTTGATGTCTCGAGAGCTATCTTGCTCCTTCATGAGGCTTTCACACCTGGCCAGAGGTGGCTTTTAACTGGTGAGGTTTGAGCATTCCAAAGGTGTTAGCTAACAATCGCAGATGGCCGTGTACACGATTGGTGGAATATCGCACTAGATAAAGGCGAGCCTGGTAGTATTGCTCGCGTTAAAGTCCAAGCATTGACTCGCTTGCTTGGTATAAAGGCACTCCCTCGTCCAATTTGCGAAACAATACCAAGAGATAGCAACGATAAATCACATTGTCTTATAAGAGCACTAGATAGTAGCCACTTCTGGACGCATTTCGACGAAGCTCCTCTTAGTGGTGGTCTATCATAGGGTTCTTTCTCTAGCAAAACATCACATCATTGTAAAAGTAAGGAAACTATTACATTACAGTAATATTACTTCTATTTTTATATCTCCAGTCGAGATCTTCATAGAATTGTTTATGCCTAAATTAACGACATGAGAAATATTAGTGACTTGATTTATACACCCACGTTGTCTTGTATATATTCAGATGTTCGCTTTCTGCATAATCCAGTATATCATTAACGAAGTTGTCGAATGCTCGGAAGTTGAAATATTTATGTGACTTTATCCTAAATGCAAGAATATCATGAGATACTCTCAGAGGCCGTTTTGCATTTGTCTCATTAATATATTCAGCTACAGGTGTGTCAAGTTTGATATGTAAGCGCATAACCGTATCTTCATAACTACTATCATTGAAACTTGAAGTACCGACACCTTTCAAACTCGTGAAAGGAATGAGCCAGACTGCCTGAATATTCTGTTGATGTTTTGCGTATACAATCAAAGAATTGTTTTCAATGGCGACATACGCGAACCAATATGGCATTTCCAGACCGCAATAAAGTGATTCTGGGGAGACTTTAAAGAGCCTTCCCTGTGAAACCAGGCTATTAGCTACACGAAAGTTTATATTACTTTGACGGGTTCTAAAGAGGTGAGCGTACGGTGCAAACGCAGACTTTGAGTAGAGATTCGTGAGAGGGCTCTTAGTGTTTTCTGATAGTGACAGTGGTGGGGGTGTTGGTGCGACATGAACTGCCGATTCTGCAGGTAAATTAGCTGCACCAGGACGACTAGCTGGATGCGATGATTGTGCATCGATTGCGCGTGATTGCACAGCTATTTGCTCGGCTTGCTGTTGCAATTCCTCTTTACCTGGTTTGACTTCCTCTTCTTCAAGTGCACAACTGCCACTGCCCACCAATTCCTGTCTCACTCTGCGTTCTTCATCTTCTGAATGATTTGATGCTCTGCGTTTGCGACTCTGATCGTTAGTGTTTTGTTCTGCTTCTTGTGGTGGTAGTTCTGCGAGTAATTGTTGCTGTCTTTCTTGTTGCTGCTGCTGTTCGAATTCCTGTTGCTCTAGCTGTTGCAACTGCTTTTTTTTCTTCGCTTTCTGTTTCTTTTTAAGCTGCTTTTTTGTTAGCACCTCTGCTGGTGGCTCTATGTGCGGTATATTATCTGACTGGACCTGCGGATCTATCCCTGGTATTAGCGAGGAAGAGTTTATACTGAAGTCGTTCGTGCTTTCTACCTCAGGCGACGCACTCCCCCAGTAAGGTTGCTCCGTCAAATCTGGTGCAGGCGAGACATTGAATGGCTCTATATCAGCCTGCTGATTTTGGATCGTCTCCTGATTCAGTTCATGATGCTGCTCAATGCCATCACAAATATCTACAAAACTGTTCTGTGCTTCAGATCCACCCAGAGTACGGAAATAAGTATCTAGGGCTTCACCAGGAGGACCTACCTGATCATATCCTTCATGATTATAGGTATCTTGATCCATTCCTTGCGGAAGATATTCCGCTTGATCATATTGGTTTAATGGTAGCTGTTGTTCATTCTGGTCTTCTTGGTTCGTGTATCCAGATAAATCGACGTTTATGTAGTATGTACAGTTTATTGTCATACCATTCGCGCCATTGTTGTTTGCGCTAGTGGCTGCCTGTGGTCTTACAGCTCGAAAACCTCGCGGGAGCTTCAATGATAATGAAATCTCACTGTCATCTGTGTTCGTAACTACAGTGGGCATTATAATGGGTATTTCAAATCCCTTGGATATTTAATCCAGTCGTTTGTCTATAAGCTCGAAGTTGGAAGTTCAGAAGAAACGGTGGACTGGTAACGGGAAAATCAAAACTTTGAGTAAACATGCATAAAAATCCTTCATAGAAAATACTCTATGAGAGGCTGAATGCATATTAGCTTTAACAAAAGATCGAGCGTGTTTTTCTTTTGTACTTTTTCTCTAAAAATTATTTGTTAAAGACACTTGGAAATCTCGTTTTTGTATTGAAAAATCAAAACTTCAGCATTGTTGATTTGAATGTTTCGAATACCAAATTTCTATTTTTCTTATAGTGTTATATTGTAGCATTCTGGCTCATGGCTACAATTTCGACAAACGTTGCAAAACCTTTTGATTTTTTACAATGTATTTAATTATATATATGTATAACAAGACATTCAAATCCTGGATTTTCCAAATATGTCCCCGTTGTAAGTATGCAAGATGTTTTTCCGGATTGTTGGCTAGGAACTTTCATTCGACAACAACCATTCACAAACTTGGAAATTACCGATTCACTGTCAATGTTGCACTTTGATCAGGAGTAGTTTGGATCTTGACATTATGAGACTACCGTTCTGTCAGCATATAAACGCGATCCGCTTTAATGTTCTTCAACAAACTTTAAGGGAGGCATTTCTATATATCGCTACTCAAACCGTATTTATTTGTATGATGTTTTATATCTTTGTGAGCAAAACTCATCATGACTGCATGACAACGATAATCTTCACAGATAAAAATCCGTGTGATGTCTTACTTACTATTCATGGGTTAAACATACGCACTTCTAAATGCCGTTAGGAAGTTGTCTTATATTCCTTGAATAGTTCTGCTATATGTCTAGACTGACTTTTTTGTCTTGACCAAAGCTTACTATTAACTGTAACATTACCGATTTATTTTCCGTCCGTTAGCTTAGCATGTAATTTGTCTACATTTACGCTGAAATTGACATATGTTGATATGTAGAAGTCATGAAAATACAATGAGCTCATCTGATATCGTATTGTTTAATAATGGAGCTTTCTTTCTAGATGTCTTTTGGCTAAACTATCTACGCTTATGAGCCGAATTGTTTCGGATGGGTTTTCTGTCTCTATGAAGTAATAGCATAATCAAAGTGCTAACAAACGTCGAAAACTGTATAAATTCCCTTAAAGATACAAGCTAAATTCGATATTCGTGACAAGCAAATAGTTACAATACATATTACAAGGTTTAGTCGCGTAATAAGCATATTTCTAGTAAGTAGTCCTAGAGTAGAAAAATTTTGGTAAAAAATTATCGAAGAGGTGTTAAATTAGATAAGTGAATAAGGGTTTTGTAGAGGACTGCTTAGACAGCTGGTCTGTCCTCGCTCTTATCGTGGTCATCATCCACTACGTAAAGCTGCTCTTTCGCGATGTTGCGACGTAGAATATAGCGCTTGAAGAAGTAAGGAACTTGCCTTATCTGGTAGGCAATGTGAACGTGCGTAGGGGTACTAAAAACTATCGTCATTGTTAGCAAGCAGCGCGATTATGGCTAGTTGAAATTCACCTTGGTCGAGCTCTTCGAGAGTCAACATCTTCGTTTCTGGGACAAACAAGAAGGCAAGGACGAATAATGCGGCACACCACCCAGCGTACCATCCGAAAGCACCTGAGGTAGTAAATGCTTTCTCGAGAGCTGGAAATGTGATGGACAGAATGAAATTGAAGAACCAGAGAACCTATATGGTTATGTCAGCAACTGAATACACTTAAGTCTGTTATCCGCGAGACTTAGCTTTCAAGTCAGATAAGAAGTGGCACCGCCCGTTCTAGGGGCCGCCTATTTCTATCCAAACCATCGCTAAAGTCCCACAGAGTTTTATACTCACAGCCGTTGCAAGACTCATTCCCAGGTTACGATGTGAAAGCGGGAACACCTCCGCACTGTCTGTTACAACTTGTTAGCAGCAATTTAATGGAGAAAAATAACACCATACAGCTAAATGGTACAGGTCCTGAAGTGTATGAGTACTGTACCGTAAACAAGTATAGTCCAATTGCAACCGGTATGATTTGTTTGTCGAAAGGTGCCAGGAACCCGAGTGAGACAACCACGAGCATAAGACACATAGTCGGGTATCCAACTAGGAGGAGAGTACGGCGACCATATCTATCGATCGTAAAGAATCCTGGAATTGCGAAAAGAAAATTCATCATTCCAAAACCCCATGATGCAATGAGCGAATTGAGTTCTCCGAAACCGGCTCTGACGAAAATGTTGGAAGAATAGTAGGCAATAACGTTAATACCACAGAATTGTTGACCAAACATTACGAGAGATGATGCAATAGTCGCTCTGCGGTTGCGAGGGATACTGAACAATTCAATGAATCTAAACCAGGCTGACTTTCCTTGGATGAGTTTCATCTCTTCCTTCATGCATACATGAATGTAGTAGATGTCACGAGCTGCTTGAAGTTTGTGTGGACGGAGACGCTGGAGAGCACGATAGGCCTTTGGATAGTAATCCTTGCCTTTGCCCATGAGGTAACGAGGTGACTCTGGAATGAAAGGGAGAACAGCCATGACTATAAGTGCTGGAATACCTGCGGAACCCAACATCAAACGCCAATTAAGACCCGTGATGGTGCTCGTATCGCCTACGCGGTAGAAGATCAAATCAGCGACGAAACCAAGCATAATACCAAACGCAGTCTGTGAAATGTCAATGGGGCGCTTCTTATGTGCGTGATTTACTCACCCAGAACTGCCACATCATAACAAGCGCACCTCTGATGTTTGCAGGAGTGGTTTCTGCAGCAAAGACACTAATGAAAGTTAGAAGTTGCTATAGAGAGTTAGACTATTACTTACGGTACTGTTGCACTTTTAGGACCAATACCCAAACCAAGGAAAAGGCGAGACACGAAAAGGTGCTGCCAGGAGTTGGTAACGGCTGACCAGATACATGTTGCGAAGGATAGGAATGCAGTGATCATAATAGTACCGCGTCTACCGAAAAACCTGTTAAGTGGACTTGTCAACCAACATCCGACTACTGCACATGCGAGGTATGGCGCTGAATTGACTAAACCAAAGAGCCAGACATCAACGTCTGGATTTATGTTGAGATCCTACGTCTACGTTAATGGGATTTTGCGTCCGGGGAAGAAACTCACTTCTGGATAGAAAAGTTGGGCACCATTGATGACCTACGCGTTGTTAGACAATAAACTGCATGTAAAAAGATACATACAGTCTCGTCCATACCCTGAACTACTGCTCCAACACTGCAACATGCAACAAGTAGCCAGAGTTCCCTGGTTTGATGCAACTTATGAGTTTTTTCGCGACGGATAGCTTCCTTGTCATCTTCTGTGAGCTGTGGAAGTAATTCAAATCTCTTTGGATCTTGTGCGACGAGTGCACCCTTCGCAATTAACTCCGAGTCTTCTTGGAGATCAAACTCCTTTGCAAAACTTAGAGCATCCTCCCAGAGTTTGTCATGAGGAATACCTTTCAGTGGATTCTCTAATCTGTAGTTTTTTTTGGTTAAAAACACTGCAAGACTAAGTTTCACTCACTTTTGTGTAAGTGTTTTTGGAGGCTCCCTTTGTTCAGGGAGAGAATCATGCGAAGCGGAGGGTTTGATCTTCTCGTCTGAAAAGCGTTTCTTGTCCATTTGAGTAAAATAATTCAAGAGCTAATCAAGGGTATTTTTGACTTTTTAAAGTGCTAAGTGAGTGGGACAACTGACTATGTCACTTGACACAAATTGTTTTTTTGTGATTCAGGGCGGCACGGCGTAAAGTTGCGACTTAAGGTGGCGCGATGATCCTACAAATAAATTCTAGTATGATGATATTCTACCGTACATTAGGTCTGCCATAAAGTTATTATCGGAAGTATGACCGCATCAGTGTACCTAATCATGTTCTACATGTCTCATCACACCGTAGGGATGCGCTTCGTCATATATATTACGTAAATCATTGTAAAACGCCCTGGAACATGGAGATTGAGCAGACGATGTTTCATTTATGGCGTGAGTGAGATATTAGTGATATATTGCATACAAGGAGTACATGGGAGGCTATCAGATGATTTCTTGGCGAGTGAGAATTACTTTCTAGTAAATGCGCCTGTCGCCCAGTCGTTTGAATCCCTCACTTCTGAGCCAACGAGGGAGCCTCTATGGGGGCCACCGCTGCCTATACGTGGTTTGCCTACCTAATAATTATTATTAGCATGAAATAGTCTTATATAGTAACTCTTCTTACCTCAGATACGTCTGGTTCGACGGCTGTGTCTTCCTCTATCGCTGAGTTCACTTCTGCACCCTCTATTGGTACACCCTGGCTCGTGCGTAGTTGTGAGTTGCGTCTAGGCCTATTAGTGGTGCTTGCGGATGGTATGTCGGCCTTAGATTGATTGAGAGTTGAGTTCCTGCGCTTTCTAGTGTCGCCATCGTCGACTGGTGGCGGTTGAATATCTTGTTCGTTGCTGAATGGATCTCTGAATTTCGTGTCGTCTGAACTGCTTATCATGGTTAAGAACCAACAGACATCCTGCTTCTGAGCTTCCATCATTGCAAATATCGCCCAATTAAAAATGGATTCAAAGCCGCCATCGTAGGTCTATCTATAATTTTAAGGATCTCCCCTTACGTTAACTTAGCGCCAAACGGCAGAATAAGGGGGTTAGTAGAGAGATGCGAATAGAATACAGACATTTAACAATAAATCAGATACTGCCAATAATGGATCTCGGCCGTGACACCCTCAGACCAGGTATTCCTCGTAAAGTCAGAAATCCATCGAGAGAAGCTGGAAATTTGGGTGACGATACGACGAGTGAGTACTCTAGTACTATTATAGGATGTTCCTTCAACTATCTGTACCCAGGAATTGCCACTGCATCCCCCAATTCATTCTACAATCAAGCACAACCGCAAACACCCTTCTTTCATAGAGCAAACGTTGTGAAGAATGACGCACCATCATCAGGGAAGTCTACGATATCCATAGATCTTGATAGCGACCTCGAAAACCCGGCAATGTCGTCAGCAACAAAGCCATCCAAAGGTAAAGGAAAACAAAGAGACAACGGCAACAACGAGGATAATAAAGATAATGACGGCGATATGGAGGTATCTGTACGTAAGAAGAGGAAAACAGAAACCTACGATTTCTTCGATGAAATACCTCAGCCAAAAAGCACATCCGGTGTAAGATCTGCTATGACAGGTAAAGACAATCAGAAGGAGCAGAAGCGTGTACGAAAACCCCGGGGAAGGCCCAGGAGACCAATTGAGGTCGTTGATGATGACGACGAGCACAAAATCGAAGTTAACATAGGTAACAGCAAAGTTATCCATAATCAGACATTACGGGATGGGTATTCTCAAGGGGTAGATCTCAAAGACGTCGATTCTAGTAGTATCCTATATCTTGACGCTACGCATATAGACTCGTATCATGTCGAATCAAGTAGCAATCAAAAATGCGCTTTAACTTTCAGCAAAGAACGATTAATTATAAACAAGCTACTCTCAAGGCGTTTAGAACCCTGGAGAGTAATCGACCTCACAGATGTCGTATGTGCCAAGGGTCGATACGATAGTGGAACGAGTGCGTTGGTACTTCAACTCAAGAAAGGTTCCAACACTGTAGAATCGCTACCCAATCCAAGAATATCATTGTCGCTAGATATCAAAGTAGATGATAATCCACCCTTTTTCAGTAATTTAGACGTCAGAAACGATCTCTTTATCGCTTTCATATCTGATACCAGCAGCTTCAGCAATAATACCAGTGTGAATGAGAATCTTTTTAGTGCTCTTCAAATTGCTCTGAGGAATAGAATTAATTGGATGAGTGACGAAGAATGGGGTCAAAGAAAGCCCAGAGGGAAAATCGAAACCAAGGAAAGGCACGTAGGCGCGTCAAAACCTGATGATAACAACTTAAATACGCATGCTAAATTTAATACGCACAATAGTACCACAATGCCTCACTTGGACGAAGATCAGATTTCTAGAATTCCTAAAGTACAAAGTGATATAGAGAATTTCACCCAAGATGATGGCCAAGCAACTAAGAAAGCACGTCAAACTGGTAGTCAAGTAAGTAAAGCTAAGAAAGTAGCGCCACAGCCAATCGTACCCGGTGCTGCGAGAGCGTCTCAAACTGTGAACCCATCCAGTCAACAATCAAAAGATCACGAAAATAATGAGTATACCAACGCAACATCCGGTGGCGAGGCACCCATGGCACGCACAAGAAGCACACGAAAGGCAAAATCTGATGCTATTAAGGCTAACAACGAACTTAAAGGCCTTACGGGAACGTCAGCTCGCAAACCATCAATGGATCCAGCTGTAGCAAATGAGATATACCTGACTAAAGATTTTGATAATGGTAGTTTGACGATTCGTAGAGGTGATAGAGCTAGTATAGATCCAGGGGAATTCTTGAATGATTGCATTGTTGAATATGGTATTCGGTAGGTCGTGAAACTTGTATTGGATTTTTTCTAAGACATCTCAGCTCAACGCTAATGAGGTTGCGCTCACGTGATCCAGTGCTCGCCGACCAAGTGCATCTTTTCAGCAGTTTCTTTTATACGTCCCTGGTGAACTCTTATGAAGGTACAGGCGATCCGTACAAAACCATGTGGAGATGGACAAAAAGTGTCGATATCTTCGCCAAAAAATTTATTCTTGTTCCCATCTGTGAAAAGTGAGTGGGTATTCTTTAACAAAACGCCAACTTACAACGCAATCCAGTTTGCATTGGTATTTAGCGGTTATATACAACCCTAAAGGTGTGCTCTTCGGACCTCCAGGAGACCTCCGGGAGAAGAAGAAACCTAAACCTAAACCAAGTGCGGGTGCTGCTACTAGTGCTGCTGCTCAGAAACGACAGGCTGCAGCTAAGAAAAGGGAGGAGAAGAAGCAGGAAACCTCAAAGAACAAAGTTAAACACGATATCGTCGAGTTAAGTTCAGATTCGGAGAACGAACAAGAAAAAGATAAAGATGTGCCTGAAAAAGCCAAAGACGAAGATGTTGTGATGTCAGAAGTAACATCTACCCAGAGTAAGTTGACAAACTTATTTATGTTACCTTTAATAATTTCACTAGATACACCTTCACAAGATATACCAGATTCTGAAGCCGTAGAGATCGTAGGAAACGTTGAAGAAGACAGTAAAACTGATGATGGAGACGCAGATGTCATGCACGAAGATAGAAACAAAAACAGCCGATGTTACATATTCACGTTAGACAGTCTCAGTGGTACCCACAGACCAGTTATAAATAATCTGTCGAGGTATCTTCAAATGGAAGCGCAAGGAAGAAAGGGCTTACCTCTGGAATCATTTAGCGTACCTGACGGGAAAAATCCCAAGGTGCCCAAACAACCTAATTGGTGTGACTGTGGCGTCTATGTTATACACTATATAGACGTATTCTTTAAAGATACAACAAAATATCTCGGTCTATTGCTAAACTCCCACAAGACCAGGCGGGAGCACAGTGACCCGCAATGGGAAGACAAGGCTGCTGAGCGAGCTCGTGAACATCTTGTTAAGAGTTTAGATGAAGAAGCTGTAAAATTTGATGCAGAAGAGATTCGCAAAGGAAGACGTGAACCCAAGAAGGTGGTAGAACAAAAAGCTGAGAATACAACGGAAGAGTCTACAGAGAGTATTTCTACAAAAGGAAATGTTGGGCAATCCACAGTTTTAGCTATACCTGCAGAGAGCAACAATAATGGCTCATCTAACGAAGTTGAGAAGAGACCTACTGCTCAGGGAGAAGACATCCATGAGACGTCATCTAATGGTAGCAAAAGTGACTCTATAAGTTCTAAAGTACAAGAAAAGTTGAATATCAACAATCAGGACATTCAACGTGGTACTAAAAAACACAGCAATCTGAATTCGAGTAATTCCAAGTCAGATCGTTCGACTATGATCGACGATAATGCTAAAATATTGTCAAAGCAACATAATGAGATGGGAACGCTACCGTCAAAGAGTGCAGTTATAGAGCCGCATATAGGACAATTCGGTACGGCTAATCAAGCAAGTCGGACCGATCAGCCAATAAGAACTGTCATGGAAAAGATCAGACGTGCCCAAAGCCCGCAGGCTAACTCATCGCAAGAGATCTCTCCTGATAAACTACTTTACGATGCGTATAATACGTTTAATCAGGAATCTATTGCAAATTGGCAACTTAAAGGTTCTTCAAAGTCAGATGCACCACAGTTGAAGCCTCAACATCGTCGCGTATCTTCAAATCCAATTAAGCGTGACACAGTGAAGACTTCACCAGTTTCTAAGTTGTCAAATTCACAGGCAGCTGAAATGGCTTTATCAGACAATTCACCAGACTTATTAAGATCACAAATAAATTCAAGGCTACCAAAATATACAACACGAGATGAGGAGCCTGTAAACACTAACAGTGGACATGAGATCGATGAAACTGTGATGAGAGGTCAAACAAACGAGCGCTCTACAATGTTTAAGCCATTTGATACCCCTTATCGACACAATCCCCCGCTAGAAGGACAATTAACGCGCGAGCCGTTTACTCAAAAGCACCTTCGCTGGGAGGGTGAGAAGGATGATTCACCGGAGTGTCAAATCATAGTGTCACCAGGAGTTAATAGGACAGCAGATTACCTGAAACCACAGAGTAGTCCTATTATTGAGCAATTAGACGAATCGGGTGTAGAAGGACGCAGAAGATTAGAGCCAATTAAGCAACATGGTGTGGATGTATCAAATCCACGGCTATCACCAGAACTACTCTAAATGACTATTACATCAAAAGAAGCCAGAGAAAATAAATGAATGCCCTCTGGGAGGAGAGAAGCGAAGACTTACATCAACAGCATTCTAAGGAGCAGTGAAGAAAGAAGCAATGCATTGCGATAACAGCAGTATATTTATTTATTTGTAATTTTTTTATATTTTGCATATTTACTATCTCGACGAATAGCTGGTCATCGTTTTCAAAAACGACGAGCATGCTTGGAAGGGGTGAGTAGGAGAGAATAGAGGAATATGAAGAATGCTTATATCTTTTATTAGTCAGACTATCAGCTAACAAGCTGCCAAAATCTAAATCACCAGTTGTTAGTTTCTAGCCAATTTGATCGCAATAATCTAACAGAGACAGGCTCAATACCATGATTTGAATATCACACCAAAATCTAAGTCACCGGTACTCAGACTAGGCCCAGGTGGTAGAAGTTCTACTACCGGCCATGTCGCTACTGTATTCGGTTGTACAGGATTTTTGGGTCGTTATCTCGTGCAGAAGATTGGTGCGTAGTCGTTTATGTTACAATAAATTATCTTACAATTCATACCCAGCTCGCACTGGTGCTCAAGTCGTCGTTCCATACCGTGATGAAATGGAAAAGCGTCACCTTAAAGTTATGGGCGATCTTGGTCAAATTGTACCAATGGTGGGTACCCATATCATCCTTTATACCCTCTATATCACTCCTCTTTAGGAATGGGACGCTCGCAGACCGGATCAAATCGCTGAATGCCTTAGACACTCGGATGTTGTATATAACTTAGTTGGACGTGACCATGAGACTAAGAACTTTAGCTACGAGGATGTCCACACTAAGGTTGCTAGTGATATCGCTTCAATTGCTACACAAGAGGGTATTGAGAGACTTATCCACGTCTCACATTTCAACGCTGCTCACGATTCTCCATCTGCTTTCTATAGAGCCAAACAAGCAGGTGAAGACCTCGTTAGAGAAAATTTCGATGGCGCTACTATCGTTAGACCAAGCACTATGTACGGACACGAGGACCGTTTCCTCCAACAAATGGCTTGTAAGTTACTTTCTTGAAGGGTGAGAGAGAGCGCTAATGGTTTTCACAGTCTGGACTATCGCATACAAGCTCAACAACGGTCAAACACGTGTTAAGCCAGCCCACGTTTTGGATGTTGCTGAGGCTCTTCACAAGATGATGACATTGGATCCAGGTAGCGGTGACACTTAGTAGGTATTTTATTTCATTCCATTCACATTGCTAAAACACCTCCACAGCTCACTCCCAGGTCCAAAGGAATACACCTACAACGAGGCGATCGATGTTGTCTCATCTTTGACACTCAAGGAACACAAGGCACCAAGCGTACCAAAGCCAATAGCCAAGGCTGTTGCTCAGCTCATGAATAGACTGCTCTGGTGGCAATCAATAAGCGAGGACGAAGTTGAAAGACGTCATTTGAACGATTTAGCCGCTATTCCAGAAGGACACAAGAGCTGGAATGATTTAGATATCATCCCTGATTACATGGAGGATGTTTCTATTCCATACGTTAGAAGATATCGTACGGCTACAACATCAAACTTGCCAGTCGAGAGAGGTGGAAAGCCATACAAGCCACCTGCATCACAACCACAAACGAATATCTAAAAATCTTTTAATACATTTTTCTTCTTTTTATTTCTTGTTTTGTTACCACCATATGGCGAAAGATAAGGCACGCAGATTGACGAAGGAGGAAGAAACAAAGGATAAGCGAAGGTGGATGCGCTGGTCTAACGTAGCTGCGCAGAAGTCTTTACAGATAAGTGACTACGCGGGTAGCTATGTAAACGCTGGTGCAGCTAGTGGGTTCTCCCTTCACCGTGCTATAGAAGAGACTAAGAAAGCGTACTAGAACTCGGTACAGAGAGATTCTGGCCAACTTCTGGGTGTGTATTTACTCTAAAACTCTCGACGGACAGACTTACACCGCCTCAGGGACATGCCACTAGAAATCGATAAGGCGGAGAGAATTATACGTGCGTTTACCACCGAAGGTATTGCAATAGACGAGCCAGTTGGCGAAGAAGGTAAACAAGGTCGCCGTAGAGTATTTAGGAAGATTGCTCCGAATGTCCTCGCTGGTGCTAAGGGAATCGCAGTTTTCACAGCTATGAGGTTCGTGTATTCATATCGAATCAATCTCAGGCTTAAACAATAATTAGATCCGGTATTATGCCTTTTTCAGGTAGCGGTGGAAGTGGTATCGTTATCGCTAGACTTCCAGATGGATGTAGGTGAAATTTTCACATTCGGATTACTAAAATGACGTAAATAGCTTGGTCTGCACCTTCGTGTATATGTCCTAATAACACGTCAGTTGGTATGATGTTTGGACTGTAAGTCGATGCGATGACTATCTGCATCTCACTTAATCAATTTAGTGACGTATACGACGTTGTTCTCGTCTTGAGATCCCAGAAAGCTGTAGATGGTTTCAAGGGTATGGCAAATCTAACTCTAGGAGCTGAGAGTGAGTTAATAGATTTTGATTATGTCTTTCTAACCCAATATAGTCGGTATAGCTGCTGGTCCAGTAGGAGCGGGCGCTTCTGTTGAATCAGGAATAGACAAGACACCAATTTGGTCTTACGTACGAAGTAAGGGTTTCTACGTCGGTTCGGAATTGATTGTGAGTCAGACATACCTAAGTGAACAGCCTAACAAGGCATAGGGGCAAGTATTTATAGATAGATTTGACGAAAATGAAAGGTTTTACTAGTGAGTGTGATCTTACCATCGCATGGCACATAATTGACAAATAATTAGCTGGCCTGGTCTCAAATCTGGTCAAATTTTGGCTGGTAAAGTACGACCACCATTAGAAGGGGCTCAATTATATAGAACATTACATGAAGCAGAGACAGGAATAGCACAAGGACAATCGCTAGAATATGAAGCGACGATACCCGATGATGTGTTAACAGATTTAGACTTGAACGAAAATGAGACACTTAGACTGCCACCTACTCCAGAGCAACTAGACAAATTCGAAAAGCAAGGCTACAAAGACGAGCACGATGTTGAATTTGAGAGAAGAGAGCGCGAAGAGATAATGGCGCTTCCTGCTCCTCCGCGTCACCCAGCGATTGTTAACTTCCTCGCACGTAAGGAAATGGGATTAGGCTTGACGGATGTGAACGAGGAGGAAGATGAGGAAGAAAAAGAAGAAGGTGCAGAGAAGGAGGTCTTTGATGCTGATGACGCGATTTCGAAGGAAGACTTGTTGTTGAAGTTGAGAGAGGAGGAGCTGAATGCAGAACTGGAGGCCTTGGAAGTTGCGTCAGAGCCTGATATGTCAACTGAAGCGAACAGAAATGATGTAGGAATGCCACCGCCACTGCCACCTCGTAGACATTTCAACAGGCCTCAGCTTCCATCTCGCGCAGCGAGATCGTCGCTGCCTGTGATATCGAACAGCGAGTCGATGACAGCACCAGAATCACCACCGCCTAACTATAAATCTGTGGAGCCAAACGAAGATGTTAAGAAGACACTCGCTCTGGATGTCGAGAAGGCAGGGCAGAAGACATCCGAGGAGTCGCCGAAGGAAGAGTTTTTCGACGTCGCAGATAATGAACTAGGCGTCGCCCATTAATAGAATTGTAATAAATAAATGTATTTCCTAATAAAATTATGAGAATCGTGGTTGCTTTTCTACACCCATCGCATGAAAATCAATGGCTAGACAGCTTCACGATATAATAAACGCAGCTAAGTTTGATGAACGGTGCGTGAACTAATTGATAAATTTACGCGTTTATTAATAAATTTTAGGCTTTTCTGGGCAACCTTTGCACATCCACCGCAACAGCTGAACAGTCTGAATAGCCATCCACACCCTATAAGCAGTCCAATAGAAGATGAGAACGACAAGTATTACTTCTTCACCATCGACCAGGACCTCGTTTGTAAGGTCGATCTCCTGTGTGATAGCAATCTCACAAAAACACGTAGATCTCTCTTTTTCAGGCGATTTTGGTCCCTTAAATTGCGCGCATCTTTATAGGTGCGTGTTTTTTACTATGTCTGTCTATCCTTATTCACCATCTCTCAGATTCTGCGTTCTCGTGCATGATCTTCTCAGAGATCCAGAACTCGCAGACAGAAAGCTCGTTTTATATTCGTCTACAGACCCACACAAGAAGGCGAACTCAGCCCTGCTTTTAGCTCTTTACGCCGTCCGTCACCTCTAGTTTTACAAGTAGCTCACTCACCCAGATTACAGCTTATAGTTTTGCGTCGCTCTCCCTCAGACGCTTTCCATCCAATAGCTGACGTGAGAACTCCTTTGACTGCTCTACTCTTCTGATCATGGCCTCCAGATCGAGTTCATCCCATTCAGAGACGCCGGACGTGGTCGCTGCGATTTCCATCTGTCGATTTCCGTGAGTTTGCTAATTCTTCGGGTACATTTACTAACAATTCACCCAGGATTGTATCTGGGGTTTGCACAAAGCTATCGCTCTTAACCTACTCCGTATGGATAAATTCGATCTCGAGGAATATGAATGGTCAGAGAAGGTCAGTAATTTGAGAAACTTCAATAACAACCATTCTAAAATAATCCATAGGTCGAAAATGGTGATTGGAACTGGCTCACTCCTCACTTTAGTATGTTTTACGCGCGTTTGCTTTTTTAGATGCAAAACTAACGCGTCCATTCAGTTGCATTTGCATCTCCAGTCGATCCTTCTTACGTTAGAATGATACAGGCAAGACAAAAGGTTGGGAAATCTATCCTCACTGAGAGAGCCGACCTCCCGAGGAAGTTGCCATCCTCGTTTAGACAACTCCTCGACCACTTCTCCCAGGCATCCGTCAAGCTCGTTATTAGATTAAATAACCCACTCTACGACTCTAAAGAATGGTTAGAGAGAGGTGTTGATCATAAGGATCTCTATTTTGACGATGGTACTAACCCATCTGATGAAATTGTTAAATCCTTTATCCACATGTGCGACCATGTTATATCGAAAGGGGGTAGGTCTTATGAGCTATTGCGAACAATTATTTACAAAACCAAGGCGTTATTGCTGTTCATTGTAAAGCTGGTCTCGGTAGAACCGGAACTTTAATTGGTGGTAAGTAACTCAAATGTAGGCTTTTTTATACTCAAACAACATAGCTTATCTTATTTACAAACATGGTTTCACTGCGAATGAGGTTATCGCACTTATGCGTATAATGAGACCTGGAAGTGTTGTTGGTCCTCAACAGGTAGGCAATCAATGTTGTACAGACCACACAATCTAACTGTGAGCTAGCAATACATGTATCAAAAACAGTTCGATTGGGTCCGTTGGGGTGTTATCGACGCGATGAGAAAGGAAGAGGAGGATTTGGTCGAGAAGCAGCTCTTGTCAGCCGCAACAGCAGCATCTACACCACCTTTGCCTGCCAATGGAAGTGGCCCAAGTACGCCATTACCTGCTGCATCCACTTCAAGAGCCGGTATGGCAGAAACACCCGCTCCTGTTGGTCAGCCAAGAAAGACACCAGGTCCATCACGCGTTGCGGATAAGAAACCACCCGTAAATAAAGTCGACAACGTCGGTCTTAGTCATTCACCACTCAGACGACCACGCGTCAACAGAAAGAGATCATCAAGTATGCATTCAGGCATTGCTGGCGCAAAATTAGCACAAGAAGCAGCCCAAGCGATGGGAAGAGATATGACGACAAGATCATCTACTCGTGTAAACCCATTATCTACATCTGCAACAACAAGCATCTTAGAAAAAACATCATCAGACGGTTCGAACAAGTCTATACCACCAAGCTCACCTGCTAAGATTCCCATTAAAGTTACATCAGCTTCTCCAATACGTCAAAGATCGATTCGACCGCAACCACCTACGAGATCTACAACTGAAATTGTTGAAACTGGACAAAATGGTTCTCGGATGGTACCAGCTAAACGCGGTCACATCTCACCAGCTTCGTCGATTAGTTCTGTAAATTCTATGGGACGCGTGGCAAGAGCCGTAGCTGCTGATAGCTGGATTGTAGACTCACCAAAGAAGGAAACAGTTCGTAAGGTAAATGTTACTAATAGTCCAACAAAGACTGCAAATACAGATAAATTGGGAACTGGTCTGGTCAGAGGAACACCTTCATCTAGTCTAACGTCACTTTCATCAACTAAATCGTCAAATGAGAGCGCGTCTGATTTGCTCTCACCTAATACCGCTAATCTCGGCAGGACGAATGCATTACGCAGCGTCCGGAGACGTAGAAGTAGTTTAGGTGATACTGAAGTAGGTGATCGCTTGTGATTCCAGAATTTTCCCATAGCTGTGTTTTTGGTAACTCAAACAAAGAACAATAAAGAAAAAAGTATACATGCCTGTTAAGTTATTCATGGATTAAATAAATCTTTTGCTTCATTTTATATACGTTTGGTTCCCCTTATCCTTCTTATTGGCATTACTTAATTTAGGACAGACCGTCCCTCAATGACGGCGGTACCTTGACGGCGCAGTTGGATATCAAATCAGAGATCGTTCTTTTGAAATCTAGGTACCTGAGAAATGGAGTATAAAATGACTGCTTTCCTTCTTCCTTTTTGACTATTAAAGTTGCTAAGATGAAGATTTTCGCTGCTACACTCGCTGCTTCTCTCACCCTCATCGCTGGTGAGTAGTACTGTTAGTGAGATTCAAATGCTAATTAGAGTTAGCTCATCCAGGTCATCATGATCCTGTCCCTCAAGCTGCAGATGTGAAAGCACGCGCTGCTTCTGCCGCACATTGCAACGAGCACGTCGCAAAGCGTTATGAAGGAATGCGTAAAAGAGGTTCAATGAGTCTTTTCGAAAAGGCCCCAACGACCCATTTCGATAAGATTCAGAACACTACTTGTGTACTCGCTCCTACCGTAACTGAAGGTCCATACTGGATTACCGGCGAGCAAGTTCGTAATGATATCACCGAAGACCAACAAGGTAAACCACTCGTACTTGACATTGGTATCCTTGATGTCAATACTTGTGAACCACTCGAAGGTGCCTACATTGATGTATGGCATGCAAATGCCACAGGATATTACTCCGGGTATGTGTTAATTTTTCCGTGACTTATTTACTTAACTATAACCAGCTTTGAGGACTTCACTCTCGATGCTCCTTCTAAGAGACAAATGAACACACCTACTTCTAACAACACCTACCTTAGAGGTATTGCAAAGACTAACGAAGAGGGTATTGTCGAATTCAAGACTATCTTCGGTGGTTTGTGAGTATTTATTGGTTTTGCAAATTACTCTAATGGTTTATAGCTACACTGGTCGCGCTCCACATTTCCACCTCAAGGCATTCATCGACGCTGAAGAATCCGACGACGGTAGTATCACAGGTGGAGAGACAGCCTTCACCGGTCAACTTTTCTTCACTGATGAAACTGCTAACGATGTCTTCGCTGAATACCCTTACACTGAAAATGAAAACACAAGAAGTTACAACTCTGATGACACCATCCTGACAAGCGAGCAAGGCAATGGTAACAACCCAATTGTCGATTTGGTTGATATTGATGGTACATTCTATGGTATTATTACCGTTGGAATTAACGCTACTGCCACTGACCAAACCGGTTAAATGGTGACATCATAATTGTTTATCTAAAATTAGACGTGTTCACTCATGTATGCAATTCGGAAATTGTTTTACATTCTTAACTTTTTTTTCCTCGTTTGATGGCTGAAGCTCTCATTTGATCGGCATGACTACATGTCTTTGTTTGTCCAATGTGACTTTGTATGAAGAATACGTAGTTAGACCAGAACTGTTTGTGTTAATTATGGTCGTAATTCAGTCCTTGTGTGTCTTCCGAGAAGTAATTCTGCCCGTCAGTCTGAGTATACGTCAGATGAAGTTGATTTTGTAATGAAACCACTCACTTGCGTCTGCATTTAGCCAACACACCCCAGATCATTTTACATGTTATCGAGAAAGGTAAACACCTTACTACCTTGGGTTATTTTCTTTATGTAATTCATCGTCAAATTACCTCCTTCTGAATCACGTATCTCAAAACTCGCGTGTTTGAAGTTCTGAGACAGGAGACTGTGTCTTGTTAAAAAAAGTTGACTGCTCGCATAGCCATTCTCGATGACTAAATGGCCAGTATTACAGAAACGCATTAATTCCTCTTCTCGCTACATCTTACAGAACTTTATACTTGGAAGAATCCCACGGTTTCAAAATTGCAAAATCGTTGAACAAGGCGATTTGGTAATTCCTCCACAGTTGTTGTATTACAAGCATGTAAATATCTAAACATTTAATTAATATTAACATATTGTGTACTCGAAGATGACAAATAATACTCGGAAATTCCTAGTTTTATAACCATAATGCATTTAAAATTTGACTTCTATAATTCCTCGTTTAGTTCGAGCATCACCGGTAGGTGATCTGATGCGTAGATCTCATACCGTATGTCACAGGCTACTTTATGTGAGAATTCACCTTCCTTTTATAGTAATTAATTAAACACACCTGCTACTTTATCAATGAGGCGCTCATCGATAATAAATGTATCCAGTCTCCATCCAATACTGGCACCTCTGCCGCCTATTCTCATTGAATAGAAGGTATATTCCCCTTGCTCGTCCCATCCATGGGTATGACGCCATGCATCGTAATGTTTTCTACGCTTGCTATCCATATCAGCATCACTTATGTCTTTCATCACATCCTGATCATTGAGGATTCGTTTAAGTGAACGACGTTCAGCGAGGGTTGTGCCAGCACTAACACCCCACGTTCCACCGCGAGGATGCATATCATATGATACGGCCGTAGTGCTTTATCGAACTATATCAGTCAAGCGGTAAAAAGAAAAGCAAGACTGACTTGAGATCACCACACCATATGACCGACTTAGAATCTCCCAGCTGATTAATCCATGCAAAAAGTGCATCATCCCATGTTTGACGTTGGGATTTATCGTGCTGTGGATAGATCAGTCGTGATTAGGTACAATCTGTGGGTAACTCGCCATCAAAGCCGAATTCGGAACGTAAGTGCCGATAAGGAATGTATTTTCAAACTCTAAAGTAACGATTCTACCCTTGGTTGATTGTGTGTCCTCATGCGTTGGCAGTGATAGCCATTTATTCAATGGTTTCACTTTCGAGAGAATTGCACAACCGGCATAACCTTTTTTAAGCGAATTAGACCAGCTCTGATAGGGAAATTGGGCACGCAAGAGTAGATTACCGGGTGCCTCTGCCGTCTGATGACGTCGTTAATTGAATTAATAAATGCCAATGGGTGAAAGACGGGCCTTAGTTTCAGAGAGAATGAGAATATCAGGCTTTTCGGCTTTGATGTACCTCATAAACCCCTTTTTATTAGTCAGTGTTGTGTATGCATAGAAATGCGTTCAAACCTTCTTAAGAATGCTCTGATAAGAGACGATATTCCACGCGACCAACTTGGTTGATTGCGGATAGAGCTTCTCTGGTAGTTTTATTATCTGCGGGATTGAACCGTTCTTTGAGTATTTAGACATGGACGTAGAGGTGATAGTCGCTAGTGATAGATCTCTATATATCGACGGAGATTATAATTAGAAAATGAATATGACTCCTGAAGATATTTCACAGCTTATCAATTTACGCAGTGACTATTTAAAGTTCAAATAAAGACCCATTATGCGTGATCTGCAAGCAACGTCATCATCTATGCAGCGACAACACAGTCGGCGTCGCGTAGATCTATATAAATAGATAAATTTAAAATACTTTTATTCTAATAAGTCATACGCTCTTGATATTCGCTACCCGAATATCTCATGGAATGCTTGACATTAATATACGTCAAAACACTCTCGTTCGCCGCAAGCAACCTTTCACCTTTACTACGATGCCAATTCAACACTCAACTGAACTAACGCTTACAAAATCACTACAGCCAAAGTTATCACAAAACAGCAAGAGACTCAAGCGTCGATCTTCATCTGAATTGATAACGAACGATGTCGCTGTTCCAACAAAACAACAGAAGATTAGTCATGAATCTATAGACCCTTTCATTGATATAACGAGGTTAAGAATCCCATCAACACCCCTGGGTTGTCTTTCCCCTGGTGCATCATTCAAGGGTATACAAAGATCTGGCTGGCAGAGCTATCACGTTAAAGTTGACATACAAGACGTTAGCATAACAAACTCTCAAGCATCCGGTTATCTCACGATCGACGGTTTGACCAGAAATCAGCCAACTATAACAACATTTTTCACAGCTGAGATAATCGGCAATAAGTATGGATTTAGAACAAGTAAATATGATGCAACAGCTTCTGATGACCTTAGACATTGGTCGAAATTTGAAGCTTTCAAACGTATAACGAAGAAAGACGACAACAAGATGACATACGATTTATTAAAGGATTTCACCCACACAAGAGCAATATTCATGAGATGGAAAGAGCATTTTTGCGTACCTGATTCATCAATAAAGGACATTCCAGGTGCTAGCTTCGATGGTTTTTATTATGTTTGTATTGATCTCGATTGTCCACCTACGTCGTTATCAAATTGCCATCCAAGTGTACCATCTTCAGGTCCTCACTTATCTGGTTATTACTTCCGTGCGTTTATATTCCCACACGTGATTACATTTACTAATAACCCCAATAGACCCACATTCTGAACCTTTTCAAGAATTGAATTTGAGAGAACTTCCAAAAACTACTTCAGATACTTTCGAATTCCGTTAAGAGTGTTAGAATTTTAGAAACAGAGCACATTCTGACATCATCACCTCCACTCAAATACTTGCATTTGTCAATTGTATAACAGATCTTAACTTATCTAGAACATGTATAATCAAGAGCATACTAAAATAAATGAAAATATGCATTATAATTTACATTAAAAAGATAGATTGAAATCTTAAGAATGTCTTCTGATAGAATGTTAAATTCTCATCTGTACAGACTAAATCATTGGAGAGACTACTGGAAGAGAAATCTTCGAAGTTCTCATTTGAGCGCGTAGGTGCAAAGTAGAACCCAGCCGTTAGAACCAAATAGCTAAGAATGAGGATTGTACCTCTGTAATAGTTGCTTCTACTCTCTGTAAGCATATATGTTAATAGGAAGACAGCAAAGATGATAGCGATTGCATCCCATCTTGGGAATATCAAGACGAAGACGTTTGAAGGGGGCGTATCAACGTTTGTTGTTAGTGCTGAAAATAGTACCATTGCTGGAATTTGTAGTAAACAAACTTGCAAGGCGTAAGCTGAAGAAATTTCCATAGATAGTGCAATGTTCCCGTTAATTGCGAATGACATCGCATTCATGAATTCTGTTGTATTTGGTACGAGCGCGAAAAGTGAAATACCCAAGAATTTCTCCGGGATAGTTGCACCTTCTAACACAACATCTACTTCATCGACCAAAATCTCAGCGATTGCCGCATAAAGAAGCGTACAAGTGAGCAAAACTGTCGAAGATGTCGTTCTGCTCCATTCTGGCGCTTCATGTCCGCCGTGGTCTTCATGTGGTTGGACTGTTGATGGTGGTGCACCTCCTAATGAGCCTTCTGGTACCGATTGGGCCATGCTTGGTGGTCTAGTTGGGTCCTCTGCTACAATCGCCCTAGAGAAATCTTCACCAGCCATACTTGAAGGCATTTGGATTAGGGTCGGTTGTGAGCCTCTCATTTGGATGTTGTTCGCCGATGCCTGCATGTGTAACTGTGGTGCCGGTTTCTGAAGTGTTGTTGATGCAGGTCTAGCCGTGGATGCCTTCTTCGGTGTCTGTGGAGGCTCATTCGTTGTTGGTAAGCCACCCTTTTTGAAGAAAGATGCGCGGTGATGTGGGTGAATTGCTGAAACATGTGATGGTGTATTCTGGACGCCTTCCATTTGCTGCATCAATTGTTGTGGATTTTGCCAGATTTGTGAAGCATGTGTGCGGAGCGAGAACCACAAACCAACTAAATAGCTCTTTATGATGTGAGAACTTTTCGATAAATCATGAAGTTACTTACCAGGACGAGAACAGTTGCACAAAAATACATAAGATGCTTAACATTTCCTTGATAAAATGGATCCGTGTGCGGGTCAACATGCTGATAAAAGCATCGTTTACAGCTCCATGGTTTATCCAATGGTATACTCTTTGGGCAACCCTTGCAGACTAGCTGAGAACTACCGTAGGTCTGATAAAACAGTGTTGGTGTAAGAGTGCCAATAATGGCCATAATCAACATCGTCGAAGTGACACCAGCGGCTTTGGCATTGAATCTGAGTTCTTTTCTACGAAATGCTCCCGCACACATAGATACACCAGGCATGAGCAATACACCTGCCAAGACGGAACCGACTAGTGAACCTTCAACCAAACTAGACTTGGAATCCATAAGTGCGAATGAATAGATAAGTATTTCAATAAGTGAACCAAACGTCGCATTAATGACGCTTCCCACGCCTATACTTGACTGAGCAGAAATAGATGCTACAGCCATACCGATGAAATACGACAATGGAATGACTGATGCTAATGATAAAACAAATAAGAGAACTCTCGATGTCAATAATGCTAAAATACCGGTTGTTATTCCCTTTCTTTCGACATATGGTTGCAAGAGATATGCATCCAATATGACGAGGAAAACTAAAGGCATGAGATTGACGAAGAAGATGTTGACACCACCAACTGTAAACTTGTAATAGCGAGTACTACCGGCATTGTAAACGCAAAGCAATACTGTGGAAGTTTCGCCATGTCTAGATGGTGGAAGTGACTGACCAGCTTTGAGTTTTGGGACGGTAAACCTGTTAGTCTGTTCTTCTTCATTATCTTGATTAGCAGCAGGTACTAAAACCTTTGGTGCCGGTCTAAACCTAATTTGAGTTGGTGATGTGTAGAGGTATCCAATTAATTCGTAAAGTAATTTGCCCATAGGTATAGGTATGACTGTGAAAAATGACAGTGCAGATACGATAAGCAGTGGTGGTGAGAGTATGCAGACTAAGACCGTGTAATAAACCCATTTGGAGAGGGAGAGCTTAGACTCGGATTCTGGCAACCTTTTGTGCTGATTTATGTTCTGGAAGACAGCACCATAGCTGGACAAGCGCCCTGACCTTTGTGGTGATAAAAGTGAGGTGTTCTCATTATTCTGAGAGGTAGTCTGGCGTGGTGTTTCGTCGAGGTTTTCTTCGTCTTCAGATTCGGGATCGCGACCAGCACCTTCGACGTACTTGCCTCCAAATGGCCAGGAAATGTACCAAGCGAGATCATATAGTAGAGTTACCCATAAGCTTTCAGATTTTGACCTTTCGAATAAGAATAAAACAGCTACTGAAAAATAGCACAAGAGGGAGAGCCACCAACCAGCTAATATAAACCAGGCTATATTAGCGAGTGTAAAGCTGCTAGGGTGCGATGTAGGCTCGGAATGGAGCGCGTTGTCTGCTGCCACGGTCACACTCCTCGATTTCTTGTAAAGAGCGGGTTTCCAGATGGGTAGACCGAATGGGTGTTCGATATTGATGGCCTGTATTTATTAGCCTCGCTGTAATTCGTACAAGTTAGTGACTTACATTCTGTCTATCCTTCAGGGTAAGCTCATGGCTAGGTACTTCGTCATCCGGCTGATCAGGCTCATCATTTGGTTGTCTGTACTCCTCAGAGGATGTCTCCTCGTCTGGCTGCTCTGTTGTGCTGTGTCTTAGCGTGGATTTTGAAGGCTGACGGTGGGTCTGTTTGCTTGGCGTGCGTGATCGTCTAACATCCTCCTGGCTGTCGTCTGCAATGCTATAGCTGGACTGCCGGGAGTGCCGTGGTGGTACTGACGACGATCTGTCCGTCATCGCCGTTTTGATAGAACGTAGACTTTTCATTCAACAAGATAAATTAAAGCAAAAAAATACAAAAATTAATTGTTCAGCTAAGCACTTTTTTCGCGCCTCTTCTTTTTGTACCTGTTTGCCTGCGTCTGGCTGCACATTCTTCACATATCCAGTTCCCACTTGGGGGCTTATCGAGACCAACGCAACCAATGTGGAACCATTCTCGCTGACATTGCTCGTCATCACAACCAATCATCTGGCCGTAGGATACACCATTACAGTAGCAATACCTCGCTTCATCAGCATCATTATCACCTCCAGCACCAGGGTTGTCAATGTCGTCATAGGATGGCTCCTGAGCATAATTATACCCATTGGTGGTTTCTGCCATCCTAGGTACTGGCTGGTATGTCTGCTGCTGTACTACGTAATTAGGCTGCACTTGAGGTATCTGGGCATACTGATATGGTGATGGTGGTGGAGAATACAGTAATTGTCCATTATTAGGGCGTCTTTGCGATGTTTTCTCGATCTGTCTGACAGTTGTTGCTTTATTACCGTAGTACTCTGATGGATTCGGGGAATTACTGATAGGGGAGTCGTTTCTAGAATATTATTAGAGGAAATATTACTGATTTGTTTACTACGTACCTTCTCTGACCAATTCCACCTCGTGGACCAGCCCCAGATATTGTAGGCACTCTCCGACTAGATACTTTGTTCGAAGTCTGCTGATTCATAGCTGAACTAAGCGGACGCTTGCGTGACTCGCCATACAAACTTCCTGGTGGTGGTTGGAGAGCGCGCCGCCGTCCATTAATCGCATTCGGACTGATGGTGAGCATCGCACGCGCAAAGAGTCTCTGCAAATTCGTCCCAGAAGGCGGGAATAATGGAGCTGGAGGAAATAGACTAGGATCGTGTAGGAGAAAGTGTAGGAGCACTTGGTCCGTGTATTCGGTGTGTGCGAGCATCGTTTCGCAAGCAGCAGTACCGAGCTTGATTTTTTCTTCCTGGTTGAGTTTATACTGCTTGATAGTGTCGCTTACGTCTCTGAGTGCAAGAAAACGCTCTTTGGGTGATAGCGACTCGTCTTCTAAGGCTAAGGTGAGCTTATTCAGCTGCGTGATAGTCTGATCAGCAGAGTCTAGAGTTTGTAAGTAAAACCATTAGTGCAGGCTATAAGCTACTCACTCGAGAGATTTGCGTCGAGTTCACGCATCTCGTGGAAATGCCGACTGAGCTCTATCGGCAGAGCATCAAGGGTGTCTACATAAGTATTGAGAAGGTTGAGAGAATGTAGCTCGTGCGTGCTGGGGCCTGCACTCGTCGACGCCATGGTGGTAGCTGTTGAAGAAGTAACAGCATAGTAGAGGATAAAATAGCTGACTCTCGCGATAGTACCAGATGGAATAAATAAAATAGAGTGTACATATTCCGAAAGTACGATAATCAGCTAGCCGAGAATGAATCATGTGAAATCCTCTCTACCAGGAATGAAGAGATGTATTCTAGGAGCCATTATAGGAAATACAACGTATCAGACAGCTGGAAATGGCTCGAAAAGAGTAATCACGTTGATATGATTCCTACGTCAATTAGACGTAAGTAGCTAGCAAATGACAGTCTATCCGATAGTTGGAAGACACCGAAATGTGCAGAATACAGGATATTACACGTTTCCCATTCGGTTTCTTTCCTTTTTCACTTCCGTAACACTCGTGTTCCTCTCTCTTAGCAACTTCATCTTTTCACAATAGAAAATGGTATACACACTCATCGTACACATGAAAGCCAAGCCAGAGACCGTTGAGGAGGTCAAGGCTAAGCTTCACGAAGCCTCACGTATCTACCGCCAAGTGAGTACACTTCACACCCTTTAATACGCTCACACTGTCTAGGACAAGGAAACAATCGACTGGCACGTCATGCAAGATCCTAAGGACGCAACCAAGTTTGCTGTCGTTGAGCGTTACGAACAGGAATCCAGCCGTAGGTAGAGCCTCCCCGCGGAACACCGACTGACTTGCCGCAGAACACTACCACTTGACAAACCCATACTGGAAGACATTCGACCCATATGTCGTACCACGCTTAGCTGAGGAGATGCAATTGAGCAGATTCGAGGAATTCTAAACGCTTGTATAATCCATAGACATCTCGATTTAACATGCAATGCTTATTTATGTGACAAAAGATAAAATAAACTGTTCCAGAAAATGTGAATTGTTCGAAATATAAATTATTTTGCATTACTAATTGCTGTTAGCCATGTATCTTAATCATCGCAGGGTCACTCACAAGACTATTTAGCTGTTCGTTTTTCAGGCATCGGATGAGCCCCTTCTGTATTGGTATGACGTTGTATTCCATGGCCATATACTCGTCAATGATGGTTTGGAACGTACGTGGCTGCTTCTTCTCATTTCTTTCTCCGGTAATTCATCTTCCTTGACACGCCCATGCGCATTTTCCTTCGTAACTGCTGTAGTTGCTGACTTTCCGAGTGATCTCACAAATGATGGATGTCCTTCGTTGATAGAACTGATGCGGGATGCTCTTCTACTTTGCGTCATGGAAAAAACTGGTGACTTTTCAGGAGACATCGCCCGTGAGTATGGTCGTATTGTGTCCACTTCAGCGTCATAAGAGTTTTTAATTGTGTTTGTTGAACTTCCTGACATAGATCTGTTGTGATTCGAGAGATAAGTGCTACGTGGACGGTATCCCAAACTTGGCGTGCGATCGTTTAAAGGAGAAGGTGTCGGATTGGAGAACAAGTTTGAGCGTCTGATATCAAGACTTGTGCTATTTGGTCGATGTGATCGTATACCATCTAAGCGAGTTCTAAAGGATACGTCTTGTGGTGCATACGTGCTAACGCTGGATGCTCTGCCGTGACTGGCGGCTTTCGTTGGACTCTGGGAGCCATTTAGATCCCTGACTAATCTAGACATGCCTACCAGAGTGTCAGTCAAATCTCTGACAAGATCGTCTGCTGCTCTTTGAGCATCTTTAGCGTGATTGTGGAGTGCGCGACAGTCCTCGACGTTTTCTGGATTTGAAAATAGTGTGTTGTCAGTCTCAGCTCTGAGCAAAAATTCTAAAGCTTGGGCATGAAGTTTGTGGATATGTTCTGACGCTTTGGACATGTTCTTGACTGACATGTTCGCGCTCTTCTCCGTTTCTTCAGAGGATTGTAAATCCAAACGTGAGAGTCCCATTTGGAGGGATTTCAAAGAGTTTGACAGGGTATCCAATCGTTTGGAAGATGCCGGAGTGAGTTTTGTAGGTGAACGCAAAACCTCGTGGTTTTCTAACAACGGGGACCTATTCTGGGAACGTGATAATGGTACTGGTCGTTTTGGCGAGAGGTCTAGGGCGGATTGTGACCTCAGGTGACGCGATGAACGACTTGCACCGCGCTTTAGCTCAGGACGATAGTTTTGAGGCGACCACATGCTATCAGCCGTTGAAGAAAATGCCATCGCGGTGGCTGGTCTAAACTCGGAACTGCCAAGTGAAGGTCTGTTATTGAAGCGAGATGATCGCAAAATATCGTCCCGTGCACCTTCCAAAGAAGTAGATGTACTGTGACGGATTGGACGCGAACTGAATGTGGGTGTATGTCCATTATCTAGATCATTAAGCGAAGAAACGACTTGTCGCTTGTAATTTGATGACGTAGAGGGTGGTAGAGGAGTGTGCGAGGTCGCCGTGACTGGGAATGGTTGGAAGCTGTCTGTGACTGTTGTGCCAATGCTGGTACGGTTTGTGATACGACTAGACGGCCTTGCCCTTTCCGGGCTTTCTATGGAAGTACGCGATGCGACTGAATTTGAGCGAGTTTTCGATATTCTCGATGAGGGGGAATCTTGATCAAAGAGCTCCTGAGGTATCCTGCTCCTTCTTTTATATCCACTGCTCCTGCTACCGTCGTCATCGCCCAATCTGGGGCTGTTTCCACGACGGGAGCGGGCATAGTTGGAGATACTCAGGTGGTTAGATGCAACTGCTTGTGCATTCGCCTTGGAGCGTAAATCCAAGTTTGAGCGTGCAGCTGACGATGTTCTGGATGAAGTAACTGAAGCTGATAAAGGCGAGGGTGAGAAAGGGGAAGAAGCATGGTTGTAGGATGCTCTAGAGGGTGTCCGAGACGGCGTACTATTTGCGAGCGCCCGCGCTCTCTCTAGTACCTAAAACGCGTTAGTGGGTAGTCTCAAACGCGTAAATAGACCGACTTGGTTGTTGCGTTCGACTAGATTGTCTATTTTATTTGTTGGGTTATCAGTGGAGATTTTTAAAGGATTTTTAAATTTATTTGTCTCTCCGAATTTTGTATTCATTTCATCTGGTCCTCGTAGTTCGAATAGAAGAGTGCTCGCTCGCTTGACCATCAACACTCATAATTCAAAAATAAGAGATGAGTGCATCGGGGCAGGAGATCTTGCTCAACATTGCACAGTGGCTAGATCAAGATATCTCAATAGACAGGATCTCTGATCTATCTCTCGTTTTACCAGTACACTCAGAACTTACACAGTACGTTGTTCAGTCTAGAGATGTCGATAAAAATGCTAACCATATTCTGTAGTTTGACTCAGATTTACTTGGAATCTTGCGAATCTCCTATCAATTTTGATAAACTGCAACCAACGCCTGAATTGCAGAAGATTTTGCTCGCTATTTGGAGATTCACGCAATGCGATCCTGGATTAGTCAAACACTGGCAGTTGCTCCCCCTTATTCACGTAATTAGCACACACGAAGACCAGGCAGTTAGGCTTCTCTCAACTTGGATTATCACTAGCATTTACGATCTCTCTATAAAATCTAGGAACGTCTTACTTGGAAAATTCGTTGATTTCTCTAAGGTCATCCCCCTCAGAGATGGCTCTTCCCTCAGAGAAGACGGTCAATTGGGAGATAATGTCGTTGACGCTAGAAATTTATTATTAATCGAAGAAGCACGTATTAGCAACTACAAACAGTCATTAAAATGTACATCAGATATTAGCATCGACACAACCAATAACTTATCACTTCTTGCATCAAACGTTCTCATTTCTAGACAATCAAAACATGCACCTCAATCTAATTATATACCTACACCCGCACTCGAGTCCTCATTGATCGATTTCTCGATAGCGTACTCAACTAGGCTCCCAACTATTCTTTCCTCCCCACCTTCATCCGGAAAGTCTACGATCATCAACCACCTCTCATCCGTTGTTCATCCACCGACCACCACACACCCCCACATCCTCACCATTCACGCTGCCGATCCTTCCTTGGATCCTAAAGCCTTGCTAGGATCTTACGTTTCCACTCCTCAAGGTACATTTGCATATGTCGAGGGCGCGCTCGTAAAAGCTGTTCGAAGCGGTATGTGGGTTGTCATCAGGGATATCGACCGAGCATCACAAGACTTCATGTCAATCATCTCAAAACTCGCTCAATCACTCGGTCCAACCAAGAAATTAGCCGCTAGAGCTGTGCTATCCATCCCTGGTCGCAATTCAGTCACCGCGCATCCAGATTTCAGACTGATGGCTACAAAATCTACAACCCTTCAATCAAGTTTCCTCGGTTACTCACATTGGTTTGAAGTCAACATACCTGAGCCATCAATAGAGGATGTTACGACAATTGTAGCCGGTACATTCCCTAAATTATCAGACGTTGCTAGTAATTTTGTCGGCGTTTGGCAAACGGCTAAGGAAGCAGCAAAGATTATGAGAACGGATATCAAATCAGGCGCAGAAAGACCACTTGTTTTGAGAGATCTCTTCAGATGGGTGAGGAGAATAGAAAAGCTTTTTGAAGAAGTCAACATACATCCGAAAACAATTGACGATCTCACTCGTAATCCTATAGTACAAGAGGAGATACTGATTGAAGCAATTGATGTCTTCTACGCACATAAACCAGCTCAACCTGCGATCGCCGTGCTTGAGACTTTAGGCGATCAATTACATGTGAATTCAGAGCGTATAAAGTGGATAGCAAACAGCAGATCTGCTGACTACAAACAGTCAGAAAGCACTTCTAATATTACAATCGGTCGTACACAGCTTAAGGCAGCTTCTGCGATGTCGCTTGCTAACAAGTCAAAGTCAACGTTTGCACTGACAAAACCATCACTCAACCTCATGGAAAAGATCGCAGTTGGTGTATCACATTCAGAACCTTTACTGTTAGTTGGTGAAACTGGTACAGGTAAGACAACAATGGTGTCCTATTTGGCGAAGCACTTGAACAGAAAATTGGTATCTCTCAACTTGTCTCATCAAACTGAAGCTAGTGATCTTCTCGGTTCTTTCAGACCTCTTGATCCACGTGCAGCTGCTGTTGATGTGTGGTCAACGTACGAGGAACTTTTCAATGCAACATTCGACACGACAAAGAACAAGGCTTTCACATCAGCGATCAGAAAAAGCTACGTTAATGGGAAGTGGGAGAAATTATCCCGTGGATGGCAAGAAGCTACAAAGATGGCCCGCATAAAATTATCTAAAGGTCTCGCGAAAGAGGAAAGCAGCACCGAGTCACCGCGGAAGAAGCGCAAGACGAATGATCATTCGGATATCAAAGTTTTGTCTCAATCTTGGGATGGATTTGAGAACAAAGTTAATGATTTTATTGTGCAACACGTGAACAATCTCGGCGGGAAGGCTCGATTCGTCTTCTCGTTTGTAGAAGGTCCATTAGTAACTGCTTTGAGAAGGGGCGATTGGATTTTGCTTGACGAAGTTAACTTAGCTTCACCAGAGACTTTGGAATGTCTCTCGTCCCTCGTTGCATCCCCAAACTCATCCATTGTTCTCACCGAGCGTGGTGATCTTGAAGCTATCCCGCGTCATCCAGATTTTAGGATATTTGCCTGCATGTACGTAATTATAGGAAACTTTTGAGGTTTACTCACAATATTCTAGGAATCCAGCTACCGATGTCGGAAAGCGTAATTTACCTCAGAATTTACGCGAGAAGTTTACCGAAATATACTCCCCAGCACCAGATAACGACAAAGACGCGCTTGTTTCTATCGTAGATAAGTACATTGGTCAATTAAGCGCCGGTGATAAAGGTGTTGTAATGGACGTCGCAGAGTTATACCATACAACCAAGATGTTGGCAGAAGCTCATGAAATTGCCGACGGTGCAAATCAGAGACCACATTATTCCATGCGTACACTTGCGCGCGCGTTGTCGTTCGCTGCAACAGTCACACCTATTTACGGGTTGCGTCGGTCATTATGGGAGGGTTGGATTATGGCATTTACGATGCCTCTATCTGAGAAGAGCGCAAATGTCGTCAAAGCACTGGCTGAGAAGCATATTGTGAACCGTGCGAAAAATCCTCGCACAGTTTTGAACTCAGCACCACCAAAACCAACATCTGACGATTACCTAGGTCTTGGTAGCTTCTGGTTAGAGCGTGGTCCTCTGCCACTCGAAGTCGATGAAGGATACATTCTCACCCCATCAGTGCAAGCTAAGCTGATTGATCTTGCACGCGTCGTCCTCACACGTCGATTCCCTGTCCTTATCCAAGGTCCTACTTCAGCCGGTAAAACCAGTGCTGTTGAATACCTCGCTAAGCGCACCGGGCATTCCTTTGTCCGTATTAACAACCACGAGCACACTGATCTCCAGGAATACCTCGGTACATATGTCTCAGACCCTGATACGGGAAAATTCGAATTCCAAGAGGGTGTTCTCGTCCGTGCGTTAAGAAATGGTGATTGGATCGTCCTCGATGAACTCAACCTTGCCCCAACGGATGTTTTGGAAGCACTGAACAGATTGTTGGATGATAACAGAGAACTTGTCATACCAGAAACTGGTGAAGTCGTTAAACCACATCCTCACTTTATGTTGTTTGCAACACAAAATCCTCCGGGGTTGTATGCAGGTCGTAAAGTTCTTTCTCGTGCATTCAGGAATAGATTCCTCGAAGTACACTTCGACGATGTTCCTCAAGATGAACTTGAAACGATTCTTTGCCAGCGCTGTAAGATCGCTCCATCATACGCGAACAAGATTGTAGCTGTTTTCCGCGAACTCCAGCGCAGAAGACAAGCTGAGAGAGTCTTTGAGACTAAACAGAGTTTCGCAACGCTTAGAGACCTCTTTAGATGGGCTAAGAGGGATGTCATCGGATACCAACAACTAGCAGAGAATGGTTACATGCTCCTAGCCGAGCGTGCTCGTAGACCTGATGATAAGGTGGTCGTCAAAGAGGTTGTCCAGGATGTCATGAAGGTCACTATCGACACCGAAAATCTTTACAATTTGTCAGAAAGCGATATGACAGAGAAGCTCGGATGTGTGTTGAAAGAAGATGCAGGAATGGTATGGACAAAAGCAGCAAAGAGATTGTTTATCCTAGTAGCCATGGCGTTGAAATACGACGAGCCAGTGTTATTGGTCGGTGACACAGGTACTGGTAAGACATCTGTATGTCAAGTACTCGCAGCCGCACTCAACCAGCGTCTTCGTGATATTTCATGTCACGAAAATATAGAAACGGCTGATATCCTTGGTGGACAGCGTCCAATTCGTAATAGAGCTGCTCTCCAATCGCAGATAATCACGGATGCAAGAGAGTTGCTTGGTGAAGGAGCAGGCGAAGATGTTGACGAAATCAGTAATGCACTTAATGAAGCTCGACGCGATCAGGATGCATCACAAGATAAAGTCGATAAGATTGTTGATCTCCAATCTAAAATCAAGCATGCAACAGCACTTTTTGAATGGCATGACGGTCCTCTCGTTGAAGCCATGCGCAATGGTGATCTCCTACTGATGGATGAGATATCGCTGGCAGATGACGCCGTTCTCGAACGTCTCAACTCTGTCCTCGAACCATCTCGTTCTCTCGTATTGGCTGAACGAGGTGGAAAGGATATTGAGCAACTTCAAGTAACTGCATCAACTGGCTTCCAGATTATCGCTACTATGAATCCTGGAGGTGATTTCGGTAAAAAGGAACTCTCGCCAGCCCTTCGTAACCGTTTCACAGAGATTTGGGTACCGGCTATTGATGATCACGATGATCTGGAGATGATTATCAAGCGTTCGTGGAACAATTCAAGCTTAGATGAGTTGGCACCAAAGATGCTCGAATTCGTTGCATGGTTTACTCATCACAACTTCGGTGGTGGTGGTATTTCAACCACTAGTATCGGTTTACGTGATTTGATTGCATGGGCTAAGTTCCTTGATTATGTTACGAAGTGGCTCGACCCTCAACAGGCATTTGTGTAGGTATCGCATTCATTTTTAATTTCTTAACCTAACTTTTACAGACATGGTGCTGCATTGTCGATATTTGACGGACTTCACTTTCATGCTCAAGAGAAATGCCTTGAGAAGGCTATTTCTAGCATTGGGGCTTCTTCAGATGTCATCTCGTTGCAATCAAGTGTTTCTGATACCAGCGAATCATTCTCTATTGGTCCGTTCAGTGTCACCAAAGGCAATTTCGAGACATCAAACAAAGGCTTCAGTTTTATGGCTCCTACGACTCGTCTCAATGGAATGAAAGTCTTACGTGCACTTCAAGTTCCAAAGCCAATTTTGTTAGAAGGTAGTCCAGGTGTTGGTAAAACCAGTCTGATCGCGGCTCTTGCCGATTCAACCAGTAGACATCTCGTCCGTATCAACTTATCAGACCAGACGGATTTGATGGACTTGTTCGGCTCAGATCTGCCTGTAGAAGGAGGAAAGCCTGGAGAATTTGCCTGGCGGGATGCCGCATTCTTGAGCGCTATGCAGGAAGGTCACTGGGTTCTATTGGATGAAATGAACTTGGCTTCACAATCCGTACTTGAAGGTCTTAATGCTGTTCTTGACCACCGTGGTTCGGTGTTCTTGCCCGAACTTGGTAGACACTTCAACAAACATCCTTCATTCCGTGTGTTCGCAGCCCAGAATCCTTTGCAACAAGGTGGTGGTCGTAAAGGTCTTCCTCAATCCTTCTTGAATAGATTTTCAAAAGTTTACGTTCAAGAACTGACAGCAGAGGACCTTCTGATTATTTGCCAGCAGCTCTACCCATCTTATCCAAAGGACATACTTGCCAAGATGATCGAGTTCAATAGTCGTTTGGAAGTGGAAATAGTACATAAGCGTGCGTTTGGTCGTGATGGTGCGCCATGGGAATTTAACCTCAGAGACATCCTCCGCTGGCTCCAATTGTTGCATATTCCATCATCCGTCGAGAAGTCAGAAAGAAAGCCAAGTGATTACTTATATAGTATCTATCTCAGTCGTTTGAGGACGGACTACGATAGACAGTCGGCAGCAAACCTCTTCAAATCAATCTTCAATGAGCCATTCTCACTCAGCAGACCACCATATCTCATTTCAGATAGCGAAGTACAGATTGGAAATGCGCACATCGCTCGTGGTGATAAGTACACTACGGCAGTATCACCTACGATCACCTTACAATCACATTTACATGCGCTTCAGACCCTCACTCGTACGTTTGATATGGGCTGGTTAGCCATAGTCGTGGGTCAAGCAGCCACCGGTAAGACAAGTCTTGCTAGACACTTTGCTGCTCTTTCCGGACGTAAGTTACATGAATTTGATATGAATGCTGGTGTGGACACGATGGAATTATTGGGATCTTTCGAGCAAGCAGATGCCACACGCATTATCCAGAACGTGCTCAATATACTTTTGGAGGATCTCGATCAACATCTCAACATAAACGTCAATGAACAGCAATTTATGATCATTGACACTAACAGAAACATTGTAAAGGCAGCACAAATTGAATTCGCGAAGAATGGTAATAAAGCAATTGAAGTCATCAATGAGAGTGTCGCAAAGGTCTTCCAATCTCAAGTTGGACTGAGCCCTCAAACATTCGAGCTTGTGAACAAGCTTCTGAAAGATTACAACGACCAGTCCAGCCAGTCGGAAGCAGGAAGATTCGAGTGGGTTGACGGGGTTCTTTTGCGTGCTATGAAGAATGGTGATTGGTTGCTTATCGATGATGCCAACCTCTGTAGTCCTTCAGTACTTGATAGATTGAATTCTCTTTTCGAGACAAATGGTAGTCTCGTTTTGAGTGAACGTGGTATGGTCAACAACCAAATTCAAACCATCAAACCACATCCAGACTTCAGAATGATCATGACTTTAGATCCTCGTCATGGTGAACTCTCGAGAGCTATGAGGAATCGTGGTATCGAAATTTTTCTCTCACCACCAACTACATTAGACAAGGAGTCAATAAGGTCTATGGCAAGGATTGGAAGTTCACCAGACTTATCGTTGATGGAAAATGCTGTAAATGCACAGAAAGTTTCTAGAGGTTTAGTCGCACAGGAGAAACAAGTTTATTTCAAACCTTGGGTCAATATCAGTGCTGTTGATCCTGACGTCGAGGCAATCTCTAAGTCTGCACATGCACTTTCCTGTGGTCTCGACAAAGTCAGTATCGATGCTGGTCTTTTGCAGCTTGTGAGAACTCTGAGTCTTCACAGGCTTAAGAGTAGCACTGTGGCCTTGCAATTGCTCAAGAACGAAAAGCCAGATAGACTTGTAGAAGTAATTGACAAGGTTGTACAGTCATCATTTGCACAAAGTCGAGGAGTCAATTCAAGTATGGTAAGTAACTAGCACAGCATATGACCAGTACACTAACCCTATAAAGCCAATCAATACACTCGCGTTTGATTACGGTCTTAGCGACGATGAAGCACTTTACATTGGCTATGTTGTAGATATGTGTACGAGGATGGTTATTGCAAGTGTTGATTGGGAGTGGCGCAAGAAGTTTGCTTCTCGAGTAAATCCTAAAACGTTAACAATACTAGATCGTGCTGCTCTTATTCAAGCTAAAAAGAATGTGCCTTCAAACACCCCTGAAAATGTCAACGAATTGGGTCTAGTTCTTCAGCGCCAAAAGCAACTCGGAAACATTATCGAGAGTTTCTCTACGACCCGTGTAGACCTCAACACTCTCAAGTCATTTGAGCGTCTTGTTGATCTTCACATGGAGCTTGAGAAGACAGCAGATGACATTCATTTCGATTATTCAGCTATGCAAGTAGTACTGGAGATGATACGTGAAACTTTGACTCAAGTAGATGCGCCTGATCAGATTGAGGCTATTGATGCTCTTGCTACAACTGTTGAAATGAAGAGCGGACAAGGTCTCAACGAAATCTGGTCATCTTTACTCCCAGATATTCGTGATGGTCGTGTCGATGAGTTAATTAAGGGTCTCAAATCCTACAGCAAGAATTTGAAGCCTGAAATGAGGGATTCATTTGTTGATATATTTGCCTCACTTGGTCTTTCAGACATTGCCGAAAATGTCTATGCTTTAGCCGATGATTTACTAAAAGAGCTCTCTTCAATATCTGGAAAGCCGAAGGCTCTTGATGACACTCGCAAGGATGCTGTCAATGCCGCTTTTGATGTCGCACTTGAAACTTCAATGATCGACTCACCACATATGTTCCAAATCACCACTACGGCATTGCTTAAGCGCTTGTCACAAGACCTTCATGTAGATCCACTCTCAATAATAGGTTTGAAGCAAGCAGTCTGGGTGATGCAGGTTAAACCAGGCAAAGTCAGCTCACCTATCTATTTGAATATGCTCATATCATGGATGGCTCGTACGTGGTCGCTTCAGGATGTAAGTTTAACATGGGTATGATGGTAGATTATAAACTGACTTCAAATAGGGTCACTTTTCGGGTCCTGCTGACTTACTCAGACCACTTACACTCCGTGCGATTGCTGAAAGGTGCTCTCGTAACAAGAAGAGGTCTGTAAAGGACATTGGAACAATTCATCAAAATCTTCACAAAGATGCCAAGGCATTAGCGCTCAACTCTGCTTCATACGATAAACCTCGTCAATTGGTTTTGAAAAATGTATTGGTTACTGTGATCGTACTGGTGAGTTTAATAAAGTATAGTAATTTTGATAGAACCCCGTTAACGATTTCTTAGATGTTCAATGCATTTGCAGGCCATATCGATTCCAATGAAGATGTCAAAGAGGAAGTACTTAATGTTGAATCCACAGAAGACGTGGATGTCAATAAGCTTAGAAGATTAGCAAGCAAATGTCAACATAAGGAGTTCAGAGACATCGCAGAACATTTGTTATGTCCTGCTTTGGAAGTAGAAGTGACAGATAGTCGCAGCATCAGCAAAGCTTGGATCAACGTCTCAATTGCTTGCTTGAATCTCTACATTCCTAACTTCGCTCTTGATCCGTCTGTGCCAGCTCAATCAAAACGTTCATTTGGACAACGTAGAGAGGAAAGACTCATTGCTGAATTAGAGGCCGCAAAGGAATATGAGAGGATTACATCAGGCAATGAGTCGAACGCACTTATCAAGTTCATTGAAGACCGTTTGGCAAGTGTTCGCTCAGAGTCAACTTATTCGACTGGTGTGACTGTTCACCGCTCTACTGATCTCTCACTCCTCACTGCTCTTTACCAAGAGTTACATCACTTCGCTAACCAAGCTTATGCATCCGATCGTTTCATAACGTTAGTTGATAAGATTGAATCATCTTTGGATGATCAAGTTTTATTCCAAGAGCAGACTATTCAGAGCAATATTGAAGGGTTTTTGAGACGTCTTGATGGTGTTTATGCGTTCTATGAGGACCTCATCCACCCTATAAGGCTTTTCCTACATGTCCTCAGAGTTGGTTTACGTACGCTCACTCATACGTGTCGTGTTCAAGATCCTAGATTACTTGGGGATGCGGTACCGATTAATTCAGTGGTCAAGGATGTCGCTCGCTTTTCTCTCGTAGCATCACTCGAACATTTACAATCAAATGATTTACCTGAGGAGTCAATGCCAAACTCTGATAATACCTCGCCTCCAACAAAGCTTCTTTTGCTTGACTTATCAGCGCTAGCATTTGAAGAAAAACTTGGTCTTTCGCAAGATAAGGATGTTCAAAGATACGACCGTGCTTGTGCTGCGCTCTATGAGCGCTGGAGCGCAGACAGACAAAGAGAGCAACTCGCGGCTGAAGAAGCCACATCCCTTTACAGGCCACACAATCTTGACGAAGAAATTCTCGACGACGCTGAAGCAGAAGAAGCCGAATTCAAAGCATTGTTCCCAGAATTTGATGATGTCTTAAACGTTGACACTGCCGCAGCTAAAGCAGCTGGTATAACAACTTCAGATGCTCAAACACTTGTCACAAAGGAAGATATCTTAGCAGTTTATCAACTCCATTTGGCAATTTGCGGTGGTATTTCAGACGACTCATTTGCTGAACGTCGTAACAATCTCATCAAAGACTCAGTCGTGTCCACATTCGCCACGCTCTCCAATGAATTGGATCATCAAACATATAGTATCCAAGTTGGTCTTCTTGCAGATCAGATTAGACAATTCGAGTCTGCAGGTGATATTGCATCGTTTAACTTCTACCATGATGCAGATATTGCACAAAACAGACTTGCTAGAGACGTCGTTGAAAGGTTGTCACAGCGTCTGTTGCAAATATTTGAAGACTGGCCTGAACAGCTCATTCTTCAACATCTTAATGAACGTTGTGAAGCTATTTTGCGTATGGACTACAGATGCCCACTAGCTGGTATGCTTAGTGCACTTGAGATGTTGTTGATGCAAACAGAAGATTGGGAGAGTAACGCCAGTAGAGAAGTAGGTAGTCTATAAATGAATGTTCTTTGCTGACTATTATTCAGGTTTCACTGCGCGATAACAGAGATGAGATCGTCGGTCTCATTGTCTCTTGGAGACGTATGGAGCTTGCAACTTGGGCTACCCTCTTAGAGCGCCAGGAATTGATGTTCAAGAACGACTTAAGCGTTTGGTGGTTCAGATTCTATGAAACTATTGTCCACGGATTGGAAGCAGCTTCAGCTTCAGAGGACTCGGAGCAACAAGTAACCAAACACTTGTCAACAGTCGTCGAACTTCTTGACAAGTTCCTTTATTCAAGTTGGAGTGGACATTATTCACCTAAACTTGCTCTAGTCAAGTCATTTGCTGAGTTGTTGGACAGACTCTCAAGCTTGCGCTCATATGATGCTTTCAAGAGAGCATCTAAGCTCTTGGGAGGTATTTACTCCTACTATTCTCAATTCGAACAACGTATAAATGAGAATATGCAAAGCAAGCGTGATGATTTAGAAAGGAAAATCCAGGATTGGATCAAGATGGCTAGTTGGAAGGATGTCAATGTCTTTGCTTTACGCTCTAGTGCTCAAAAGACTCACCGTCAACTCCATAAGAGTATTAGGACGTTTAGAGATATTCTTAACCAACCCGTCGAGTCCTTCTTGTCTCAAGACTCAGAAAACAGAGCGCCAATAATGTTGTCATCAAGACCAATTACTTTGCTTTCCTCAAACACCTTAGAAGAGCTGGATGATGGTTCACAAAGACCTATCGCTCCAGATCAAAACCATCTTCGTTCACTACCATCCCTCTATGAGAAATTACAGCAAAAGCTATCAGTAGTTGGTGGTGAGAATGATACAGAAGCTCTTGATGATCTTTCAACAACCATCATTGAAAAGACTCAGGAATTCCGTAAAGCAACACCAATGCATATTACTGAAGAAAACAAGAGTACTGTCAAGTCGCTCACCGCTCAAAAGCATAGGGCTTGGGGCGATTTACTGAAGGAACTCAAACGTTTGGGTCTTTCACCAAATCTTAGAGCTGACTTGGCTAGCTTATTGAGAGATTCGTCCAGGTTATTCCAGCTTCCTAATCTCACTGGATCAATAAGTGAAGGCGCCGCTCTGAGTGATACTTTACGCGATTTGATTCCAAAAGCTGACAATTATAACTACCGCGTTTTGGCCTTGTTACCTCGTCTGAGAGTTTCACTTGCTATGCATGCTGAAGACATATCTACGAGGGATTTGACACGTGCTCTGAACTTTGTCGAAAGTGCTATGGCTATAGCTGTGAAGAATACACAACTGTAAGTTAATCGAATTCCCATCATTCATTTTAATCTTATAACTACAGATTTTCACGTACTTTGCAATCGTACAACACTGTCACTAGTCTCACTGAGAGACTCATGGATTTCGACTCATCGAATGAGCTTGCAGACAGTCAATATAATTGTGCCCAAGTAGTCTCTTTAAAGAATTTCTTTATCTCTGCACAGAACGTGTTCAATGACGCTTTGAAGAGTATCCAAGAATATTTACAGATCTCAAAGGCAGCTAGTCACACCTCAAGTGAGCCAATTTATGAGACTGTGACATCACTTCAAGGATTTGTGTCTTCCACAAACGATGTCGCGATGAAATTAAGTGGCTTGCAAGCTATGTTACACGGTTATAGCTTATTCACTAAGGGTAGGTATATTTTACAGGTTCCAAAACATCTAACAATCATGAAGATAACGTTGCACTCATCGAACGATCATTCCATGAGCTCTCAAAGTATCCTCAGGTGATAAAGGAACTTATCATTAAGACTCCATCACTTTCACATGTTCTCAAACCAACATTAGAATGGCTCGATGAGAAATCAGATGTACTTAGAGTACAAGAAGCCTCGAATAGAAATGCAGATATTAAGAACGTTTGGTTACAAAGTGATGCACTCATCAACAGCGTCCTTATTGTTGCCCAATCAGTGAAAGAACCTCAAGGACTTGCAAATGAGGATTTGGATCTTACCGAAAATGCCTTTGGAATCGCTGAGACCTCTCTTAAACAGCTTGTCAGAATTGCCAGAGTAGAAAGCATTACTGGAGAAATCAACAAGTTGTTTGACCTTCTCTCAAGATCACCTTCCCAACATATCAATTCATCCTCAGTGGCTTTGAAGCGCTCAGTTCCATTTATTAGACAATACATCAAATGGTTGTCCAACGAACTTGATAGAATGATGAGTTGGCACAAAGCTAGTCTCAAGTTCGCTCATATCCTTGCATCAACATTCTTGTCTGTTGCTGAGAAAGGTTTCTGCAAACCAGATGAGAAGGATAATGGCGAAAGCGATGAACAAGGTGATGGTAAACTTGAAGAGGGTACAGGCTTGGGTGAAGGTGAAGGAGCTGAGAATATCTCCAACCAGATCCAAAATGAAGAACAAGTTGAAGGTCTCAAAGATGAAGGAGGGGAAGGTGACGAGAAGAATGACGATGAAAAGGAGAAGACCGAAGCTGAAGACCAAGCTATTGAAATGAATGAAGACTTCGACGGTGATCTCGACGATGCTTCTGACAGAGATGGCGAAGAAGGTGAAGAAAGAGACGAAGAGAACATGGACGAACAGATGGGAGATGCTGATCCACTCGATCCTGGCGCCGTCGACGAAAAGATGTGGAATGATGAGAACGATCAGGAGAGCGGAGATAAAGATGACCATGTTGACAATGATGCTAAAGGTCAAGGAGAATCTGAGACTGTTGCTAATGAAGACACGAAGCAATCAAATAAAGAGGACAAGCCAGAGCAAGGCGAAGAAGCCGGCGAAGAAGAGGCTGAACAGCAAAACGAAATGGGCGACGAAAAAGAAGAAATGCCTGAAGCCCAAGATGAAGTAGGTATTAAAATAATTTTGTTTGACTCTACTAACAAACACCGAAGGGTCCTGGTGAAGACGATGAAGGTGCAGGACCAGATAAAGGTGACCACCTCAACAACGAGTTGCCTGAACCTGATATGTTGGATCTTCCTGAAGGTATGGATCTCGATAATCAACAGAAAGAGCAAGAAGCTGGTGAAGATGAGGATGATGAAGGTTTCGAGGATGGTGAAATGGGTGAAAATGATGACATGGACAATGCTGGTGAAGAAGAAAAGGGTGAATCTGAGGAAGGTGGTGATGAACCGCGCTTAGAGGAAGCTCAAAGAGATGAAGGTGAAGGCGACGAGAAAGAAAATGAAGAAGCCATGGGCGACAATGAAGAATCAGAAAAGCCTGATGCCGAACGCAACGAAGAGAAGGAGGCAGATGATGAAGGTGAAGATGAAAAGGAGCAGGCTACAGATACCACTGGTGATCAACCTCAAGCGCAACAACAGGATGCATTAGCCGCTCCACAACAAGCAGACAATGGTGGTGGTATGGATGAGGGTAGTCAGGATGACAGTGGAGCTGCTCAAGGAACCTCTGGTCAGCAAGCAGAAGCAAACACGAACGACGCTTCAATGCAGCAAACTCAAGACCAGGCTCAGGAGTCTCAGCCAACGTAAGTGCTTTTTTAATTGTTTATATGCAACTAACATCAATTTAGCGAATTTGATCCAGCTTCTCAAGCCCAAGGTCAAATGGCAACTAATGAAAATACCGAAGCTAGTAGAGATCAGCCGCAAGATCAGCAAGCAGATCCTAATCCACTTCGTAGTTTGGGAGATGCTATGCAAGAGTTCAGACGCCGCTTCGACGAGATCGCGGAAGCTCAAGAGCGGCCATCTGAAGGTCAAGAAAAAGGTCAAGAAGAACAGATTAAGGATGACCAACCGCTTGAGTACGTAAAGGAGGGTGATGAAGATGCCAATGATACACAAGCACTTGGTGCAGCACCTGAGGAACATGTGGAGAAACTCAACGATCTTCAAATTGCAGATGAAGAAAAAGAAGCTGAACGCGATGCTGAAATGGACTTTGATGATGATGAACAGGTGAAGAATGAAGCAGGCTCATCTAATCAAATGAAGCAGATTGACACTGATGCCAAAGCGCCTGAAGCTGACGAGGGTCAACCCGACGCTATGAACGTCGACGAGAAGACTGAAGAACGCATCAAAGAAGAACAAGATGAAGATATGCTCGCAAGCGATTCAGAGGAGAAGGAAGAGATCGATCAAGCTGCTGAATTGAAATTAATGGAATGGACCACCAGTGGCGAAAAACGTGACTCTAAGGATGTTTGGAAGATTTACGAATCAATGACAAGAGACCTTTCATTTGGATTGTGCGAACAGCTTCGTCTTATTCTTGAGCCAACTCTTGCAACTAGACTCAAAGGTGACTATAGAACCGGTAAAAGACTCAACATGAAGAAGATCATACCATACATTGCTTCTGAATTTACGAAGGACAAGATATGGTTGAGACGTACTAGACCATCTAAGAGAGAATATCAAGTATTATTAGCCCTTGATGACTCTAAGTCCATGTCCGACGTCCACACGATTCATTTAGCCTTCCAATCACTCGCACTTATATCAAAAGCTCTCACCACACTCGAAGTCGGATCTATCGCTATTTCCAAGTTTGGTAAATCCATGGATATACTGCATAGCTTCGAAGATGGTATATTTACGGATGATGAAGGTGCCAAGGTATTAGACAGTTTCACATTCGCTCAAACAGAGACTAATGGTGAGTACTAATGAATGTGTTGTTGATTCGACTAATATGACAAACAGTGCACTCATTGGTTGATACATCACTCAATATGCTTGGAGACGCTAGAGAAGGGCAACGCGATGAAGAGTTACACCAACTCATGTTCGTGCTGTCTGATGGTATCTGTTCAAACCATGAGAAGATGGCCAGATTGCTCAGACGTGCTCAAGAAGATAAGGTCTTGATCGTATTCGTCGTTCTTGACTCGCTCAAACAAGAATCAAACTCGATCCTGAACATGACTCAAGCTAGTTACAAAATGGCGGATGGTAGACCTCAGTTGAGTGTGGAAAGGTATATGGATACGTTCCCATTCCCATACTATGTCGTCGTTAGAAACATAGACACTTTGCCTGACATTTTGTCGTCAACCCTCCGCCAATGGGCGGAAGCATTGGCTAGTACAAGGAGTTAAGATTAGAATTATAGACATATTTATTTACATTGCTATTTATTTCACTGTAAAATCATAAATTTTTTCATTATCAGACATAGAAACACTGTGAGAAATGGTAATGAATATCTATACAAATAATTATGTAATAACTAGATAAAAACATAATATAGTTTTTGTATGCAATTTAGCATGTCGCTCTTTTGTCAGAACGATGACAGATTTCTTACCGGAACTTCGTGCAGAAGACGTTTTGAATTGTCAATTTAGCAAATGGCATAACAAATATAAGAAACTATCAACAAAAGCAAAAGTGGTTCCACTTCCAAAGGATTTCATTATGTATCTTAACGAGGATGGAATTGTAATGCCAATAGAATGCAACCCAAATGATAGCGGTGATGATAGTGATGAGGAAGCAGTACAGCCACCCTCATTCCCCCAATTGTCGTTGGCGATTCGCGCAGCCATCGAAAAATACGGTGTTATTATACCCAAGTTGAATTGGAGTACTCCAATCGATGCACGCTGGATACACCCGACGAATACGATTAACTGTACAACACTGGAAGAAGTATATTTATTGTTAAAATCATCAGATTTCGTAGCGGGAGAGTTAGCTGGGCAGGCTTTTGAGGGTTGTGTGGACAGTCCACCAGAGACAATAGAATGGGAATTAGCATTGAAGCAGCATATAGAGATATCACGTAATCAGGAGTTTAGAGTTTTTGTCAGGGATAACAAGATCGCAGGGATTTGTCAGCGCGATTTGAACTTTTATGAGTTTTTACAAGAAGAGGAGACGCAGGAGAATATAAGGAACTTGATAAAGACATTCTGGGATGAAAATGTCAAAGAGACATTCCCTAATGATAATTATGTGATGGATGTCTACATCAATCAACACGATAGAGTGATTATCGTTGACTTCAATGTATATGCATTACGTACAGATAGTCTGTTGTTCAGCTATGAGGAGCTACAACAAGCCTTTCAATCAAATGAGCTGTTATTCAAGGTGATTGATACGCCCTCAGATCCACTGGCCCAAACCGGATCCTATTATGCGAGTTCGGCGGTGCCAAAGGACCTGATTGACGCCAGCCAGGGTAAAAACGCATTAGAATTTCAACAAACATGGAATGAACTCATAGAGACCAGCAAGAAAGCCTAATATTGTACATTTATATCGATCTGCCGCATTTGTAACTTGAGGCTAGAGAAATGACGAATGTCCCGAGTGATATAACACGGATTATTTATAATAAACGCGTAGATTTTGAATATAAAAAACGGATTTGTGTTTATATTTTTATTTGACATGTGAAACTCTAAGGCTTGGCATTAGGACTCTCAGCTTTGGAATAAACCACGAAGATCGCATATCAAGGATCGACAGTAGCTGGCTTACTACAAAATCAATCGCATTAATTATTATTCAAGATTAATTAGACAGTATCTTTTAGCCACATTCTAAATTATGGGAGGTTTACACAATTTCCATGTGGGTACACTCAAATCTTCTACGACCAGCAGACTAACTACAGTAGCCGTTTGAAATAAGCACGCCGCATCTCGCATATGCCATCTTAGGTGCATATGTCGCAGTATTCATGATGTTCTCCCTCTTCATCAAGGAGAGGCTCTATATTGGTGAAGCCGTCACCAGTACCGTTTTCGGTATCATTATTGGCCCCTATGTTGGAAATGGTCTCGACTTCCGCACTTGGGGCTCCAACGATGGACAAGCAGATGAAGAAATAACAAATGAGATTATTTTGGAAGTTACCAGGATAGTTCTAGCGCTCGGTGTTTTTGCTATTGGTGTTGAGCTGCCGAAGCAGTACATGAGAAAACACTGGAAGTCTATTTTCATGCTGATCATACCGATTATGTCGTTTGGTTGGGTCATCTCAGCAGCCTTCATTTACGCACTTATACCAGATCTCACTTACGTTTCTTCCTTAACAATTGCCGCAACTCTCACCCCAACGGATCCTATCTTGGCCGCTGCTGTCATCGGTGGTAAATTCGCACAGAAGCACGTTCCATCACACGCAAGACACCTGTTATTTGCTGAATCAGGGTATGTAATGTTCGTCACCGTCATCTTTAATCTGACATATCGTAGTTGCAATGATGGTGCTGCATTTCCGTTCTTATACATTGGTATCTTCCTACTATTATCTCCTTCAGACGTTCCGTACGCCGTAGAGGAGTGGTTTTTGGTTACTTGGTTGTATGAAGTAGCCCTTGGTATCTTTTTGGGTGCCCTGATTGGATACTGCGCTCGTAAATTGATGAAGTTTTGTGAGGGACGAAACCTCATCGATCGTCAATCATTCGTTGCTCAGTATGTCTCGCTCACTTTGCTCACTATCGGTATAGGATTGATTTTAGGATCAGACGATTTGTTAGCTGCATTCAGTTGTGGTACTGCATTCGCATGGGATGGTTTCTTCAACAAGGCCACAGAAGAATCACATTTCTCTTCAATTCTCGATTTATTGTTCAACTGTGCTTGTTTCATTTTTATCGGAGCTTTGGCACCATTTGACGCTTTCAATGATCCTTCGCTCGGTGGTATTACAAACTGGCGCTTAGTTATTTTAGGGCTTTGCATTCTCCTTTGTCGCCGTTTGCCAATTATGTTGGCGCTTTACAAGTGGATCCCAGACGTAAAAACGTTCCGTGAAGCCTGTTTCGCAGGTTGGTTCGGTCCAATGGGTGTAGGAGCTGTGTTCATTGCTACATTGGCAGCTACAGAGTTGCCATTCCCTGAAGGAGAACCACAAAACCAAGCAGAGTTGGTCGCTGTTACTATTCAACCAATCGTCTGGTTCATGGTCTTGGTATCTACTTTTATTCACGGACTTTCTATACCATTCTTCTCACTTGGTAGACGTGTTAATACTATTCGTCAAACCACTTCCTTCGGTAATACATTGTCACGCGCATCACTCACTGAAGGCAATGATTGGCTTCATCGTATGCGTCAAGTCGTACCGGGACAAGACATTGTTATCAACAGAGATGATGAGGCGGAGAAGGGAAGTCTCACTCAATCTTCAAGCACCCAACGTAAAGAAAGTGAGCTGGAAGGCAAAGCCGCGGAAGCTCAGAAAGTGCTTGACGAAACTAGCGATGACCCTCGTGTGCAATCATGGAGTAAGTATATATCGAATATAAAGGTCTTCAACTAACAAAATTATTAGTTGAGGGTAATGATCTCGTTATAGAGAGGCCGCGTAGTGATAATGAAGATGATACGGAAGCAACAGTATTCCAAAATGTAGTTTCCGACGATATGAGGGAGCAAGGAAGACACAGTATAGTTGCATCAGTTGCATTGGAAATCGAAAAGGAAATCAAGGACAAGCTTCTTATACCAATATCTGAGCAAGCGCATAAGAGCCAAGATATTCAGGAAGGAAATAGGAAGTATTACGCAGTCAATCACAAACCTGGCACAAAGGAATCTATCGCGTCTAAGTTATTCCAGCATAGAAAAACACCACCCGCAAAACCAGAACAAAGTTATAGACCACCATCGTCAAAAGATAGTTTCAATGATAGTATAGATAAACAAACAGGACAATCAATTGCATCGCCGGAGAGTAATTCAAATAGCGCTGGTATTAGGTTTATCGATGAGGAGGATCCTAATCGTGATGAACCACACATACACCCAGCAGATAAGGAGTAATATATTTTCATTTGTTTCAATAGTACTTGCTAGTAAATACGTCTATGGAAGACCCTTTTATTTTCATTTTAATTAGTTTGTAATATTCATGATTTAATTATAGATTTACAAGTATGCATTAAGATTAATGAGTAGTCAGAGTTTAGCGAAATGATGATTTGACTTGGACCTATGTAACAATAATAAGTCAGATGCAGCAATTCAGTAGATACGACCAAATTTTCACCTTATGTTCCCTAGGACTTCTCGTACCTGAGATCAAAATTTGTCAACTCATAGACAGTGTTTCGGAAGATCTTTGCATAGAATTTTACACAATCGGAGTAAAGTTACTTTATATCATGAGAGTGTTTTTTACTGTAGAATATATAGATGTTGGAGATTTATGAATTTGTCAAAGAGTAGGTAGCTGAGAAACACATTATCATATTTTATTCGGAGAAAAGTCATTTAACTTAATACTGGCATATCAAGAATAAATGTTATTTATTTCAGCCATGCGTATATCCTGCAAGTCATTTGTATAACCTTTTTTTTGTTCGTTAATATCATGTATCGTACCGTTATATAAAATATAGTTGTAATGTAGTTAAATTGTGAACCTGGGAATATTTCAATAGACTTCAAAAAATTATTTTACTTCCAATCATGATCAAAATCTCGTATGTTTGATGTTAAACAAATGTTCTAGTAAGATAACTTTCGAGAAATGATTAATGTAACTCTCAAGATAATAAAACCACTGATATAAAATTTGAAATTCATTAATTTTGCAGAAATAACATCCAATAAGAGCTTTAATTAGGGAAGAAAAGTATAGAGTAAAGAGAAAAAAACGAAAATAATTAAAGAGAGACTCAAGGGTGATAGGTTTACCATGTTTTGTTTAAAAAATTCACTGAAAGGGCTTTTTTGCTATGTACATTGCTAATTCTTTGATAATTTAAAATAATCGTTGATTTCTTTAGTGAGTGAACGATGCATTAACTTAGAAAAAGTTCAAATAGTTCAATTGTTCTGATGCGTATTCGTTGTGCTAGTTGTTGGTGCTTGGTTTTGATCTTCAAATTCGATAAAATTTGCTAACAATGTTGAAGGAGACGCGGCTTCATTGTCCAATGTTTTGTTGAAGGATGTTGAAAGTGGTGGAGCTGAATGTGGTACGACGTCATTAAGACTATTTTCTACATCATTAAGCGCCTGTATTGGATCCATTGTGAATGCAGAATTCCAAGGATGTTGTGATTTTTCATCTGCTTCACCATGTTCGTCAGTTTCGTTATTATCATGGAAATGCGTGAAGAAAGCTTTATCATCTTCATCTTCATCTTTGTGATGGAATGGCCATGCAGAGCCTCCATTGCCTGGTTGTGGTAAACCAAGATTGCCATAGTTGCTTTGGTGCGCTGGGGCAGATTGTGGAACTTGTTGGAATGTAAATTGTGCAGTATCAAATTCACTGGCTGTTCCAGTCTGCGCTTGTGTGCTGGCTGCAGTTGATGGTGAAATTGCAGATGCTGTAATTTGCGACATCTGTGGTATACCTATCGACAAGCCATATCTGTTTTTAGCGGAGTATCCACCAGGTGTCATTGGCATTCCTGGTGTGGTATTTGGTGCAGAGGTAGATGGGAAGGATAATGCCGGTGTGTTGAAATTGTGATTTGGATTAAACATAAATTGTGATGAGGGTGGATTTCTTTTGTGAAGCTTTGATAGCTTGATTGAGCCATTAGGAGAATGTTCTGATGATATTTCAAAGTCATAGACAACTACGAGAACCACTTGACCAATTTCAGCTCCTCTGCATGATTTTGTAGTTGGGAAAGGTGAAACATCATCAAGGTGCTCAGATGAACTTGGTATAACAAACTCATGCACCATCGATAAGGCGTTTAATGGACTTGCAAAGGCTTGTCTCTCTTCGTATGACTTTGTGAAAACCTTAGTTGGGCGTGCTCCACCTTGATCTGAGACTTGACCACCCAAGAAACCGGAGAAGAACTCTCCACCGTATGGTAGATCATAGTTAAATTCCTCATTGTTGTTGACTTGGGTGGTTGAAGCTGGTTTGCTCAATCCTTCGACATAGCCGAATACACGAGCTCCAAATGAATAAAAGTTAGTAACAACTCTAAAAAGTCCTGTTAGTAAGGCGATCAATTTGTGCAAGAGATTACTCACTCAAGTGGTACGTCTTGGTTCGTCGCCAACGACATGTGTGTTGAAATGGTATCAAATGCTGTTGGTAAGTAAACTTCAGCAGCAGGTATTGCTAATCTGATCCTTGCATGTAAGAATTGGCACTGTAATTCATCATACATTTGTCCTAGACCTGGATATCTTGCTTCACCCAGCGGCAAATCCTCCATATACAAAGTTTGATTTGGAGAATCTAAGTAATCATGCTTTTGCTGATTAATATCTGCCAAAGTGTGTTGCTGCTGGTTGCCTTTCGCCCAAATTCCTAATTGCTTAATGTCAACTTCGACACCAGGTGGTAATTTCGACATCGGGGACATAGGTGAGTGAGCCAACGCATTTCCGATTGCTCGAGCGTTGATTGGGGTAGAAGTACGCTTCTCACCTGCAGAGCTCATCGGTCTTGAAGGTGTGGCTACGGATTCACTGAATCTCTCAGACTTAGGGGTAGCTGATCTTCTTCCATCAAGCGATTGTCGCTTTTGTTTCACTGATGGTGTTGGCGCGGGTATTGGCTGTTGACCTGGTGCGATCGGGTTGCATAGGTATGGCTCCTGCGAGTTCTTAGTCGTAGGTTCAAGACCATTCAATGGACCTTCATCCATTTTTTGTTGATAATGGAGTAACATTGGCTGAAGTGATGCTTCCTCTTCAGCCGTTGGTTCTGATACGAGCCACATAACTAATTTGTGTTTTAGAATTGGACAAAAGTGAAACATTAGGGCTCACAGCGATGGTCGTTCCTACGAACATTCTTGAGTACTTGGATATGAGAAGATACCTGCTTCCTGGTTCGTTGCGCACCTGTACGCATGCGAATGAAGTTTGCAATTAGTTCGTTCCTGCCACACGGCTTGCCATGAACCATCACCTTACGTCTGCCAAGACGAGGGACTGTAACGAGAGCTGTGAAACATTAGTGAGAAGCTTACTTTCTTTTGTTCTCTCACCCTCATAGAAAGCTTCGTCGACTTCCGGTGGCCAGACTTCATCATTTCTTGCCTCCGGGAGAACCATCATACCTGATGGTGTAACACCTGAAGTTGCGCCTTTGACGTCAAGGCCTAAAGCGGCTAAACCACCTGGACCACCGGCAGGTATCTGCATTTGATGTACGTTCGGCTCGGTACGTCTTCTTTTCATGTCAGGTCGTGGTTGCAACGTTTGAACATCTGGTGGAATAAAAGGGGGACCTAAGCTATTAGGTAGCGTAATTGTAGGTAAATCGCATGATTTTGAGTTGGAATGACCAAGCAAATCGTGATGTTGTTGAAATGATCGCTTTTTAGTATCGTATTCTTGCTGTTGTTGGAAAGAGAAATTCATGAAAGAGTTTGGTGTGTCAATTGTGCTTGCAGAAGGTGGTGACTGATATTTATAGCTATTTGGTGTTGTTAATGGTGGTGTAACTAAATCGTCAAATTGAATAGAAGATGAACTGTTTGGTGGTGTACAGCTAAAGTTCATCAGTCTTCTATTAGAGAAATGAGTGGATGTGTCTTGAATTGTCTTGAACTTTGTCTTTGCTTGTAAATTCCAGTCTAAGTTATGAATAACAATTCCCTAGATGTTGATAGACTTTACTAGAGAATGCAGTGTAAGGATTTGGTAAAGCCTTTGGAATGTAAATTGAAGATGGGAATGTTCTGAAGAAATGCTTTAAAGATGGAGGCTCTGGAATTTAAAAACTGTTATACGAGTTTGAGTAGATTGATGCGCAAGAGCAAATTCCAAACGATGCATGCTCATTCCAAGCTGTCAAGCTCGTGAATGGCTGACATCTGCCGGATGTTAGAAAAAATTCACTACCACCTACGCTAGAAGAAATCGCTATAAAAACTAACAAGTTTCCGCATTTCTTATATCCTTTTTACCCAGTTTTACCAGCTCATTAAAATTGATTGACAGCTACACACGTCATTGATCTATTAAGGTACAAGGGAAGCCGACTTTAGATGGCCACAAATGAGCTATTTGTTTATTAATCAAGGAGGGGGGAAATTATTATAGACTTCTACGTACGCTATCTAGCTTATCATTTGGACATATGACAATCTAATTAACTCCGGTATTTAGTCGTGGCTTGACAGTTGCTGCATGCCAGATTAAAGTTAAATAAAATGGAGACCCATGATCTCATATACAAGTGGTAAACCAAATCAATGAAGGAACAACAATTACCATGCATCGTTACTTTGATGTACAAAATTTGAAACATTTTCACTTTTGTGTTTTAATTAACTCAAAAGACCCTGACTCGAGTATTTTCATAAAAGATTGATTTGTAGAGTCTGAGAATTGATCACCATGACCTTCCAGTACACATGGTCCCCTAAATTGTAAACGTCCGCTAAACTCATCTAGGCCTCCATCAGCTAAGCGAACTTCAATTGCATAAGTAGGGGGGCCAAGGCCGCCATTTTTGAGAGTATCGTAAGCTATCCTTGAAAAGACGAAACTTGAGGAACGTGGATCTTTAAATGCCTTAACGATAGGTACTGATAGTGAAATTCGTAGATCTGTGACTGTTGAGTCATTTATTTCACCATCGGTTGAGACCACATATTTGAGGCCGTTATTAAGGCCTATGGTATCTCTAACTCTTCTAAAAACTCCCCAATTTGATGGTGGAGGTATCTGACCTGCTGCGTCCGCGGCCAATGCTTGTCGTCTGCTGAATTTGTACCACCATTTGTTTATTGCAATACTACTTAAATCATGAGCTAACAATGACAAGTGTTTTCCGGAGCTAAGGGAGGTGTTAGACGGATATTATAATAAAAGCGTCGCCTACACAAAAAGGTACTGAGGTACTGGAGATAAAGGCAGGGCGGCATCTTGAGGAATGCAAAAATAGGAGCAACCTTATCTGATCAGGAAAAGGTCGTCTAAAATGAATTGCTCACCTGAAAAAATTGAAGTATATAGCAGAGTTCTTCCGAGAGCTGTAGAAAGGGGCTCATCTGTCACTATTGTGTCGTTATGGGCTGGTTTCTTCGCAAGTGGTATTGTTGATAAAATTGAGTAAACACCTGCTGTGATATTCTTGAGAGAATGTCAAGACAGGTAATTGTGAAAATTTCACTCACCTTATTATCCATTTTATAAACAGTGTCATCGCTTAACACATATGAAATGGTGTTAGATGGTTCTCTATTATTCTTGTCTATACTGAGGGGCTCTACCAAAGCGTCCACTTCGAATTTGACGTAGTTTAGACCAACATTCGGTGGAATGGACTTTGTGAAGACGCATAATACGTCATTTAAGTGCCTAGGGAGAATACCAAGTTTATCGTCGGCGACAATGGCAGTAATTTGGGCGCCATGTTCCTCGAACTTTGTTAAAGCAGCAGCTATGTTGTCATTGGCATTTATATGAGCTGTCTGCATACCAATGAGGAGGGCACCAAGTTCAATAAGCACGGCGATGTGTACATCCTGTGTTGCTATTAAGATAGTAGATGTTTTTGATTTCAATAATGTTGTATGTTTACTGATTGACGAAATCGCTTTGACCGCCTGATCTATTAATGTCGAAGGTGTATAAGGTTGTGATTGAATTAGCATCCTTGCGTTATTATCACTCAACTCCAATAAATCAGCTGCTCCTCTAGCTTTAGCTGCTGGCCTCTCGACTAACTAAGATATCATCAGATAGGCTGATTAATGATGATAGAGCTTACGGGTAGATTTCCTAGACTAGAATTGCGATATATCGCACTCTGATTCTGATTTCTAACTGGGCTAGCTTCAGATTGATTAGAGAGTATTATTGGGTGTACTACGCTGTCGGTGCGCTTGAATAGATGGAGTAGTTGTAAGGCGATAATTGCAGCTAGCAATGCTTTTGTATTGTTATCTATTCCTAGATTATTGAGCTTATCCATTTTGATATTAGAGAGATGGCGGTTGTTTATTAACCATCAACTCTGCGTAATGGAAACGGGAGATAGTGAACAGGCATCTGCAGCGATACCAACTGTGAATATATCTCAGCAGTCTGAACCTTCTGGTAGTACAGAACCGTCGACTAAGCCATCTTTACCCCAGCAACTAGATCAGCAGCCTCAGCAGTCACCAGATACAGCGCCATCTGGTCCACCTAAACCATCGAAGCTGAAGCTTACAATCCCAGCTCATCTGAAAGAAGAGAGAGCTCAGAAAGATGCACAAGCGAAGCACCTGCGAAGGGGTGGTAGAACGCGTCAATCTTCGACCTATGCATCAGGTTCTAAAGACGATAGGGATGGCTATAAGCCGCCAAAAATGAAATCAAATTTAAAGCTCAAAGTCAAACAATTGGGTGAAGCTCCTACAGGTCCAGCTGCATTCTTGAATAGTTACGATAGAGAACTCGATTCTGAGGATGAGGATTTACACATAGAGGAGCAATTCATTCTTAGAATGCCCGATAACGATCCAGACACCGATCGCTTAAGAGAAATGGTACAGAAAAGGGACGTACAGGACGACGTTTGGTTTAAATTTAAGGATAGCAGGAGAGCACAGTTCCATATAGGCGAGAAATTAAGGTCTGCAAAGTTGGTCGACTTACCAACTATCATTGAGTCTCAGAAGACCCTCGATAATAAGCAGATGTTCAAGATTGCAGATATTTGCCAAGTATGTTGTATTTTAATCAATAGTCTCAGCTGACACCCCTCAGATGTTAGTAGTAGGTGATGAAATACAACAAGATGCACCAGAAAGTAAGATCTTTAACACGAATGAATACGTATGGCCACACGGTATGACACCTCCTATGAAGCATGCACGTAAGAGGAGGTTTAGAAAGCGTGTTAATCGTCAAACTATCGAAACTGTTGAAGAGGAAGTCGAAAGACTATTGACTCAGGACGCGAAGAGTGAAAAAGTGGAATATGAGGTCATGGATAGAGCAGCATTCGAAGCTGAATTAGCACAAGAAGAATCTGAAGCTGGAACACCTTATCCATACCCAGACTACAATACATCCGCTACGCCACGTCTTGATTCTGATGCTGGCAGCATGATAGGCGACAGGGAGGATGATGAAGATGAAGATGATGAAGGTGGTGACCTTGATATGGACTTGGCTGCTGAAATCGACAAGGAAATGGAGAAGGAGGGTAAAGATGACGACGATGATGATGAAGATGATGAAGATGACAGTAGTAGTGAGGACGAAATCGAAGAGGAGGAGGAAGAAGAGCAAGAAGGAAATGTCGATAACGTTACTATGGAATTGGCTAGAAGGGGTAAATTACTTAATGAAGAAATTAGAGATGTCGAAACTGCGCTCACGAAGAAGAGAGCGGAGACAGCTACGACAGCTAACCCTATCATTAAGAGGAGATTTGAAGACGCGCTTCGTAAGTTGCAAGCAGATCTCGACGCGAAGAAGCAGCAATTGGATGATATTCACGAAGAAAGAAGGAGAATTATTGAGGAGAAAAAGGCTGAAGAGGAGAATGAACTTGTTAGAGCTAGTGAAGTAGTAGAAAACGACGCGCCTGTACAAGAAAGTGTAGGAGTACCACCGCCACCAGAGCCAGTAGTCGAACCAATGGAGGCAGAAGAAGAGACTAGAGCGGAGGCTGATAAAACGATGTTTGAAGTGTAAATTTGCATTTAATAAAATAAATTATTTTGATAGGATGATCGTTCAACTTGAACTGTGAGGAGAATGGATGACTTCGGCGATGAAATGATAAACCAGGAGGATTGCTGGACGGTTATATCGTCATTCTTCGATGAGAAGGGTTTAGTTAGGCAGCAGATAGACTCCTTCGATGAATTCGTTCAGAATACTATGCAAGAAATTGTTGAAGAGAACCAGAAGCTGACGTTAGACCAATTCAACCAATACACACAACATAAGAATGATACTACGAGAAGATACGAGATTCAATTCGGTCAAATTTATCTATCTAGGCCTACGATGACAGAAGCTGACGGTAGTGTCAGTCCAATGTTTCCACACGAGGCTAGATTAAGAAATTTAACGTATTCAGCTCCAATATATATTGATATGAAGAAAAGGGTTTTAGTTCAAGTGGAAGATGATGAAACTGGCGATTTGATCTGGGTACCAGAATTTGATGAGGAGCATGACGAGACGACGAAAGTTTGGATAGGCAAAGTACCTATCATGTTGAAGAGTACTTTCTGTAATTTGAACAACGTCGATTCCGCCAGATTATCCGAGTTGAACGAGTGTCCATTTGATCAGGTCGGTTTATTAGTAATACGCTCATATACTTCTAACAAACATCTAGGGTGGTTATTTCATTATCAACGGTTCAGAAAAAGTCCTGATAGCCCAAGAAAGATTGGCTGCTAACCATGTCTACATTTTCGCCAAAGCTGAACCTTCACCCGTCTCTTATCAAGCTGAAATCAGATCAGCCATGGAGAAGGGTGGCAAAACTGTTTCGTCCATGCAAATCAAAATGTTTAGAAGACCTCAGGGTAATGCTCAAGCTGATACGATGAGAGCCACTATACCATATATTAAAAACGAAATTCCAATCATCATCGTATTTAGGGCTTTGGGTATCGTACCTGATAGAGAAATTCTGGAACACATCTGCTTCGATTTCGACGACAGTCAAATGCTTGATCTTCTCAAACCATGCATTGAAGAAGCTTTCGTTGTTCAAGATCAAAACGTCGCTCTTGATTTCATCGGTAGAAGAGGTACAACTACCGGTCTTTCAAAAGACAAGCGTATCAGATATGCTAAAGATATTCTTCAAAAAGAGATGTTACCACATGTTGCTACCAATGAAGGTTCAGAGACAAAGAAAGCTTACTTCTTTGGTTATATGATCCATAGACTCATGTTGGCGAGATTAGAGAGAAGAGAATTGGATGATAGAGATCACTTCGGTAAAAAGAGATTAGATTTGGGTGGTCCTTTACTAGCTAGTTTATTCAGAATGTTGTTCAGGAAGCTCACCAAAGATGTTTATAGATATATGCAAAAATGTGTTGAAACTCACAAAGAGTTTAACCTCAATCAAGCTGTTAAAGCAAACACCATCACTAATGGTCTTAAATATTCTCTTGCTACTGGTAACTGGGGTGATCAAAAGAAGTTCATGCAAGCAAGAGCGGGTGTTTCTCAGGTCTTGAATAGATACACGTTTGCTTCTACACTTTCCCACTTGAGAAGGTGTAACACACCGATAGGTAGAGATGGTAAGATCGCCAAACCACGTCAATTACATAATACACACTGGGGTATGGTTTGTCCTGCTGAGACTCCTGAAGGTCAGGCTTGTGGTTTAGTAAAGAACCTTGCACTTATGGCCAATGTCTCAACTGGTAGTTCATCTGCACCAATTCAAGATTTCTTACAAGAGTGGGGTATGGAAGAACTTGAAGAGTTTAATCCACGTTCAAATCAAGTCAAGGTCTTCGTTAACGGTGTCTGGATTGGTGTTCACAGAGATCCAACTAACCTCGTCAAAACTTTGAGAAAGCTCCGTCGTGAGGGTGATATCCAACACGAAGTGTCAGTTGTAAGAGATGTCAGAGAAAAGGAGATTAAGGTTTTCACTGATGCTGGTCGTGTATGTAGACCGCTCTTCTTGGTTGACGAAGAAACACAACAGTTAGAAATTAACAAATCTCACATCGCAAAGATAGAAGCACATACGAATGGAGAAGACGAAGATCCAGACCAGCCATACAACTGGGCCAAATTGATGTCAGACGGTGTTATGGAATTACTAGATGCTGAAGAAGAAGAGACTGTCATGATATGTATGACACCTGAAGAATTAGAACATTCTAGGCAAGGTTTTATACCGCAAGATGAAGAATTCGATCCAGCAGCGAGAATCAAATCAGCCTCTACTTTGGATACTCACACTTGGACACATTGTGAAATCCATCCAAGTATGATCCTTGGTATCTGTGCTTCTATCATTCCATTCCCTGATCACAATCAATCCCCTAGAAATACCTATCAAGCTGCGATGGGTAAACAAGCTATGGGTGTTCACTTGACAAACTTCCAGCAAAGAATGGACACACTTTCAAATATTCTCTACTATCCACAAAAGCCATTAGCGACTACAAGATCAATGGAATATCTCAAATTTAGAGAATTACCAGCTGGTCAGAATGCAATTGTCGCTATTCTTTGTTACTCTGGTTACAACCAAGAAGATTCCGTTATTATGAACCAATCTGCTATTGACAGAGGTCTCTTCAGATCTATATTCTATAGAAGTGAGTTTAGTCTTTTACGCAACACAATTACTCTAACAAGATATTAGGTTATATGGACACGGAGAAGAAAGTTGGTACTATGCTTTTGGAGGAGTTCGAGAAACCAACGAGGGAAACTTGCTTGAGAATGAAACACGGTACATATGATAAGATCGAGAATGATGGTTTGATTGCTCCTGGTACGGCAGTTACAGGTGATGATATAATTATTGGTAAGACTGCACCAATCCCACCAGACTCCGAAGAATTAGGTCAACGTACAAAACTGCACACCAAACGTGATGTATCAACACCATTGAAATCAACAGAGAATGGTATAGTTGATCAAGTTTTGGTTACGACAAATGCAGATGGATTGAAATTCTCTAAAGTCAGAATGAGATCAACGAGAATACCACAAATTGGTGATAAGTTCGCATCTAGGCATGGTCAAAAAGGTACGATTGGTATCACTTATCGTAACGAAGATATGCCATTTACGTCAGATGGTATCACACCTGATTTGATTATCAATCCACACGCTATTCCATCACGTATGACAATTGGTCACTTGGTTGAATGCTTGCTTTCTAAAGTTGCGACGTTGCAGGGTAGCGAGGGTGATGCAACGCCATTTACAGAGGTTACTGTTGAATCCATCTCTTCAATTCTTCATGAAAAGGGTTACCAAAAGAGAGGATTGGAGGTTATGTACAATGGCCACACTGGTAGAAAATTGCAAGCACAGGTATATATCGGACCTACATATTACCAAAGATTGAAGCACATGGTTGATGATAAGATCCACGCGAGAGCTCGTGGTCCTGTACAAATTCTCACTAGACAACCAGTCGAAGGTAGATCCAGAGATGGTGGTCTCCGTTTCGGTGAGATGGAGGTGAGTTGTTGATCACATTAGGTATTTTTTCTAACCCAAGTACTCCAGCGTGATTGTATGATTGCTCATGGTGTTGCTGCATTCTTAAAGGAGCGTCTGTTTGACGCATCTGATGCTTACAGACTTCACGTCTGTGATCTTTGCGGTATGACAGCTATCGCGAACCTCAAGAAACAAACATTTGAATGCAGAGCTTGCAGGAATAAGACAGATATTTCACAAATTCACGTACCATATGCTGCTAAACTCCTCTTCCAAGAATTACAATCAATGGGTATTTCACCAAGATTATACTCTGATGTTAGTAACACAGGTGGTGTACGCTAAACTTATTTAAATCGGCATAATGCCTACAATGTATATTACAATTAAAGTATATTACTTTTCTATGTTGGCTTCTCCTTAGTTGGCGCAACAGTTTCTTCTGTTTTCTTCCTACTCTTTTGTTAGGGAGATGGATGGAAGAGTGGAGAAGCTCACTCGTTTTTTACGTCCCTGACTGCTTGCTGGAGTGGTACACTGAAAATGTAATAGCCAGATAGTATACCAACCGTACTGGCGACGAGAATTGGTGCGACTTTTCCTCGCATGAACGTTATCAATCAACCACGAAGATTAAACGATAAAAATGCATATAGCTATACAATTACTGATAGCTATCGTAATATCAGAATTTATCGCGATCGTACCACAAGATGTTGTACAGTCGTTGGTTAGTGTGGCATACTTGGTGATATTCTTAGCTAACTTTATGCAGGTGGAAAGCATCTACAACTTCACATTCAACAGATCACATTTGAATAATCAGCGCCAGTTAAGAAAGGACATAATGAAGACTAAGAAGGACCTCACGAGCACGTCTTCACAGGATGAGTTCTCCAAGTGGGCCAAACTCAAACGTAGACATGACAAGCTACTCAAAGAACACGAGGATAATAAGCAAACTAACACCAAAGCGCAAGTATTGATAAAACCATTCGTAAAGGTCGTCATGTTCGCCATACCTTCAATTCTACAATTTGGAGTAACTATTGCGAATGGAAAGCGCACTATTATACATCTTCCACCTCAGAATTGGTTTGGTAGCGTACTTGGTTTAGTCTTTTGTCTCCCCTTTAGTCCGAGAGGCACTATATCTGCTACTATCTACGGCATGGTCGTTAAGAGGGTATTGAAATTGCTCAAACAATTCAAACAAGATTTAGGTATTATATTATTTGGCGTTAGTCAACCAGAAGTGAAGAAACAAAAAGGGAATGTAAGTGAAGACAAGAAGCAGGATGCTAGCCATACCAAGACACCACTCAAAGCAGAGTAAATGTAGTAATAATGTTATATAAATTAAATCATTTTAGAAACCTGCTGCTGATCTCAGACTTTCAATCTTTTTGAGTACTTCTCCAGATGTTCTATCCAATTCGTTCGCAATTGCTTGCTGCTTAGTCACAGGTAGACTTGCGTAAAGTTCACATAAGTCTCCATCAACGAAAGCTTTGCATGGAATGTAATAACTTCTAAATCCGAGATGATCCCTTCCAACTAAACTAGGTGACTCTTGACGCATATGCAACTAAGTGATGTTAGTGTGATACGAAAGAAATGGAAGACTACTTACTTCTAACGTTGACATAAATTCAATATCGTCCTTGCTAGCGAATGGTATTATCATTCCAACAGTACCGTGTAAACATGTATATACGAGAACATCTCTACCACCAGCACTCAATTGTGATTTTGTTATGCTTGTAACGATATCACCAACGTAGAAGTGTGCAAGCAATTTAGACCTATTTGGTGCACCGTGATATAAACCTCTTGCATGAAGAAGACCACCACCACTTTCGTCTTCGTCTACCCATTCAGATGTCGATTTGTCAACACGTGTAATGAAAATATTACCAAATTTATCTCCACCTGCAACGGTATCGTAGTCAACAGGTGTTGCAGTTGTCGTCCATCTTGACATAATGTCATCAGCGAAAACTAATAATCTGTTTTCCGGTGCTTTGTAAACCGCAAATGACACCGATTCTTGCATGTCTCCGACGTATATTCTTGACCCAACTACATTCAAATTGACAATACCTGCTGCAAATGACTTATTCTCGCATTTACGGAGTAGTCTCTTTTTACCGAGATCGTACAACCGCAAAGCCTTGCCGACACCCGCCAACAGGCGGCCCTTGAATGCGTGAATTGCGTAAGGAACATCGTCAATATCAGTCTATAAATAATGTTAGGGGTGTATATTATGTATTATAATCATAGCCTACCTTATGGAGCAACTCCAGTTGGCTATCTTGGGTAACTTTGTATACTCTTAAATATGCTTCTTTGTGTGATTGAGGCATCATCATACGATCTTTGGCTGTACCGACAACAAGATGGGTTTCATCTTCGTGCCCAGCCCATTGTACAAATGCCGCACTGAATGCTGCTTCATTATTGTCCAATTCTACTTTATTGACAGTCGTAAGTGTGACTGGATCAATCATTCTCACGCAACTTGCCCAATTTCCAGCTTCCATGCGGACATTACCAAATTGAACGGCGTCAAAGTTGTGCTCCTCTGGATTGTATCCTTTACTAGTGAGCAATTCAGCTTGTCTTTCTCTGCTAATTGTACGATGATCACTTTCAATCGTCAAGAAGAGTGGGGCAGTAGGATGCAAGAGTATTTTTCTAGGTGTGTACGATAATGCAACGCTGTCTTGTTTCATCCTCTGACCGACATTAGGTAATGTGAATATTCTCAACACTGTATCGCTAATACCGATCAATCCATCAGGGCAAAGTTCTGCATTGAATGAGCTGACTTGATCTAAGGGTTCATAAAGGAGTGGTGTAAAGTACATTTGATCACCATGGGCGTAGTTCAAGAAGGTTCTAGTTGATAACGCCATGACAGCTTGTTGTTTATCAACCGTGACTCTACGCAAAACTACTGGCTTTGCTCCCAAGAAACGTGTTCTCGTGTCTGCCAAGCTACCATTTACGGTGTCTAAAACTGTACGCAAGAGAACACCATTCGCTAAACCGATATTGACGAACAAGGTTGGATTATACTTGTCTAGACTCTTATCGAGGATTTCAGCAACACATATTGATGATGGCTGAGCTGTTACTGCTTGAACAGACACCACTTCAAGCGTATTTTCAGGATCGAGTGATACTATTCTAATAGTTTGGTCATCACATCCCAACGCGAGGTATGGACAACGTTGCCTGCCTTGTGGAACCTCTCCTATTGACATCGTTGTAACTGTTGATTCCATACTCTTACGTTCTTGGAACTCATTAAGCTGCCCTTCATTGTCCATTTCAAAGTATACTAATTCACCGTTTGATAAAGCAACACATACTTGACGTGAATTTGTTGTTGACGCTGTAATATATGTATCTGATGGTGACTTCCACTCATTCACACGTTTGTCATTAAGAATGTGCCTTATGCCTTGAGGGAAGACTTGGATCATGCTGTCTTCACCGAGTTGATCAACTGAGAGTGTAGAAACTGATGTGGCCAAACCGGTATCAGATACTTCCTCGATTGATTCCCCTATACCTAAAACTAATGTACCGTTGACGAAAGAGAGTACAATCAATGAATCGTACATATCTTGAGCGTTCTGCTTTAGTGTCCAGATACCGTTAGGTGGTGCAGGCAGTTCAGAGCTAACAGCCTCAATTACGTCCAAACCATGCCTCATCACTCGTAAACTAGAGCGTGAGCCAACACCAGATGCTGTATATATTTGTGGTGTATCACCTGCATATATAGATTGCACTTTGGCATCAAGTATTGGAGCAAGAGACTGAATTTCATCAACTGGAACCAAATTATCAAGCCCACGTGGTGTAAAGTAAGCTGATTCTATTGGTAATGGGTTCTCCAATGATGGCATACCATTATTTTCGTAACTTGAGGAAGAATATTCCAGTTCGTTGTCATCGTCACCGAGCTTTTGGAATTGATAGAGATTATGGTTTGAGAATTCACTAGATGCAAATAAATAACCGGATTTAAGAATGTTGATTGAGTTAGATGGTGGAATTGTATCAAAGTATTTTATGCGTAAACTAATAACGTCTTCACCGTTAAGCTCCATTGTCAATTTGAACAAATCACCTTGTTCAGATTGCAAAAGAAAGAAGAATGCACCCTGAGATGATATTAGAGAAGGTAACACGTGTGAGCAATCTAACTCACCTTCATCTTATGAAGAACTGCTGATATGATAATGGTGCCGTCAGATGTATTGTTTTCTAATGGGTGGCTTCTCTTTGGAATTGGAACTCTATGAGATTCTGATTCTGGTCTATACCAAATGAGATAATCGACGGTGCAAATAAGAACACCAGAAGGACCATCAAATGTATCTGTAGATGCTGATTGGCCACCAGGCACTTGTATAAGCATGTTAGCTTTAGGATCGGTAGGTTCTGACCATTTTTTGACGACATGATTGAGACCTAAGTCAAGTTCATAAAAGGTAATCAGCTTATTGCTATTTATGAGAGCTTCTCCAGTTGGATCCTGATCTATTTCCTCATAGTCAGTCTCCAATGCAGCGAATTGAGGATTCTCGTAACCAGTGTCGACAGCGGTGATATGATGGGTGATTGAATTGTTTCTATTAGCTTCCAAGGGTGAGGATATGGTGAGATTTGCTTGATTATCTCTGTTAAGGATGTATACCAACTTGGACTTGTCGAGTGAGGCAATCATGAGTGATCTGCCTTTTGGATCGCATGTAAGGAATTGACCTGGTATTATTCTCCTAACACCAGTTTTACCATAGGTTTCAGAGTGTAAAACGACGAGTTTGTCGCCCACTAATTCCAAAACTGTGAGTTTACCAGAATCTGAGGATACAACGATGAAATCCTTTTTTGAACCAGTTAACTTGAATGCTTTTATTGATCTAATTATACTAAATAACCTGCTACTGGCTATCAATTCTAGTTTGATAGTCTCAAGGTTCAACCTGTAGATCTCGAGGATATTTGACTTGTTAACAGCGATCTCTTGTGATTTCGTGCCGCTAAACTGACCAACTATGGACTCATTTATATTCTGAGGATCCTCTAGGGTGAGATTGTAAAGATGAAGGGACATGAGATGGTAGTGAGGAGCTAAGAGATAATAAGAGGCTCACAGAGGCTATTATTAGAGACTATAGAGATGCTCAAATGTTGTGTTATAGGACACAGCGCATAGCTCTTGGGCAGAAGACCCGTATAGCTGGGGATAACAAGCAGATGAACAGAGATATAGGGAGATGCGAGGAGATAACAACGATAACAAGCTAATAAATAAATAAAATTATACATTCGGCTTTATTCATATGCTGTAACTAAGTTTAATACGTAAACACACCTTAGACTGCTACAGCCAGGATAAATCGCAGCGATGGCGGATGATAGCGAGAAAGCTATTAGAAAGGGTGAGTATTAATTTAATAAAACCTCTTTATTATCCCTTGGCCGATCTTTTGATAGATTCATACCTCTAATCTTTAAAGCCATTCTCTATTGACGCGTTACTGACATCAATACAGCCAGGAGAGCAGTAGTAATGTCTTCAGATCTGGCTTCAAATTTAAGCCCTTCACAAAGCAGCTTAGCTCAATCTGCGCAGGCTGCCTTTGCTTTCGATGGAAATCCGAGCTACTACAACAGCATCACAGATTTAGCCTCACTTTCTGAGAGCATTAATGAATACGAAAGAGAAAAAGACGTACAATCGCCTGAAGAGACTCACGAAATTAATGACTTTAGCCCTCCAGTGCCGGCGTCTTCCAACTCGGACCGTCAGTCGGAAATCAGTATAGAGAGTACCACAGATGAGGAAGACGACAATTTATTCGATTCTTCCACATTACGTAACGCTTACAACAACTATATTGAACAAGGTAGCACGCTCCAGCCTTCACCGAGCAAGGCACTCAGTTCAGTCGACGACGGCACCCACTTGACTGTCAGAGAAACTAACGCGAACCTCGAAGAAGTTAAAGTACCAGAGAATGTCACACACGTTATGATAGGGAATACCGCAACGCCCGAACTCGCACCAAGTTTCCTGCGCACCCTCTTTAACAACAACTATGAGAGTCTTTTGGTGCTCGATATTCCAGATTGTGGTATTACCACACTCGGCGACGAGTTGTCCCAGCTCACAAAGCTCGAGGAGCTGAACGTCTCAAATAACTTGTTCACGGGATCAACACTCCCAGCCATCATATCTACACTTGGGAGCAATCTGCGCCTACTCAAAGCCGACAATTGTGGTCTTATTACACTTCCTAGAGAGCTTACTAGAATGACTGGTGCGTGTTTATCTAGACGTCGGAAATCTCGCTAACAAAATCAGGTTTAAATACTCTATCTTTGCGGAATAACAGAATGCCAAATCTTCCAGCTTGGCTTTGTATGCTGCCTAATTTGGAGTTGCTTCTAGTCGATGATAATTCATTTAGCGCGCCTTGGAAACCGATTATTTCCCCAATTCTCTCGAGTACAATTAGAGATAAGTCCAGCAATCCCCCGACACCAAGGATAGGATACACCGGTAACGGTCTTCTTACTCCTCAGCAAAGATCACTCACTACGGATGCGGGTTCGATTAGCTCCCGTCCAAATACTCCAGACACAATGAGAAGAATGAAATCAACGACTGATTTGTCTAGTAATACTCCGAAACCACCGGATAGGCTTACTAGCTTGTACGGTACACCTAATGATGTTTCAAATAATACTTTAGCGCCCCAAAGCGCAGCCGATAATCAGTCAACTTTAAACAGGAAATGGGGAATTTTCAAGAAGATGTCAATAAATAGACTTAGGAGTGCTTCAAATGTTGCTCTTAGAAGCACATATTCAAGCCATCAAAGTAATCCACCAAGTGCTGTTATGAATAGCAGCGCTTCTACAATTAATGTCACTAGTCTAAATCGGCAATCATCACCTAACCCTGGCTCAATTGCTGAAAGTAGCGCATCATCCAAGGCTACAAAGAGAAGATCATTTTTGCCTTTGAATAATGCCAATGGATTGGGATTGAGTACATCACCAACGACTAATACATTTAATGAAAATGAGGAAGATGAAAGCAAACAAAATGACTGGTTGAACAGCCCAACAGATGGTCAAGATAGAAGAGAAGAAGAGTACGCGAGAGGATTCAGATTTGTTATGAATTACCTCAGAGATCTGTTCGATTTGGGTGTTGACGCTGAAGAAGAGATGGAATATGAAAGTGATCCATCATACGTTGCCCTTCCATTAAATAGAGACTCAGCGAAGTTTTCAACACTTTCGCAAACATTGGGTCCGCCAACAAATACTACTCACTCGAATAACCCTCAAAATGCTCCCACACATGTACAATTGATGGGAAGACAGACTACGACAGACTCATCAATGATTTCGAGACAACCGTCTGAGTCATCATGGTCACAATCTAATAGAACAACAATGTCTTCTATTGACGATAAGTCAAGTCTTTCAATTAAAGAGAAAGAGCCACCTCTACCAGCCATTCCAGCAGTTCATGGGAAGGCTGATCCAAAACGTCAATATCACGTCATAAGAGAAATTATAGAAACAGAACGCACCTATGTTAAAGGTCTACAAGAATTGGTTGACATTTATGTCATTCCATCAGAATCTGAAATCTCTCTCGCTGAACGCAAGAGAGTTTACATGGGTGTTGAAGGATTACTTGCATTCCACAAAGATTCTATGCTTCCTTCATTAGAGCAGGCTCTTTATTCACCAGCTGACGAGATTGTGGTGAACGTAGCCAAGATTTTCATTCGTCATGCAGCTTTCCTCAAAATTTACAATATATATATTAACGAATTTGATTACGCTCAGAACAGAGCTAAGTGGTGGATGGAGAAGGATCCTTATAACTCACCGCTTAGTCCGAAGAGCCCAGGTGTTGGTTCATTGTCGTCGCCAACATTGTCTAGTTTGACCGTCAGCAGTGGTCCTAGTGGAATGAACATTGCATTGCCAGCTAGTAAGCAGCCATACGCTTATCCACCATTGAGCACGAAAGAGAGGAAGAAGATTAGACAATTTTGCAAAGCTGCGAGGAAGAATCCACTCCACACGCAGATGAATCTCGAAAGCTATCTTTTATTGCCAATTCAGCGTATACCGCGTTACAGAATGCTGGTGAGTATTTTTCTTTTTTGGAGTCGGTTAATTTTTTGCTTACAATTTAACAGCTTGAAGAGTGTTTGAAGTACACGACTCACAGACATCAAGTGGAGCCTCTCATACAGGCACTCGATCACATTGCGAACATCGCAATTGACATGAACGAATCAAAGCGTGATGCTGAAGGACGTTTCCGCTTGGTTAAATGGCAATCACGTATCCGTGGAAAATTCCCATCACCCCTCGTACAACCACACCGTCGCTTACTTTTAGATGGTGGATTGCGTTTGCTGAAGGTAGTTAAGAAGCTCGAGTATCAAACTGAAGTAGCACCAGTTACGGAGGATGAAGAAACAAAACATATGCAGGTTGTGGCACTCCATCAAGATACCGCACCATCTAGACCATTAATTGGTCTCCTGTGCACCGATCTTATGGTGCTCTGCAAAGATCTCTCTAATGGCAGCGATCCTGATTGTCCTGTTGACCTTTACGCTGTGTTGAGGATACAAAACGCAGCACACCCTGCCGTTGTACATGGTAGTACTATCCGTCTTGTTGATCATCGTGCTATCCTTTATCTCGATTGTGAAGACGTCTCCACCGCGCTCACATGGGCTCAGGCAATCAATCAGGATATGTCAGCAACATGGTAAACCAACATACATTCTAGGCAACACTCTTTAGTTTCTTATGGAGTTTTTAAACTTGCTAATTGAACTGTTTTTTGACATGAAATTTTTAACAACTTTATCTTGTAGTTATACCACATTCGCTTTCAGTACTGTATTAAGATTACTTTTTTACTTTAAAAACATATATAATTCTACAAGAAAAGTTTATTTTCGAAATTGTTCATACTGATGATCCTTGAGGTATAGCCTCTCCTTGAGCGATCATTTTGTATTTACCGCTTCTCCAACCGACGTTGCTTCCGAATACACCCATGAGGTAGATTGGGAAAGCCAGTAGCTCTCTTAAGCACCAAAAAGCGATAAATTGTGGTAAAGAATTACCAATTGGTGAGATATAATGAGGTGAGGCATATTTATAGGTATTTATGATAGCCAAATCGACACCTAGCCATCCAGCAAATAGCGGGAAAGCAAGTAATTCTAGGTATCTCGCTCCAGTGAGGTTCTTCAAGGACCATATAATGAGTGGGATGAGTGTAACACTCTCAGTTAATGGTTCTAAGATGGTTGCGAGCCATACCATGTACTTCCTCACTCTAATCCAACGGACACGTCTATCTATGTATTGTCTTAAAGACATATCACCGAGGTTTGTACCGACGATGTCGTCAGTGATAGCATGATCGAGACCCAAATCATGCCATATTGCACGTGCTATCATGTTATCTTCAGCAAGATACCTTGAGAATGCCTCTATGCTGCCTTGAGGTTCCTGAACGGACTTGCTTGTCTTACTTGGTACTTCGAGTCTCTCGACGTCGCTACGTCTATACATATTACTCTTACCCATAACGCAGCTGTCGATAGCGAGCTCGTTTATAGCTGTATACATCTTGAAGTGCACAGTATTCACGAAAACGCGCTCGACTTGGGCACCAATATCTAAAGAAGGATGTACAGCCATTGGTATGTGGTGTACTAGTCCAACACGTTTACCACGCCTTGAAGGACGTTGGAGAGCATCGACTGAGCGTGCACAGACTCCACTATTAAGTTGTACGTTACTATCAACAATCCAGAGGATATCATTGTGTGCACCATAGAATGCCTTGATCAGGTTATTGACTTTCGGATTAACGCCGCTGAGAGTCTCACCAACTAAAATGCGTGATGGTACATCTGGGTATTTCGATATTAACTTCTCAGCTATTTCTATAGAAGGATCACTATCTGAAGCAACTGCGAATATAATTTCCAAATTAGAGTAATCTTGTTGAAATCCGCTTTCTAGATTTGCGTATAGATTTGGATCAAGACCCTTGAGTGGACGTATGAGTGTTACGCCGGGTACACGCTCCCTCGGGAGTGATGATAGCGGTGAACGTGCGAGTACTTTGTATTTCCGTTTGCTTTTGCTTCATTAGATATTACACTTTCAATAGAAGGAAACTCACGTTGTCCTATAACCAAAATAGAAGACACCGCAGAGGACGACGGACCAGCCGAGAATTCCAACAGCGAGAACTTTGAGTATGCTTTAGTATATGTATAGGTGCTATTAAACTACTCACCTCGCCCTGCAAGCCGTAGGAGACCCATCTCGGAAAAAAGGTGATGGGAGTAGCGAAGAAAAGGAATTAATGTGGATACCATGATGTAGATGATTGTAATCATATTTATATGCTACTCTAGATTCAATAAAATACTTTCACTATCAGCTCACACCTTCGATCTCTTCCTCCAACATCAAAATGAACTTCTTGAGGAATATAAGCACAAATCTACGTACAAACGCAGTAAAATCGATGAGAACATACTCCACTCAACCTAGAATCAGCCTCGCAAACCTCATAAACAGCGGTAGCAAGCCGAACAGCCAAGATCCACTCACTGGTACGAGAGCACTCACACCAGAGGAGATATGGGCACAGGCACACCAACAGCGTATGCGTACACTCGCTCAGGAGCAGCCATTGTCTCTCTACGCTGGACGCACCGTCGTCGTTGGAAAATACGACAAAAACAGCGCAACTTCACAAGTAGAGAGAGCATGGAAGAGATTGAATGGTACATTAGCCAGAAATGAAGTGAGAAGAGACCTCATGCTCCGTGATCGCTATGAGAGACCGCATCAGATGCGCAGAAGACTGAAGAGTGAGAGGTGAGAAGACTGTCGTGTTTCTAATGACACATACTAACTATATGCAGACATAGAAGGCGATTCGCTGAGTACATCAGACAGAAAGTCAGTCTCGTACATAGCATCAGAAGACGCAACGAGATGTTAAAGAAGTAGGAGTTATTTTGTAGCTGGATTTCTTGTATCAGATAATAGAAAGTATTTATATTACAAACAGTGTGCTCGGAGAGTAAAATCTTTGGGAACTACAGAAATAAGGAATGTAAAATATTATAGACGATCTCACTATTAAAATAATAGTAAATTTACTTTAAAACGTCTATTGATTTTTCACTGACTGTAAATTTGGTGAGCCACCAATCATACTCTTTTTATAAGACGGTCTGGTCGAGATCACATAAATTTAAAAATGCTTAGAAGCGCAATCACAAGGAGTCAGCTAAGCAGAGTAGCAAAAAGCTCTCATAGATCCCTCTCTAGTTCTGCCTTTAGAAATGCAGAGACAGCCCCAATGATCAAACTCACCGTAGACGGTAAAGAAGTGCGTATTCGAGTTTATTGCTGTATTATACGCTAAACGTTATACCACAGGTCGAAGTTCCACAGGGTACTGCCCTCATTCAAGCTTGTGAACTCGCTGGTAAGTACAGGTGCAGGTATCAGCCTACAACAGCGCTCACGCGCCATAGGCGCCACTATTCCACGTTTCTGCTACCACGACCGCCTTGCAATTGCTGGAAACTGCAGGTTAGTCTCAGCCAATCAGAGTGTCGATATACTAAGTCCTATATAGAATGTGTCTCGTTGAAGTTGAACGTGCTCCAAAGCCAGTAGCAAGTTGCGCTATGCCAGCTATGCCAGGCTCTAACGTATTCACCAACTCTGAGCGTACAAACAAGGCTAGAGAAGGTGTCATGGAATTCCTTTTAGCTAACCACCCACTCGATTGTCCAATTTGTGACCAAGGTGGTGAGTAAATTTCTCTCTGCGCCTTATTTACTCTAACTTTTACAGGTGAATGTGATTTACAAGATCAATCGATGCGTTACGGTTCAGACCGTTCCAGATTTTTTGAAGTTACAGGAAAGCGTGCAGTAGAAAACAAGGATTTCGGTCCACTTGTTAAGACCTCCATGAACCGCTGCATTCAATGTACAAGATGTGTTAGATTCGCCAACGAAGTTGCTGGTGTTGAGGAATTAGGTACAACAGGACGTGGAAATGACTTAGAAATCGGTACATACGTACAAAAGACCCTCGACAGTGAACTGTCAGGTAACATTGTCGATTTATGTCCAGTTGGTGCACTCACTTCAAAGCCATACGCTTTCACCGCCAGACCATGGGAATTGAAGACTACTGAGACTGTAGATGCTTTAGACGCAGTCGGTTCTAACATCAGAGTCGACTCAAGAGGACACGAAGTTATGCGTGTACAACCACGTGTCAACGACGATGTCAACGAGGAGTGGATCAGTGACAGAACCCGTTACGCATGCGACGGTTTGAAGTACCAAAGATTAACAAACCCACTCATTAGAGTCGGTGATAGATTCCAAGCTGCTTCATGGCCGGATGCCTTAGCTACCGTTGCCGACAGTCTTAAGAAGTCTGGTGCAAAGGGTGACGAGATCCAAGCTATTGCTGGTTCACTCGCTGACACTGAATCACTCGTCGCTTTGAAGGATCTTCTTAACAAGTTAGGCTCAGAAAACACCGCTCTCGAAACCAAGAGAGGTAACGCACCACCAGTTCACGGTGTTGACCACCGTTCAAACTACCTCTTCAACGTCACTATTCCAGGTTCAGAAGATGCAGATGCAGTTCTCTTCATTGGTACTAACCCACGTCACGAAGCTGCCGTCATTAACTCACGTTTCCGTAAATCATACTTGCACAATGGCACTGACTTTGGTGTCATTGGTGATAAATTTGACGCCATCTACGACTACGAACATATCGGTGTTGACGCAAAGACCGTTGGCGACTTCCTTTCTGGTGGTGTCAAGTCACCATTCGCTGAGAAGTTCAAGAACGCAAAGAAACCATTGATCGTCGTTGGTTCAGCCGTCGCTGAACACCAAGATGCTGAATCTGTCTACGCTGCTATTGCCAAGCACGTTGAAACCAACAAGGAAAGATTCTTGACTGAGGAATGGAACGGTTTCTCTACTTTGCAAAGAGTAAGTGTTTTTCTCATAAAAAAAATCCTCACTAACATGCGCTAGGCTGCTTCACGTACCGCTGCTTATGACGTTGGTTTCGTTCCATCACATCAAGCACAATCAACAAAAGCCAAGTTTATCTACTTGCTCAATGCAGATGACTTTGACCCAGATGTAATCCCACGTGATGCTTTCGTCGTCTACCAAGGACACCATGGTGATGTTGGTGCACAATACGCTGATGTCGTCTTACCAGGTGTTGCATACACTGAAAAGGGCACAACCTGGATCAACACTGAAGGTAGAGCACAATTGGGTAGAGCAGCTATCTCAGCACCAGGTGCATCGAGAGAAGACTGGAAGGTCATTAAGGCATTGTCAGAACTCATCGGCAAGCCACTTCCATATGAGGATATTGTCGCTATTAGAGACAGACTCTGGGAAATTTCACCTGCATTAACAAGATATGATGAGTTGGAAGCACCATCAAGTGTATCAGTAGGATTAGGATTGGCGGAGTTGGTCAAGAACGGTCAAGCTACCACTTCAACTACACCATTCCAAAAGCCATTTGAGAACTTCTACCAAACTGATCCAGTTTCAAGGGCGTCTGTCACCATGGCAAACTGTGTTAAGTCATTTGTTAAAGGCCAAAATAGCGAGGAGACATCAATCCCAGTTGGCAAGGATGAACAACAAAAGCAATCAAAACATGCTTAAATTCTAGAAGAAAAAAAATAAAACAAGATGGCATTCAAGAGACACAACTAATCCACTCACACTTTCTCTTTACTTTTTATTAGATGAATTTGACTTGGATAAATTCCTATATCCTAATTGTAAATTTAACGCAATCTCATTACTATTTAAAAACAAAGTCTGTAGATAACTATATAGTAACTATCTAATAGCTATCTAATGATTGACCAGTCTTCTTCCTTCACTACAATCAGGATGCTTAGTAGGGTATTTAGCAGAACGACGTTGAATGCGTTAAGAATGCACAACCAGCGCAGTATACAAACTAAATCTAATCTTTTACCTATTGTCAATCCTACAAGAGCTACTGCAGTAGCTACACCATCCCAATCACAATCACAAGGAATGAAAGTTAGATCCTCAGTCAAGAAAATGTGCGACGGCTGCTCAATAGTAAGAAGAAAAGCTAGACTTTATGTAATTTGCTCGAAAGATCCAAAGCACAAGCAGGTGAGTATGCTTTTGTATCAAAAAGATAATTACTAAGACTGAATAGCGTCAAGGATAAAAGATAATGTACAATAATTTGTAATAGAATGCATTTTTTACTCTATTTTAAACCAAACTTCTTCCTTTACCGTCATTTATGAGTTTCTTCAATAAACTGAAAGGTGGCGAATCTAGCAGCAAGACAGCGCCATCTGATGATAGCCAATCGTCTTGGTTTTCATCCATCTCCTCTAAGTTCGGTGTGTAATCTTCTACGATAAGATAGCATTCCTAATCAAACGATAGGAGGCGGTTCAGATGATAGCAAATCATCTTATAAATCTACCAAAGCAGTCGATAAAAGCGAGAAACGTCGCCAGGCATGGCGACAATCCGATAGAGATCTCTGGGCTGATGAGGAGGACGACGTTGAGGATCCAAAGTTAAAGCAGTATTACAAATATAAGAAAGATCGCGCGAAGGAGAGAGATGCAAATGAGAATAGTATCTTTACTCAAGTACAGCGGGCGTTCAGTACGTCAGATTATCTATGCCAAGTCTTGTCCTTTGCTAAATATATCATACAGATGAACGTGGAGAAGTACTCACGCAGGTGTGTTATAGGGTTTTATACGTTCTACAGTCTTAATACCAGGCAGGTCGAAGAACAATTTCACAATATGGCTTCAAATGCTTCAAAAATGGCTGGAGAGGTGGGTTTTACCTTAATTATTGACTTCAACACATCTAATAATATACTCAGGCTCAAAACACAGCTGCCAAAGGTTTGTTTCACTTACTCATTTTGTTTTTGCTCACAGGAACGCCTAGAATCTGCTAAGAAGGTAAGTATCTACTCAGTTAATAAGCTTATTTGACATCTTTAGACACTCGGTAGTTGGTTCTAATAGCATTTTGTCATATATCATCACCTTTTTCATATCAATAATCAATTTCAACCATCACTTTAGTCAATTAGTGTTGTTGTCCTCAGTAGTCTGCATATGCGAGTATGAATTAGTCTACCACCTCTATATTATCAACGTAAACTCCTTAGCAATACCACCACTGATGTCTTCCAACCTTGTATGTCAAAAAACTATTATCTTCTAAGTATCGAATGAGAATATGTCATCTACACACAACATGTACTAATGCAAAAATAACTTCAGCATAAAATCATTTTAATGTAAAAATGATTAAAAATATATACCAATTGACCGATGAGAGATTCGAACTCCCGGCCTTCAGATTTGGAATCTGCTGCGCTACCACTGCGCCAATCAGCCGTTGTGCTTAGTTTATTTTTCGATGATTAGTATTCAATTTTGCGGAATAACCGTTTTAAATCTACTCTTGTGGCGAATTTAATATGAATCTACATAGTTCCATCTGGGACTTTCAATCAGAATTGGCGATACTTGGGCATGATATCGTGATTGATGGTCTGGGATACACTTTCTGGATATACTTGACCAATTAGCCTCACACCTGACCGAAACTAGTACGACCGCCCTAGATTTTGTGTCCCGCAGCTTCGGCTAACGCACCACTTTAAAAGTTGATGGACCGATTGAGCTTTTTGGCCTATGAGTCACAAATGACGAACTATACTAAAGACCCACATGCCTGGAGACGTTTCAGCTACAAGAATAGCACGAATTGTATATAAAACAACAATAATAACCGCTAAAACAAAATGTTGGACCAACTTGCCCTAAAATTTCAAACCAAATGAAGTTCATAAAGCCACCAGGTACGTAAAGAATGAAGACATTCCATCGCTTTTTATACCCCACTCTTAAAGAAGATAAGCGCCTCACGAATGGCCCGGAAGAGCAGGCTCAACCGCTGTTACTGAAACCGCCATGGTAAAGAGACTACGATATTAATTAGACACCGGAAAGTTGATCCCTAGTACATACTTTGGCTATAGGAAAGGCTCGGGTAGAGACGTATTCTACGTCACTGAATCTATGCAAATGCTTTGAAGCAGAAGGTAGTACTCGCTGGCCTAGACGCACACGGATCTTTCAAAAATGTCATGCATGAAACGCTTCTCGATAAATGCAGGATGGTCGGACTATCAACATATCTCAAGAGATCGATAGCATGCCTTTGGGGACGAAGAATATGCTTCAATTATCCAATTACAGTTCTTTGACTTTTACACTTAGCAAAGGCTCCCCACTAGGTCCTCAGTAAGCGGGCCGTTGTGTTTGATATACAACAGTACACTTTATGAGTTTCTCAGACCGCAATTGACTATGTGCTCAAGATACCCTGGTCGTTCGTCATAACAGAGAACAATCGAAAAAACGTAAATCATCAGGACACTTTACGACATTAATCACGAAACGCTTCAAGCCAATTTAACGCGACATTCAGACCTTCATACTATAAGGAGTATTGATGGATGTAGTTAAACTCTGTATCGTCTTGATATGTTTAGATTTCGTCATCATTATCCTTGGATACGAAAGTGATAATAAAAAACATTGCGGCGCAGTAGTGGTAAGGGTTCATACTTTCATGGGGATTAAACGATAAATTTCATTATTATTTATACACCAAACATTCTGAAATTTAATTGAATCGAACCTTTACAGTGAAATTTTTCAAAGATGATTTAATTTTGGATACCTTTATTTCTTATATAGAAAAACATTTATCAAGTTTCGTTTAATATATACCATTATGACATCGATACAAGATATAGCTAAAGTTCTAAATCACAATGACAGAGCAGGTATTATACGTCTATTAGGAGTAAGACCTGAATATGACTACAGAAATATCCCTGAAGTCTTAATTGGAGATCCTGATGATGATCTTTGGGTAAAATATGGACACTCTGAAGGAGGTGTTCCTGCAGTAGCGATAGAGAAAGGATGGCATTATAAAGGTTATGAAGGAAATTGGAATTGGAGTGATAGCGTCTTTGAATTTACGTCAAACACTATGGGGGACAGTGACTGGGATTCGATAGATGATGCTCTAGGAAGTTGGGGTTACTTCCGCACTGATTAAATTTGTTATTAGCTTTGGTAGAACAAGCCAATGCCTTTCTTATCCTATTTTACAAGAATGTAGTAATTTCCATTCACCAGAACAAACGATATAATTCTTTATAAGAAACAAAACAAAACGACCAGTAACTATAATGATAAAATTCTTCTTTATGAAGATAAATGTATTAAATTAAAAAAGAACTTATTGTAAAAGGTTTGATTCCTTAACCTGTGCCTTTCGTGTGGGCAATTAGAACTCAGGATACTGGTGTATACATGTTAAACACGTTATATTTTGATCATGTAAGTTGGCGGTTTTGTACAATTTCATCCGTTCCTCGTTGCCCTCATGTCCGTATTGCATCTCAGAGTTTCTAATATTGTGTTCGTACCTAGTCTCTAAATGACACTGTATGTTCAGCACCTGTATCCGAGTTTAGCTTTAGAACTGATATATGACATAGCTCACTAATAACCTAACTACTGAAAATAAATTCAGACGCATGATGTGCTTTTTTTAAACGTAGTCTATGACGTTTATATTTCAAATGAAGGTATGTGCGCGCTGTTATACCTAAGGAATTATGTTCTACAATGTATCAACAATGCCTATACGTTGTTAAGAAACATAGATGCATTTTACTAATAATTAATCTCTTTCATTACGCTTAGTTGAGATGTTTGTGAATGCAAGGTTAGCTCAACGTTTATATATCTACTTCTACAGTTATGACGGTGCAACGAATAATTGACTCTAATATGAAGACTCGGATAGTGATTTTTGGATATTTACACTAAGTGTTAAACGGAAGACACCAAAAATTAACTATCATCATCAAATTTGGAAGTATGTGTGTTCGACAATCAGGAACAGTAGTCCAATACTAAGACTTATTATGCATTACACCACTACACATCGATCGTCTTCAACAAACCAACCAAAGGAATCTCATTGGCACCTAACCTATGGCAGCGAAATGGAATAGTGATAGTAACGAGGAATATCACTATGTTAAAATGAAGAATAAAAATGACACCATGAAACAATGAACAATGTTGAGAAGGTGTATTGAGATAATTAGAACCGTACAATATATATTTATAAATATCTATCTTCTTATCATTTTTAACACCATAGTCTTTATTAAACGAATAAACACATCCTCCTATCTTGTATACAACGAACTCGCATCTTAACTTTGGGTGATCAAAGAGGTTTAGTTTAATGGCTACTTACTATCTTTTGTTTGACAGGCTTTCTTATTTGAAAACATAGTAGAATGACATATACTAATATTTGGGCGCTGACTAAAACTCACAAACTGTGGTAATTAATCAGTAAAACATTATTTAGAGTTAGATAATTACAATAATGTAGCTTCAATCATCAATAGCAACATTTGACAGATAGTGATAGGGGTAAGTAAATAACGGAACTGAGATTAGATTAAATCTTTTGCAAACCAGATGCAACACTTTTACAGATGTTTCTATATACTGTGAAGTTTCGCACTCATTGTTCCCAAGTTATATCATTCGATAGTTCATCTTAGACATACTATATTGCCCGTATGATGTATCATCATAATCAATTTACAAACTATAAGATATAGAAGTAAGTTAATTTTATCATTTAATTAGTCTAAACGACTGCTAACCTACGATAAGAGTGATTTCAACGCTGATGAAATGAAAAACAGGATGGCAGAGGTGTTGTTGTAATAAATATAAGCTGCTAACTCAGAAACAAGTAAACTGTATGAATTAGTACATCAATATAAATTATAAGTAAATGTTTTAATATCGTAAAAATTTGTTTGGAAGTCTCGTCGATTGTGATCACAATGTTTATTGATAATTAATAGTTGGGTGTTTATAGAATAGTTTGATCTATCAGGGAAGTTAAATAAACATTCCAACGGATGGTGAATATATTAGACTATAAGTTCGTACCATATTCTTGCTTTTAAACAGTGATGACGTATCTATGACTTTTTCAATCTACCAGTTCGACACATGCCAATCTGATTATAGAGGTTTATTGGATATTTATAAGGCCTGATAATCGCCAGTGTATTCGCACTTTGATTCGCTATCATAACTGCAAGTAGAATGTCGTCAGTGATATTGAATGAAAGGTCTATCCATGGAGTAAACATCTGTTAAACAATTACCTTCTGAAGGTGCATTCGTTTTATATAATGCTTCTAGACGTAGGCGGGTGCTTCACGTTTGGTATCAGCACTATTTATTTATTCACGCATAGACGTATTGAATTCAAGGTGAAATGAAATGAACAATATAGAGTTGATAATAGATACTGCACATATGATGTGAGCAATACCCAGATGACAGTGATATCTGTTTGTATGCTCTTGTTTCAAGAATCCAAGGATCCTCCTCATACGTTATAGCAGATATATTGCTTGTTCGACGTAGTGGCCACTATCATATAGAATAGGCTAGGTTTCGATCATTCATTAGAGAACTTAATGTCAATACCTGGCCATATTGCTTTCGATGTGTTAGAGATCTACTCGAATGCCGTACACAGAAATGAAGTCTGACTAAATGATCGGTGCAATAGGCTCAAGGGGTAATAGGGTAACAACATCATATGAAAATTACAATTACTTGCTTGATAGCTGATGAAAAGCTGGGACTCTTACCCTATAATATGACTCATTTTTAGTATAAGCATGGTAAGAAAGCGACTCAAATGTCCTGATGCATTATTTAGAAACCAATAAGATTATATTAACATTGAATGGTAATTGACAAATGTAAGATTCCATTGGTCACAATCGACATCTCATTCATGTTGTCTACGGGCCTGAAGAATAAGATAACTATCACATGGTAATGTTCCACTTCAAATGAACCACTTCTACTTGGTATGTGAAGCTTTGCTCTCCAACTCATCTCTGACAAATTGATAGTACAATTTATGCATTCATTTTATATAATAATCACGTTTGAAATATGTTACAAATACTAACGAAGCACTCTTGGATTATTGTAGGATAATCACTGTTCTATTGGTGTTACCGCTGTGGTAGCCCCATAGATGCCTACCATCTCAGATCGCAGTGGACCACAGCCAGATCGAGTCTCAGCGAAGATGAGCAAATGCAGCATCAGCACATTCTTAAAGGATGAAATGCGCTCTGGAGTCACAGGATATTCAGAAGGCTGCGTCGATCTAGCCATTATCCGATCACTTCCCATTTTGGGACACTTTTTAGTTTAGATATCGATAGATATCAGATTATTTCAGCCTATTCAGTGTCTATAAATTGCTAATATTCTATATCTCTCATAGATATCGACTTCTGGTCTTTGTTCGACGTCTGTGGACCGCAGTTTGGCTCGACAAGCAGCAGGAAGTGGGCAATCCTTTGAAGGGTGGAATGCGCTTTAAAGAGCGCAGCTACATTCAAAGGACTAGTACTAATTCCAAGTGTTAGTTTCGATCTTAGGAATGCACTATTTTGACTATTTAAGGCGAGACTTTCATCTCTTACTTCTTCATCAACTACGACCAACATCTCTAGCTCAAACAATTACAGAGAGTTAGTTCTTTCATGCAAAAGCAAAAACAGTTGAAAGGTGGGTACATGTTGCACATCAACCTCACTGACGTCAGCTCATAAATAGCCATGCTTAGATCACTGCTTTTGGCGCAGTCGTCTTATTATTTCTGTTCATGCAGAGACTCGGGTGGAGTATACACTGTATCTTTTGCATGTCAGCTCCGTAGAATCTTTGTCAGAACGGGTTGAGTAGCCCGTACGCGCACGAGTATAGAGACTCCTGACAATGCTACTTCGTCCGTTTTCTAAAGTCACTGACGGTGTTTTCGCTACAGGTTATGTGTACTCTATTGCACGCTTCCTCGCGCTACTGTCAGAGAAGACGGTTGAGAGTCAGTCTAAGCATTGTGAATTACCGTTGGTTCACTGCTCACGCTGGAATAGAGAATATAGTTAATACTATTTGGCCTATCGTTCAAACCATTCGGATATAGCTGCTTGCAGCTGGTAGGATTTATGTCCCAGCGGTGAATCCGCCCCCATTCACTGTAGCCACGCTGGGATATTAAATAGAGCAGAACTACCATGGGAATATTTTCCTGTATTTTCGATTTAGCTGGAAACAGCTGGTGAGGACCATATCCCAGTGGTGAATTCGCCCAGATTCACTGCCCGCGCTGTTGGGATATAGAATAGAGTTTTTGACGCTCTTTGGCCTATCGTTCAAACCGTTCGAATATAGTTGCTTGCGGCTGGTAGGATTTATGTCCCAGCAGTGAATTTGCCCCGATTCACTGTAGCCATGTTGGGATATAAATAGAGCTGACTACCACGGGAATCTTTTCCTGTATTTCGATTTAGCTGGACGCAGCTGGTGAGAACCATGTCCCAGTGGTGAATTCGCCCAGATTCACTGCCCGCGCTTTGGAATATAGAGTTCTTGACGCTCTTTGGCCTATCATCGGAATCTTTTCCTGTCTTCCCGATATAACTGCTCGCAGTTACTGGAATTTTGTCCCAGCAGTGAATTTGCCCAGATTCACTGTCCGCGTTGGAACATAATATAGAGTTCTTGACGCTATTTGGCCTGTCATTGGAATCTTTTCCTATCTTTTGGATATAGCTACGAGCAGCTGGTGGGAATTATGTCTCAGTAAAGAGAATTACCGCTGGTTCACACCTCGTGCTGGGCTCTATAACGTCTTGGTTCTCGTTTGAGCTATGTCAAACATTTATCTTGGCCGTTCTTGGAGGTTAAACATAACCGGTGAGCACCAATTAACCTTATAGTAATGTAAACTTATATCTTCTCTAAGTAATTCTTGCGGTGTCTGAAGTATCCTAACAGTCATTGGTAAGCCCTACATCTTTTACACTATCCTATAGATGCTTTAGTATGCAGCAAACTAATCCCAAATTTGCTCAACAGTAACCAAGCGTTGGTCACAACCGGTATGTCCCAGTATAATTCACAGCAAGGTAAACGATCTCACCTTGTAGTAGCTTTGGCAGCGGTGGAAGTAGTCTCTAGTATGGATCAACAGTAGCACAATTTACCGCAAAGTATTACAGCTCTTGTCAGTAATTCTGTGGTAGATATTGTCAAGTCACAATCGGTCATATTGGAGGACTAATCTATAGCTATACTGTTTGGTTTGGTATTCCAGATGGTGACACAAATCTGGTTAGAAATTAGGTTAACAATTGGTTCGAAGGTTGCAAAACCTCATACAAAGAGATATAAAATGTTGCGATGCGCTATCAATAGTATTCATTTGGCTCGACAGGGCGATGTACCAAGATATGATTTGCTGAACAAATATGGAGACAGCAGATTCACTTAAAACACACAAGGTCTCGAATTATGTGGGTGACTATCACCTCGAACACTCCCCTTGAATCCATCTCGGACGTCGGTAGATTTCTTGCAGTAAAGATCAGCAGTATCGACATAGCGGATGTTTCAATTCTATGTAGTAACATGACATTCATCGAGGTTAGACCTCATATGACAAGGCAGTATCACGAGCAGAAGGATGTTCGCTACAATAGACAAAGAAGGGAAAGTGTTGTGGGAAATGGGCTGTGAATGAAACAACCCAGGTGCCTTGGTGTCTTGCTTTTTGCAAACACCTTTAGCGTTTGGTCGCCTCATCAGCTCGTCTTCCATAAGCTTAACTCTAATATGATCGACACTGTAGGCTGACATTGTACTCTTGGTACATAAGGGCACTTTTTGTTTCTAGTTGAGGCATGTTAGTAAGCATCTCACTAGTTAAGGTGCAGCTATATGCTTCTTTAGCGACGGTTCTTTGAGCTGACTACGTAAGTCATATTATTTGTGTCTAGATTTACTGACACTTCATAGTGACTGGTGATTGGCAAATGTGGGTCTTTTTATTGAAACATTGGTTGTTGAGTAAGTCATTTTATTCTATCATGAGCTGTCTTACTCCTATGATATATTTACGGTTTATTTAGCAGCTCTTTGAGTTTCATCTGAGCATTGGTGATACCGGGGGAGTTTGGTTACTGAGGGAATCCAAAGGCTTTAGACATATAAGTAATAGAATAGCTCAATAGAATAGCTCAGTTATTAACAGTATCTTGGTCACTAAGAATTCAACCATGTCTGGTTTTTCTTTATGTCGCCTTATTCGTCTGCCAAAATATCATCTAACAGGAGACCTTAGCTTGGTTTAGATCTACGTAAAAAGGCTTACTTTTATTCTATGGATGGAAGCTATCGTAGTGATAGTCGTCGAACTCTGTACGAAAGGAATCGTTCGTTCGGATAGGCACTAGTCGCTTTAGTTTGATTCGATATGGTTGCAAATACATTCATTATATGACGGCTGAAGGTCTTTAAGCCAGCATCTGTGCCAAAAATGATAACGTTAGTCTCGCAGTAAATAGGGCTTTAGCCCATGACCTATATTAAGTGGTTACGTACATCTTACTCGAAGAATTATGTGTATTAACTACGGATGATAACTAATCTCGCGAGATGAATCTTTTGCAGATGTTCTGAATTGGAACAGGGGCACTGCAAGTAGTAGAGTCTTATAGTCTAACACTCTGTTACGCTCAAACTTTTTTCTAACGATTCTGTCTGACTTTTTCAGACAATCACCTTCGATGTAATTCTCTTTTTAAACACTACTTAATAGGGTTTGAATCGTACGTTAGATATAAAACTCTCGGGAATTTGTGTATTATGTTTATTTCAACGATTTCGGTTTGGGTACATTTCGTTCAAGCAATAAGACAGAATGCAACGATGTCCTTTGAGAGCATCATCTTCATTTAGACCATCGTGAGTAGTATTTTTTTTTGATATATAGGAACAACTTTGTCTCTAACAATGCACAGTCTTGATGTCAAGGGAATGTCATTAGATATCTCGCTCAGCCTAAGTTACTAGGCTATAAGGAAGATGTTGGTATTCCACTCGATAAGGGTATTATTAGGGTCAAAGCAACGCAAAAGCGAGAGTGCTCAAGAGGGCCTGGAATATCTGTGGAAGACAATTTGGAGGATTCTCGCTTTCATGACATATACCACCAGTGCTAACATGCAGATACCGAAGCTAGTCAATATGATGTTTTATCATTTGATTACCCAAAAGAGGGCGAGGGTGGTAAGAAAGTAACTATTAGCTATATTAACGAGTTAATGATGAATTTCTGCTCCTTCTTGTATATAATAGTCTGTTGAGATGGATTAATTGTAGTCTTACCAATTTATGTGACTGGACGCTAGAAAAAACGCTAGATGATGGGTAGAAGTAGACAAAAGTGCAGACTTATGCACTCAATTATATACTACTGTCTAAGTAAGCTCTCAAATAAGTTGCGAAATTGGTGAGGATGTCAGCCTGAGAAATCTTGCAAGCGGGTGAAAAAATAATTCCAGGAATCGTCTCTTTTATGTATGTAACATATAATACTTCAAGTAAATCTGAGGAACTAGTTTTACTTGTACTGCGAAAATCTGTTAGCAAGGCGAAATTTATATAGAAGACGATAAAACCTACCTTGACGAAACCAATAGCACTGGCATTCTCACGGAAGCATTGACGGCAGATGTCCATACCGTATTTCTAGAGAAAAGTTGTTAAGTATGGCGTATAATCTTTTATGGTAATAAACCTACACGGATCAAACCTTGGCCGTTCTTGCCGCATACACGACAGCTACGTGAACCTTTACCGTAGATTCTTGGGCGTGAGTACCAGACGTTGGAATGAGCCATCGAGAACTTGTGGTGGTAGATGAAGAGAAGCCAACTCGCAGGTCTTCATTCATTCAAAAATTTGATTTAAATTGTAATAAAATAATTTATTAATTAGTTTTATATATTTATTTAGTCTAGCCTCTAAAGCAGCTTTTTAGCCATATAAAATTGGTTTTGATGTAGATATTTATTCACTGTAAGATAGTTGAGATATATGATAATATCTGATATAGTTTGATATATAGCAACTATTGTATATAATAAGCAAGCTCAAACTACCGTATATTACAGTCTGACATCTCTTTCACTCTTACCATGGATTTAGCACAATTTGAAAAGGAAATTGCTACAAAAACATTCCTTAAAGGACAATTATACAGCAGCGACGATTTAGAAATGTATAAAAACTTACACTCTGCTATCGTGAGTTTGATATAACAACAGCGAAGACGAAACTGATAAGTGACTTATGTAGGCACCATTGCAAGCAGCACAATTACATGCATTCCCAAACACCGTTAGATACTTCTCACTCATCCAGAAACTCGAACCTGCTCGCAAATTAGGACTTGAACAGTTGACATTCGATTACTCAACATTCCCTAAACCAGTTCGTGTTGCAGATGCACCAAAGGAAAAGAAACCTAAGAAGGATGCTGCACCAGTCAATAAGGAAGCACCTGCAGGTACTTCAAAAGCTGGTGCTGAGGGTGCAGCAGCCAAAAAAGAAGGTAAAAAGGATAAACCAAAGAAGGAGAAAGCCCCACCTGCTCCACCGGCACCTGTTCTCCCACCAAGTCCATCTATGATCGATTTGCGTGTTGGTAAGATTGTTAAGGTTGAAAAACATCCAGACGCTGACAGTTTGTGCGTATAAACCATAACTATACTAGATTATACTAATAAACTACTAAAGATACGTCGAGCAAATTGATTTGGGTACTGAAACTAGAACTGTTGTCTCAGGTTTGGTCAAGTATGTCCCAATTGAAGAAATGCAAGATAAGATGGTCGTCGCTATTGTGAGTTAATCTTGAACATTAGCTTAAACGATTTAACAAACCCAAGTGCAACCTCAAACCAGCTTCCATGAGAGGTATCAAATCTTTTGCTATGGTTCTCTGCGCCACTTCCTCAGACGGCAAAGATGGTGGTGTCGAATTTGTCAACCCACCGGAGGGTAGTGCACCAGGTGACAGAATTTTCTTTGAAGGTTACGAAGGTGAGTAATTTTTCTATTTAAGACATCCTGTTGACATTCAACAGACACCAAACCAGAGGAACAACTCAACCCTAAGAAGAAGGTATTCGAAACTATCCAACCTGGTTTCAGAACTTTGGATACACTTGAAGCTTGCTGGATCAACCCAGAGACGAGCAAACCACACCTTATCAAAACTTCAAAGGGTATTTGTAAGGCTGGTAAATTTGCAAACGCTACTCTTTCTTAAAAACTTTACATATAAATATATATCTTTAGATTGCATAACTTTTCAATACGATGAGAACGATGATATCACATGCAGAGTGTAATAATTCATAATTTGTTCTTGTTTTGATATATTTTACCGTAGATAAGATAAACCAAGGGTAAGCGGTTGAAGTATTTCCTCTACTTCTATTTCTTCGACGTTGATGAGCAGCACTATAGAAGATCTTGTTTTAGAAGGAGGGAACTGTTATACGGATATATCAGGCAGTCCAGGTGTTGGACGTACTAGTATTATAACATCGAGTCTCATAAAGTTCCTCAGTTTGGCTGAAAATGCAAACGCGTATGCTATCATAATTGATGTAAATGGTGATCTCAATCTACGAGGTATAGACGATGAAATTACAAGTCGTATGTCTGTATACGTGTAATTATAACAATATATTAATGTACTCTTAGGTATCAAGTATGTTAGAACGTTAAACCTGTCTTCGTTTCTGGTTACTATTGCTGCTTTACCTGCATATATTGAGAGTAGCCCATTTACTGTGAGCTATTAACTGTATGTAGCCCCATCTGATGTGGATCAACAGACAAAGGTCGTCGCTATCGACACAATATCAAATTACATGCGTAATCCGGATATCACGCAGAAGCATAAGATTTCTATACAGAACACCATCAGAAGTTCTTTCAATAAGCTAACTAATGATATGTCTGTCAAGGTGCGTCGTTGGTTTTAATGGTAGATCCAACCAATTGACTTTCTTAGATTATTAGCACGAGCGATGCGGTTATAAGGCGTACGCATACTATAGATGACAATTCAGTCCGTATCGCTAATCTAGGACTCGAGAACAATAACTATATGGGTCCTTTTCACGCCTCAAATTTCAATCAGATGGCGAATTTCAGACAACTACAGCTGTCATACGAGCCTGGAGAACCTAAATCCAGGAAGGCTAGGATAATCGGTACAGATCCTGAAGTTTGTATGACGTTTTCGATCGGTGAGGATATCATCAAGCAAGAGGGATAGCATATACTTTAGCATAGTAGACAGAGTAGTACATAGGATTAAGTACAAAGATACGGATGGCACGGATGGGATTATCTTGACCTCTTCCTTCATATTAGCAGATGAATTAGGTAATGTCGTACAAAGTTGTCTGTGCCGCGGTGTTATAGGTACATAAAGATCACTTTATGACAACTCGCAAGCCGTAACTTATTCTATCCATTCCAGTCCAGTTGCTCGTATGGATGGTTACGTACGTTTTCAAGGATATGGGGTGACGATTCATGATTTCATCGCAGCGATCTCAGAATCGGAGAGGTCCAAGACTTCATATAGCAAGCTAATGACAGGTTATATCACAGCATTCGTCAATAGAGTTACACCAGCTTTAAGTCAACTATCGTATGCAGAGAGAGAGAAAGACTTGTAAGGTGTTTCCAAGTGATCTTCGAAGGTATCTGGCTCATTATGTCCAAAAAGGGTATAAGACATCTACATCAGCAAATGATAGTGTTGTCGATGAATTCCTTGGTTTCTCATCGATTATGCAGCCACTAGATGATGAAACCAATTAGAACTTGAAATAGGTACCGAGATATTGATGAAGAATAGTCGTATATCGAGGAAAGTGACATGTTGCAAAATAATAGCTGGATCTGCAACATCTATCGAGGCTGAACTGGACTCTTAATAGATTTAAGTACATAAATAATAAGAAATGGATTGTAAATTGGATTAAATTATAGAACTACATTTTCTATTAAATAAATCGTTAGAAGAGAAGATAGTCAGCACCTTGAAAAGCCACCTTCATCATGTCCGTGAGTAGAAAGCTGCTCTCAATATAAGCGTATATTAAATATAAATAGTTTGCTCAAACACTCAACAATACGTTATTCAAGCGTAATAGTACATACGTCGCAACCATTTTCGTTGGTACATTTGCATTCGGTGTTGGATTCGACGTCTTGACAACTTCAATCTGGGACAAACACAATGCAGGAGTGAGTTTTTCATTATATAGGGTGTAGTATATTTTGTTGCTAGTCAGTTTATTTAGTGGTATATCACCTCCACCAATCAATTTGATTTGATTTTCAACTTAGATTTACTAATAACAAAAATATATTACACACTATGCTCTAAACTATATTCTATACTATTTACTAACAATATCTTTAGAAACAATGGCCAGAACTCCGTGCTAAGATACTTGCAAAGGGAGAGTCTGACGATGAATAGATTTGTAATAAGAAATAAAACATTAATTTACTTTTTTTTATATTTAAACATTTCGGTGGCATTCTTAAACGCCTTCTTGGTTCACAACTCTCACAACTCTGAGCAGTCATAAGATATGGATAGAGTTAGTCACGCAGAGAGAAAGAAAGCAGAAGAGGGTGCGTCTATACTCATTATCGTCGTTAATGTTTTATTAAGAATACCTCAGAACTCCGTTATTACGCCAAGAATCGCGATTTACCTGTTGAAGGCGAACCTGCTGCACTAAATAAAGACTACGATGAAAGCGCAGCAGACGAGCAAAGATACGGACTGAATGCACAGCCAAGTTTAGACAGTGACAAGTTGAAAGGTGCGATCCATGTACCAGAAAATGTAGACGAAACCACAGCATACGAAGTGAGTGAATAGACAGACAATTGAATAACTTCACTAACAATTATTAGGAACCAAACTACAGACCACCTGACTTTGTTCCTTCTGATAAAGTACCAGGAAGTGCCCTTAGTCCAGATGCTATACAAGCTCAAGGTACACACACTGGTCCATCTGTTAGCGTTCAAGAGGCTGAGAAGACTCAAGTAGATGATGGTATAAAGAGATCACCATCACACCAATCAAAATTAGGACATCTCAAACCACACTTACAATTCCTTTGTGGCCCTATGTTAAAGTACGACACAGTTGTAGATAATGTTTGGTACGGTGCAGCTATGATTGTCACAGTTGACCAGGGTAGCCAGTACGATCCAGCACCTCTTTTCACTTATAATTGGAATAACGGCACGAAAAAAGTCGATGGTCAATCAATCTACGTCTACAGGGGAAGTTCAGGTAGCTTTACATTCTGGAGATTCATGATTGATATCCCAATGTCAGAAAATGAAAGTCCAGTTGATTATAATATCAACGGTGGTGCACGTAACACCTTCCACATCCCGGCTATTGGTCAACACCTTCGTTGGATAGGCCAAAGTTGCAATGGTTTCTCTATGGGTGTTAACCCAGCTGATTTCAACGGTCCACACAAGCTTTGGGATGACGTTCTTAGACAACACTCAGAAAAGCCTTATCATACTGTCGTTGGTGGTGGTGATCAAATTTACTGTGATATACTCATGCGTGAACCTGAATTACAAGACTGGGTTAACGAGGTTGATGGAAAAGAAAAGCAGAAGATGCCTTTAACTGAGGCAATGTCATATGCACTCGATAGGTTCTTCTTTAATCACTATGCAAAATGGTTTAGAGCAGGTTCATTTGGCGAAGCTATTGCAAAGATACCACAAGTTAATATTCTCGATGACCACGATTTGATTGATGGATTTGGTTCATATCCTGATGAGTTAATGTTTTCACCTATCTTTAACAAGATTGGTACATGCGGTTTCTTCTGGTATTTACTATTTCAACAATTTACAGTAATGGAAGTTGATGGTTCCAGAATTACCGCCCCACATGGATATGGTGAGATCACAGATGCCCAAGTTAAAGAGAGAGAAAGATCAGAACAATTGAATATACCAACACCAAAACCACATACTTTCAAATCAATGATCATTGGTGGTGATGGTGTATACGTTCCTTTCCCAACTCACAACACATTAACATATTTGGGTCCAAAAGTTTACATGTTAGGTTTAGATTGTAGAGCCGAAAGAAAACTAGACCAAATGTGTAGTAAGACTACGTGGGATATCGTATTCAGCGCTATTAGAAAGTTACCTGAGGAGGTTGAACAATTGGTTTGGCTAATTGGTGTACCCCTTCTTTACCCAAGAATGGTCTTCGCTGAGAAGTTTTTAGAATGGAAGGGTAATCCATTAACTCACATTGGTAGACACCCATGGCTTGGTTTGAATGGATTCGTCAATAAGTTTAACAAAGATGCCGAATTACTTGATGATTTGAACGACCATTGGTGTGCTAAGCATCACAAGAAGGAACGTAACTGGTTTATTGAAGGTGAGTGGAAAATACTAATTTAATTATTACTAAGAAAGCATTTAAGAATGTCAGAAATTGGCCTTAGAATGTAACCTTCGTATTTCATTCTTGTCTGGAGATGTTCATGCAGCAGCTGTTGGTAGAACATACTCAAAGAAAGTAGAACCAACGAAAGACCATAAATTGATGTACAATATTGTTACATCTGCAATCGTTAACACTCCACCTCCTCCACCTGCTGCAAAGTTGGTTAACTTCTTGGCAAAGAAGCATCACAAGAGTTTGCACTATCTCAAGACAGAAGAAGATGCTGTTAAATTGTTCGAAATTGACACAAATGGGGAGAAATCTTCATTCCCATACGTTATGCCTAGAAGAAATTGGACTTCCATAGAATTTGACAATGAAACAGGAGATCTTGTTTATGATATCAAAATTGAAATCGAAAAGGGAAGTGGAACGACAAAGAGGTAAGTGGTCGTAATTTAGAGATCTGTGATAGCTTATAATACTCTCTAGCTATGTCATAAAATCTCCCCCACCAAGATACAAGTAAACGGATGTATATTTCCTGCAGACACTTTTTAATTACCCTTAGCTTATGATAAACCAACTAATATGGAAATATATACGCTTTCGTTCTTTTTTTTCTTTTTAAGTTTTAGATTCATTTCAATAGAAAAACAGGGAATATTTAATTTAGGCGCCGAGGATGTGTGCTGCAAAATCACGGTAATTTATGTTTCCATCGCTATTGATTGTGTTATTAATATTTTATTATTGTTTAAATAAAAGTTAAACTCACGATGAAATTGGGACACCTTTTAACAATTCATCAACTTCAGCATCTGACATTTTCTCACCGAGGTTAGTAAGAACGTATCTGAGTTCACCTGCACCGATAACACCGGAACCATCTTTATCGAAAACTTGGAAACCTCTTACGAAATCTTCGAGTTCACCAGCAGGTTTGAAACCATCTGGACGTTGAAGAATAGTAAGGAATGTTTTGTAATCGACTATATAATAACATAAGACGCGTTTATTTTTAATAGAAAGACGCACGCTCTGATGGGGCTGAACTACGGAGTGATTCAACTTCAGCTTGAGTTGGGTTTTGACCTAAAGCTCTTAAAAGGTCGCCAAGTTGGCCTGAGGGTATTTTTCCAGTACCACGTTTATCGAATAAAGCGAATGCTTCTCTTGCTTCTATATGTGACGCGTTTAGTTTATGCTATGGGCGTAGTAATTAAATATATTTACCTGCGTCTGACTAGAAAATATTAATAAAATAATAAAATAAATTAATATGTATTTACCATTATATTTTTATTTTCTGTTTGTGATTGAATCGGTACAAGGTAATCGTTAGCTTCAGACAATTTACTAGCGATTTGAATGTTTAAGAGATTTTTAAATACGACGGCGAGAATATCTCAGGAATCGCACTTTGAACAAATAACAAGAAATGGTTACTCTCATAATCCATCCGCTATTCCACCATCGAGCGATCCTCTCTTGGGATACCTCACAAATCTCATTATGAAGGATGGGAAGAAGGCTAGAGCTCAGAGTCATTTGAAAAAAACATTAACAGAGATCAAAACATTAACAGCTAATACTACCGAGCCCGTATCGCTAGTCCGTAACGCTATCACTATGGCCGCACCTTCTTTCCGTTTATCAAGCAGCAAAAAGAATAACAAAGTTTTACACACTCCATTAGCACTCACAGAGAGGCAAAGAATTAGATTAGCTTTTCAAGCTCTCATTAAAGCATCTGACAAACGTAATGAGAAGTTCCTCCATCAGAGGTTAGCTAGAGAGGTTCTAGCTATACTTGAACAACAAAGTGATGTACTTAAGCGCAAAGAGGAAATACACAAAGCTGGTGCTATCAATAGAGCTAACCTTGTTCAAGCGATGTTAAGAAGATAATTTTGCATAGATATATTTTATTATTACAAGTTCCTAGGAAGACTTTAATCATTCCTACGTCGTTTGCTACTCTCTTTGGCTTCTTTAGCTGCTCGCTTCATTGCTCTTTCAGCTTTACGTGCTTTGCGCTCTTCTTTTTCAGAAGTTGTCGGTTTAGATGCTTTCTTTTGTTGCTCACGAATGTAAGCTGCCATTGGGTCTTCACTTTCCTCGATATCTTCGCTCTCACTCTCACTTCTGTCCTTATCTTGAGAGATATACGTCAAATATTGTCCTTATTAAGGAGTAAGTAACTCACGATTTTTATCACTTTCTTCCGTCCACCGAGCGTTTAATTGTTCATTGTCAACTTCAACCATTTCACCTTCCTCGTTCTTGACTTTCGGTTGAGAGTACTTATCAACATGATCAACCCTGAGTGTACGACCCAATACAGTCGATCCATTGAGGTTATCTACCGCAAGTACTGTACTCCGTTGATCTTCATACATAACAAAAGCAAATCCTCGCGATTTGCCTGTAGCCTTATCCTTTGGCATATTGATATCTGCGATTTCACCGAATCTAATTTTATTTATTAATTCAATCTTAGTTATATTCTATTTACTAACTGTGATAATATCGTAATTACATCTCCTTCTGTTAATCCAGTAACGAGACCACCTATATAGACGTATGCAGAATCTATATAAGATATTAGATATTATAGGTTACTTATAATATACCGACGTACGCTTATACTGATCATGCCAACTTGCGTCTGATAGATTAAGCTGCAATTCCTTCTCGTTCTGTGGATTGTAAGCTTAGCCTTAATAATAATGAAGAATGTTTACTAGAGATTGAATATGCTTAACTTTACTTGATATTTTTTAGTTTATATACTATATCATCTTGATATCGTTACTTACTTCATGACAATCAAGCTTTAAGGAGTTTAGAATGGGCGGTGCTAAAAGAATAAAGACAAGATTAGCAGAACCTTCATATAAATATGGTAGAGACATACAACCACACTATTTCACTTCCTCACACTTCGTTATTAACTTCATATCTGACATTGACGAATTAATAAACACATACAAAAATGAGAGACAAACATCTGAATTGGATACATTTAGCTTATTTATGAAATGTTATACTCGACTACGTTGGAGAAATGTACACTTTATTCACCTACACGCTCACATTCGTATTGGATTTTATCAATCAATTTTCAGGCTCTTATTTGGTGAGTGATAGCATATATTTAATTTATGATACCATATTTACAACTTAATAGAGTTATTTAAAGAACGTAAAGAGGATTTTGACTCTATAACTACGATATTACTCTTCAGCTATGTCATTTATTCAACGCAACCAGATGATGAACAGCTATTTAGAACGACTCATATACAGATTGAGGTTGGTGAGTTTGTTCATGTAGTAAATAAACTATCTACTAACTAAACGAAGACACATTGGATGTGGTTTATCAAACTCTTAACCAATTAGATGATGCAGACTTACTCAAATGGGCAATAAATCAACTTAAATTCTCAATTCACCCATCGCAATCATTATTACCACGGATTATACCCTCCTCAGAAGTCAAAAGAGTTATACCAACGACAGAAAGATCTGAACAGGTCATTGAGAAACTTTTAGATACCCATGCGAGATTATACAGCTTAGAGAAGCGTTTAGATCTAGTGAAGCAGGGTAAGTTTGATGAAATTATGCTAGGTGAACAATTATTAGAGAGTGATATCACTGAATTCGCTCAAATTGAAGGTATAAGTCAATTTAACTTATCTAATGAGGACGATATAGACAAACTCAGACGAGTGCGAGCTTCTACGATAAACAAACTAGTAGATATTGAATCTGAAGCCCATAATCTAGGACTAGATAGTATGAAAAGTTTAAATTTATGATGATTCTACTTCCTTTTCTTGTATTTTATAACCTTTTACCTTTTTAAAAGTTAAATATTGTAGATTAAAGAATAAATAATAACTTACTCTATGATCTTTAAGCATATCGACGTATCTATTACTAAGCTGCTGACAGTTTGCGTAGTGATTAACGCCTTCATATTGATGGCATTTTTGTAATTCCTGTTTAACTAATCTTAACTCCATAGCGCTAACCCAGCTTTCTCTAATGTGATTATCTTGAGCGTCTTTGAGTGCTATAAAAGAGTTGAATATGATATTAAAATAGTAGATTAATAGCTACCTTGTAAATCCTCAATCGATGACATTTTTTTATTACCAAATTCGTCGTTATGTAGATAGCCTCAGCTGAATAGCGCGCACCTCTCACTCTTCTCATAACGAACTAAAAATGTCAATAAATGAGCAAAAGTTACAAGAATTAGGTTCTAAGCATCCTGCACCTCCAAACTTCAAATACTCTTATGGTACTGCTGGCTTTAGATCAAAGTTAGTCGTCACCCTTTTGATGTCTTTACTTTAATAACCTAAAAATATAGAGCTAGCGTCTTAGATAGTGTATTGTTCCGCGTTGGTTTGATAGCTGTATTCAGATCACAAAAATTAGATGGTAAAGCTGTCGGTGTTATGATCACAGCATCACATAACCCAGAATCAGTGAGCCTTATCTTCTTTTCTATTTATTTTTACTAACCTTTTAGGACAATGGTGTTAAACTCGTTGACCCACATGGAGATATGCTTGATCCAAGCTGGGAATCTTACGCGACTGGTTTAGCAAACACACCAATTGAATCATTAAGTTCATACTGTAACCAATTAGTCAACACTCTCAAATTGGACACTACAAAACCAGCTAATATCATTATTGCAAGAGACACACGTCCATCTGGTCTTGATTTACTTAATTCCTTGAAAGATGGTATCGAAGCTCTTAACAATGGTTCAGTTCAAGTACAAGACTTTGGCTTGGCTACTACACCTGCTCTTCATTATCTCGTTAGAGCGACAAACAGCAAGGGTACGAAAGATGATTACGGTGAACCAACTATCCAAGGTTACATGTCTAAAATGGTCCAATCTTTCTTAAGTCTCGTTCAAGGGAAACCAAATATACCTGCACTTAAAGTTGATTGTGCTAATGGAATTGGTGCACCATATATCAAAGATCTTATCAACAAACTTAATGAAGCTGATGCACCTTTAACAATTGATGCAATTTTTGATGATACTACACCTGCTATTGGTAAATTAAACAACGGTTGTGGCGCAGATCATGTAAAGAGTAAGCAACAATTACCTATTGGTTTCCAACCAGAACCACTTGAACGTTGTGCAAGTTTAGATGGTGATGCAGACAGAGTCGTTTATTACTACAACGATCAAAGAGGTAACTTTAAGTTACTTGATGGTGATAAAATTGCCAGTTTATTAGCAGTTTTCATTATCGAACTAGTTGAAAAAGCTGGTATCACTGAAGAAGCTAAAGTTGGTGTTGTTCAAACAGCGTACGCTAATGGTTGTTCATCAAAGTTTATCAACGCTCAACAAGTACCAATTAAATGTGTACCAACTGGTGTTAAGCATCTTCACCATGCTGCTCAACAATATAGTATTGGTGTTTACTTTGAAGCTAATGGTCATGGTACTGTTTTATTCTCACCTGAGTTTATCAATTTAGTTAAAACTACAACTCCAACAATGCCAGCACAACAGACCGCGCTTCAACAATTATTAAGTTTATCAGAACTAGCAAACCAAACTGTTGGTGACGCATTATCAGACTTGTTATTAGTTGAAGCTATTTTAATTCAAAAACAATGGGGACCTGCTGAATGGGATGGATTATATGAAGATTTCCCTAACAGATTAGTTAAAGTAACTGTGCCTGATAGAACGGCATTCACAACGACCGACGCTGAAAGGAAGCTCGTTACACCAAATGATTTACAAAAATCAATTGATCAACACGTTTCGAAATATCAAGATGGTAGATCATTTGTTAGACCATCAGGTACAGAAGACTGCGTGAGAGTTTACGCAGAAGCTCAAACGCGCGGACAAGCAGATGAGCTGGCATTTAAAGTTGCAGGATTAATCTACGATAGTCAGCAAGGTGATCCAATTTCAAGACCAAAAGAATTTTTGTAATTTTTATTTAAATTATAACGTTTAACCCGGTCGATCTCTAGATTCCGTGCTGTGGCGAAAAAGTGATTTGATAAACGACGTTCAAGGGGGATTACTAATAATAAATATATTATATACACTATTCAATATCTTGATTTAGCGATCTAAATATCTGTTAATAGGTGGTATTAGATACTTTATACATACGATGAGTACACACAATATACCACCATCGACACTGTATTGGTAAGCTAAAATCTATTATATTGAAGTAGACAAGTCCGCTTATATATATACAGGTCACCTCATTCATATCCTTCTTCATTAGTTAGATTATGCATGTTGGAGAAAATATATGAATCCAAGGACCTTAAGTTAATACAGGTTGATTTAAATATGGGTGACAACTTTCATCCATCTTTTTTAAGTATCAATCCAGCTGGAACTGTACCTTTACTACTCGTACCAAACGCCGAGAGTATACAACCAGACAGAGCACCTGAGTTTACAAGAATTGCAGATACAAAAAATATATGCAATTTTTTAGCAACCAAACGTAGATCAATTCCGTCACTTATACCATTACCCCATTTAGTTAAAAAGTCAAATGAGATTATAGATTACCTACATTCAGGCGATTTAGATACAAATTTTTTAATGTTATCCGCAACAAATAACAATGAATTAGAATTAAATAGTTCAAGAGCTGAATCTTATTTAATTTCACGACAAACAGCGTTTGATAGGTATAGACACCTATGTTCGTTAGACAGAAAGAATTGGTTTGAATTAAAATCACAATCTAATCTGGATATTTTGAATATATATAGGTTTAGATCATTAAACGATGATCAGATTCTATCAAACAGGCAAGACTTTTTTAAAGCAAGTCAAAAAACTTGGTCAAACCTTAAAAATTTCTTGCGAAAAGTTGATATTGAATTATCAAGTAATGACAGCGGTCCTTGGATCTTTGGCCAAGATTTAACTTTAGTCGATTTACACTTGGCTGCATTTTTGGCTAGAGTTATAGCAGATATAAATGGCAACATGAACGATGAAGGTATATACAAACTTTATCATATTTGCAATTTACATTTATCCAAGAGTATGTTGGTAAGTTTAATTAATTTCTTATAACAGATTCTTTATTTAACAACTTAATCAGCTCTTTTGGCGTAATTGGCTCAACCGTCAATCTTTTAGATGCGTCTACATGGAGCGCGTAACTAACGATTAAATTTCATTATTCTATTCCCTTTCTATACTTTTCAGTCGTCAAATAATTCATAGTTATCCCATCCGATGCTATTATACTAACTTCTAATATATAAGAGAAGTTCTTTTTTATATTATTACAAGAACATAAATTTGTAAATAAATATATATATATCTAGTTTGATTTCTTGGTGAATCTATCTAATGCAGATGGTGAAGATTGCTTTAAATTGCCACTCTTCAAAGCAATTTCCTTATCCTTGTTGGCTTTCTCTTTAGCTAATTTAGCTTTTAATGCTAATTGAGTTGGCTCGATAACATTTTTACGCTTCCTTGAAAGATATTTCTTAGTTGAAGAATTACGTCCACGCATTTTCTTTTTTAATTTTGATCTACCCATATCATCATGGAATTGCCCATCATCATCTTGTTCATCTAGCATCCCTTCAATATCTTCTTCTTCATCCTCATCTTCTTCTTCCTCACTATCTGCTACACCTTGTTCTTTCAAACGTTCAGATCTTGACATTTGACTATACGGTTTAGGTTTATTTGGATTACGTACACTTTGACCTGGTCTAAGGTTAGGTGTTTTAGCGTTAGGGTTTGTATTATCCGTTTTGAGATGTATGGAACCAAGAATATCATCATTGAATGTGATAAGGTCAGGTTGTATCTGTTTTAATCATTAGTACACTATTCTTAAAAAAATCTAAGTTTATACCTACTTTATCAAGTAATTGTCGTACTTCGCGTTCACGTCTAGCACCTTTACCCTCAAATGGATCAGCCTCAAGTGAGTCATAGTTGGCCTCTCCACTGCCTGGTATAATAAGGTTTGTTAATCCAGCAGAATGTCCAACAGAAAGAACGTCCTCATAAGGGCAGAATGCTAACTTATTAACACCCACGCCTGGGAAATGATGTGTGAGGTATGGTGATGGACTTTCACCGTTACTTGAATACTTGAGTATATCATCATAAACGTAAACATGGTTACCCCAACCAACTGCTAACATATCCTTGTCACTAAATCTAATATCTTTGATTTGATTACGTGCTTTAAATGATGATAATTCTTTCCACATTCTCATATCCCATAATTTTACAGTACCATCTAAACCAGCTGAAGCTATGTATTTTCCATGTCTATCATGCGAAAGTGCCTTAACTTGTCCTAAATGTGCTTGTAATTTAACATGTGTGTATGGGGTTGAAGGCGTCCAAAATGTAACAGTACCATTTTGATGACCAAGGGAAATATTAGCATTTGATGGATTTTGTGCCATAGCAGATGTAGGGCCTAATTTAGTACGATGTTGAGATACCATCATACCTGTACTCGTATCTTGATACTTTAACCAACCTGTATTTCCACTACTAGCTAGGAGAAAATGATGTGGAAGGAATTCTAATCTTCTTGCTTCAATATGGTCAGGTAATTTATGTAATTCTATGCCTTGATTGTCATAAATGTAAACATATTTCTTCTGAGCGACGGCCATCATTGATGAATTGTGTAGGTAAGTTATGTCTGTACATAATTCATTAAGATTGATTTCACAATTTAATCTTCCTAATGTTGGATCAAATGAAGCAACTTTACCAACTTGATTAGTGAATGATAAATTTCTACCATCTGGGGTGTATGCTAAACTTGTGAGACCTCTATCAACATTTAAAGAAAAGGCTTTCTTAGCTGTGCTTATACCAATAGCTTCCTTTATATCATGTTGTCTAAGCCTGTATGTCCGTTCCAAATCATTTTCAAGCTCAATAGTGCCACTATCTTGGGGAAGAAGGTAGTTTTTATAATCATCTATAGCTCTTTGAGAAGCTAGCTTATGTTTCCATTGCTTAATTAACTTATTACGAAGTTTTCCATTTGGTACAGCTGCTTTGGTGAGATGATCAGGTAATTCATCGTCGATTTCTATTTTATCATGATTCTTCTTTGGTTTAATAGAATTACTTATAGAAGATAATTGATTATCCTTCTTTATTGCTTTATTTTGCTTCTTAGGTTGGCTGTTCATGAATGTTCTTCTTCAAAAATCTATCCTTGGTTTATAACGACGAGGAGGAAATATAAAATGTGAGATTTAAGCTTTTAAACTATTTAACTAACTTTTAAAGGTCCTCTGAGCAAATACAGGATATACCACCGTTAGTTATTCTCATTTAAAAGAATTTGACCTAATAGTTATCTATAGTGATCAACAACAGAAGGCTGAAGCCATTAAAGAGCAAGGGAATGTCGCTTTCAAGTCTGCTGAATATGATAAAGCTATAGAACTTTACACCAAAGCATTCGGTATGTCCTTCCATTCAATAAACCTGTCTTCTCTTTAACAAACTGATTAGAAACGAATCCAAATAACAAAGCATACCTGACAAACAGAGCAGCTGCACTCATGTCACAGAAGAAGTTCAGATCTGCTATAGAAGATATCGAGAATGCGATTAGCAAAGATAGCAATCCAAGTTCAAAGATTTTAGTTAGATTAGCTAAATGTCATTTAGCACTTGGTCGTCCTACTCAAGCTTTAGCTGTTTTAACTCCTGTCAAAGATAGTGATGATTCTACCGTCAAACAAATTACAGCTCAATCTAAAAGAGTTATAGCTGCTATAGATAATTACGAAAAGGAAAGAAATGTTAAAAATTGGTCAATGGCTTCAATGGCACTCAGAATGGCAGAAAGGGAAGCTGGTTGTAGTCCCCTTGACATTCCATCAGATTGGAAAGCAGCAAAAGTTGAATGCTTGATTGGAAAGGGTGATTTAATTGAAGCAGGAAGAGTCGCAAGCGATATTTTATCTGGTTCACCAAACTCTCCTGATTTGTTATACCTTCGTGCTAGAGTTCTCTTTCTTGACAGCAACTTTGCGAAATGTATAGCACATCTTCAATCAGCAATGAGATCGGATCCTGATTTTACACCTGCAAAGAAGCTTCTGAAGCGTACGAGAATTGTTGAAAGAGGTAAAGAAGCTGGTAATGTTGCTTTCAAATCCGCTCAATATGAAGAGGCTATCGAAAAGTACACCGAAGCACTTTCAGCTCTTTCAGATGATGACCAGGGTGAAATTGGTGAAGGTAAAGTCAAGGCCGTTTTGTTATCGAATAGAGCAACAACATACTCAAAAATGACTGATAAATCAGAAGATGCTTTGAAAGACGTTGATGAAGCTTTGAAATTACACCCAGAATACACTAAAGCTTTAAGAACAAGAGCTAGAATACATCTCAATATAGAGAATTTCGAAGAATCTGTCTCAGATTTCAAGAAAGCCTTGGAATTCTGTACAATGGAAGAGAAACCTGCTTTAGAAAATGAAGTACGTAATGCGGAGAAGGAACTTAAGAAGTCAAAACGTGTCGATCATTACAAGATTCTTAGTGTGCATAAAGAGGCCACTGAAGTTGAGTTGAAAAAAGCATTCAGAAAGCAATCACTTGTGCACCACCCTGACAAGGGAGGAAATGAGGAGCACTTTAAACAAATTAATGAAAGTTATTCTGTCCTTTCAGATCCACAGCAACGTCACATATATGACAACGGACTTGACTTGGATGATGGACCAGGTATGGGTGGTGGATTCAGCAGCGGTGGATTTGGAGGCGCTGACATTAACCTTGCTGATTTATTCGCGTCTGGTGCATTTGGTGGTGGAATGGGTGGCATGGGTGGTGGTGGCTTTAGTTCATTTGGTGGCTCAGCTGGTGGCTTCCCAGGTGGTGGTGCACGGTTTAGCAGCACCCAAGGTGGCTTCCCATTTTAAACATTCTTTGTATAGACATTTTATTTTCAAAGAAGTATTTTAAATCATTTCTCTAAACGTTTTAAATACAGCATACGTAATCTTGTTAAAACTGAACCGTCATCATGTCCAGAAGCTCATACGATAGATTTTTGACAATATTTAGTCCAGAGGGAAAGATATACCAGGTATAATTTATGCGTTCATCTTATATTGTCATTCTAATAACTCACTTAGTTGGAATACGCATTTAAAGCTATAACGGGTTCAAATCAAACAGCAGTAGGAATTAGAGGTGACGATGCATCTGTAGTTATTACACAAAAGAGAGTACCTGTGAATATATCTATTTGTATATACAGGACAGTTCTGACTGACAAACTTACAGGATAAGCTCGTTGACCCATCTACAATCACTCATTTATTCTCAATTACACCAACTATTGGCTGCGTTATGACTGGTATTGTACCAGATGCTAGATCTCAAGTGATGAGAGCACGTTCAGAAGCTGCAGAGTTCAAGTATAAGTTCGGTTATGATATATCACCTGAACAACTATCAAGGAGGATTGCTAATATCAATCAAGTGCACACTCAAAGAGCAGGTATGAGACCATTAGGTATTTCAATGATGATAATTGGTTATGACAACGAACTTGAGAAACCTGAATTATTTAAAGTTGATCCAGCAGGTTATTTCGTAGGTTTCAAAGCAACATCCGCAGGTACGAAGCAAACCGAATCAATTAACTACTTGGAAAAGAAGTTCAAGATCGAGAATTTATCTTTATCTTATGATCAAATAATCGAATTGGCCATCGAGACATTGAGTAATGTTATCAGTACAGATTTCAAATCAAATGAGATTGAAATTGGTGTTATTAGGAAAGATAGTCAAGAGTTTAAAGTACTCGACGAGGAAGAAGTTGACGAGATTTTACAAAGAATTGCAGATAAAGATTAAAATATTTAAATAAATGTTGGTATATACATTAAAAATACAGAATAAATACGTTTAAAGAGTCATAATAGAGGATTAGACATCCTAAAGAAAATTTTGATTAAACATGATATAACAGTTACTTTAACTAAAATACTTACATCAATCCATTCTTCGTTAGTTAAACTAGTGTACAATTCTTTCGCAGCTGAAAGTTTTTCTTTCACGGGTCCATTATTTCTTTCAGACCAATTACCAGGTAAATTAGGAGTATTTGAAGGGTTAGATCGTTCATGTAATAATTCTACGCATTTAACTAATATTTGAGAGTGTGTATTTTTTGCTTTAACGTGATTACGTTGATTGATAGCCCCAGAATTATTAGAAGGTTGCTTCCTCGGGCGTGGATTAGCGTCGATAGAGGAAGAAGATGAAGATTTTCTTATATTGTTAATAATTGGATCAGATTTTGAGTTTGTCAGATAAGGATTCCTGTATGCAGAGGAAGGCAAGAACTCTGAAGGGAATTGAAAGAGATTATTGGGTGGATTAGGTGGTAATGGTTTATGTTCCCTTTGCTTATCCCTATTAAATAAATTCAACGATGAAATTGAAGGCAATTTCTGACTCATTTGCTTTAAAACGCTCGACTGATGAAGGTTGTTATTCAAAAAGTTAGTAGTTAGTTTATGATAGTAAATATTATTGAAATATAACGTTAGGTCAGTAAAGCTAGTGTTAGTGTCAATCAAAAAATCGTGAATTCGATTGAGAATGGCTTATGTCTATTAGTTGGTCTAGGCGTAGATGACAATGAAGATGATTTAAAGTGGACAGTAAATAAAGTACTAGGTTTGCGATTATTTGATAATTGGACGAAATCAGTTAGAGATGTTGATGGTGAAATATTGTCCATATCCCAGTTCACTTTACAATCAACTTTAAAGGGTACAAAGCCAGATTTCCATAAAGCTATGAAAACCGAAGAAGCTAGAAAGATGTACAATAACTTTTTAACAAGCTTAAAAACTAGCTATTTTGACAACAGAATAAAGGATGGTATATTCGCGGAAATGATGGATGTTAACATAAATAATCAAGGTCCAATTACAATTTTAATAGATTCAAGGAACAGAAAGTAATATTTTACATTTTCTCTTTTGTTGTCTGCCATCTTATTACCCTAGGGTCTAGTTTGAGTAGATTGTTGACGTTCTTCAAAAGTGGTGGTGAAGCTAAGAATGACATATGAATGTAATCTCCTTTGTCATATATTTGTTGATGTCTAATCATCTTATTAGGTAGCGTTTGTGTACCCCAGTAATCGACGTTCTTGATTAATCCACCACCGTTGTTTATAATTTGAGTCGTCGTTTTCAGCAATTCCCTTATTGGTGCTATCTCTGGATAGTGTGCAGCTACACACAAAATATTGTACAATGGCATTTTTATTTGGCCTTGGAAGAAACAAGCAATGATTGATATCGCTAATATAAAATTTAAATTTTTTATATCCCAATAAATTAATATGACATTTGTATCTATGTATCAATTATTGTATTATAGATAATTTAAGTGATAACCTGTATCTACCATCATAACTCATTTCTGAATGAGATACTAAATATGATAAAATAAGGCCATTTGATTTTATGCTATTGTTAATTCCATACATATTTACTCCTTTTTATATTTATACATACTCCTTGCTTCATTAAAAAGACATTCTTTTCCTCCATAAGACAAACAGATATCCGAAATACATAGACAATCAGAATGCATCACTTCGATATCAAATTACCAACAATGCTATAGCCTACGTACTTTCACTCTTCCTTTGTTCTATTGTCTCGCGATTTCTGTTTGTCTTTCCTTTATTTGTTTTACATATTTGAAGTTTCATCTTACGGGATGGTTCAAAAAGAAAGCCCCAAAACGGTACGTAAACCTCAGAGCAGCTTTAGGCCTAATCTGAGGTTAGAATACCTTAACTCACATTCTCAAACTGGGTGATCACTGCCAGCTTACGTATCTTTGCCAGTACTTCTTCAGCGGGTGTTTTCAAGGCCTGTTAGTTTCTTGATCATGAAGCAAACAGCATAAAGTTTATCAATATCAACAGAATTCCAGCAAAGCTTACAATTCAAGGCAGTTTATCAGCTATCTGAATAGTTATCTCTAAATTTCTTCTTACCCAAAGAAGCACCTATGTAGACCTTTAGGGTGCTCCATTACCATAGAATCTTTTTTGCTTGGTATAATGAAAGCTATTGTCCGAGGAATGTCCACGCACTAATGTAGCGATGGTCTCCACCTTTACTATCAATTCTGATATACTTTATCATCGCATCTTAATGATAAAGACTATCTGCCGATATTAAGCACCCTTTAAATACGATAGGTTTTGTGGATGAAGGCTTTTGATGTGGGCAGTACTATCCTTGACTGAACAAACATACGTAATAAAGATATATAGTGCAGTAATCAAATAGAAATTATTAAATTATTATAGCAGTGCTGTCAATCACGTGGTAATGTCATTGTATATTTTAGGTACAAAGGAAGCTTATTCCTTCTCATCCATAACTGAAGTTTCTATTGTTAGTTTGATTGCGCTTTATCAAATGATTTACCCACATGACATGTAATAACGCTAACGCCGTTAGTCAATATGATAATCAATACAGTGAACTATCTTACGTGATGATATTTTTCTCCGATCCTATCTAACTCTTCAACATCTTCCTGGTCTAACTTTGTGCCTGAAAGACTCTTTATCTCCTCTAACCTTTCTGCTTTGCTTGAGGTTCTTACATATCATTGTCAAGATTGTAATAATTATAATTTTCGCTACTCACGTTACTACCATAACATTATGAGCACGTGCCCAATTATAAAGCAAAGCTTGATGACTGAGGTTGTACTTCTGTGAGAGCTTATTAAGTAAATCATCAAAATCTTCATGACGGATCTTAGTGATAGGTGAAAGACCACCGTAACTGGCTACTAATATACCTTTGCTCTGGCAATATGACAGCAATTCCTTTGCTTTTCCATATACAAATGGGTGGAACTCGATTTGATTAACTGCAGGTTTGTATTTTGCGGTATCAACGAATTGTTTCAGATCATCCACACGATAGTTTGATACACCAATACTGCGTATTTTTCCGCTATCTTTCAACTCTTCGAGTAGATCCCAGCTTTCCATTAAACCATGAGGTTGTGCGTACTTTGCACTATGAATCAAGAATAAATCAACATAATCTACCTCGAGCTAAATTAAGTCCTTATTAGATTTTGAAATGATAAACATAATGTCGTACTGAAAGGAGCGAATTTCTAAATGTTTCGCGTATATCACCAGTTGCGTATTTAGTAGTTATATAAAGTTCTTCCCTCGGTACCCCGCTGGCTTTTATTCCTTTTCCAACGCTTTCCTCGTTCTCATACTTTTCAAAGCAATGTAAATAATTTTGGATATGTGGCAGTGTGACTTACAAATTGGGCACTTCATATTTTGGTTATCATTTACTATATGACTTCATAATAAGACTCACCAGTCAATATGTCTCAAACCGCTTTGTATAGCTTGTAATACATTTTTAGCTGCATCCCTACCTTTCAAAACAGCTATAAAATAATTAGATCAATATTTAAATCATTTCATGTGTCAGTTTGCTTACTCCCTGTGCCATATGCACTGAGAAATTTATCAGAATAAATTACGTTATATTAAGCGTACTAACGGTGATAATATGACTGCGTTATCATTCAATCTGAAGTCGTTAAAGTAGGACATTATGGTTTCTATTAAAGAGTAATAATACTCTAAACAGGCTTCTCAATGAGTCACCAATGACTCATTAACAGCAATATAGTGAATATTAAAAATGCATCATAAAATTTAATAAATAAGTATGCCAAAGTTCTATAGAATCCATTTAAGCTATTAATGCTTCGGTTTTGGTGGTTTGAGCGCGAGCCAATAGGTTAAAGTACCACATGCAATACAAACTGCAACGAGTATGCCGAGAATTGAAAAGAACCAAGTAAGCCCCTCTGCATTTTGACCAGGTACGCTAACATTCATTCCCCATAAACCACAAACAATATTGATAGGGACCAAAACAGTACCTAATGCTGTTAACTTGGACAATACATTGTTAATTTGGTTATTGGCCTCGGTCATTTCAATACTAATTTGAGCAAGATAATTAGAGTGTGATCTACTCAAAATCTTTTCATAATGATTCAAGTTCTGCGTCATGGTAATCAAGTGATCTTGAATATCGCTCAAATACAAACCAATATCAGATTTTGGTGCCACAGTCCAATTCTCATTGCAACGTTTAGCTAAACCTTTAACGACATCTGCTTTGTTTCCCATTAACCTAAGTAAACCCATGACCTTTTTGCGACAAGTTCCTATCCTACGTAACATGTCTGATTGTTCATTTTCTTTGAGAATCAATACTAGCTCATCTATTGTGTCTACCTCAAATTCTATGGATTGAATTAAAGGAGCGAAAGCGTCCGTTATATCATCGATTAAAGCGTATGATATCCAATCAGAGGTGACATTGATATAATCACGTAACTGCTTTATTCTTCGACGAACATTATGTGGATGTGGCGTTGCTCTAAAGTGGAAAGATAAGGTACCTTCCCTGAAAACGATTATGTACATATTCAGAGGTTCCAAGTAGGTTGGACTATGTGGATCTTGATCAAAGGATCTGAAACAAACTAAATAGTAATTTCTGAAGAGTTCAATCTTCTCACGTGCTTCCTCCATTTGAATATCTTCTGTTGTGAGAGGGTGGATACCAAATACCTAAAATTCTTATGTCAGACAGAGATTAGAGTGAATATTATCAAACATACCTTACTCAAGGTTCTCATCTCTGAATCAGTTGGTGAAAGTACATCTAACCACCAAGTATTTGCCTCCGGGTCATCTAAAGATTCTTCATTACCGTTGTTTCCACCCATATTCAATTCAAGTGCATTGCTATCAGTTGGATCACTTAATGTAGCGGACGATGCTTGTGGTTTACCCTCAAATAACTGTCTAAACGTTTGACCGACTGATGGTAGCTCCCCAAGTGATCTGGCATGTACGGTTGCAGGTAGAGCGTTTGAGTAGAAACTAAATCTATACTCCTTTTCAGTGGTTGTTGGTACGCGTGGAGGCAAATGAGGTCTAGGAGTTGTATTATAGGGATCGTTTGAAGGAGCTGGTAGAGGAGGTGGAGGTGGTGAAGAACCAGATGGAAAAGTAGGAGGTGGAGCACCAGAAGAATCAAATATAGCCAAATGACGTTGATGCGCTGATTGTTTCTTGTTATCATCCGGCTGCTTTGGAGTTGAAGGAGGAGTTAGTCCAGAGTGATCTTTTTCCGAAAATTCGAGACCAGTTGACTCTGCGGCAACATAGGCATCAAGCAAAGCAAAATCAAATTTGTTTGGCTTCAACCTGGTACCTGCACTTAACAACTCTGTTGAGGGTTGAGCAGACAACGGCGGTGGATGTATTTGGGGTTGCTCGATTGCGACATCGGATGAATGTGGGCTTAATTTTTCATTCAAATCTTGATTATCGAGGTCCAAACTACCACCATGCTTTGCTAATTCGATCTGCGCTTCCTCATCCGACGACAATGGGAATAAAAATTGTGGTTTATCTGTATTTGGAGATAAGCCAGGATCATCCTCTTGAGGATCTGCATTTAGTAGTGTCTCATTCCGCGGTCTCTTAGAATAAGAAGGCGTTTGCTGTATATAAGAGCCAGCTCTAGCTCTCGAAAGCTGCATTACTGAATCGATATCTTGTTGTCGTTGGCGCTCTTCGTCATTCAAGCGCCTATAGGATGATCTACCGCTTGATGGACTACGTGGAGGTGTAACTTGATCATTGTGGCTATCTTGCTTATTGTTTGGTGACATTCCTAACTAATATTAAATTCCTTTTGGCATGTCTTTCTTAGTAATTTGCTAATTTAGCCAACAAACGTGGCTTTGACGAATTCGGTTTTTGACTGTCAGATTCAAAGCATTATTGTTATTTTAGGAAACAACCAAGAAGTTTATTTTTTTCATTTAAATTTTTATTTCTTATCGTACAATTTCTTAATGACAACAACTGGAATGTCTGTATTCATTCCTGATTCAGATTCTTCGCTATAGTCACAAGTCACAAATTAGATTCGATCCATTCATACAATTTAAGTACACGTAAACTTGGCCTATGAGTAGCTAGCCAATCCGGTCTATATCTACGCCAATTCTTATCTTGAGAGTAGATGTTGTACCTATAACAAACCGTGTACGTTCCGTTTGTAAGGAACGGCGTGGGTATACCTTCCATTTCTCTGACTTTAACATTTGTCGATTCTAAATAGATTATGTCACCTGTCCTACAAACGCTCTCTTCATCGTTCACGCTGTTTATCTTTTTAACTTCATTTTCGAAAATGCTAATTTGAATCGGTAAGCCAGCTTCATCAGTACCTGTTAAAAACAATCTCTTCATTTGCAATCCATTCTTTAGTTTCAATGATTTTATTTCAGCTGATAGTATATATAAAATGACGTTAATTGGCTTGTTTGGTATATGCGGTACGTTGAAGTATACAGATTGAATAGATATCAAGTTATTAACTGAAAAATTATACATGGGTGGATTCCTTATTGAGAAGTCGCTCCTTTGTGTGATATTATTCGTTGTATTCAAAGACCGATGAGAAATTAATGACGTATTATTCGCCTTTTTTAGGCTAGAAGACAGTTCAGTCTTATCATGGAAATCAAACGCTGGATGAATTTAGGTTAAAAATAGTTTACTGAGATGATAACACACTCACATTCCTCTTCCGTATGATCCAAAGGTATTCTCATAAAAATGATCTTTACATAATCATCATAAATTGGACGCTTATTAGATAATTGTGATTTTGTGGGTGCACCTGTGTACAACTCCATAACTGTATCTATGAAATAATGATGAAAGTAACCTTGAAATGTTACATCGATGCTCAGGAATATCCAGACGAATAAAAATATCAAAATTCAATAACGCTATTCAAGCAAGAAGTTTATTTGGTATAAGTGATCTTTTAGGTGTGGATATTACGCATATATTAAGTCATTATTAAAGCAAACTTAGCTGCAATTGGTAATCCGAAAGAAACATTAACTCAAATAACTGAAGCGAAGAATGAACTAGAAAAGGTCAAAAATGAGTTAATTGAAACGAATGAGAAAGTACGTTTGCCCCCAGTCAGAACATTCGTTAAACAACCGAATTACTTTGAGAGATCCGAGGAGAACAGAATAAGAACTATACTTAATTCGGATGCTACATTTACCGTAATCTTTGGTGCTGCTTCAACTGGAAAGACGTCTCTAATACGTAATGTATTGACTGATGTCAACAGTTATATAGTTCTTCCAATCGATTTAAGAATCTCCACTTTTTCTGATCCCCCTACTTTCTACATATCTCTATCAACCCATTTAGAAGCATTTTTTAATGACATTAGCGAAAATGTTGATGGTTTCGAGGAGTTAGGTCATCGTCTGAGTTTGGGGTTCAAACATGCACGAATAGATATCGAAAAGAGGGGTCAGACACCTTCTTCTACTGATATTAGTAGACTTTTCGAACTTTTACAGGTCAGTATTGAAGAAAGTGAGGTTACTGTTTTCTAATATTATTCAGAATGCTTTGCTTAACTATTGGAATCACGATCCTAGTCTCTCTGAAGCGGAAAGACGCGAATTGAATGAGAAATCTACACTACCAGAACCTAAAGAACGTGTAACAACAGGTAATCTCAACAAATTGAATAGAAAAGTTTGTCAGTTTTACGGTTCTTATATAATTATTCACAATTTTTTAGATACCTGTTTTATTGATAGATGAGGCGCATCGCTTACCGCAATTGCTCGATGAGAAACATTCTGATACCCTAAAGATAATATTGGATGGTCTTACAGTTCTTACTAAGCAAGAAAGGTTGCTACATACAATATTCTGCACATCAGATTCTATGTTCATGCATACACTAATGAGTTACAATGTGCTTCCACATACGCAGGTGTTTCATTTGACAGATCCATCTATAGAATCAATCAAGGCATATTTAAAGGATCACATACTTCTACAAGTAAAGCAATCACACCTTCATCCCCATATATTGGACAATTTTGACAACCTTTATGGAGTCCTAGGTGGAAAGTTTATTCATTGGAAAGATTATTTGCTTGGTGATTGGTTGCATGACGGTTTAAGTATATCACAATCAAAGGTTGCAACTCATGCCAAGATAACTGTTGAATCGCACCTTTATCCACCGTCTGGATTGAGTGCACCACCAAATACACTTGCTTTACTACAAAAAATCGCTGATTTAACAGACAATAGTCCATTGGACATTTTTACAGCGAGAAGGGACTATGGACAAGAAACAGTTGACGCTCTTCTCAATAATAAAATACTAGAAGTACGTTGGGGCAATGTCATTGGATCTAATTTCCTCAACAATACTCACATAAATCCTAACTTAGATGGAAGATCAAACATAAATGATAACAAGCCAGCTATTAATTCACTTGTACCGTCATCTTCAGTGATAGGTTGGGCAATTAAAGAGGTGATAAAGAAGCATGCATCTTAATGACATTATAATATTTAGCGAAAGTAGCTATTTGCATATGGTTTGAGCGTTGTCCATAGTCCTGCTACCTCTTCAGCCAATTCTTCCGGGAGAAGACCTTTATCTAAATCATCGAGGTTGCTCTTGATGTGTTTGATTGAAGATGCACCAATAATGATAGCATCACCACTCTCTTTCTTGAGAAAGCTATGATGTGTCAACCATCTGAGTGCAACTTCGGCAGGACTAAGCGAATATTTTGTTGCTAGTTTGATAAATTCATTTAATGCGTTAGAGTATCCTTCATTAAAATATCTAAATGATAGTTAATCGGTAACTGTATGTTATAGCTTCGACTTACCTAGCTCTGTACAATTTGCCTTGATGGCGATTCTCATCAAAACGACTACCTTCTTCTACTGACCCACCAAGCTTGACGGCACCAGTAAGGAGACCACCTGCAAGTGGGTTATATGCGTAAAACCCAATACCAAATTTACGTAATGCTGGGAATAATTCAGGTTCAACGGCCCTGTGGATAGCAGAGTAGACACCTTGATAAATACTAGGTTTCACAAGATCATGAACACGTGCAAGTGTCGCAATCTCAGCTACTTCCCAACTTGCATAATTGGACAAACCGAGTAACTCAAATTTGCCCTGTTTGTATTGAACGTCAAGAGCTCTGAGTGTCTCCAAATAATCTGTGCTTCTATCAGGAGCGTGCAAATACCATATTTTGAGCTTCTTAACCCCAAGGTTTTTTAAGGATGTATCGATCTCCTCTTCAATATCCTTAGCTGTATGTTTAACACTATTTTTTCCACCAGAAAGTGCATTTGAGCTCTATTCAAGATTTTAAGTCGACGTATCTCAACGAAGAGTTTTACAAACCTGATCGAATGGAAAGATTTTGGATGAAAGGTCGTATTTGCGATGAATTTGGAGATGCCCGAGGTATTCTTCTGAAGTACCGCCTCCGTACATTCTCGCTGTATCAATCTCCTTGTGTCCGTGCTCTCCGAATGTATCTATTATCTCTTGAACTGTTTCGTAATCATGTACACGAGCCTGCTCCTTTCCTTTGGCACCAAAGGTCATAGCTCCTAATACAATTGGTAAGGCTGATTTCTCTGTCATTTTAAAAGTTTATCTCTTTCTTGGTTGGTTGTGCTGTTCAAAGATACTTCATCATCAATTAATAATAATAACATATGACGCAATTAGGTTCGTAATTCAATTATATATTACTAATCGTTCTAATATCATAAACGCTGCCTTCGACTGTGTATTAATAAATTACAATATAATAACATCCTAAGCTGTAGTAGCTGGCTTCTTCTTACTTCTTCCCCATTTTACGCTAACAGCTTCATTCCTAACAATGAGACCTTTTTTTGATATTACCAAGGCAGCTATTTCTGCAGCTTGTCTTGAGGCAAAGTTGACAAAGGACACCTTCGAAGTAGGAACTATTGTAGCTGATTGAATTGATGGACTGGCATCTCCAAATGCACTTTTAAGCTCATCCTCTGTCGTGTCATCCGGTAACTGTGAGCAATATAGCGATATCTAGAATGTCTAAGATAAAATTTATGATAATTGTTGTAGATACTCACCACTTCAGTATCAAGAGGTGGTTTGAGATCTAATTTGATCATCTTTGGTGCTGCAGCGACACTTTGTGTCGATGTAAGTGGCATGGATTTTATCTCCTTTGGTTTGTTGCTGCTTTTCTGTTCTTTCGTTGGTTTATAATATGGTTCCTTCTTTGCTAAATCTCGCAATATTTGTTTGCCTGCATTCTCTGCTCGTCCCAGGCCGCCATCGACCATAGTACTATTTCCTTTGAGCTTAAGCGCTGATTAGACTTATAAATACTTCAAATGGTACTTACTTGTTCTTCGTTATTTTGAGCAAAGTATTGTCTATTCAAATTCTCAGTTGGTGCTTTTGATTGCATTCCAAGTGCTGCATCACGAAGGTGTACGGGTATTTTATAAGTCTAGAGCGAATTGTCAGTTTGCACTTGTAACAAAACTACAAGTAAATACTGACCAGATCTAAGATGCATGTTTGACAACAATGCTTCATTTTTGCACATGTATTACAGATCTCTGTCTTCTTGTACCTCGTTCCAGCGCCTGGACACCAACTGAACAAAGTGAATGGACGCATGCATATCTTGCACTCCTTGCCAAAAGCTCTCTTTTGCATTCTAACAAAACTGTACTGAGTCAGAATTAGTGGATCTATTTCATTGATAACCTTACGGATTTGGGCCTAAACCTAAGAAATAACAGGTTAATAGAAATAGATAATCGTATGAATTACTTACAATCATCGCAAAGTATTGGAAATTCAGACTAGCTTTAGTTAGATATCATTCATAATGCTATGGTAAAGCGTACTTCTTCCCAACCTGAAGCATTTACGTCTCTCTATGAAATAAAAAAATGAATACTTTACTTGAAAGATGATGATAATGCTCACTTTTGGTCCATAAGATGACATAGTTGTTGATAGTCGAGAATCAACCAGATAGGCAGACCAAGGTGTTTGAAAATTAAGATAAAAGAATATATTAAAAAATACATGATAAATATAGCAATAAGATCCTACTAATATAAAGTTAGTTCAGAATTTGCAGATGACTAAAACAGCGAGCAAGTCAGGTAATTCTCAATATAGCCTGTTTATCCACATTTGCCGAAGCATTGGCAGGGGATGAAACATATAAAAAGCTCGATTCATCTCTGTGCTGAACTGTTTTAGTTGTTAAAACTCACAGTAAGCTAATGAAGTGAGCTCTTGAGTGTATACTATTAAGCGTTACAAAATAGATCAAGAGCTCACCAAATTTGCTTGTCTTATATAAAAGAGCTCATCGACGTAGGTAGGAAAGGACGGATCACAAATTTATAGAGGGAAAAACTGCATAAAAAATATAACAAAAAATTTGTTAGAGTTAAGTAAATAGATATTTGAGCAATTTCTTCTCTTACGTTTTCTTAACGGTCCAGCTTACAGCGTGACTTATAAGTAATGAAAATTTCCTATTGATCAATCAGGTTAAGAATATATAATAATAAAACATGCAACAAATGTGGTCGTTAATAATACAAGATATAAAGATATGATATAACAAACAAAGCGGTAGTATGATGAGAGATGATAATAATATTTCAAGCAGCGACCATGACAACGCCTTCTGTTTCTGCTTTCAGGGCGTAATCTTCATCATAATAAGTTGTGATATTACTTCGATCATGTCAAAATACGTTACCCTATTCTAAAATAGGATGACTCACCCACTCCTGACGAAATGCCTAGCTTTATCGTAGCTATGAAATGCATACCAGCGTGCACCTGGGTAGTCCTTCACCTGATATAAGGCTTTCTCACTGTGAAAGCTTTGTCAGCATTTCTATCTTCTACAAAGAAGATAACTACTAACAGACCAGGATAAATACCAGTTTGCCTGCCTTTGTGTACTGCATAGAAAATCAGCTCCATTTGTTAGTTCAGATGATTGTTGCGGTTATACTTTTCTTTTATCAATATTCCAAGGATGTATGACGACCCCTATCACATTATCATGCATGAATTATAATCTTATTATCATTTATGTTATAACTTCTTTTACACAGAAACGCACTCCTCTTTTATGATGTCTTGATATCAGGTGTATATCTAGAATAGTATTTTTCTAAAGATTAGGACCACTTGTTACACTATTAATATTATTCCAATAATAGGGGTCACGACACGTCATTTGAGATTAACATTATAAACTATAATAGAATATATTACTATTTATTCTCGATATCATCTAAATTAGAATTTAAGGCAATATATCAAAAGTGAATGCAAGAAGAGAAATTGGATGTAATACTGAATTTATTGATTCATCTACGTTATTAAATCTTCATTAATTATTGGATAATGCTTTTAATTCACTAATTTACTCGTTCTTTAGCAACTTCTAACATCACGTGTAAAGCGAAATGAGTGAGCATTCAAATAAGATCATTTAAACGTTTTAACGTTGATAATAGGTTACGGTGCATACGATGAAAGTAGTTAGGTTTTAAGTTTGTCGTAACTCGGCATAGCTGATCATACACAAGATCCATATTACAATGATAATAATGGCAGTGGTGGATTCTTAACTAATTCACAGGGTGGTGGTTATACTGATAGCAGTCCATCTACGCGTGTCAGTATTTCATTCTTATTTCTACTGAGTTGGCTTATGTTACTTTGCAGAATAAGAACGAAGACACACTTAGACCAGTAACGATAAAGCAGGTTTTGGGTGCCTCACAACCACATTCAGATTTTCCTTTTCAGATTGAAGGTCGTGATATAACGCATGTTAGTATTTTAATCTTCTCATAACTTATATTGATATCATCCTTTAGGTCTCGATCGTTGCAGTAGTTAGATCTGCTAGTAAGCAAGCTACATCAGCAGTTTATTCACTTGAAGATGGTACTGGTACACTTGATGTGAGATATTGGATGGATAGCTCAGGAGGTGAAAGTGAATCAACCACTGATATACAACAAAACCAGTATGTGCGGGTTATAGGAGCATTGAAATCATTTCATGATAAACTTCAAATTACTGCACAGGTTGTTAAACCAATCACTGACTTTCACGAAATATTTTATCACAAAGCTGAAGCATTAGCAGTCACTTTACAGATTCGTAAAGGTACAGATACAATTATGAACGAATCAAAACCATCAGCAACCTACGGTCAAGAAAGCACCTCAGAACCAAATTATATGAGGCCATACCTAACATTCCCAGAACTTCACAAATCTGTTATGAAAGCTGTGTTTGAAGAAGTTGATAGAAGTCCACAAGGTGTTCATGTTGCTCGCATTGCTCAGCGTTGTCCAAAAGGTGATGAGGCTTTGACTGAAGCTATCGAGTATCTCATTAGTGAGGGTCACTTATTTACTGGGTTTGTTGATTTTTTATGAAATTATATCTAGCTAACAATACCACAGCGAGGACGATGAACACATTTTACCTGTTTCACAAGATTCCTAAATGAAATTTAATCGATGTATATGTACAGATATAAATTATGCGATATTCTATTCATCTTCTGATTCAACTAGATCTACATTAAGTAAATCAAAAGCCGTTCTCATACTTTTTGTCGTATCTGCTTCATCTGGACTATCCTCTGCAAGTGTCTCATCAAGATCGCTTTTCTCATTTTCACTCTCTTCAATTGCAGATTCTTGATCGGTATCGGAGCTATAAATAACTTTAGAACTGATGTAGATTCCATTCGGGTTTTCATTCAATTCAGTGCCTGGAGGTAAGTATGCCCAACTGTACTGGCTAGTGGTAATTTGTCGAAGGATGTAATTACTAGCACGATTAATATCAGGCCTACCAGCCTTTGCAGTCATAAAACCAGCTCTAATAGCATACCGTTCTAAAATTTCTAAAACTTTGATGTTTTTATCTAGAGATTTCTCTGTCCTTACCATACCCTCTCTCCAAGTACGTTTATCCTCTTTGATGTCTGTCTCCAAAACGCTTTCGGGGGCTAACGGTAATACATGCTCTAGAGGCATACGCTGACCAATTGCATACAATATTCCACTTGGTTGACGTTCTTGAGAGATCGGCACTGTAGAACCTAAAACTTGAGCCCAACGTGGTGTTGTAGATGGCCAAATTAAACCTGGACAGTCCGCCAAACGAATTTGATCCGTCAAATAAAGTGTCTGGAAGTGCTTGGTCTATAATATTGATAAGTACATGCAAAAATTATTGAAATGACCCACTTTTCCAGGGGTTGAGCTAGCTCTAACCTTAGATTTACCAAATAAGCCATTAATTACGCTACTTTTACCGACGTTTGGCTGTCCAATTAAGCCGATGGTCAGCTCATTCTGGTCATTTGAAAATTCTAATGGTCTTTTCTCTTGTGATGTACCTCCATCTTCATTCTCACTTTCATTATTGTTGTTGACGGTATCATCAAATCCTCTCCTTTTTGGCCCTCCTTTGTTTGATTCAGCTTGTATTCTACCCAATTTTCTAGCTTTGCGTTTATCAGCTTTACCTGTATGTATACTATCTGGTTTATTATCATTGTGGTCAGCTGACTCTTCTTGCCGCTGTAATTTCTGAGATAGTAATATTTGTTGAATCACTTCATCAAAATTTATGTCTGGCAAAGATTCTGAACTAGACTTTAGTGAATGATATGCATTAGAGATCGCAACGAGTAATTCAGTGAGACTTTCAGGTTGAATGAATGGCTTGCGTCTACCTTTACCTTGCTCACCGGTAACAATTTGATAACTACTTAGTTTAACTATTTGATCAGTATCATTTAATTGAGATTTCAACCAATTGAACCAAAAGTCGGTTGTTTGTTTGGGAACAAGATCAACTTTAGTGAATACATATATGATCCTTTTATTTTGTTTATTAATGAGGATATTTAAATAGCTTTTAAGTGAATTCGTGAAGTGAATCGACGGTAAACGTACATCAATCAATATCAACAATATTGAAGACATTTCACATGTTCTCCAGAATTGTCTCCAAACTTCTAGATTACGTTCATATACACTGAAATAAGTTTGTTGAGTATTATCAAGTAATTCATCTGTGTATTTCAACCAACGCTTAAATTGAATATTTTCATTAGATTCTAGTTCCTTTTTGGACATCTTATAATTCCATTTTGGCCTTTTGAAGCAACTAAACTTTAAATCTTTATCATTTTCAAGCCATATCGATTGGTCGATGGATATTGGTCTATGCCATAACCAATTATCTTTAAGCTCAACTTCATCCTCTTGTTGTTGCTTTGTTGTACTTTTCCAGGTAGATTCCAATTTCTCTGCAGCCTTCTTTTTCTTATCCAAGGCTGGATTGAGGTACTTTGACCTTGAAAACTTCTCTTGTACTTGTTTAGTAGGTAAAGCAACGTCTATACCTCTGTTCTGGGCTCTTTTCAGTTTTAATTTTTCGCTTTTAGCTTTTGAAGATTGAGGTCTTCTCCTCATAGTACTCTATTAAGATGATGATATCACTTCTACCAAGGTTGGAGTCTAACCATGATATTTAATTATAAGCTGTTTAGATTAATAAATCAACGAAATTCAAGACAATTCCTAACTTTGCGTAATTTTAACAGAATCGGTAAAGACCAAGGTGTTAACTTAGTAAAATCAGATTTCAAGGATTTTGACAAAAACAACTCTAATGTCTCGACTGACGTGATAGAATATACAAGAACTAAACTATCATTAAAGGAAGCTGACGGATTTGAGAAAAGTAAAGATCTTTTGAAGCAACAAAAAGAATTTAGTGATGCAGAAACTACTAGATGGATAAATGTTGAAGGTAGAAATATACCATTATTGAGAGAGATAGCATTAAAATTCAATTTACATCCATTGTCAATTGAAGATGTCATATTCGGTAACCATGCAACTCGTCCGAAAGCTGAATATTTTAGTAATGCTTTATTTGTTACCTTACCTCTTCATAGTTTAGGTGAAAATAACATAAATCATCCAACGGAGATGCACTCGTTAATGAAGAAAGCTGGAAAATTTTCAAAAAAACCTCAGGCTTACAATGACAAAGGTGAATTACTGATAGACATTCAATTACTATCAATATTCTTGTTAAGGGATGGTACAATTATTAGTATATTTGAAAGGCCTCAACCAAATGTTTTAGAGCCCCTTGTTGCTCGTGTTAAAGAAGAAGGTACAGTCGTTAGAGATTCTTCTGACGCTTCTATGTTATTACAAGCGTTGTTGGATGTTACAGTGGACCACGCTATAAACGTAGTTACGGCATTGGAGAAAAAGTTGGCAATACTTGACGAACAAGTTTTAGAAGTCCCTACAATGGAGACAATTAGATCGTTACATAGATTAAGAGGCCAGTTCCTAGAATTAAAAAGGACTCTTACACCACTGCATAATCTCATCTACACTTTAAAAGACCTTGATGGTCAGAAAGCTGCATTCACTGGAAATTCACCCTCACAAGGTTTCATGTCTATACAAGCAAGGACTTATTTACAAGATGTTGCAGATCACGTGTAAGTTAAGCTTTAATTTTCATCTCACTATTTAAAATTAAGACAGCGATTGGTTATTATCAGCATTGGATATGTTTTCTTCATTATCAGAAAACTTGGTTTCTTTAAGCTTCAACAGTAGTAGTTTCAAATTAAATGAAACAATAAAAACCTTAACCGTATTCTCTGTTATCTGTATGCCACTTTCACTAATTACAAGTTACTTTGGTATGAATTTTGAAAAGTATGAGTACTCTGAAGTAACCTTATACTTACTGACAGACCTGTCATAGATTTCCATCATTGGTTAACGACGTCAATTAGTAAGTCATCTGATGAAATCGATCGGCATTATTCATTTAACTCAAATTTAGCTTCTGGTGTTTGGCCGCAATAACTTGCTTTGTCACAACTGCAGGTATCTATATACCACAACTTAAATCTAAGATGCTGGCTCGAAAGCTAATGCATAGAAGGTCGGAGATTTTGAGAGGTCACAAGTGATAGAGACGAAATACGATTATACTAGTGGATTTATGGAACTTTGAACTTCAATTTAGCTGGACAATCATCACGACCACTCAAGGAGAAAGGATAATTATAATATTAATTTTCTATACCATGAATAAAACAATAATAAATATTAAGATTCTTATTATTATTATTTCTATTTTTTACTATTTTTATTACTCAAATCGAAATGCTGAGGCCTCTTCGCTACCACCACCAAAGGACTTCTCATAATTTAAAAATGAGTGAGCAGCAGCAGGATATAGCTCAAAAAATTGCTGCAGCTAGGCATTTATCTGAAAGTTTAAAGGATAAAATACGTGCAAAGAAGGAGCAAACGGCGGATAGCACATGTGAGTCTATAGTTTAGACCAATTTATCGGTTTCTAATAGATTTTCTTAGTACGTGCAATGGCCGCAGATATTGAACCACTTCCACGCGTTGTTATGAAGCCAAGAAGAACTCTCAAAGGCCATCTTGCAAAGATATACGCAATGCATTGGTCTGCAGATAAAAGGCATTTAGTTTCAGCTTCACAAGACGGTAAATTAATCATTTGGGATGCTTACACCACAAACAAAGTTCACGCTATACCATTACGCTCTTCCTGGGTTATGACTTGTGCCTACGCCCCTTCAGGTAACTTTGTTGCATGTGGTGGTTTAGATAATATCTGTTCAATTTATAATCTCAGAGGTAGAGATGGAAATGTGAAAGTTTCTCGAGAATTACAAGCTCACACTGGTTACTTGAGTTGCTGTAGATTCCTCAATGATAGACAGATTCTTACAAGTTCAGGCGATATGTCCTGTATGTTGTGGGACATTGAATCAGGCGTAAGAATTCAAGAATTCCATGATCATACCGGTGATGTTATGTCTATCTCTTTAGGACCTAATCAAAATACTTTCGTTAGTGGTGCTTGCGATGCGACAGCCAAGCTTTGGGATATGCGATCAGGAAAAGCTGTACAAACATTCACAGGTCATGAAAGTGATATAAATGCTGTACAATTTTTCCCTAATGGTGATTCATTCGCTACCGGTTCAGATGATGCAACTTGTCGCCTATTCGATTTAAGAGCGGATAGAGAAATGAATCAATATAGTCATGATAATATACTTTGTGGTGTTACATCAGTGGCATTCTCAATTTCAGGTAGAATCCTTTTCGCTGGTTATGATGATTATAACTGCAACGTATGGGACACACTCAAAGGTGAACGCGTTGGTGTCTTATCTGGACATGAAAATAGAGTTTCTTGTTTAGGTGTATCTGGTGATGGTATGGCTTTATGTACCGGTAGCTGGGACAGCCTTTTGAAGATTTGGGCATAGTGTTAAATATGCCCTTTACGCGTTAAAATATACCCCTAACTACAAATCCTAAATGAACTTATTCGTATGATTCACTCAGTGGATATATATTAATTAATTACAGAATTTACGCTCCAAATTTCAACTATCATCCAATACGAAATTCCGGGTATATCAATTTCAATTATAATTGAATAAGATTTCCACTCATTCATTATTTGATCTCTCTTAAATATCTATCTTTTTTAACATATCTTAAAAAATGCATTATATTCTTTTTACCTTTTAAATGATTAAAATATAGGAGATCTTACATGAATTAAACTTATTATTTAGAACTAGATTACGAAGACCAATCTAAACGACTGGCTGTATCAAAGTGATATTGTCTCCTTTGAGTAATATCCGTCCTTATGATGATGAGAAAATAATAACTATGTTAGCTCATAAGCTTACCTAGAGAATTCCTTGGCTGTGATTGCTTTTTACCATAGAAAACTTCCTCTACATCATCCAAAATAACATTCATATACTCGTCGAAGCCCTAGTCGTGAATTTAGTCTGATTACTATTGCATCTAACTGAGTACATACAATTATACGACCTTCTAACCTGCAATCAACATTATCATAAAGCCAGATTTGAATTTTTGTTCGCTAGAGATTTATATATCAGTTAAGTTTTCAATTAATATTGCTTATTTGAATACCTGTTGAAGATACTTGAAGATTACATTCTAAATAACAGCGTCAGATATTAGTCACATAAATATTAAATAAACTAACTATTGGCTGTACCATAACTTGTTGTTTGCGTCCCGACATTTTTTATCTCTAGACTAAGTCGTAGTTTAGAAAGAAGCAGCAACCTTGATATTAAACTATCATGTCAATTCACAATTTAAAATCAATAAATTCTAATAAGTTACCAGAAGCTTTTGTTCCACAAATAACCAGAATCATATTTGCTGTTGACGACTTTGCTCCTTCACATCAATCTTTAAGAAGCTTTTTACGCTATAATTTAAATGACACTGCAAACAACAACAAGCACGTACAATTCGTCGTTCAAGGTGTCGCCAAAGGTGCAAGGGGTTCCCTTGGTGTTCGTAATGGCGGTTGGATCAGAGGTGAATACAGTAAGTTTTAGGCTTCAAACTCTATCAATCACTTAAAAATTTAAAGTTAACGGGAGAGAAAAAGTTATTGCTACGAATAGATTGAATGCGCATTCCGTTAAAGAAAAGGTCCAGCTTTTGCTTGATAGCTCTGGTAAGAAGATCGTACCACTCAAGAAGAATCCAGTTGAAAGTGCAAATGAGTCTGTTAGAGGTATATGGTCTCCTTATCACACTAAGGATGATTCGTCGACCCACTGGAAGGTATAATAGCACCAACTTTTGACCTATACCTGTACTTTTACTTTTGATAGATTTTCGCATATGATCAATTATTACAGTAATATTGTGATTAGGATAAAATCATAGATAATGATTATGGAAGCTGCTCTCTCCCACAACTAAAACATAATACTAGGGATGTGAAAATAAACGAAAGTTCCTACCGTAAAGCGATATATTTCGGATATTTACTCTTTACTAGATGAGCTTGGCGGATTCTAAAGATCTATTTTAGAATTGGAATTTGAATCCAAAAAGGGTACAACCATATCATCTGAAAGCCTACATGTCCTTTTAGTACCTTTTACTCTTTCAACCTTTGGATTCTCCTTGCTTTTTAACCGACCGATCTGAAGTTCGAAATTAAAACCTATAAGAAGACGAAAAAGTGTGATTATGGTTTATGAACCTTTAAAGAGTATGAGCGTCAACCCACATTGTCTGTGATCTCATCAGCGTCATGCTAGGTGCAATATCTACTATCATATCAGCTGCGCGAGTTATACATACAGAGGATAGTAGGTGTTGTACACATTACTATACTGATTGATTTTGTTATGATAGCTACCCCCCTCTTTAGAACACGGACTTCTTTATATAACCACTATAGTGTTATACGATAATGTACATGAAAGAAACTTGAGGATTGCATAGATTCAATTGAGGTAATATCCAACTTCTCATCAAAAAAAGTTGCAACGTTCAAACCCAAAACAGCAGATAAAATTATGGGATGTATTACTTTTGCTAACTCGATACCTGAAAAGAAAAGTGACTCGCTACCATAAGTAGTGCAAGTTACCGAAATTTTTAACTTCAGACAACATAAATTCATATGGAAATTGGAATGTCAAATGGTTATTACCTGATAATTTAATTATGTAATCCATGACCATGGTCTGGTTAGTGCTTAAAAGATAATGTAAAAGTGGCCAGAAAGTAGAGTAGCCTTGTGAGGGAGTTTACTACATGGTTGCAAATAAAGAATCTCAATCCTTGATGTGGCATAGCTTAATTTTATATAGCTGAAAGTTACATTACTATTTCTGACATTTAAATCTTTGTTAGGTCAAAGATATATGGCAGGACAATTTGTAATGTACATGTTAATCCTTAAAATGATGAATCCAAATAGGAATTGCTGTGTAAACTAATGAAGAATAATTCTATAGACTAAAGTGGATAATTCTCGGTTATTATTGGGATTTCAATGAACTTATCGGTGTGTAACGTCAACTATGAAGTAAGGTGTATCAACCAAAACTCACATCA